AGAAAGCTTTTTCAAATCTGAGAAGAAACCTTGGTGAGATTCCTAAAAACGCTACAGAGGAAAAAGAAAAGGGAGAATGAAGAAGCATCAAAAGGAAAAGGATAAAGAGACAAGATACAGAGAAATAAAACCTTTAAAAACGAAAATGAAAATGGAAATAAATATTTCTTTTAGGGTAAATTAGTAAAATTCATTTAAAGCAATACTCCTACTAGAGAGAGTCGCAGTAAATCAGTAAACCATTGGGAAGTGGACACAAAAAGCCCACCAGCCCGATTAAATAAAATAAAAATTAACCACATCGTTATGACCAATGTTTTGACTTGTATAATTACGGGATCGGGAAAAAATATTACGGAAACATTAATGTATTGTTTTGTCACACATGAGGAAATTAATAATTAAATGAATAATACGACGGCATTCAAATTTTCTTTCAGACCAGTAGTAAAACTTCCGAAAAGTCTTGAAAACAAGACAATAATCACCTGACCGAGTTTGTGTATATGAACTTTTCAACATTTGTATAAATAAAAACAAAATTCTACTAGATATATATACTTGATATTTTGAATCCTACCAAAAATTGTTGTTATCAACAACAGAAATATACCAAAAAACCCAATGTTATCCACTTTTGGTATAAAAACATAGTTCTCCATTACGTCTACGAATTGAATACTCCTTGATATTTTGCTACTACTGAAAAAATCTTAATATTTCGAATCTAAACCAAAAAGTAACAACATGGATATTTGGGAAACAAACCATTGTTATCCATTTTTGGTATAAAGCATAGTTCTCCATTACGTCTACGAATACTCCTCCTCTCTATTCAAAACTGATTGTTTGTTGCGTTCGCTGCGTAGGGTTATAAGCTATAAAATTGAATATTGAATGTGACGATTGTTCTTGTTTACTTGTGGAATAAAAACATTCACAGAACAAACTTTCACGTTGGTTACTTCTTACTTGTTGTTTTAGTAACTTTGTCTACCGATTTTTTTTTAATCACTTAACAACAATAATATTATTAAAATATGAAAGCACGAAGCCAATATAAAACTCTTCCGTAATTATAATATGTTAAAATGTCTCCCTATATATAGTAAAATTACAATTGTTCAACGTACTGTACTGATAAGAGTTTCGTAAACAAAAAGAAAAATACTAATTTAGAATTTTAAAAACTAGTGCCGGCGTGCCCTACGTTGTATGGATTAAATGTGATACCCACGTAAAAGACCAAATGATTAGTTATGTTTATCTCCTTTTAAAAAAAACAATACTACAGTCAAATATATTTATAGATAAATGTGACCGATTGTTAACAAATCAACATCGTGAATGTAATAAAGTAATCAACCAGGTGATAACTACATAACGATTTTTTTTTGTATTAAGCTTCTAAAAAACCTTCACCATCAATATACCTCAGGGGAAAAAATACCTGAGGGAAAGTGGTAAAATCCCGAAATATAGGTTCCTCCTATAGTTTTATGATATACTCATCAACCGTTGTCCAACCAAAAATTTGCTGATTCACAATTGACCCTTAATTTATTATTTGCAACTTTTCATACGAGATTCTCGATTTTAGCTGGTTAATATTGGTTTCAAATTCAACTACACGCAACTTTCAACTATACGATCGTAGAATGGATCTCTCAACCTAATGCAGTTATAATTAGGCCAAGGGAGAAGAAAACATTGATCCATCTTGCTTGACAATGCACGATCTACCAGTTATGATCAGAAAAAATAAATTAGTCTACCGCAAAAGGCATAGACAAGTAAAGACAGTCGAAGATCCTTATTGTATACAATGCATCGTTCTCACCAATAATCAAATCAAATAAGATAGGGAGGATCTCATGCATGCTGTCAGATAGAGCTATACCTTGTTTAATCATCCAATCGCATGTTATTGGGTTATTTGATCCTAAACAATGAATTTTAAAACAGTTGTATAAAACCATCTTATTAATAATGCAAACTACTTATTCTCCCTTTCTATTTTTAATCAATTTTATTGCATGACTGAGCGACGTCGTTAGAATTTCATAAAAAATATTTTATCATCGTAGATATTTGATTCGCCATGCATTATCCCCGAAAAAGAAATCAAAGACAGATATGACAATAGACAAAAAAAAACATTAATAAAAAAACACTGATTGCGGATTAAACAAATAAACTATAATTAATGACGCGTCATTATCTTTGATTGTTACTACATAAACCTCCAACGAGTAAGGGAAAGCGAAGGTCCGAGCCACACAGCTGAGCTGGCACGTATATGAGTCCCATCTTCGAACCATTGGGGCTGTCACGGCCAACCTAATCTCGTCGTCTACGAAGAATCCAACGACGTAGACGGTGCCACGTGTGGAACATCTCAGCGGTTAAGATTGTAAACACGTCATCAAAATCTAGAGCGAACCACCTGTCTCTCCGGCTTTCCGTCAAAGATCCTACGAAGATTACGTTCTCTCTGAGTAATCACGTGCAACAGCCTTGCTTCACACGTGCAATGGTCAAAATTAATTTACACAAATTCCACGAGTATTCAGATAAAAGTAAAAATTCACACCAATCAAAAAAATTCGAATCAATCTATTTATGAAAGGAAGTGTCAAAATGTTTCATTATTCTTATACATGATTTTTGAAATGACAATTTTGTTGATGATATAGGTCTATTTTTGTTGACCGAAAGTGAAATCGATTGAGAAGAGAAAAGACAAAGGAGATGGATGACCGGATAAGTAAGGTAGCCGTCCGGCGCCGACCTATTACGTACGCATCAGAGCAAAGACCCACAAGTCCTGTCGTCCCGGGCCATATCCAAACTATTCAAATTTTTAGATTTCATTAGACAAAAAAGAAGAAATGATTCGATTAATAGATGATGAATATCAATGTTTTTGTTTCTATCCGCCATGTAACTCCATATAATCATCATTTTAGTTTAGATAACAAATTTCAAAGACAGAGAAAAGCTAATCATTGAACATTATCTAAAACATTTGATCACGACTTAGTATTTCAATCAAACAAACTGATTTTCTTGTAATGAGCTGAGAAATTTTCATCCAAATATTGTATTGTGTGCATCAGTAGTTTAATAACTTCAAAATTAGCAATTCTTATGTGCCACTCTAATATTTTTGCTCATTAATTATTTCCATCATTCTAATTTGGTTAGAGCTAAAACAAAGATTAGATAACAAATCTTTTATGTGGATGAAATTAAAAAAGTGTTTGAAGCGGTTGTTTTGTTTTTAAGTTCAACTACGGTCAAAATTGGTAAACTTTGTGGGTAACCAGGAGTTGTGACTGTGGTGTACTTCTTTTTTACATTCAAACTTGGTTATTGTCCAATGGAAGAAACTACAAACATGATAATGATTTTTGGTCACAACATAAGTTATTTATTGTTTAATGAATTTTTTTATGAGAAGGTGGTGACGTATGCAGCAACTAGAGCATAGCTTGAAGAGAGAGAGAAAGAAGCTCAGATATTGATGTAACAATATATTTTCGTTTGTTCTGATGGAGAATCAAAGCCCATTCCTCAATAAGCCTTACACGAACGTCTTGTCACTCCTGATTTCACCAAACTCGTCCTTCAAATATTTAATTTTGAATTTAGAAATATTTACGATTTCAGACAATTCATTTACGTTTTAAAAGTAACTGGCTCCAACGTGTGTGGTGTTTTTCTTTGATTCGATGTCAGAAAACCGCAGCAAATCTTGTGGTTAATTACGTGCGGGTGTAAACTCAATGTTTTGTTTTCTAGTATCTACTTTTTCCATGTCGTTAAATTCTGTATTTAATAACGATTTATAAAAGAAATCTGTAACGTACCAACGTTCAATGAATATGAAAAAGGACAGCGTATTTAAAGGCATTGTCAATATGTCTAGGTCTTTCCGAGTAATTTTAAATTGGAGAGATGAGAGATCACGTTGAACTTGAAGTTCCAATACTTATATTCTTTTACAAATTTGTTATTGGACTTACGTATATTAATAGGTTTTAAATTTGTTCGACGCTAAGAATACGTCTCTTTGTCGTGTAAGCTTGAAAGGGAAAGCCCATGCTCTTATTTTTAGTCTTTTCTTTCGTACTTTTCTGCTTGATTAATATTTCGATATACAGAAAAGGAATGCTTTATCAGATTAAACAGTCATGCGTCTTCATCGTTGGCAGAAACTGAACCAATTAATTTCGACATTAGCTTATATTTTTATATCTGATTGTGTTTAAAAGCTTATCTTTTGATTAAATACGTATTTTAAAAGAAAAAAAAAGTAGTCTTGTAAAAACATTAGAGTTGATTTGAGGATTTCAATATATTTAATGCATAGTCTTGATCGTGACTTCATGTCCGTTATGTAGCGTTTTCATGCATTAGATTAAATCTGTTGACGGTGCATATAGCTAACGACTACGTACGTTATATAGTTAGATATTAAACTTAAATATATTGAAAACGTTTCAGAACTTCGTATGATTACTCCAAATGCCCACTTAAAGTGAATTAATTTAGCATATACAAATGACTTCATCAGTTAATACACTAAACCAAATTGGACACAATAGTGCCAGCTAACCCCATCACAACCATTAAATACTGTAGTAGTTACAGTGAAACTCATTACTTATGTTTTTTTAAATTTTCTCTATTTCTTTTTGATTCATACTTTCATTAGAAACAACTCGTTTTTTCCTTTATGAGTTTTTGTACATTGAATAAAATAAATTTCAATTGAAGGAATCGAATTTGTGGGTGTATCTACAAGCGTGTTAGACTGATTGGGCCTATCTATACACTTAAAATTCAAAATAAAAATCTACACCGGCTTTACTTAGATGGCCCATAAGTTCCATATCAACTCATTGAGTTTTCTTTATTGTGCAAAAACAGACTTAAAAAGGTCGAGAGATAATTAGTGGAAAACTTTGGGTTAACGAGTCTTAGTTCGGTTTATATTAGTTAGCGTTCTTGAGAGAATCTACGAGGTGATATTGGCACTCTTTGAGCGTCATGACCTCATTATGCAATGCGACGAAATTGTTCTTCATTATGTCTTCGCAATCTTTGATGATTGTCTCGTCGACTTCTTCTTTCGCTAATCTCTCTCTTAGCTTATCGGTCGAGACTGAGAAATTAGTCGTCGTTGCCATGAGCTCTTCGTTTGACATTCTTGGAAACGTTTCTTTTACAGCTTGCAATGCTTCGGTCCAAGCCGTACGATCTTCGCTTGTTGCTGCTCGTAAATGCAGACTCTTCGTACCGGTGAATATAGTGAATCTCTTTCCGTCTGATATGCTTTGTCCGATCGATGACACCTGTAATGCCAAAACAAGAAAGTCCGAAAATTATACACATAATTGAGGGTGAATTTGAAAAATTGGAATTGTTTGGGGTGCATTCGGTTGTTTTCGTAAACTACAGGCCCGAGGGGAATGCAATTGGTGTATGTTGATATTTTTTAGAACACATGGGCACGTTTGGAAATCTTAATAAAATACCGGAGTCCTCCATAAATATAAAAACCTGGAGATGAATTGGGCAAAAACATTTCCGGCAAATGAAAATCAAATAAACAATTGGGGGTGTTGTTGATAGCTTTTAAATGTAAGGGGCACATTTTAGAACTTTAATAAAATATTGAGATGTTCTTAATCGATTTACCTTGAGGTGAATTTGGCCGAGAGGTTTTCCGGGACTATGATCATCCCCGCGTTGGCTATGGCGGCAGATGAAACGGAGAGATTCGCCGCCGATCAATTTCGATCGCCGATCCATCTCGACGGAGAGAGAGATTTTATCGGGACCGTGGATTCTGTAATACGACAAAACTCCGTCCTGGAGAACAAACCACCGTCGTTTCCATCCTTTGCCGTAGTTTACCCATTTGTAGAGGATTCCGGCGACTCCGTTCCCCGAAGGCTGCCGATCCTCGTTCGTACGAGGACCAGCGGAGAGACTGTACCGGAGATCATGGTCGCGATTGCGAATGGTACTAGTCGAGTTTGGGATGTTTAATGAAGCGGAGCGATTCGGTAGGTTTGTTTTTGCGGTGGTGACTGGAGAAGACATTGTCAAGGAAGCAATTAGAGAGATCAGGTTTAAGGAATTTAACCGGCGATTGAAAGGAGAGGATGATATAAAAGCTATGAAGAGAGAAATAAGGAGAAGGCAAACCATTTTTAGATCTGACGTTTGTTTCCAAAAGTAGATACTAGAAACAAAGCATTGAATCACACCAACCACAAGATTGAAGAGAGAAAATCAGGAGAAGGCAAAGAATTACGAGAGTGGTGAGTTCAATTCACCAATTAGCTTTGTCTGTGATCAGATATTTGAATGCAGGATATAGTTGGCAATTTCACTTGAAGCTGCGCGCCATTTTTCCAGAAGAGTAAACATCGTGATGTTCCGTTATTGTCTAGTGACACAGCTTGCCGTTTGTTTTAGCCGGGCCCAGTAAAGGATTTAAATGCGCCGGAAACGAGATCGGGTCTTGGAATTAATTGATATGGGCCGGAATTTGGGACCATTAAGATTGTCTAATTTAGTTAAACGATGCCGTTTCCAAGGAAAGGCAAACATGAATCGTTTCACAAAATTAGAGTAACCGATATCAGCTGCTATACATTGCTATAACTAGGTTCCACCTGCCGTAAAACATTATAAATAAAAGGCACCCAAAATAATACATTCCAATACAAAAATCAAACTGAAGATTATAAGCAAACGTCTTCTTTCCAAAGCTAACAAATTAACACACCATTTACAGGATCCAGAAAACCGTGAAATCAGATCAGAGAACTGCTTACTTTTTGCCTCCTTAACCGATCATGGAGCTGAACACAGAGTTCTAACAAATCATTTCTTGGAAGAGGAGAAGGATCCGTAAGCATTTGTTCAAGCTGAGAGATCATGGAACTGGCTTTATCGTCATCACCACAAAAAGAATCAGCAATGTGACTTAGCAGTTGAACGCTTTTGACTTGAGGCTCCGGTGGGATGGGCGGTGCAAGGAAAGGGTGTTGGAGAAGCTCAGGGATTCTCCATCGTTGGTTACGGTCCCAAGCCAGACATTTCTTCATCAGGTCAACAAGCCACGGGTTAGAGAGCTGATTGTAAGTAATCTCATGGTTTGGATCGGTTATGACTTTGAACTTTGCCCAGAAGGTCTTGTAATCTGCGAACGGTGTTCTTCCGTACACCATTTGGTATAGAATGCAACCAAGTGACCAAATATCTGATGGCCTTCCACATTTTATAGTGTTTCCGTTTTCATCGCTTTCGTTGCACATGAATGCTTCCGGTGACATGTAACTCAACGTCCCCACCTGTCACAATACATATCCTTCCCATTGATAACTCAAAAACAATTTTTTTTGACAAAAACAGAAACATGGGAGTTTGTCTACCTGTGAATCTCGTTGAATATTCGTAGTGTCGCTATTGATGGCCTTAGCAATACCAAAATCAATAAGCTTTAAAAAGCCTCTGACAAGAAGGAAATTTGCTGGCTTCAAATCAGAGTGCACAATGCGTTCCTCATGTATGGTGTTCACAGCCTGAAGTATTTGCTGCAATTGTTTTTAATTCATATCAAAATCAGTGCTTCTTGTAGCATTATTATAAACAAGACGGGAAAAAGAATAAGTTGATGAGTGGTGTAAGAACCTGCCAGTAGAACCGAAGCCAATTTTCATCGATCGTCCGGTCTGATCCTTCAATTTCCTTCCATTTCTGGGACAACATGTGAGCCAGATCTATTTCTCCATACTCGAGCACCATATATATAAATCCATCGTCCTTGACTCTTCCATCTTTGTTACTCATTGTGCCATTCAAAACCTCCTGGAGTAAACTCTTATCCGTGACCTGATACGCAAAAGAGAATTTGTGTTATGCTTGTGATGGAAATATTCAACCATAAAAATTGTAAATCAAAACACGAACTAAAAGAAAGTACCTCATAGTCTACTAGCTGAATGATGTTGGTTTTCCCTTTCAGCTTCTTTAGATATCCGATTTCTTGGCAAAATCCATATGCAGTAGCATAGTCACGACCCTTGAGCTTGATTTTTTTGAGCGCATATATGGTACAATCTGAAGATATAACCTTGTGGACCTCACTGCTTCCTCCACTTCCTATCTTTCCAAGCCTCTGATAGAGCTTCCCATTGACCTTAAAGAACAAGTCTGGATCATAATTTCTTTTACGAGGCGCTGATGTTCCTTTGCTACTTGCAACTTTTTCCTGCTTATCTGGTTTTGGCGGCTGTGAGCTAACACTGGTATTCAACTCATCAGGTAAACGAGTAGTAGCTTGTCCGTCAGTGGAAGATACCACTGGAGCTTCAACATCTGTAGTGCATTGTTGTTGATGCTTTGACTTATCTGTCTCTTTCACTCTTGCTTCTGGATCAATAGCTGAGGCTGGCCTCTCAGATAAAGGTGCATCCTTGTTGGCATGCAGAATGTTGCTGTCATTGGAAGAACGATGAAACGAAGGCAAGCTCCCTTGGCTTTGAACAGCATGGGGGTTTGCATTCGGATCACACTCTACATAAGAACGAGAGACTTGGGTAGTAGCGTTTAACATAGGAGCTGAAGACGAATGGATAAGCGTAGTTGTGGCACATGATGCAGAACATTGAGATGCAGGTTGGTTCAAGAAGTTGCGAAATTCTCCCATCTTTGCCAATGAAGATGAAACCCTGTATTCAGATTTCAAACTGATCTCAGAATCAACAGTCTGAGGATTCTGATGTTTTGATCCAGTACGAGCACCAAGATTCGATGCTTCAGCCTGATTTGTTGCATCCCATTCCATATCTGCCAGGACAAGTGAGATTAATATAAGATTCTTATCTCAACGAACCAACAGTAATCCATACAAAATGGCGAGTGGCATTACCATGAGTTGTGAGGGTGCTGCCAATGAGAGGTTGGACCTTTCTGTGAACATCAAGATTGCTTTCTAAACTAGCAAAAGAAGCATGTTTTGGCAAATCAATCTGCCTCTCTGATGGGTTGAAACTCTCTCCAAACATAATATTAGTAGTGGCAGAGACTGAAGGTGGCGTAATGGACGCATTCTCCATAGATTCTCCAGCAACGGAAGAAGTGGCTAAGCTTCTTGAATCCTGTGTCAAGGTATTGGCAGCGAGGCTCTGACTCAGCGAAACAACATCCTGAGACCTATGCCCTTCAACTGTAGAGTCTGATACCAAACGTGAACTTCTTATAGCTTGTCGCTGTGGAGCAACATTTCGCCGAGGCCCTATAGTGGTCGTCTGCATTTCTGAAAACGAGGTAAGCTATAAGAGATTCGTTGCAACTCAGACAGTTAAAGAGCTAAAATTAAGAGCAAATGGGCGTCTTCACAAATGTGAGTTCGTCTCCATAATCAGAAGGTTTAATTAGCACAACACCCACATCAAAATCCACAAACTTAGAAACCTAGCGACTTGAATTAGACAACCTAGCGACAGCGGAACTAAACTTTTCCCAGAAATCCCTAAATTCTACGGTATCAAACCCAATTAAACCCTAAATTAGTCAAATTAAAGTTCCGAACATAGTGATTTCTCGTCACGGCCCAGAGAGATAGAGGGAGAGAGAGAGAGAGAGAGAGTGAGAGAGAGTACTGATTGGACGGTGGCGCTTGAAAGCGGCTTGCAGATTCCGTAGAAGTTCAGGGGAGGAGGAAGAAGACGACGATTCGTGGTTGAAGATGGGGCGGACCAGGCTCTTCGGAGGTTTATCCGGTGGGACCGGAAGGTTAGCCTCCCTGTCCATGGCTGGATCTCAACTGCATCTCCGATTTGCTACAACCGTTGATTTCTGAACGGGATAACCACAGAGCAGCAGCAGAAATTCAATCTTCAATTTCCGGCCGTTAGCAATTCTACGGCTCCAATTTTACGCCATGGACGCCGGAAAATGAAACCACTCACTCTCTCTCTAGACTATTAGAGTATTAGACACAGAAAATGGTTTTGAAATCCTTGGAGGAAAGGAGAGAGAGACCCAGAGGATGTGCTTGAGATTCGAACTCCTTATTGCCGCTTCTCCTTTCTCCTTAAAATTCATACTGCCAGTTGGTTATAAATTAGGCCCATTGGGCCTTCACTTGTCAGATACACGTGTCTTTGATAAGTCCTTTCTTGGGTCCAATAGCACCCTCCACTATATCCAACTTCAAATTTCTCGAGTAGTGCTTGTTTTTCACTCTCTGTTGTTGTTTGCTGTTTAAATTAAAGAAACAAGAAGAGTTATGGAGGATCGGTACAACGTTTGTTCTCAAACTACAAATGCTTTTTGTTTCGTTTTCCTTTGTGAAGTCACCTTTAGAAGCAAATTCAAAATATCAAAAGGTGACAAGAAGAAACTTTAACACTTAAACCATTATTTGTTGCTTGCTAGTTTTTCTTTTTCTTTTAAGTAAGATTCGACCTTGAAAACCTCGTATGATTTAACTTCCAACTCTGGACTCGAAACAAGACATAACATAGAGACCCGTCTCTCTGAAGCTCCTCTGCCGTTAAGTATACCTCATGTGACGAAAGACTTTGCTTGCAAGTCTACAAAGATTGTGACTTTGGAGCTTCCCACAGCTTCACTTTCTTGTCAACGCCTGATGTCGCTAAAACCATTGCCTTGCTCTCCCCTGAAACCAAAACCACAAACTCCAACATTTCAGAAGAGAGTATCACAAAAACAACAACTGCAACTTTGTTCAAAACACAAGACACATACCAACTGCGATAGCCTTAGGCGCCCACGAAATGCATGTGATATCCCCTACACCATATATATAAGTGTTAGATTTTTATTTAGTAGAGCCGATGAGTTTTTTTATTTAGCTGCAAAGAGAAATAAAAGTCACCTTCGTGGGCTTTCTCAGCTGTGTCCAAGACTTTCCCAGTTTCAGCACATAACCACTGCAATGTCGAACCATGGCTTGTTGCCAGTATTTTCCCCTCAGGGCATAAACTGAGACGATCATAGTGCAACGGATTCCCAGCTGGGTCACAAAGTGGAATCGGGAACACCTTCAAGGTCTTTGGATCCTCATCCATATGATACCGGACTTCAACCAAATTACACAATGATTTCAGTTTGATACATAAAAATCATTCAAACTATCATAAATGCCAAAGCAAGGTTCTTGCATATGTTACCATTGATGTTCCAGAGTCTTAATGAACCATCTTTTGAAGCGGTGATGATTTTGTCTGAGTTTGGTGAAAAGCATAACCAAGTCACTGCACTCTGGATTCCACAGCATAGCAATACGTTTAAACATGATACAGTCGCAAGAGAAAAGTGAAAGAGAAAGTCTACGTAGAGGAGATGGATTGAAGAAGCACGCAATAGTACCTTGTGGCCTTTAAGTTGCATCACTCTTGAAACCTCCTTGACAGAACCATCTTTCTGATACACAATTTCCCACACCTACAAGGTACTTATAACAAGTCATGAGATATGGTTCGCATATACAATATATAATCGTATGAATTAAAACCCACCTTAACATCTGCAGTAAATGCTGCAGCTGCCAAAAACCGTCCATTTGGTGATACAGCTGCCATGTGGTTCTTCAACTGGTTTGTATCAACATGTCCCAAATTCCTCCCGGTTTTCCCATGCCAAAGTATGATATCAGTCCCTGGGGAAGAACAAGGTTTAGGGAATAGACAGACAAAATTTCACCAAAGTACCACACTTGCTCAGCAATACAAGAAAATTCTAGAGAGTTATACATTTGAGTGGTCATAACAGTCCAAGGCCACATTTAGAAAAATCAATGGTATGTTGGCCATGGAAAATATATCCACAGACTGCTCAAGCTAGAACAACCAATAGTAAGTTGTTCATGAAAAATCCATACCTTCGGAACAAGAAGCAATGACTGCACTTCCATCAGCAGTACCGTAAGTTGCAGTTGCTCCAGAAATGGTAAGGACTGCTTTCTTGTCATGGATATTATGGCGCTCCCATTTGATCGCAGGAAGTGGAAGCTTCGCCTGCTGTTCCTTTTGCTTTTCTTCACCGTACATGTACAAAGATGAACCAGTCATTGTACTACAAGCCACAACGATAGACGAGGCATCATCAGCAAATGCCACAGCGGTTGGATGCCCTCCCGCAGAAAGATTTATCCTTAAAAATCTGGAGATACAAAAAGAAAAAAGAGTTTAGATAATGAGAATGGTCTTGAAAAAAAAGTAAACTTCAACCAGCTAAAACTGTTGGTATACTTGAAGCTTTTGCTTGAGGCATCATCTAGCTTGAAGACCCTGATCACTCCATCACTGCAAGCTATTCACAGAAAGAGGAACAAATACAATCAGAGTGTAAAATGGCGAGAATAGGCTAACTAAATCAACAAAGTGGAATGTGGTGTAAAATGTTCGCATTCAGATTTGAAAGGCACCAACCTGTAACCAAGCTTTTTCCATCAGATGAGAAACAGAGGGAAGTAACAGAGTCACCGTGGCCTTTCAACGTGTTTAAGTCTAGAGGGTGATGCCGCTTGATCTGATTCTGCAAATTAAGAAGGAAATTGAAATCGAGAAACGCTGAACAAAGTCAACAACACTCAAACACATCCAAATCCCTAAAATTCGAGTTCGCAAATCTCTACCTTATCGGCCGCGTGAGATTTGGGATGATTCTTCTTGGCGAACGTTTGATTCGATTTGGGATTCCGTGTCGGATTCTGAGGCTCCGCTTTGGCCATGGACTGAACCTCCGATGTCCGCTTCCGGAAGTAGGTCTGGAAGAAGAGCACGGCGATCACCGCACCGAGAATGATTGATGCGATGGCCACCGGAAGTACCGAATCCATCTCTCGAGTTTCACAGCAAAAAAAATTCAAATCGGTGAAGACGATCGAGTGAGAGTTTGATCAGCGATGAGAAATGGAACAACAAGCCGTTAATGGCGGTGTTCGTAGAGCTGCCGAAAAAGATCCACAGATTAGTAAGAACCGGGTCGGGTATTAACAGCGTAAACGCAATGTTTTGACTAAACCAGAAAAGCTTTTGGTTTGATCTGATTAAACCGGGGTTCAAATGGATTTGATGTAATTTTAAATGTTGCCATTGTTTGTAATTTTATGATCGCAACGCAGATGTATAACCAAATCCAATTCCCGTAATCAAGTTTAAGGATGTGAAGATCATATGTTTATTCAAATTTCAAAGCGAAAAAGTTGTACATTAGCCATTTTTCATGTTTCTTGTTTATCTATGGTTCTCACTCATTGCACACAACATTCATGGATCCGATCATAAACGCAGCTCCAACTCTATCACGAGGGATGAGTCTTAGCTCAGAACCATGCTTCAGAAACACGTTTCCTGGCATCAAACATGAACACCACACTCATTAACATTCAAGAAACAATACTCCTATGCAACACAACCAAGTCAAATGTTAGGGATTTTGAAATACCTGCGCTTTGTTGGGGATTGATCCCGATCCCATCTGCACATACAAATACAAATCAAACCACATCAGAAATCTCAAACCGAAATTATTCAATGGTTGATGAAACACAGAGAAAGCTTAGGGAAAGAGTTACATGCATCACATATATGATTCATGTTTAAGAGAAATATCTAAGATTATAAGCTGATTCATGGCTTGATCTAAAGAACAGAATGTGAAAAAAATAGCTGATGATTATGTAGGAGAAGAGTTTTCGAATTCACCTTCATCGTACGAAAATCAAGAGGAAGGAATAAAAAGAAAAGGCAAAAAGTCGCCAATTTATCGATTCAAATTAGGAATCGCAAAGCTCGGTTGCGATTGATTTCGATTGAGCTACATTTCATATGAATGTCATCGAGGTTTGGTTTTGATTACCATTAGTGATGATGGCGCTGGTTTGGGGAGGAACCTTGAACTCCTCTGCTGCGAATTTCAAAACCGCCGTGAACGGAGCTCCTTCTGGCACGCTAAACCTGGAAAATTCAACGATCGGAAAACAGAGATCGATCACAAACGCGTTACAGACAGAAAAACAATAAAACGGAAATCCAGAAAAGTCTCGATTCGCATACACTTTGAACGGAAGCTTCGGGTCCGAAGTCAGAGTGACTTTGAAGGAGACTTTCCCACCAGTGGCCATTTTTCCGGCGACGGAGGAGAGATCTGGCTAGCGCGGTGAAAATGGCGTTTTCGATTTCTCTTTTGTTCTTGGCGTTTCAACGACGCATGTGTTGTGAACCAAAGATAATACGAAACATTTGGATTTCACTTTGGGCCCATTTAAGCCCATTTGTAGAATTATGATAAGTTCCGGTTTAATTTACATATTTGCCTCAGCATTTATCATTGTTTTGGAATGTGACCTGAGATATTAGAATTTGTCCTTGGAGCCCAGAGAAAGGACATGAAATTTGGAATTTTGATCTTCATCTTTCTTACACACGAAAAGTAGTGAAAATAAGTAAACAAACGAGAAATTCTCCACAAGAGAAGAAAAAACTTGTCTAAAACTTAGGAGTCACGAAGTTTTAGCTAACACAACAAGAGAAAACATCAACACAAGCCACAATCTCCCAATCATCGTCTTAAATCCACCAGAACCATCGCTGCATATTAGCTTGTTATCATGGTACGTGCACACCGGTCTCCTCCTATACACATAAACAAACACACTCCAATAAAAGAAAATGTACAAAGAAACGAGTCGTAGTCTAAAATCCAATAGTTCTTTTTGTTTTCTTCCAAAATTAAACATCATATCTAGCTTTTAAATGTTCAAAATGTTACCTTCCTATATTTGAAAAATAAACCACAATTTTTTTTTATCAAATACGGTATAAAAAGTATTTAGATTAGCATTTGATTTGATTTCGTTTTATGTTTGTTTTCCAAAACTACCACCAAAATTTTGAAACCCTAAAAATAACATAAACCTAAGTTTAAAAAGAGTCTATAAAGTAAAATTTGTGGTATTTATGGTAAGACAAACCTGGAGGAACAGAAAGAGATGACGTAGTCGGAGGCAGAACAAGTCATAATACTTGTCGGGTCATCATAAGCATAACTATAAGCAGTAGGACAAGCTTCTTTAAAGATCTTTGAGTAATAAGTTGGTTGACACTTAACAGGATTCCCATAAACTCCTCTGCAACAATACTCATCTCTATCAAACACATCACAAGCACTCCTACACGAGATCACTTTGCCTTTAGATTTCACGGAGAGCTCAGACGGACACGTTGGCCTCAAATCGGCGACGCAGCCGGCGACGCTACAGTTTCCTTTTCCGTTCATCGGAGTAACCGACATCGGGAGATTGAACCCGTCGACGAGGCTCACGTCGTAGAAATCCAGTGACGCTAGTGTGAACTCGGCGAGTGATGCCGGTGGTTTTCCGGAGGCTGAGCATTTTAGTGTTGAGCCGCATGAACCGGTTTCGCAGGTTCCGGTTCCGGTTTTGTCAAAATTGCAGCCGGTTCGTCCCCATATTCTCCCTGACCAGCCTACTGGTGCGTTGAATACGATGGATTGGCCCGGTTTGAGCTCGAATCCTCCACCGTTGAAGCTGTCACCGGGAGTTATCGCCGGCCAAATGACTTGGTTACATGAGTTAATGATTGTGAATACTCTTGCTGATTCGGACCATTTTGTTCCTGCCGATTAAAATTTGTTACACGAGTTCTAATCATTATGCGTGCAAACGAGGCTAGTAAGTAGTAAGTATGTTACTATGTAATAGTGATAAAACATTTAACATTTACATGAAAATCATATAATTTGTCAAATAAAGTTCCAAATTCAGAAGATTATTTGACAGAACAAAAAAAACATGGGTTTATTTGAACTCATTTAACAGAATTGGTGAATTGTTTGTGTTGCCTTTTAAACAAATTCGTCATTACTAACCTTTTGTAATTTATTGATGTTTTTATACAAACCTTTTTGGGTAATATTTTCCCGTTAAAAAAACAACAATGGTTGGAGTCTGTATATCTCGAAATACATGATGAATACAGGTATATATGAATATTTTATATACATATAGAGAGACATTCACAATTGAAAGTATGCTATAGTGATTGATTTATTACCTGATAATAGTGTGAGAAAGAGTAACAAGATCCTTGTTGACAAACCAATATAATTTGGCATCGTTACTGGAAAATGATTTAACGAATTTTTAGGGGTGGTTTACGGAGGATTATTGAAATGAGATTGCTTTTATTAAGGGAGGAAGAGAGAATAACGTGCATGGAGAGTCATCTATATGTTAATTTATAATAATAAGGACTGTATATAACCCGAAACAGATATTACTTTCTGTGTGTTTCAAATAAGATTCCTTGTTTCGGAATTTGGCAAAAGTTAGTGTTATTCCTTTCCTGATGCAGTGATGCTTCATGCAACGGCAACATATCCTACTCGAGCCAATAGCCATCCTACTTTGGTCTAGTCGGGTTCTCATAAAAATTTAAGTTTCATGGACTTTCAAATCAATCCAAATTAAATTAGCAACGTGTGGAGTTTTTTAATGTCATTTATATATATTAATGTTGGTTTCATCACACATTTAATGTATGATTCGTGTCGTATGAGGTTTTAGGTTTCTACTTTCTACTACGTGACACTTCTAAGACATCTCTCCTTCCTGCATATCAGCATATACAATAATACAAATGATTATTCATGTGATGATTATTAAATTTTGTGTGTGTAGAAGTGTAAAAATGGAAACACCAATGCAAACGTTAAAAAAAGAAGATGCAAACGTAAAGAAACAAAACGATCCCCTTAGTCTAGGGCTTTTGCCTTTCATTTTGTGTGAGTATTGCCAAGAAACCCGTGAAGCTCTCCCTATAACTGTAGATTGATTGAGTGCATTCACTACGGTGCTGCATGTGATAACATAAAAGCCGATTAGTTAATTTCTTGTGAAATTTGACTTATATCCACATAGCATCTCACTTTTTATTTTTTATAAAGAATAAAGCATAATAAAACCTATCATCGTCAAGACAAGAATTTCGCCGAGTTGTTTCTGGTGACCAGAACTTGACCCATATCTATGCCCTCCAACTTTCATCTGCACAAGGTCTTAATAATGGTTCATTTGGCCCAATGAGTTCGAAGCCTCATTCTTCGACCCAGTCTCTCGCATTCTGCTATTTGAATGAAATGAATGTTTCATCTCTTTTCGACACAAAGTGTTTGTGTTTTGTTTTCTTCCTATAACTCTATAAACAGCATTTTTTTAATTAAGAAATTCCCCTGAAAATATCACCATTTGTTGTCGTTATGGAGACAATTTGTATACACTATCCAATAGGAATTGAATTCATGCATATCAAGATATAAAATTTCTAACTACAAATGACTTCTTATTTTTTTTCAATATTTTCAATATATCATTATCAATGATATCTGAAATACTTGCTCTATTTGGGGACGATAATATTTTCTCATTTACAAGTTTGGTGGATTAGAGATACCACACTAGCCTACAAGTAAAGCAACAATATAAATATGAAATGTATCACTATCTCAAAACCAAAAGAAAAGAGTTATATAAATAAATCCAACTTGGTGATCAGTTTTCTTTCAGCTGCCATCCATCCATTTTGGCGGGGTTAAAAAGCTATAAAGATCTAAAATGATGATTCCTTCTAATTAATAATTCAATCCATTGTAAAAGCTAGGGGATAAAAAGGAGAAATTGAAAAAAGAAAGGGGAAGTAGTGAGTTTAAATAAGGCTAAGACAGCTAGACACGTGTGGTAATTATGTTTAGCACTAATCTCACACCTGATTAGCAATCATTCTTTCCATTGGATCCATTACCAATCCTCGATTAACCTCACAAGTCACTGTTTCTTATACTTTTAACTATTCTTCTCTCTACCTCAAAATCGAGCGCTTTGGATATGTGTGGTGCAATGCTAGACAACGGCATAGTTTTATGTATTCTCAAGTTCCAATTAACAGCTGTACAATATAATCGGACAAAACATAAAAACTTAAAGATATAATTTGATTATTATCATACATATAGATCACTATTATCCTTTACACCAAAAGGACGAAAAAGGACCAATGTGTTTTATTCATTGTTCTAGTTGTCACAATCATCATGATCGATATTATTGTTAATGATAATAGTAGTTTTAGCCTTTTCTTTTCTAAAAATTTCATCATTGTCGTCGCTTCTATGATCAATCTCATTCTCTCTTTATTTTATGATTAGTGAGTGTACCCTCTTTCTTGCATATAATCGGGGTCAAAATATGATTAACAATCTAAAAGTGGGCCTACCCGCTCGTGTAATGCTACATATAATATGGCCCATAAGCCCAACGATCAAATCAAGCCCATTAAAAAACACTCCACGCTCGCTGAAAATCGTAACAGTCACAAGTAGGTGACATAACTCCGTCACAACCAAATCATACCGAACGCTTCGTCCCCGACACTCGTTACTCAATAATTGCAGTCAGACAGGGAAAAAATAAAACCCCATAAAATAAATAAATAAATATTTTTTTCTCCAATTGTTTATTTTCTTTTTTAAAAAGAAAAGCAAAGTTCTATTTAAAGAGTGGAAGAAAGAAACTGAGAGAAGAAGAAGAAGAAGAAGTGAAAAGATGGCGTCAGAGAAAATAGAGACAGTAGTCGCAGGGAATTACTTAGAAATGGAGAGAGAAGAAGAAATGAGAAATAATGATAACAAATCTTCTGTTAAAACAAAACTCTCGAATTTCTTCTGGCATGGAGGTTCTGTCTACGATGCTTGGTTTAGCTGTGCTTCAAATCAGGTAAATAGATATAAATCTTATATTTATGTATGTATGTATATGTATCGTCGTCTCTAGCTAATTGTAATGACATATAAAAATGACAGGTGGCACAAGTACTGTTGACTTTACCATACTCATTCTCACAACTTGGGATGATGTCGGGGATTTTGTTTCAACTCTTCTATGGTTTAATGGGAAGCTGGACTGCTTATCTCATAAGTGTTCTCTACGTTGAATATCGAACTCGTAAAGAACGAGAAAAAATCGATTTCCGTAACCACGTTATTCAGGTTTATATTTCACACATCTAATTAACTTGTTTAATTAGTTATAATTAATGTTTGGTTGGTTATGTTGTTTGATTTTGTGTTTATCTTCTTTAAAGTGGTTTGAGGTGTTGGATGGATTACTTGGAAAACATTGGAGGAACATTGGATTGATCTTTAATTGCACTTTTCTTCTCTTTGGATCCGTTATTCAACTCATCGCTTGTGCCAGGTTAGTTTAATAGTATATAATCACTTTACATTTCTTTCTCTTTAATCTCTATTATCTTTGTTGAATTGGGAAATATATATTTATATGTAGTAATGAATTTGCAGCAATATATATTATATTAATGACAAATTGGACAAGAGGACATGGACATACATATTTGGAGCTTGTTGTGCAACAACTGTCTTTATTCCTTCGTTCCATAATTATAGAATTTGGTCATTCCTCGGACTCGCTATGACTACTTACACTTCTTGGTATCTCACCATTGCTTCTATTCTTCACGGCCAGGTATTTTATTTTTTAATTAATCTGTATAATATATAGTCCTGGTTATTGTTATTTAACCTTTTTATTTAATTAAAAAAAGGCTGAGGATGTTAAACACTCGGGTCCAACCACAATGGTGCTTTACTTCACCGGAGCCACCAACATTCTCTACACCTTCGGTGGTCACGCCGTCACCGTGTAAGCATTTTATTCTCTAAAGATTGAAAAAAATGCTCAATGTTAATTTATTAATTAACTATGTATTGAAAATTATGTAAAATAGAGAGATAATGCACGCGATGTGGAAACCGCAAAAGTTCAAGGCGATATATCTATTAGCGACAATATACGTATTAACGCTAACGCTACCATCCGCGTCTGCGGTTTATTGGGCGTTTGGCGATCAGCTGCTAACACATTCCAACGCTCTCTCCCTTCTTCCCAAGACCGGTTTTAGAGACACTGCTGTGATACTTATGCTTATACATCAATTTATAACGTTTGGTTTCGCGTCCACACCGTTATATTTTGTGTGGGAGAAACTGATTGGTGTGCATGAGACTAAGAGCATGTTCAAAAGAGCCATGGCTAGGTTACCTGTTGTCGTACCCATATGGTTCTTAGCCATTATCTTTCCCTTTTTCGGACCGATCAACTCTGCGGTTGGATCTCTTCTTGTCAGCTTCACTGTCTACATCATTCCTGCGTTAGCTCACATGCTTACTTTTGCTCCTGCCCCTTCAAGAGAGGTTAGATCTTTCTCAGTCTTCTAAAACATATTATTTTGATTTTTCTAATTGTTTCATATATATCGTTATATTTTTTCCTAATAACAATTTTTTGCTATTCAATAAATTATATCAAATATAGGTAAAATAAGAATTACTGTGTAAATACTAAATCTATATTAGATGTCTAATATTTTTCTGTAAATGTCAAAAACGGTTTCTATGTATTGATTTATCTATGTGTGGACAGAACGCGGTGGAGAGGCCGCCGAGAGTGGTGGGAGGATGGATGGGGACTTACTGCATAAACATTTTCGTGGTGGTTTGGGTATTTGTCGTTGGGTTCGGGTTCGGAGGATGGGCTAGTATGGTCAACTTTGTTCGCCAGATCAACACTTTTGGTCTATTCACCAAATGTTACCAGTGCCCTCCTCACAAGACTTGATTTATACGAATTTGTCATTCAAGACTTTATGGAAAGAGGTTTTCATTCGAGGTTTTTTTTTTGTTTCTTTCTTTCGAGATCGAATACATATAAGTTATTATATCACTGTTATTAGAATTTACTGAAAATCACATCTCTTTGTAATTGTTTGGCGACAATAATCTTTTACTTCGGGTTTGTTTAATTTATTTGTTAAATGGGGTTTTTTTTTCCTTAGTTAAGGTGTGATGGCTATCTTAGGCCAACCCTATTGTTACTTAGTGTTCTACTATAGATAATGTAATTTTCTGTGTGTTTGTGTGTAATCTCTTATCTTTTTTTCACCACTTGCAAAAAAGAATTAATTCAGACATTTCGCTTTTCTTTCTTGGGTATTTCTTCGCGTAAGAAGACCAACTTCATTCGTAGATTGATGAAATTTTACTATAAGTCCTATGGAATGATGGAAATGCATGATTTAATATTATACAACCTTGTGCATATGTAAAAACAGAAAATTATGTGGCTAATATAAGGAGTTTATTAACGGCAAATGCAATAGATTATATTTGTAACAATCGAGTGTAAATCTTAACGTCAAATATTTTATTTCTGAATGCGAGTGATAGCGAAATGAATCCATCATGGGCAAATTAGCATCGCATCAAAAAAAATCAAAGGCGATTTTTCGAAAAAGGAGAATAAAGGAAGCAAAAAGGCTATGGCAGGCTGAGTCAGTGTGTGAGGACTTATGCTGCAGCCTTTTTACAAGCCATTGGTTGGCCATCACTATCCGGTTAAATTCTCAAATAACACCAATCGATTCAGTGGGTTGGTTTGACTCAACCGGTTTCAAAAACCGAACAAAAATTAAGGTAGTACATTGCGCTTGTTAGATATATCAACTAGTTTTTTTTTGTCTGAGGATGTGAACGTGATTAAGGTATCAGTCACACAACAAGAACAAAACAAACTATTGTATACCGATCAATTAATATTTTCAGCTCGCAATAATTAAGTAGGAACAAGCTCACTATCTGGTTTAGCCCAAACCTGACAGTCGTGTTGAATTTGCGAGATGTAGATGTTTGACTAACCCACTTTTATTATTAGGTACTATGTACTACCCAAAAAATAAACTCAAACCTTTAATATTTCGAGTGATATATCAAATAATAAATAAACAAACATTCGAATAAATTTATGAACAAGCAGAAAAGGATTGAGAGTGTTATAGGTTAGTTTCCCTACAAACACTATATATCAAAGCTTTTATGAATTCCAAATCTAATTGCTGCTTTTTGACTAGCTTTCTAACTTCCATACTGCAATCAGTCTCATGGGAAGTCGGGTCACCATTCTGCCATTTTCTTTACCTACTAAAGAAATATAGTACAAAATAATAACAATTAGAAAAAAAAGTATGGCCAATATGAAATGATACAAAGAATGTTATTAACATTATCCCTGAATAAGTGAATTATTTAACCGAACCTTGTGTTGCAGTGAGAGATATTACAAAAGAAGAAGTTAACTAGGAAAAGGACGAATTTTGACAGTGTTTGGGAAGAAAACAATATATATCTTGTTTGGAACTTTGGTGGATGATCTTTGAATTAAAAAACGTTATAAAGAAATAAACATGTAAATACTATTCACTTTATATTAAATCATTATAAAACAACAAATACGTAAACACTAGTCCATCATTGATTTCTTGACAAGTACTTTGTTCTAGTCGTTAGCAAAAAAAAAGGTACTGTCCTAAATATTTTCTCACAAATATATATCTAAGGTCCTATTAATGATTTTTTTTCCTGATATCAACACACGTACAAGTATACAACAAAGTACGTAGTTTATGGTTTGTTTTGGCACATGAAATTCACAATGATCAAGAATTCAAATTGGTTAAGATTTTAAAGTAGAAAACGTATATTTATTCAAAAGAAAAAAAAAAATCCGACAAGAACAAACTTGAAATCGTCAATAGACAACTGACGTCTAAATTTTAATTTTACAATAAACTCAAAGAAAAGGAGTTTTCGATCAATATCTAGAAAGGCTATGAGAATACGACAAGACACAAAAAATCAAGATGAACACGTTCTCACGTTGTGCTCAACCTTCGTGTTGGATTGCGAAAGAGAGAATGCAAATCTACAAATGAACTGAATCTTCTACCGGTGAGTCAGTGACCAAAGAAAGTGAGAAAGAGAATGACAAAAAAGCGTGTGGATAAGACTCGCACGTTCTTGGTGAAAAAAGCAAAAAAATCATCTTCGATATCTTCACCTTTTAAAGTTTCCATCGCCTTGAACTTCAGAGAAAAAGTTACATTTTCACATGGCAAATTTCAGATGGCTTTCGTTTTTACCTTTTTAGAGGCATCATCAGTTTCCATTACCAAATCTAAAGCCATTGGTTATTCGTATTTTCCAAACCGAAATATAAATTTTAATAATCGTAACTCTAAGCTTTAACTAATTGTACGGATATCAGCTAATTTTGTACATGCTTTGGTAAAACCATAAGAAAACTATTTTTGTACATGCTTTCGAGATACATTTAAACTTCGATACACGATATATCTCAGTTACAGAAAAACATATATTATAACTTCACATCAAAGTAGGTTTTAGCAAAAAACCAAAAAAGAACACAACAACAAAAGATGGGGTATATACGTGACATATTTGTAAGATCATGGGTTGGAGGGTTATATGCATGACGATTTGTAAGCTTATGCTTTGATATTATGTATGTATATATATGTCTCTTTTCTTTTGTAAGTACTGTTTGATACACATTTGTCTCGAAATGACATGAAGATGAGAAGATCGATGTAGTTGCTACTTCTATCATGATTATATGTCGTTCACATTTTTATTATCAAGTATCAACTTAATTTTCTAATAGTTTATATGGTCTAATGACCAATGATTATAGAACTGGTTTGATTAAATCTAGTAAATTAATTTCTCACGAATTGGTATAATATACTTTCACTTTTGTTTTCGAGATAGTTTATGATGTTGGAGTAAATGAGAGCGAGTGCTCGAAGAAGCTTTAGCTGCTTAAAAAGATGATGAATGCTTAGTACAGTTGGTACATGTTTGAAATTAACCAATTTTTGCAAAACTCCAACATTCGGCAGCTACGAATAGGCTTAAAAATGAACTAATTTGAAAGATAATGGGCCCATATTACCTCGTGAAAGGCCCAATGTTTCAAAATGGGACAGTATATACATGATTGAAAATATTAGCCAAATATCTGAACCGGAATTATAGTTAACCAGTCCCACCGGTTCTTCATGAAATATAAAAGCGTTTACTCAGGACCAAATATAGCGTTTCTCAGTCGCTAATTTACTATTACTCCAGTGGGTCGGCCCCAGCTAAATAAATGTGTCCCCACTGCTAATGGGGTCTAAAGTATAACTTCCAGATACTTAGGGGTAAATAGGCATACATTAAAACAATTCAAGGAGGTAAACGAAAATAATCCCTCAAATTAGTAAATTACCTACTTTAATTAAACAAAAAAAAGAGCGTAGCTCCAAAGCCGTCCGATGAAGTTCTAAACACACGTGTTGTACGATGAGACCAACCGACTCAAGCTCTTGCATTGAAAAAAAGAGGAGAAGACTATGAAAGAAAAAAAGAAAATATTAAAAACGAAAGAAAAGAAAAGGAAAGGCAACAGTCGGCGCAATCCGCCGACCAATCATCACGGTCGTTTTCTCTCTCGGCCAACCAATTATCATTCACTTCTTCCTCCTCCTCTCTCTCTCTCTCTTAAGATCTCCTTTTCTTCTTCTTCTGCTTCTTCTCCTCATCGTCGCGATTTCTACAGTCCTTTTTGTTTTCTTTGATTTGTTTTCATTTTTAGAGGAGAGGGTTTTTATTTATCTACAATTGAGTTTCTTCCGTTTGTTTTTTATCTGATCGGAAGATAACTGGATTTTTTTAGATCCTAGATTTTCTCCTAGAAATCGTCGGAATTCGTTAGAGCTTTTACTTATAATCAACCAATGAAGAGTGCTTCGGCGGAACAATCAGCTAATTCAGCTGAAAGAATCGAAAACGGCGACAAGGATAAGAAGAAGAAACGCAATAGACCTCACCGCCGATCCAGGAACAGCTCTGGTAAATTATTTATTTTCCCTTTGTTTTGCGATTTGATTTCTTAATGCAAGATTGAGCTTTTTTTCTTTTCTAGATTAGTTTGATTACTTTGGTTGATAGTTAGGATTTGAATTAGGAGCTCGGAAACTGATTAGTTTATTGGACTGTGTCACCGGAACAGTAGGTTGTGTTGAAGACACTCGTGTAGAGGCATTGGATTGTAGAGCCAGTGGGAGTAGTAAAGCAAAAGATTGTAGTAGTTCATCGAAGATGGATTGTTCCATTGAATCAATGAGGGCGTCGAATGTTGCTTTCCACTCTGTGCCGCCTCCCCGGAGCTACGGAAGTCCGGTGAGGTTCCACTCTCCTGAAGTTAGTAAACAGTTGCTGTCAAAGTCGTGCCCTGATCCTAGGGATTGTGAGCAGTCTCCAAGAATGAACGGTGACTTGTTTCAGCAGATTGATGGTACTTCACAGCGGAAGATTTTCTCTTCGCATTGGTCTCTTGATGCTGTGAATGAAGCTTTAGAGGTTTTTCTTTAGATGTTCCTCTTTATTGGTTTTTTCCCTCTCATGTTTTCTTTGTAATGGTTGAAGTAATTAGCTTTCCTCTCTTCTATGCATGTTTTTGTAGAAAGGTGAAGCTTTCAAGGCGGTCTTTCGGGTGAATGCTCATAACCGCAATGAGGCTTATTGTAAGGTCGATGGAGTCCCTACAGATATTCTAATCAATGGAAATGTTGGCCAAAACAGAGCGGTAAGTTTGGTTTATGATCTTCTTCCTTTTGGCAATGTTGGAGAGTCAACTGGTTAGTTTTTCAAGCTCTTACTTGTGTTTCTGTATATAGGTGGAAGGAGATACTGTTGTTATTAAATTGGATCCGCTCTCACTGTGGCCAAAGATTAAAGGATTTGTTACGGAAAATGTTGCCAAGCCTGACGGAACAAACAGTTCCCCAGGGAAAGATGAGCCTGTGAGCCTTTTAGGAAGAGGCGAGATAAGTGCTGAATCTCCAGTCATGGGACAAGGAGCTAAGAACTGTGTTAGCCGGAGTTCCTCCACACCATTACTGGATTCGTGTTTGTGCTCTTCTAGTGAGCAGAAAGGAAATGGAAGTGCGGTTGAGAAGCTATGCGGCATCCTTAGTTCCTTCCCAAACAAACGACCCACTGGACAAGTAGTTGCAGTTGTTGAAAAAGCACCTGTGAGAGATTCTATTGTTGGCTTGCTGGATGTGAAGGGATGGATTCAGTATAAGGGATGTAATGGCAAAACGAGCAAGTCTCCTTTGTTTCTTTCTGATGAAGAATACATCCAGCTGATGCCTGCAGACCCTAGGTTTCCTAGACTGATTGTTCCCTTCCATGTCTTACCTGGAAGCATTAGAGCAAGACTTGAGAGTATGGATCCAACTCTCGAGGCAGAGCTGGTAGCTGCCCAGATTATGGATTGGGGCGAAGGGAGTCCATTTCCCTTAGCTCATATCACACATATGTTTGGCCGAGGAAGTGAAATGGAGCCCCAGCTGAGTGCGATACTGTATCAGAACTCGGTTTGCGATGCTGAGTTTTCTCCTGCCTCGCTTGCTAGCCTCCCACGTGCTCCTTGGGAGGTACCAGGAGAAGAGATTCAACGCAGAAAAGATCTGAGGGACCTGTGTGTATTCACCATCGACCCTTCCACGGCTTCAGACCTCGATGATGCTTTATCAGTGCAAAGTTTACCCGGCGGTTTTTTTAGAGTCGGTGTTCACATCGCTGATGTGTCATACTTTGTTTTACCTGACACTGCTCTTGACACAGAAGCTCAGTTTAGGTCTACTAGTGTTTACATGCTGCGGAGAAAAGTACCAATGTTGCCTCCATTACTGTCAGAGAATGTAGGTTCACTTAGTCCAGGAGCTGATAGGCTTGCTTTTTCCATCTTCTGGGATTTAAATAGAGAAGGGGATGTGACAGATCGCTGGATTGGTCGCACTGTTATACGGTCTTGCTGCAAGCTTTCTTATGACCATGCTCAAGACATTATAGATGGGAAGAATGATGTTGCAGCGAACGGCTGGCCTGCTCTGCACGGACCTTTCCAGTGGAGTGATGTGATTCGATCCGTCAGACAGCTTTACGAGATCTCCACCACTTTAAGGCAAAAGAGGTTTAGAAATGGTGCTTTGCAGCTGGAGAATTCGAAACCCGGTTTTCTCTTTGATAAACATGGAGTCCCGTATGATTTTTTGTTGTACTGTAGAAAGCCTTCGAATCTTCTCGTTGAGGAGTTTATGCTTTTGGCAAATATGACAGCGGCTGAGGTGATTTCTCGAGCTTACCCTGACAGTGCATTGCTCCGGAGGCATCCAGAGCCTAACATGCGTAAGCTCAAAGAGTTTGAAGGCTTTTGTTCAAAGCATGGTATGGAGCTGGACGTTTCTTCTTCTGGCCAGTTCCAGGAGTCGTTGGAGAAACTCACGGAGAACCTCAAGGATGACTCGGTTTTCGTAGACATTCTCAACAATTACGCTATAAAGCCAATGCAGTTCGCATCTTACTTCTGCACTGGGAATATGGATGTTGCTGAGTGGGGTCACTACGCACTAGCTGCTCCTCTCTACACTCATTTCACATCTCCGCTTCGTCGGTACCCGGACATAGTTGTTCACCGTGCGGTAGCGGCTGCTCTTGAAGCTGGGGAGCTGTTGTTGAAGCAAAAATCAGTTGGTCAAGTGAGAAGCTGCTTTACTGGCATTCGTTTTGATAAAAATGCTGCAGAATCTATGGAGGGCAAGGAAGCATTATCGTTCGCTGGTTTGAAACATGGTGTTCCCTCCACTGAAGTAGTTTCTGATATCGCTGCTCATTGCAATGAGAGGAAGTTTGCAGCTCGGAAAGTCAAAGATGCATGTGATAAGCTCTACACTTGGTGTGTGCTGAAAAAAAAAGAGGCAAGTGAAATTGGAAAAAACTCATTGCATCATATAACACTGCTTCTTATAAATGTTTATGGTTGTTAACAAATCTCTTTCTCTGCAGGTTTTTCCATGCAAAGCTAGAGTAATGAACCTGGGATCAAGATTTATGACTATTTACATTAGCAAGCTCGGCGTAAGTCTCTCTATCATCTATCAAATTTTCTGAAAAGTCTCCTTTTACTAATTAGTGTTGTTGTTGCTGTTACAGATTGAACGGAGAATCTACTATGACCAAATCGAAGGCTTGAGTGCAGAGTGGCTAGAGGCAACATCAAGCTTAATCATTGATAAACTCTATTCCAAAAGAGGAGGTGGAAGAGGCTATTTCAAGCCCTTGAAGGAGGTTGCTTATCTGGTGAGTCCTTGTGACCTATGTGTTGCTAAATGCAGTGCAATGTCTGTCGATGAGACCGTGCCGGAAGACGAGGTTGCTCCTGCGGTGTTTCCTTTGACGGTCCAGCTTTTCTCGACCATTCCGGTGGTTCTTCACGCTGTTGGTGGAGATGACGGTCCGCTTGATATAGGAGCCAGACTCTACATGACTTCATATTATAAATGATGACTTGGAGCAAATAAGAGAGCTCTAAAGATCATATATAGCAACTGTTGTATAATTTCAGATTACAGTTGCTTGGAAAGAAAGGAAACCATTTCGGGCAAGAACGGCTACGTAGTTGGATTATATAGAGACCAATGTGGAAGACTTGCCGTTGTTTTTGGTTCGGTTTGGATCCACATTGGTTCAAAGTTTGTGTTAAAATGTGTTTTTGTTTTCCTTAGTTTTTCATCGATTCGCTTGCCCAATATCTTTTAGTTTTGGGTTGGCCATACTTGTATTGTTGTTCCATTGAGAAAAAAACAAGTCTCTCTACTAATGACACACTACACAAGTAACACAACAACAATACGATCTTCAATTGCATATGGTCCACACGAAAGGCGTAATAACATATGCTTATACTTTATCAATTAAACCGATTTTTTTCTTTTTCTGTTTCTTATTAGAAGATTGATTTGATATGTTCCTGAACATATGTTTGGCGACGTCATCTTCAAGGTGGCTTGGGCCACGAGTTAGGAGTCGTCTAGTAAAAGCCCACTGACGTCAAAAAAGATGCGCTTTTTCACTTTTTTGTTTAAAAAAATTGCAACTTGCGGCGAGGAAAATTCCTAAAATTGGAGCGAATCAGATTAGCCCTAAAAAGGCTTTTACAAAATTTATGGGAATGTATCTGGACACACATGGTGTGATGCTTAGACAATTTAGCTTCAGATCTTCTCTTCTCCCATTTTCGTCTCATCTCCGACGAGCCTCCGCTAAATCAGCACAGTCGATTAACTTTCCAATCGGAGCCACCACCATGGCCACAAACTCGACTCAGAACGAGTCGACTCAGCCAACTCAGAAACCTGTCCAGGTGATCTTTCTCTCTCTCTCTCTCTTCATTCCGTGGGGTCTCTGATTCTTAGTGATCTCTTACTTGTCGGGTCAATCAAATGATGAAAAAGTCATGCTTCGATTCTCGTGTTTTAAGCTTTGAACTCGTACTGTTATTGGGCACTGCTTTTGTAACATTGGAAGCTGCCGTTCTGTCAATTTTTGTACGTTTTGTTCTTTTCCTCTATTCGTAATGATTTCAAATGTTTTGGATTTTGAGTCCGATTCGGATTCCACTTCCGTTCATGCTGTTTCGGTCCCACGAATGCCTATCATCAATCAATCAATCAATCCATCTTCAAGCTTCTTTTACCTCGTTGACTCCAATTAGCTTAGTTACATTGGTTTTGCTTAATTGCCATTAAAGTTTGCAACTTTTTGATTTGCTATTGAGATATTAGTTAAAGTCTGAACCTTTGCAATCGTATCTGTTCTTCTTCTATGTGTAAAGTTTGCAATTTTGGATTTGCTAATTGAGATATCAGTTAAAGTCTGAACCTTTACAATTCCGAACTTAAAATTCTTAGGTGGCGAAGAGATTAGAGAAGTTCAAGACGACGATCTTCACTCAAATGAGCACATTAGCGATCAAACACGGAGCAATAAACCTAGGCCAAGGCTTCCCTAACTTCGACGGTCCAGATTTCGTCAAAGAAGCAGCGATCCAAGCCATCAAGGACGGTAAAAACCAATACGCTCGTGGCCACGGAATCCCCGAGCTCAACTCCGCGATCGCTGCTCGGTTTCTCAAAGATTCAGGTCTCGTTGTTGATCCGGAGAGAGAAGTCACTGTTACATCCGGCTGCACAGAAGCAATAGCTGCATCTATGTTAGGTTTGATAAACCCTGGAGATGAAGTCATTCTCTTTGCACCTTTCTACGATTCATACGAAGCGACTCTCTCTATGGCTGGTGCTAAAGTAAAAGGAATCACTTTACGCCCACCTGACTTCTCAGTCCCTTTGGAAGAGCTTAAAGCTGCTGTGAGTAACAAAACCAGAGCCATTCTCTTGAACACTCCTCACAATCCAACAGGGAAGATGTTCACAAGAGAGGAGCTTGAAACGATTGCGTCTCTCTGTATTGAAAACGATGTGATTGTGTTCTCTGATGAAGTGTACGATAAGCTCTCGTTTGAGATGGATCATGTTTCGATAGCTTCTCTTCCAGGGATGTATGAGAGAACCGTGACGATGAATTCTCTTGGAAAGACTTTCTCTTTAACCGGATGGAAGATCGGTTGGGCGATTGCGCCGCCGCATCTGACTTGGGGGATTAGACAAGCACACTCTTACCTCACGTTCGCAACATCAACACCGATGCAATCAGCAGCCGTTGCGGCTCTGAGGGCACCCGAGTCTTACTTTAAGGAGCTGAAGAGTGATTACAGTGCGAAGAAGGAGATTTTGGTTAAGGGTTTGAGAGAGGTTGGGTTTGAAGTGTTCCCATCGAGCGGGACTTACTTTGTGGTTGTTGATCACACGCCGTTTGGATTGGAGAACGATGTTGCCTTCTGTGAGTATCTTATCAAAGAAGTTGGTGTTGTTGCGATCCCGACGAGTGTGTTTTATCTGAATCCGGAAGATGGGAAGAATTTGGTTAGGTTTACGTTTTGTAAAGACGAAGAGACGTTGCGTGGTGCTGTTGAGAGGATGAAGCTGAAGCTAAAGAGGAAAGTCTGAAAAATTTGAATCAAAAGGATCGTCTTTTGACCTTATTTTTATGTTGTTGTATTGCTCTTCTTCAGTTCCATTTGAGACTTGAGACTTTGATAAGTGAGGCTAAGTTAATAAAGTTCTGTTCACATTATTTAATGAGTAAAGTAGGCATAGTTTAATTATTCTGGGTTAATTAAAATAAATTAAGGTTGAATATTCTCTGAAAGACTGAAGAAATTTATGTGAATATTTATTATATTTTTTTGGGTCGGATTATCTTTTCTTATGCCGAAAGTGAAAAAAAGTAACTGAATGCATCAGGAGATTCAGAACTTAGACTTTTAGATCTCAGTGAAAGCGATGTTTAGCTTGATTAATCAAGTACTAAACAAACATTTCAAATCTAATGTCATTAGCGTAAGATTGTCGTTTTCTTCCATTTGAAAAAACAGTAAAGAAGTCTGATTCAACTTCTAATACTATGATTTAAGAGTTGGAATACTGTGTAACTATCTCAAACTGAGATAAGACAGACAACTGGATGTTTTCAGATATAAACATACTAAGTAAAATTTTAACATATCATTATTGTTATTGTAATCACATGTTAATTTATAAGAAGAAAATATCAGAGGCCTAATAATGCGGAGTGGAGCATGCGAGGATGTTTGGTAATATGTTTGTTTTCATTCACAATTTTATCCAAACCCATTTTTTCGTGTTTCTTCTCTTTGTTGGTATTTTTTTATTTCCATATCAAGTAGTTAGTTCATCTCCACCGTCCGATTTGGTAGATTACCTACAACTTTACAGTTTTCACCAACTATACCCCAATATGAATCGTTGATTTTACATACGATTGGTGTTATAGTCTATATGGTTCACTTTTCTATATAAATACAATAAAGTATACTTACTATAAATACAGATTCACAAATATAAACATTCTAGTGAAAGTCCAAATCAACTGTTACATTAACATAGAAAATTCCCCCCCAAAAAGCAGAGATATTTCATCAAATTAAAGTTTTTAAAACACCCAAAAGTTAATTATTTAAATAGATGTGCTTGTGGCGGCACGTGCCTGGCCTGCAACAGTAAAGCTAAAAAGCGTCCGCCTCCTAATATTCCCGTCAAGACCGGGACTTCTTCTTCTCTTACTCAAATCCAACGGCTATCCTTCTTTGCTTTCGCTAATCAACCGTCAGATTTTCATCTAACGGTCTCTATTGAATCTAACTCCATTTTTTTCTTTACTCTAAATAAGCCCAAACCCGCTCCAAATCAAAAGCCTTTCTCTCTCTCTCTCTCTCTCTTTCGATCTCTCTAGTGAGCTTCTTCTTCTTCTGTTTTCGCCTCCGCCGTGAAAATTCTCCGTTACCGGAAAACAATAAACGAGATTTCCTGAAGTTGGAGATTTGCTTCCTTCTCCGTTTTGCGATGCTCGGCACGGTGGTGCAGTGGTGGTTAACGTATTATCGCCTGAAATTTGGCCGGCGGAATCGAGAGAGAAAGTGGTGATCAGGCTCTCGTCGCGATCGGAGCTTTTTTAATTTTCCCATTTTTGGTTTTCTGTGTTAATCGGAAGGAGAAATGAGCCAAGCGAAACTGACGAGGACTCAATCGTCGTTGCTGAGATCATCTCCGACGATTCGATCTTCGATTCACAGTCTCTCATCAATAACAGAATGCGATTTCGACGAAATCTCTCACCACCGGAATCAGGATCTGGAAGCTGGCGAGAAAGAGGAGAAGCAGAGGAGAAGAAAACAACAGTCGAAATCATTCGGGTCGACCCGGATAAAACCGGGTCTCACCTTCACGCTCGCTTCCCTCTCCTTCCTCAGCCTCTCCTCCTTCTTACTATTCTTCGTCTTCTCCCAAACCGGTGAGATTCTCACGTCGGAGAATCTTCTGCTCGGTTTGATCTTCGTCGCCGTCGCTCTCTTCTTCGCGTCGCGAAACATGGCGGTTATCACCCAAACCGTAATCGCAATCAAACACATCCGCGAAGAAACCGGTAAAAAGCTGGGCCTCCGAATCAAACACAAACCGAAACCGGTTCAGTGGTACATCGGCGATTCGAATCAGGAATCGATCAAACCCGTCAGAGAAGAAGAAGAAGAGAGACTAATCGTCAGCGAAGGAGTCCAATTCTTCAGCAATGGAGATTTCTACGAAGGAGAGTTTCACAGAGGTAAGTGCAACGGAAATGGAGTTTACTATTACTTCGTTAATGGAAGATACGAAGGAGACTGGATCAATGGAAGATACGATGGGTATGGAATCGAGTGTTGGTCTAAAGGAAGCAAGTACAAAGGACAGTACAAGCAAGGACTGAGACATGGTTATGGAGTTTACTTGTTTTACACCGGAGATTCTTACTCCGGCGAGTGGTTCAACGGTCAAAGCCATGGCTTTGGTGTTCAAACCTGCGCTGATGGCAGCTCTTACGTTGGAGAATTCAAATTTGGTGTCAAACATGGACTTGGATCTTACCATTTCAGGTAAAAAAACATTTTTTTATTCGTACATATAAACAGATCTCTCTGTGACTCTGTTTCTGATTTATGAATTTTTTTTTTTTTTTTTTGTTGTTGTTGTAGAAATGGAGATAAATACGCAGGAGAGTATTTTGGAGATAAGATTCATGGATTCGGTGTTTACCAATTCGCAAATGGTCACTATTATGAAGGAGCTTGGCACGAAGGTCGTAAACAAGGCTATGGCACGTATGGATTCAGGACCGGTGATACCAAATGCGGTGAATGGGATGATGGTAATCTTGTAAACCGGCTTCCTCCTGAAACCCACCCGGTTCAGAGAGCGGTTCAGGTAAAAGGCTGAAACTTTTAGCTAGAAAAGTTAAGTACTTTAGTGGTTTAATATTGGGGATTAATTTTACAGAGCGCTCGAGAGATGGCGAGAAAAGGAGTAAACCAGAGAAGGGTGGATGAGGAGGTGGTACGAGCTGTGGCGGCGGCTAACAAAGCTGCGACGGCGGCGAGAGTGGCAGCTGTGAAAGCCGTTCAGAATCAGATGGATGGTAAACTTTGTGAAAGGTGAAAATGACAAAGTAAAAGATGACAATGACATTAACAAAGGGAAAAAAAAGTCAATTTTTTTGGGTTGGTCTTTCTGATGTAAGCCATGGTGAGCTTGAAAATTTTGGGAAGCTTTTTACTGTGGTGTGGTTAATGTAAATGTAAATAGAAGAAATCAGGTTTTGTTTTTTTCTTTTTCTTTTTGTGTAAAGAGAAAAAAAGTGTGGATGGTTGTTGATTGATGATGTTTTGATAATGATCTGAATCACTGACAGATAGACTCTCTTTTTTTTAGTTTGATTTAAACGTTATCCTTAAATCGGAATCTGTGTTTGGTTTCGTACTTGATTTGATTTGATCTCTTTTTTAGAAAACTCAGATTATAATATCATTATTGTTACTATCGAAAATGAAAAGGAGAGAGGAGGAGAAGCAACGAGGAAGATTCTTTTCATTTTTACTAAAGAACGAAGAAGATTCTTCGTACAGACTTGTCAACGTAGGCTAAACAGTAGCCATATCAAGTAAAAAAAAACTAAAAATCATATGACTATGGCCTGTGACTGTATGTGGTCTGACCAAATTGGTTACAAACAATTCAATACTTCTCCGAAACTCCTTTCACTATATATGCATTTATTAGGTGAACACATTAATTATTTCTAGCATTTTAAAAAATGTGTGCTATATAAGAATCACTAGTTTTAAACTTTTAATATTGCCCTATTTACATTTATATAGTGTTTTATGATCACTTATGCTGACTACACTAACCAATCACATTAACTGTTTCAACTTTCAACTGCATAACAGAGATTCTTTTTTGTAAGAAAAAAACAGACATGGTTCTATGATTTTAGAAATCAATAAATACGTTAGTACTATCTTGTTATTAAAGACATTTTTGAGTGTACGACCCAACTCAATATCAATGCGTCATCTTATGTACTCAGTACTCCATTGTTTTTTTCAGTTAAAGCACAGCATAAATATGTAGGTTACACTAAGGATTTCGAGTCGTTCATACATTCAAGTTACTTCCAATTTGGTTATGGATATGATTTCATACTGAATTGTTAGTCAGCATGTCGTCATATATATCTATCAACATTGGAGTTTTAAACAAATTGATTACGGCAAAAACACATCCAAAAGCATATCTCCGTCAATAAATGGTTAAAGAAGCCATGCATGTGTCCTCATCATAACCATATCTGAAGGATATTGTTCTTAATTAATTTTTGTTTTCCTATATACTGTATATCCTTATCCTTTTATTTGGTTTTATATACCCTTATCCTTTCTTTCATAATAGATATTATGTACATTTTCTTTGGATAAATCTTGTATATACATACGTTGGCAACATGGCATGGTGCCAATGATAACATATTATTTTATTTAACCGCTATTAGTCTGTCAGTCATACCGTTAATCCAAACATATGCCTAATTTGAACCATCATATCCTCAATCTGGTAGTGGCAGCCATATATCAGGGTAAGTTTGAAAAAAAAAACTAAAAAAAAAGTTTTTTTTGTTGTAAACTGAATATTCGGTACTCCCAAAGGAAATAAATTGATGTCATGAAGATCCCGTGGTAATTTGGCTTACATCAACGGTTTGACTCAAATGTTTGGACATTCAAACTTTGAAGTGTCTAGTCTAACCACTCAACATGCAAAATTCCTCATAGAAAAAATGGTCGGTCCAATTGTCAAGCCCTATAAACAGAAAATGTACTGTGCCCTATACATTAAAATCAAATTCGCATTAAATATCGCCCTATAGCTCCATGAGTAAAAAGCATTTATTGAAATTATTGTGATGTTTAACTCACGTCACGTAATTCAATTCTTTGATTGGTAGACAACAGATTAATTAAGGCTGCCATGCTATTCAATATACGACATATACGCACGGCACAGCCAATAATTTTAATCATTGCATGTAAACCATTTATTTTCATCATTAGTTTATTACTACATGTATGCACTAAACAATTGAGAATATTTGTGGACGAGAAGAAAAAATGATTTTTGTTAGCAAGTCCCACATTTTTCTTTATTGAACCTTAAAAGTCCCACATCTTTTGTAGGAGTAGTAGATAGTGGGATTTGGGAGGATCATTATAAAATGATATCCCTATAGCATCGATTTACCATATTAAGTTATTGGTTAATGTTACACTTGTAAACCAATCAGTTCTTAGTTGCATCGTAGAGTATCTCTATAGTATAACCGAAACTTACTGGTCGTTAATTTCATGTTATTATCTTTCTTTGTGAATAAACAGGAGCAGACAAATGGTAACCTCTCGAAACTCATTGTCTCTCTTTATCCTTTTATTTGGATCATTAATATTTCAAGTTGGTTGCTACAAAACATGCAAAAGCAGACAACATGATTACAAGTTGCATTATTAACACTAAAATTCAAATATAAAAGCAAACCGACTTTTCAATTTTTTGTCACCTCGAGTTTGGACTTTTTAAGGACCATTTCATTTCTTCATTCGGGCCGCTCCTCTCTTCCATATACAATATTTTGCTGACCAAAATAAACCGCATACACACCGAAACATGCTTAATTTTTGAGATTTTGATTATACACCCAACTACTTTGTAACGTAGTTAATGAGCATCTGTAAAACTTAATTGCTGAAATAATTTTATTATATATATAGAAGTGCACAAGCATCATCAAAGCTGAATTCAGCATATCTAACACAAGAATAACAATACATAGAAAGACCAAGACAAAGCTTAAGAAGACAAATGCGAGACAACCCTCACGAGTAGTCTCTCTTGTTTGTGTGTGTGTGTTGCATGTATGTCCTCTTGGCTCTTGCCTCTTATTCTGGAACCGGAACCAGACTTGGAACGTAAATAGAGCCACAAATACAAGGGTTGTTCAATCCATGAGACCTAAACGGTGGTCCTGTCTCAACTTGTTTTTTTATCTCACCCTCACAAATTTCGTAAAAGCTGCCACGCACAAGTTTATCACCCTTTTGTAAAACTTTATCGCACCATAACATAATACCATTAGTCTTGTGGATGAAGTATGACGGATTACCGAAAGAGCACTCCCTATGAAGTATTACAGGGAGATGAGGGTGAGTCACATTGAAATACTTAGTCCATGAGACAACACCATCAGTCACCTTGTTTGTGACCCACACCTCGATCTTGATCTCCCTTTTGGGTTGATGTAGTAAAGAAAGCCTATCTCCTCCGAAATCTGACAAGACTACAATATCAGGATTGGCATATATTACAACACTAAGATCGGTAGGGCTGACACTGGTAACCCGGACCCGTACGGGGATAGGGGAACATATGGGCTTGAATGTCTCCGTGGAGAAATCGAAACTTTGGATAAAGGTTTCGAGAGTCTTCTTGGTTTGAGCAATCCAATACATATTTCCCTTCATAGACACGTTTTGGATCGGAGTTATCGGAAACCATTCGAAAGTGGCGGGAAAATATGTCCAGAGATTAGAATTGAGGTCATACATCTCATATCCCGTACCTCGTATTGCTTCAAACCTCAAAATCTTGTACTTGTTGTCATTGTCGTATCCAAAACCGAAAACATCATAATAAGGCCTGTAAGCACCCATTGGTTCGATCAATTTGACCCGGCTGCTCAAAACTGGATTCCAAACCGCCAGAAGGCCGTGATGTTCATAACCGAAACCGTGTTTTTCATAAACAATACTGCATAGCAATAACCCGTCGCAGTGAATAATAAAAATACTCCCGTGGGGAAACTCTGCCGGAAGTGGTAGAGATAAGAGATCTAGGGTTACCGGGTTGATGATTTGAAACGTATCACGAAAAATTCGAATAGACCGTTTCTGAGAGAGATGCAAGTGTTTGTAGATGAATCTCTTGGAGTTGAAGAGAGCGTACCATTCTTGACACGTCGTCTTGAATCGTACCAAAGATTCGATCGGAGTCCTGTGAAGTATCTCTTCTTCTACTAAGTCTAATGGCAGCGAAAACGAACCCTCCTCCATTGGAAACAAAAATATGATAAACTAGGTCACGAATGGTGTAAAAGATTCCTTGGCAATCACACCTCAACCAACCTAACCGGAAACGGTTAAGCACTCGGGTATATGGGCCTGAGCCACACTAAATAGGTGTTACGGCCCAAACTGTAGACGTATTTAAATTTCATGTAACTTTAATAAAACTAATCAAAATAAAATACAGATGCTCAGGAGCTGTTTGACGTTTTATACTAGAGGCAAAATGCTAAGAAATTTATAAATCACATAAAAATTTGAAGCATGCATTTCAGCGAAACAATTAAATTTGACGGTACAATATTATTTGTTTCGATCCAGTATATATAGATATAACATGAAACAAAAAGATAGAGTTAAAATTATATATCAGGTTTCAAAGACATGAACTTCGTCTTTGTCCCCAAGTAAGATATGCATTATTTGACCTACCGCGCTATATCAGGCACATGAATGATGGAACTATAGATTCTTACATTTTTTTCACAAAACAAAGATTGTTATATAAATATAGTATATATACATTTTTGGGTTTTAGCATAGTAACATGCATGTATGTACTACTGAGTACTGAATAAAATAAAGTATGAAGCATCTACTAGCTAGGGGAAAATTAGTTAACTATTAGACTCTAGTGGTTGGTCACTGGTTAAGAGCTTTTGTATCTTTTAAAAATTTAGTATATAGCTCATTATAAGTCGTCTACCATATTGTTTCGTATGTGAATGGTAGATTGACATTTTTATTTTTGTCGTTTTGGATTTTTGGGGTTACTATAGTGTTACGCTACGGTTCAAATTACAATGAATTGGTTTGTTTCTCGTCATTTTGGATTACTCCCAAACCCATGATAATTTTTCAATGAGTAAACCACCATGAATTGGTATGTTTCTATCCGTGGATTGAATAAACGGTATATATACGCGTGTAGTAAAAAGACAAACTAAACTATCGTTTCCTTTTATAAATACATGGTTTACGTCATCTCAATTCTTTGTTTTACACACGATATGGTTGGGACTTTCATGATGAATAAGATACTAAAATACTAGTTAATCACTAATTATAAGTTTAATAAAATAAACTGAAAAAACAAATGAAAAAGTCAAGAAGTGACAAAAAGGCCTCTTGTTCATGTGATCTTCTTAAATCAGTGTGTGTATATATTCAATATATATAATTACATATCTGTCGTTAAATTCGCTCCGAGCAACAAACATCTTGAAGAAACAACGACGAAGAATGATAATTGATAAAAAAAAAAGAATTAATTAAATATGAAATAATGTGAACTGAAAGTGTTTCTTATAGTATAATATGGACCGTTCGATCAACTGAAACTCCATAGCTGAATATCAGCATCGTCGTAGAAGTCATCCATCGTTGTCTTCGAGCTAATTAATTGTGGAGAATAATCAAACGAAGCTTCGTTGATGAAGAACATCTCATTATGATCATACCATGATGGATCCATCAATGACACATGTTCGTCCACAAATGATTCCATTAATGATACCAAATCATCGTCACTATGATGATCATCTGGCGGTGAAGACGTAGGTGAAGAAGATGGAGATGGATGGTGATGAAGACCATCATCATGATCATCATCATCGTTGGAGGAGGAAGGAGGGGCAAAAGAGTCAGAAGAGATGGAGTTGGCGGCTTGAGCGGCGACCTTTTGGATGGATTTGGGGGACAAAAGGGTCTTTTCATCGATGTCAATAAGAAATGGAGAAGTAGTAGTGATGTGGGGGAAGTTGAGATTGGCTTTAGGGCCTTTAAGACACAAGAGAGCAGCGTCGTAAGCCTTAGCAGCTGCTTCTGCGGTTGAGTAAGAGCCTAACCAGATTCTTGTCTTTTGATTTGGTGCCCTAATCTCAGAAACCCATGATCCCCAGCTTCTCATCCTCACTCCTTTGTATTTCTTTATCTTGTTCTTACAAGGTTGATGATGCAATGTCAGCGAGGAACAAGAAGAAGAAGATTGAGACAGTGACGGGGAGGAAGTGGTGACTTGGATCTTACGTTCTTGTTTCACCATGTTTTGTGTTTGGAATGTTTGATACAAATGTCGATGTATGAAAAGTATTTTGGATGGGAAATAATGTTGAGTGGAGGAGATTATATATAGCAATGGATTGATTTTGTGGGAACTGAGGGAAGGAGACAATAATGGTTTGTTTTTTAAGTTAAAAATTGGTCAAATCATATAGTATTATTTTTGTGTATGAATGTGACGTTTTTGGTGCATGACAGGTGTTTTTTTATTACTGTTTTTTCACCCACATAATCACAAATGGATATGTCAGATTTTGTTCTTTTTATATGTATATTATGAATATCAATATATCCAATTTAATATAACAAGTTAAGTTTTCTGAATAATTTTTGGTTTTAGAGGAAAATGATACTCCTTCCCTTTCAAATTAGTTGTCGTTTTGACAAAATGTATTTGTAAATATTTGGATGTATCTGGACGTATTTTGCATTATAGATACGTCCAAATATTTGCAGATACATTTTGCCAAAACGACAACTAATTTGAAACGGAGAGAGTACTATATAGTAAGGGTGATTGTCACCGGTAAATCGAGATGAGATTTTAGATATTTACATGGACTAAAAGTACTGAATATTGTTCTTAAATTGAATAAGCTTGAGCCGACAAAACAAAAAAAGCTTGAAAGTAAAAAAAAAACTCACACACACTAAAGTATTATCCCCAAGTATTATTTCACATCCAAAAAAAGACGAGTGTACAGCTAACTAACTGTACGGAATCCACTTGATGAGGAGATCAAATATTACTTTTAATAAAGGCTTTTTTAATTGCTATCACTTTCCGGAAATGCAAACTACAGCTGCGTTTGAATGTGTCAAATCCTACGATCTTTCGAAGAAAGTGACTCATAAAAGGGAACTCCTCTTCAAACCTGCTCATTGGTCTATGTTTTCTTTGTTAACATTAAACGAGTTAATTTTCAATCTGCTTTTAATCAATTGGTGGTAAAAAGCCATGCAGAATAATGCTAATTTTGTACTAAAAATTAAAGTCATATGTTCGGAGATTGTTTAACTTGCATCCCATTTCCCAAGCCAGACCATGTTTATCTTTACTCTATGTCTTTATAAAATATCTACTAGATTGACTATAGGCTAAATTCTAAAATCTGTTTCTTCACCAAAAACGAAGAATGATTGATAAATCAAGTTAATAAAGAAATAATTAAAATAAAGAAATACATAGGATTGAAATAATTAAAATAAAGAAATACATAGGATTCTGATATGAAGGGGAGGCAGCTTCGTGAAGTAACATGTTAGGTCTCGCAAACAAAAATGATAAACTGAAATAAAACCTAAACCCTTATTAAAATAAGGTCTAAACATCTAAGCCAAAATTATGTGTACTTAATACAAGAAAATATAATAAAATATATTAATGGAAATGGAAACGCGCAGCCAAATAGTGGAGAACAATATTGCTGAAGACTGAAGTGAAGTGAATCACTTCAAACAACAGCTGTGCCACTCTGTCTTGGTGCTACACAAAACCGCGTATTTTCTAATTCTTCTTATTTATTTTATTTTTATTTTACTCGCTCTTCATATTTTATTTAGTTTTGCTTAGAAACAATACTTATCTTTCATGTACTTGCATGTTTTTATTTATTCATACGTTCTCAACACTTCTTTTACACACAGAAAAAACTGTGGTTCGAGATATTGCCAGTAAGTACTATCAACGTAACCAGACAGAACTATTTGATTACAAGTTAACCAAAAAAAAAGGCAAAACTAAATAAAGTTACGTGGGAGTAGAGATTGAAGAAATCATGTGTTTCTACTTTTCATATAGATTCAATCAATACACATAACACATCATGCTTAAGCTAGCCAAAATTACTTTAAGTTATCTTTCCCCCTTTGTTCTTTTTAAAACATAGCACGAAGTCCAGTTTGTGAACTTTAAGGAGAATCTCCACGTCGAATCTAGCTAAAAAAAAGTTTAGATTTTCTGGTTTAGAAGACTCTAGATCCTAAAAAGAATTGCGGTAGATCGATACCATAATAGCATATGTGCATGCATGTGAAAATATGGAGATGTGTAGATAGATACTAAAGCAAGATAATGATTTCAAAAGAAGCATGTGTATATTGGCAAAAGCCAAAACAAACCGTATATGACTTTAAGACACGCAAGAGCACATGATCGAAGAAGAGTTGAGAGATGGCATGTTCTTTTCGGGGACAGCCTTGACTTTCTCACAAAGCCTTAAGGGCTTATGAGACTTGTCTTCCCTTAGACATTTCACACTTTGGTCCTAAGCAAAGACCCTTAAAGGTCAAATCTAGGCGATTGTTTTTCAGCTTTCCAGCAAAACATATTCTTTTTCTTCATGAAGAAAATAAAGCATATCGAGGCTTCTTCCATTTTCACTATGCGGTACTTTTGGCGATGGTATTATTTTTATTTAGTACCACTTTAAATCTACTCCCTCCGGTTTTTTAAGATAAATTTTCTAATTTTTTCACACAGATTAAGAAAAAGTTAATTTTCAATTATTAGTGCATAGATTTCTGCAATAAAACAACTTTTTATAATTTTAAACCAATAAAAATCCAACAAATACAATTAATGTTTCTTGAAAACTGAAAAAATGTATCAAAAAGGTAAAAAATTTATCTTTGTGAAACAACACATAATTGCTAGAAAATTCATCTTAAAAAAACGGAGGGGGTATAATTCTGTATGGATTTTTGTGTGTGTTTGTTTTATAACTAATTTTGGATGGATCTAAGTAAGCACTAATAGACCACCACATACAATTAGTCTATATATTTTTTTTTTTGTTTATGGCAAATGTTTTTATTTTATTTCTTGAAACTTACAAGAACAACATATTGGTTAAGGACGCGGTAGCCCATACCAAGCGGCTTCACTGGCACCTACTCTCTCCGTACCTTCCCAACAACTGAACAAAGATGTGACCTTTACCATCACATATATTATCTAACAATATCTTCAATTACTTATAAAGATAGTATATTAAAACAAACAATATCTTGAGTTACCTATGATATATAGATATGTCCAGATACAGTTTGTTATTATAAGAAACTGGTACGATGGTACGGCTTTTGCGTGAGAAGTTTCGAAGAAGGTGTAAAACAGGATTGAATATGAAAATAAAATAATCCATGTAACCCAATCAAAAAAAAGAAGAAAGAAAACAATTCATGTATCACACATCTCCCTGTCACGATATTAGAGCTAATAGCGATCTACAAGACATTTGTGTGCATGTAAGTAGATATATTTGTGCATTTTCGAAGACATTTTTGAGCAACTACTACTGATGTTTTGTTTAATCTTCTATATCTTCAGTTACTTTATATTATATCAAAATCAAAATGACATTGCTGCCGTTTGGCTTCGTCGTCATACTTCCGGCAAGCGACCGAGGCTCCACTGTGTCCGTCACTCCGTTGGGTACCAATTCGACACCGGGGAGTTCAACGCCGATGATGTGAAGATGATGCTATCTCTTACTCTGACCAACATCACCGATGCTCTCGCTTGATGACCACTATAATTATAAATATATCTATTTTATTAAAACCTCTACCGTTTGTTAAGGACAATATGTTATTACCATAACATTTATGCTTTATATTCCAGTATATATATAACGGTTTGATTTATATATATTGCAAATCTTTTATCACTAGCTCCATCTCTATTCTTCCGCATATTGTTTCCCTCCTCTTCTCTTGGTTCAATGGATTTCACCAATTTTTATATTAGCTGACATGGAATTGGTTCTAGGATCGGAAAATAAGGTCTAGTACTTTAACATTTTGACTAGGACAGAGCTCATAGCCCTACATGACCTCTCGTATAATCAATTTCTTATAGCTAAAGTTACCATATTTTGTTTTTCCAACTAAAGTGCCTAAATCGAAATTCCCCTCCTCATATATAGGCTGAGGAACTTTTACTTTGAATGGGATGCAATAAATAGTCAAACTTTTATGTTTTTTTTTTTTGTTGGTTCTCATCTAGTCAGGCCCGGCCCATTAAATTGAGAGACCTAGTGCAAAAATTTAACTGTGAATATATAATTAACGCATTTTTTTAGTGTAGTTGAAACACTTGTCCACCATTTTTAACTCAAATGGTAGAAATTAGAATATCCAATTCCACCACTTTTTGTTCTTCTAATATGTAAACATTACTTGACGTATTTTTTATTCCGACACAACTCGCATTGACGTAAGATAGAACCACTGGAGCAGTACAGCAACTAGAATCACAACAACACTAATGGCTCCACAACCTTTGAGGAAGCTAATTCCACGGGATAGTCTCCTTGAAATCTCTTTGCAGTACTTGTCAGCTTCTTTGTAAATAGAACACTTGGCTCCTCCTCCTCCAGTGATGCCTCTTTCGTTCTGAAAAACATATCACAGCTTAGGTCAGATATGAAATTAAAGAAAAAAAAAAAAAAGTAGTGGAGGAAAGAGCCTTTACCTTTAGCATGAAGAGTTTCATAGTTAGATTGAGAACGCGAGTATCTCTACGTGATGACGTTAGTTTGAGGGAATGATCTTTCCATTCGTCTACAAGCTTTTTAAGAAGAGCAACACTAGCTTTTGGATTTTCCATATAGACTCTCTCCCAGTGATCGCAGCAATCAACGTTCTTGGTCACACACCAAACAGCGATTGAAGTAGCTTCCTTGGCTAAATCAGCGTTTCCTGTAACAAACACACATTATTACAACTCTATTTAGAGGGAAGAAGCAGAAAGAAAAACTCAAGAGTTTACTAATACCTTGCTCAGCAAACTTCAAAGAAAAATCGAATATAAATTGAGTGACTTGTTTCATTTCCTCGATTCCTGGTGCATCGGCAAGAGCAACTTCCTTCAACAAGGGATAAACTGCCTGAAACCTCTCTGTATCCTCCTGTGTGCATACAGACAGAGACCAAGCTTTGCTTGCTTGTGATCCACAATCATATATATATATAAAAGGTTTTGTCTTACTAAAATTTTAAAAATACTTACATTTACTCTCTCGAATGAAGCAGGGAATGTTAGCGGTAGCAACATCTCAAATGAAGTAATTGGAAACAGTCGCGGTACCCCAGGCCTAGCAGCATTTGTTAAAAATATGTCCCGAGACATTCGATGCGACAAAACACTGAAAAAAATATTGCATAAACCAAGACATGAGATGATTGTATGTATATATATAGCAAAGGAGATGGAAAAATCTCGGACTCACTTCTTCATCAACTGCATGATGAGATTCATTGACCGAGTGTGGCATTTGAACTTGTCACAAACTAGCGGTAACAAGTTCCACGCCCATGAATGCAAGCCTGTACATAAATCAACTTGGGAGACCTGTGAATGAAATAACTTTTCAGAACACACAAAAGGTAAAACAAAGACGCTCTTTGGTCCTAAGGGGAAAGAAACATATATCACACTGAACCTGAGCCGTGATCTACACTATAAACGTAATCATTTCCGGTGAGTCCTCTATATGATATTTCGGCGGCCTCAGAAGGGGCAATATAGGAGACAAAACACGAGGTCTGGTCCGAAAAATCATTGATAATGCAGTAAATACTCCAAGCTAAAGTAGTACAAGATAATGGAGTTAGTCAAATTAAACAAATTAGATAAGGAGAGAAAGGTTTTTCCAAAATTACTTCAGAGTGAAGATCAGTAGTTTCTCCTGCCAAACGATCGCGAGTCCAATCAAACGACCAGATTACAAAGTTACAGAGTGTCTTATCTTCAGCTTTGTCGATCCAATCGGCTGCTATGTTGTAGATTGGGCCAGGAATATGACGAAACGGAAACTGTTTTTTATATACAAAAGAAGATGATAGTCATCAGCTTTAACAAATGATTCTAAAATTTTAAAAGGAAGAAATCAAGCTCTCACATCGATGAGCTGACCCAGATACTTCATCTCGGACCATGGATATTTATATTCCAAAATTACTCGGGAGAGTGGTCTCCCAAAGTAATCTACTAATTTGGAGATAAGTTCTTCAACAGATGAAGGAATCTATCAAACAAACAAAAAATAATACTGTTTGGTAGGTAATTAGATAAAGAATTCCAGTGTTTAAAGCAAAGGGATTCAAGTACTTACCGAACCGGCCAGGGAACGCGCAAGATCTGAAGGATCAATCTTTGCAAAAGCTTTGGGCAAAGTCACTTTTTCCATGGCCTATCAGGATGGAAGAGATTCAGGTCGAGAGTAGCTTGTGCATCAGGCTTTCTCTGAATATTTAGATGAACAAAAGAGATTCAAGTCCTTACCGTTGAATCGGAGTTTGGTTAATTCTCCACACCCGTCTTCGCCGTTTTTCTTTTGCTTCCGGTTTCGATTCTTTGAAATTTCGAGACAAAACAGTGAAACGACGTCGAGACTCAAGGTAGAGAAAGGGGATATCAAAGAAAATTAGGGTTTTGGGGAAAACGGCTGAAACATTTGAATATAATTGGAATTGCGTACCGGCACTTAAGAACTAAACCATTCCAAGACATAATGTTTTGTTTTGTCTTTATAAAATAACCTTTAAGCTTCAACGTATGACTTGAGAAAGAGACTAACTTGCCTCATTTTCGCAACCTAACTCCAAACTGAACACGACTCGTTTCTGGATTTTTGTTTAGTTTTGGCGTTTATTTCGTTGGGAAGAAAACACGAAAATAATAGTCGAGAAGAAGGAAAAGATCATCAGAAATGTGGTGATGGGATCGACGTATGAGCCCAGCAGGTTTGAAGACAGAACCACCTGAGCTACAGCAGCAAGAATCACGGCAGTAATGGCTACACAACCTTTGAGGAAGCCATTTCCACGGGATAGTCTCCTTGAAATCTCTTTGCAGTACTTGTTAGCTTCTTTGTAAAGAGAAGCACTGGCTCCTCCTCCTCCAGTGATGCCTCTTTCGTTAAAAAAAACATATCACATGTTAGGTCAAAGATGAAATTTTTATTAAAAAAAAAAAAAAAAAATTAGTGGAAGTAAAGAGCCTTTACCTTTACCACAAAGCTCTTCATAGTTAGATTGAGAATGCGAGTTTCTGATGATGATGGTTTGAGGGAATGATCTTCCCATTCGTCTACAAGCTTTTTAAGAAGAGCAACGCTAGCTTTTGGATTATCCATACAGACTTTGTCCCAACGATTGCAGCAATAATAAACGTTCTTGGTCAGACACAAAATAGCGATTGCTGTAGCTTCCTTGGCTAACACAGGATTTTCTGTAACAACACACATTGTTACAACTCTATTTGGAGGGAAGAAGCAGAAAGAAAACTCGAGTGTTAATAGTAATAAATACCTTCCGCAGCAAATTTGAAAGAAGAAGCGAAGATATGCGGAGTGATTTGTATCATTTCCTCCACTCCTAGTGCATCGGAAAGAGCCACTTTCCTCAACGAGGGATAAAATGCCTCAAACCTCTCTGTATCCTGTGTGTTCTTGGTCACACACCAAATAGCGATTGCTGTAGCTTCCTTGGCTAAAACAGGGTTTCCTGTAACAACAAACGGTTTAACACATTATTACAACCTTCTATTTGGAGGGGAAGAAGGGTTGTTATTAATACCTTGCTCAGCAAGTTTTAAAGAAACGTCGAACATTTGAGTGACTTTTTTCAATCCCTCGATTCCTGCTGCATCGGCATCGGCAAGAGCCACTTCCTTCAGCAAGGGATAAACTGCCTCAAACCGCTTTGTAACCTGTGTGCATACATACAGACAGAGTCACAGAGAACCAAGCTTGCTTACTTGTGATCTAAAATCATAAAAGGTTTTGTCTAATGAAAATTTCAAAAAAACACTTACCTTTACTCTCTCGAATGAAGCAGGGAATGTAAGCGGTAGCAAGATCTCAAACGAAGGAATTGGAAACAGTCTCTCATCCTCATCAACATCTTCTAAAATCGTCTCCAGAGCCCCTGGCTCCAAACAAACACTGAAAAAGAAAATCCGCATAAAAACAAGAAAATCTATACATATAGCAAAAGGAGATGGCAAAAACAAAATATCGGACTCACTGCTCAACCAGCTGCAAGATGAGATTTATTGACCGAGGGTTGTCTTTTAACTTGTCACGAACTAGCGGTAACAAGTTACTCGCCCATGAATGCAAGCCTGACCATAAATCGACTTGAGCGACCTGTCCATTAAATAAACTCTTCAGAATAACACACAAAGGGCAAAACAAAGACACTCAAGAAACAAATCTCGCAGACGAACCTGTGCCATCATCCACACTGTAAACGGAAGCATTTCCGGTGAGCGCTCTAAATGATAATATCCCTGCCTCAGAAGGGGCAATATAGGAGACAATACACGAGCTCTGCCCCGCAAAACTATTGATAATGCAACAAATACTCCAAGCTAAACTAGTAGAAGATGAATGGAGTTAGTCAACAACAAATTAGATAGATACATTGAGAGAGAGAAAGGTTTTTCCAAAATTACTTCAGAGTAAGGCTCAGCAGTTATTCCAACCACACGATCGTGAATCCAACAAAACGACCACAGTACAAAGTTAGTGACTTCCTTTAGTTCAACTTTCTCGATCCAATCTTCTGCTGCTTCGAAGACAGGTTCAGGAACATGACGAAACGGAAGCTGATTTATTATATACACACAACAACAAAAAAGTCAGCTTTAACAAATGATTCGGAAACTTTAAAAGGGAAGAAATCAAGCTCTCTCACATCGATGACATCCCTCAGATTGTTCATGTTGGGCCATGGATACTGATATTCCACAGATGATACTCCGGTGAGTGCACTGCTAAAGTAATCTACCAAGTCGAAGACTACAAATCCCGGAGGACATTCCTATTTAACAAAAACAAATAAACAATTTTGAATAATTGATTGGTGGTGGTGATTATATGAGGATTCCGGTGAACTTACCGGTGCGTTGGCGAGGAAAGCCGCGAGATGACAAGGATCAATCCTTGCCAAAGCTTCGGCCAGAGACAGTTTTTCTCCGGGGAGACACCCTTTCGGCAACTGCTCCTCGGGTCTCGGCTTCCGTTTTCGCCTCCGGTAAAAGCATCCGCCACGTGACACAAGCTCGTCCTTGTATAGATTCACCACACCGTCCACACCCATCATCGCCGGTTTTTTTTTGCTTCCGGTTTCGATGCTCAGTTTCTCGATAATTCTCTCAGCCGAGAAAACCAGAGAAACGATTATATATGGTACGCAGTAAGTGTTTGTTATGTTATATACATATGTGATTTTTTTTCTTTTCTTTTTTTTTGTGACGGCTATTACATATGTGATAGGTAAGTGTTATACAAGCCGCTTTGTATTGGATGAGCTAAATATGTAAAGAGATGTAGGTAAAACAAGGTCTTTTAGTTAGTCCTCAACGCATATTCATATCATCACATGGGTAAGTTATAACAAGCTGAAACTAGTCCTGCATGCTGGAAGATAGAACAAGTGTAGCAACGGCTCCTACAGCAACTAGAACAGTGGCTACACAACATTTGGGGAAGCCGTTTCCACGGGATAATAGTCTTGTTGAAATCTCTTTGCAGTACATGTCAGCTTCTTCGTAAAGAAAACCACTGACTCCTCCTTCAGTGATGCCTTTTACGTTCTAAAAAAAAAACATATCACATGTTAGGCCAGAGATGAAATTAAAGAGAAAAAAAAAAAAAAATGAGTGGAGTGAGAGCTTTTACCTTGACCACAAAGCTCTTCATAGTACGATTGAGAATGCGAGTATCTCTACGTGATGAAGATAGTTTGAGGGAATGATCTTCTTCCCATTCTTCTACAAGCTTTTTAAGAAGCGCAACACTAGCTTTTGGATTATCCATATAGACTTCGTCCCAGTGTTTGCAGCAGTCAACGTTCTTGGTCAGACACCAAACAGCGATTTCTGTAGCTTCCTTGGCTAAAACAGCGTTTCCTGTAACCAACACACATTATTACAACTCTATTTAGAGGGAAGAAGCAGAAAGAAAAACTCATACCTTGCTCAGCGAACTTCAAAGAAAATTCGAATATAGATTGAGTGACTTGTTTCATATCCTTGATTCCTGGTGCATCGGCAAGAGCCACTTCCTTCAACAAGGGATAAACTGCCTGAAACCACTCTGTAACATCCTGTATGCATACAGACAGAGACAAAGCTTTGCTTGCTTGTAATCCACAATCATACAATTAGGTTTTGTCTTATGAAAATTTGCAAACACTTAATTACCTTTACTCTCTCGAATGAAGCAGGGAATGTTAGCGGTAGCAACATCTCAAATGAAGGAACTGGAAACAGTCGCTGTACCCCTTTATTAGCAGCATTACTTAAAAGTATGTCCCGAGCCTTTGGATGCGACACAACACTAAAAAGGAATATTGCATAAACCAAGAACATCAGATATGATTGTATACTGTATATATATATATAACAAAGGAGATGGAAAAAAATATTGGACTCACTTCTTAATTAGCTGCAACATGAGTATTCTTGACCGAGGGTTGAATTGGAACGTGTCACGAAGTAGCGGTAACAAAAACTTCGCCCATGAAGACAAGCCTAGACGTAAATCAACTTTGGCGACCTGTCAATGAATAACTTTTAAGAATAATAATACACAAAGGCAAAACAGAAAAGACACTCTTGAAAAACATAACCTGAGCCATCATCCACACTGTAAACGGAATCATTTCCGGTAAGTTCTCTAAAGGATGATGCGGCGGGCTCAGAAGGGTCAATATATGATCCACTACAACAGGTTTGCTCCGCAAAATGATTGATAATGCAGCTAATACGCCAAGCTAGAACAAGATAATGGAGTTAGTCAAATAAATTAGATAAGGTAATAAGGTGTTTTCCAATCGAGAAAGGTGTTCCAAAATTACTTCACAGTGAGGATCGGTAGGTTTTCCTTGGAGACGATCGAGAATCCAGAAAAACGACCAGTCTATGAACTTATGGAGTGTGTACACATGAGCTTTGTCGATCCAGTCGGCTGCTGTTTTGTAGACTGGTTCAGGAATCCTCGCAAACGGAATCTGTTTTGTATACAAAACAAAAGAGAAGATAGTCAGCTTTAATTGTCACAAAGGAAAAAGGATGAAATCAAGCCGCTCACATCGGTGAGAAACGGCAGTTGGTTCGTGCCGGGCCATGGATATTTATATTCCACAGATAATTTGGAGAGTGCTCTCCCAAAGTAATCTACTAATTTGGAGTTGATTTCTTCCGGAGATGAAGGAAACTGTTAAACAAACAAACAAAAAATACTGATTGGTAAACTAGATAAGATCATTAGACAGACAATTAAAACAAAGGGATTCGATTCCACTACTTACCGAATATTTCAGACTATTCGCAAGATGTGAAGGATCAATCATTTCCAAGGCTTTGGACAAAGTCACTTTTTCGATGGCCTATATGGAAGAGATGCTTTTTTTTTTTTCTGAATATTTAGATGAAAAAAAAAAAACCAATAGTGTGATTGAACAAAGAGATTACCGTTGAATCATCATCGTTTTCATTATCCTCCTCCTCTTCCATACTTGTGCTTGCGGTTTTGATTCTCAATTTCTCCATCTCTCTCAGGCGAGAAAAACAAAGATACAAAACGAGACTCAAAGAGGTAGACAAGTGGATTTTAAAGAAAAATTAGGGTTAGGGTTTTAGAAATAATTGAATACTGTAATAATTAATTAAGAATTCGAGTGTTTAAAAAGCAAAGGATTCCTGTACTTCCCGAATCGGCCAGGGAACGCGCAAGATCTCAAGGATCAATCTTTGCCAAAGCTTCGGGCAAAAAAGACTCAGAACGAGAGTATCTTGTGCATCAAGCTTTCTCTGAATATTTAGATGAACAAAGAGATTCAAGTCCTTACCGTTGAATCGGCGTTTGGTTAATTCTCCACACCCGGCTTCGCCGATTGTTTTTGCTTCCGGCTTCGATTCTTTGCCATTTCGAGAAAAAAAACAGTGAAACGACGAGACTCAATGTAGAGAAAGGGGTATTCAAGAAAATTAGGGTTTTGGGGAAAACGGCTGAAGAACTAACTCCATAACTAAAACATAACCAAACTTGCATATAATTGGAATTGCGTACTAAACCATTCCAAGACATAAATGTTTTGTTTTGTCTTCATAAAATAACCTTTAAGCCTTCAACGTATGAGTCGAGAAGAAGGAAAAGAAAAAGACAAAGAAAGGTAAAACTCATCAGAACTGTGGTGATGGCATCGACGTATACAACCACTTGAGCTACAGCAGCAAGAATCACGGAACTAATGGCTCCACAACCTTTGAGGAAGCCATTTCCACGGGATACTACTAGTCTCCTTGAAATCTCTTTGCAGTACTTGTTAGCTTCTTTGTAAAGAAAACCACTGACTCCTCCTTCAGTGATGCCTCGTTTGTTCTAAAAAACATATCACAGGTTAGGTCAGATAGGAATTTTTTTTTTTTTTTTGAAAACTGAGTAGTGGAGTAAAGAGCCTTTACCTTTACCAAAAAGCTCTTCATAGTAAGATTGAGAATGCGAGTATCTCTAGGTGATGAAGATAGTTTGAGGGAATGATCTTCATCCCATTCGTCTACAAGGTGTTTAAGAAGAGCAACACTAGCTTTTGGATTCTCCATATAGACTTCGTCCCAGTGTTTGCAGCAGTCAACGTTCTTGGTCAGACACCAAACAGCGATTTCTGTAGCTTCCTTGGCTAATTCAGCATTTCCTGTAACCAACACACATTAGTACAGCTCTATCTGGAGGGAAGCAGAAAGAAAACTACCTTCCGCAGCAAATTTGAAAGAAGAAGCGAAGATATGCGGAGTGATTTGTATCATTTCCTCCACTCCTGGTGCATGGTAAAGAGCCACTTCCTTCAACAAGGGATAAAACGCATCAAACCTCTCTGTGTCCTGTGTGTTCTTGGTCACACACCAATTAGCGATTGATGCAGCTTCCTTGGCTAAAACAGCATTTCCTGTAACAACAACAAACGGTTATAACACATTACAACCTTCCTATTTGGAGGGGGAAGAAGCAGAAAAGCTCAATACCTTCCCGAGCAAACTTCAAACAAAAGTCGAATATTTGAGTGACTCGTTTCAATCCCTCGATTCCTGCTGCATCGGCATCGGCAAGAGCCACTTCCTTCAGCAAGGGATAAACTGCCTCAAACCGCTTTGTAACCTGTGTTCATACATACAGACAGAGTCACAGAGAACCAAGCTTTTGCTTGCTTGTGATCCACAATCATACAAGGTTTTGTCTTATGAAATTTTTTTAACACTTACATTTACTCTCTCGAATGGAGCAGGGAATGTAAGCGGTAGCAACATCTTAAACGAAAGAATTGGAAACAGTCTCCAATCCTCATCAACATCTTCTAAAATTGATTCCCGAGCCCCTGGCTCCGAGCAAACACTGAAAAAAGAAAATCCGCATAAAACAAGAAATATATATATATGTATATATATATATACAAAGGAGATGGAAAAATCTCGGACTCACTTCTCAATCAGCTGCAAGATGAAATTTATTGACCGAGGGTTGTCTTTTAAGTTGACACGAACTAGCGGTAACAAGTTACTCGCCCATGACTGCAAGCCTGCCCATAAATCAACTTGGGCGACCTGTCAATGAATAACGTTTAAGAATAATACACAAAGGTAAAACAAAAAAGACTCTCTTGGTCCTAAGGGTGTGAAAGAAACATAACCTGAGCCATCATCCACACTGTAAACGGAATCATTTTCTGTGCGCGCTCTAAACAATAATATCTTTGCCTCAGAAGGGGCAATATAGGAGACAATACAAAAGACCTGCCCCGCAAAACTATTGATAATGCAACAAATACTCCAAGCTAAACTAGTAGAAGATAATGGAGTTAGTCAAAACAAATTAGATAAGGTAAGGTGATACATTGAGAGAAAGGTTTTCCAAAATTACTTCAGAGTAGGGCTCAGTAGGTATTCCTGCCACACGATCGCGAATCCAACCAAACGACCACAGTACAAAGTTACTGACTTCCTTTAGTTCAACTTTCTCGATCCAGTCTTCTGCTACTGTAAAGACAGGTTCAGGAACATGACGAAACGGAAGCTGATTTATTATATACACACAACAACAAAAAAGTCAGCTTTAACAAATGATTCGGAAATTGTAAAAAAAGGAAGAGATCAAGCTCTCTCACATCGATGACACGCCTCAGATTGTTCATGTTGGGCCATGGATACTGATATTCCACAGATGATACTCCGGAGATTGCACTGCTAAAGTAATCTACCAAGTCGAAGACTACAAATCCCGGAGGGTATTCCTATTTAACAAACAATAAACAATTTTTGAATACTGATTGATTGGTGGTGTGATTAGATGAGGATTCCGGTGTACTATACTTACCGGTGCGTCGGCGAGGAAAGCGGCGAGATGAGAAGGATCAATCCTAGCCAAAGCTTCGGCCAGAGACACTTTCTCTTCGGGGAGACACCCTTTCGGCAACTGCTCCTCCGGTCTCGGCTTCCGTTTTCGTACCCGGCGAAGGCGTGTGCCACATAACACAAGCTCATACTCCTCCTCGTCCTCCTCCTATAGATTCTGAATATTTAGATGAAGAAAACCTCTAGTGATTGAACAAAAGAGATTCAAATCCGTACCGTTGAATCAGCCTTCACCACTTCCATCCTTCTGCTTCCGGTTCCGATTTCTCAATTTCTCGATAATTCTCTCCGGCGAAGCAAAACAGAGAAATGATTATATATATATATATATATGGTACGCACTAAGTGTTTGGTGTTATATAATGTGATATTTGTTCATATCTAAGTGTTATATACTAATACTATATGTAGGGAGTAATATGTAAAGAGATGTACGTAAAACAAGGTCTTTTGATTTAGTCTCAACGCATATTCATTCATATCATCACATGGAAGCAAAGTTAATTTCTCGCTAGTGTTTCAATGTCTTGCATGGTCAAACTGAGAAAACAATAGAGAGTAGGAAGCAATGGAGATGAAAAACGAAGCAACGAGTGAGTAATAGCTCGACGGGCAAGAAGCGGTAGAGATACTACCGGCTGGACCATTAACTGGATCGCCCGGAATCGAACTGCTTGAAGCAACCGTTGATCCTCTTGGTGCAGCCGCGGCTATGGATCCTCCACCATGAATATCACCATCAGACTCCGGTGAAGGTGAAGGTGAAGGTGAAGAAGATAAAGGTGATGGTGAAGGTGCATACATCACTTCCTTTGGAACAGTATCAGGTGGAGCTAAAAGCGGTGCTAATTGTGGAGGTCCTGCAAAAAAATATTTAGCCAATTAGAGACCAAGGTTTCATTATAAGCATGATGATTGATGAATGAGTCATTATACTTACCAGGACAACGAGGCTGGAGAGACCTTGATAACCTGAACCGAGAGAGAGATTGATCAAATAGGTTATTGAAGTCATTACCAGTTGAAATAGAGATAATGAAGAGAGTCATTACGTGGTCAAGATAGTGCCATTAGCGAAACCATTGTAATTACAAGTGGTAAGTTTACAACCAGCACTACTCTGCTGAGAAGTGATGTTCCCAAGCATGTACTTGCTGTATCTACACTGCATACTTGAGCAAGAGACTGCTATAGAAGCTGGCTCGCAATACATACTGCATCATCATCATCATCATCATCATTCACACCAAAATGCAACAAAGATCAGTTAGTTAATTAGTTAGCTCAGAATTCGATAAAACAAAACTCAATTCGCTAAAATTACCTCCGGCTTCCTAGTGAACAGCTGCATTGTACACAGTGTCCTGCTGTGAGCGCATAGCTTCCATTTGGAATGATCAATCCATAGTCCGTTGCGTATTTGGGGAAATTCGAACCACAAGCTGTCAAGTTTTGATACAAACAAACACAAAGCATTCAACATCTATCTCTAGATATCACTTAATTGGCAAAAAGAATCAAACTTTAATTAAAAAAAAAAAAAATTCAACCTTTAGATTCTTTAGTCCTCTCAAGATGATTTCAATTACAAAACATTCAACATCTGTCTCTAAAGATCACTTAATTGGCAAAAGATTCAAACTTTAGACCTCTTATGCCTCTGAAAACGATTTCAATTACAGCAAAATCGAACCTTTTAACTCGATAAAGAAGAGAGGATGAGGATGGATCTTACCTAGCAATGGGACAGCGAGGATATCTCCAGGATTGATATCAGGAGCTCCCATGGCGTTCACGTTCGTTAAATCAGTAACAGTGGTGGAGAATCTCTTTGCAATTCCGGCCATTGTGTCGATTCCTCTCACAACGTAAGATAGATAAAGCGCCGGGAGAGACTCGTCGGTGCCATTGAAGCAAGCGCAAGGAAGAGGGATCACAAGGTTTGTACCTACGTCGGGAGTAGAAGACTCAATCGCCGGATTCGCGACCTGAATCTGCTCCGGCGAGACGAGACCGCCGTAAACAGAGTCGGAGATGGATCCCAAGGTGTCGGAGGTCCGGGTTTTGTAACGGGTCGAGAGGGATTTCCTGATTCCGTCGACGCAGGAGCAGGTGATTGGGATTTTGAGGAAGAGGTTTGAGGGAAGGACGTGGTTCTCGACGTCTGGGTAAGAGATGTCGATGGAGTTGGAGAGGAGGACGGAGATTGGGTCGACTTGGAAGAGGGAAGCGACTTCTGTGACTTTGAGATCGGTGTAGAGCGTGTAGCCGAGGAATGAGTTACACGTGTCGCTACTTGAGCAGGGCTCTATTGTTGATTTTGCAGTCGCCATTGATGCTAAGCTCGAAGCTATAATTAGAAACAGAATTAAGGGCTTTTCTGGATTCTTCATTTTCTGATTTCCCCTCCCCAATAGAAATTGAACAAGTAAGATCTATGGGAACTTTCCTATGAGAATGAGATTCCAGGTGTTTTTGGGTTTGGACGAAGTTGAAATCTTTCTTCTTCCTCTTAGAAGGAGAGAGAAGAGAGAGGAAAAGTTAATAACTTTTTTGAAATTAGTTGAGAGCTGAGTGAGCAATTCAGTGAGCAGCAGACAAAAGACAACGGTAGCTTCGCGATTTTGCAGATAAACATATTATCGCTGTGACGGATTTACCCCTATTTATGTATCCGTTCGGTTTGATCCACCCGGTTTAAGCTATAACATTCACCCGTTTGAGATTCAAGTTCAACAAGGACAAAATCGAAGTCAATTGAGCTACACATTATTTTTCAACATAAAAACTCAAATTTCATGAAATAATTTTGTTTTAAGTCAATTTTAAAACTAAATAGATAATTTGAATTGTGTAAAACTATCACCAAAATCGGTTAACGGTTTAAGGATAACATAGTAATTTAAGGATCTGAATTGAGACCCACTTAAAAACCCACTCGCCTATTTTCCTCTTTTTTTAATTTGAGAGCGAAAGCAAAGATCTTTGATCTAAGCACGTGGTCTTTAAGTTTATGTACATTTTAAGTGTATTTGGGGTCCTCAAACATCCCTTATTCTGGGATGTACCTAAGAATATGACATTTATTCGGGTGGTTGAAGAAGCAACTACAACTAGGGATAAGCAGAAGCAAGTAATAGTGAAATCATATTTTGATAAAATCAAAAGTCGTAAAACAATAATTATTTGGCTCTTTATGATTGGAAGCCGACGCTGGATCAAATCTTTCAAGATTACCTCAACAATATTGCTGCCCAAACTGATCATAATATGTGTATGATTGTTGTGTGTTTGAACTTGTTGTAGGTGTCTTGTTGAAGGCGTCAGTGATATGCATTTGAAGCGTATCATTCACAGGAACTTGAACCCTACATCAGTAGAACTTTTGCATATGGGGTCCTGAGACATCATTTTTCTAGGATGTCCCAAGAAGAAGAAGATGACGTATTGTTGTGTGTTTGAACTTGTTGTAGGTGTCTTGTTGAAGGCGTCAGTGATATGCATTTGAAGCGTATCATTCACAGGAACTTGAACCCTACATCAGTAGAACTTTTGCATATGGGGTCCTGAGACATCATTTTTCTAGGATGTCCCAAGAAGAAGAAGATGACGTTTATTAGGGTGGTTGAAAAAACTACTACGACTCTGTTTATACCTTAGTGAAATCGTACTTTGACAAGATCAGCAGCCGTAGTGCGGTGATTATGAAGTCTCGTTCTGATTGGAAGCCAACTCTTGATCCAAGTTTTCAAAAATATCTCGACGATCTTGCTGAGCGAAATGATCACATGCATGTCAAGTATCGAAAATATGTTAGGGATTTGATTAGGCTAATTAGAAATACTATATGCCATTACGTAGAACTACCTGGCGTTATTAAGGTCTCTCTCTTCTCTTTCTCTCTTAATCTCTTTTCTTAAACTCTTCTCTACTCTTTATAAGCCATTTCTTTCTTTTTCTTTCAGCCACTTTTGGGAAGCTATCACCACGGCTTCCATCGTTATTTCGACTCCAGATTTCCAAACATCGTGTTAATTCTATATGAGGCTATCCAATGCATCAACGGTTAGCAGAATTTTGAAGAATTCCAGCCCTATTTCTAGGTCATTTCTATCTCTCTTTGTTTGTGTTTCTTTGTGGTATAATTTACTTATCTCTTTATCTCCAACACCTAATAATCATCATTCTTTTATTCTTTTGATTAGCTAGATTCCTGGAAGCAAAAACAATATCTATTTTTTTTAAGGAGATATGAAGATTTTTCGGGAGTGAACAAGACAAAAGAATTCACAAAGTAAGGTTGAAAGTTTCTTTAGAGTGGTCTAACGGTTTGACAGTTTGAATTATTGGTAGAAATTACTTTGGTTGAATTGTTTTGAATTACTGGTTGAAATTGTTTTGTTGCTTGAAATTGTTTTGGTTGAATTGTTTTACAATTAATTTGAAAACATATTTTGTTTTAAGGGCAACCTAGTAAATTAATGATCTGAATTAAGGCCCACTTCAAAGCCCACTTGTTTTCCTTTTTTTTAATCCGAGAGCGAGGAGATTATCATCATTCACTTGTGTAATAGAGCTTTGATCAAACACGGTCTTCAAGTTTAGCGGGAAAAGGAAAAACAGAATCTGCTTCCCTCCAAATTCTCATCCAAATAAAACCAGTTTTTACGCCAAAGCATCGGACATATCGTTGTTTTTTAACCTTCTAACGTTATACTTTTTTTTTTTTATCTACCAAGATCCCCAAATTCACACCAAAACCCTAGATTTCTACCGTATAACTCTGATTTCTCCAATTTTCAACTCTTAATCGGCGATTTGTCCCGATGGACAAATTATGTGAGAGAGACGGAATTGCTGCGACGGTGATCGAATTGGATCAGACTCCACCTCCACGGAGGAATGTCCGTCGGAAGCTGGTTCAGTCGACGTTGGTCCCGCATAAATCGGAGGATGTAATTGAGTCTAATGGAGATCGGATGTGCGACGCCGGCAACAATGGGGAAGGAGAAGGAGGGGATATCGATGTCTGTAGCAGTCAAGGGAAGAAGACGAGAAAGCAAAGAGAGAAAACTCCGAAGAACGGAGCTTCTAAGAAGGTTGGTTTCCTTATTGTTCATTCGTAGAGATTGCTCAGTGTTTAGCTTGCTAGAAGAATTCGTAAGCATTGTCTCTCTCTCTCTTTGTGTGTGATGCAGTTAGCTAAAGAAAAGTCGCCTCGTAAATCAACGCCTAAGAAAAGTGCAACGAAAAACGGGAATGTAGCTGCTGCTGCTGATCAAAAGATCACTGCCAATGTCTCACCTAGAGTTCCCAATTTGCGCCTGGAAGCTAAATTAAGAGCTGAGGTAACTAAAACATCATGAGAATTAAGCACTAATGTGTCACCTTTGGCCTGATGTAAGTTGGTTCTGAAGTCTCAATTGGTTTATGATTTGATCAGGAAGATTCGCGGATGTCTGCTGGCAAGCAATTACATCCGTTTTTCTCGTCTTGGAAAGGAGGTAAGAAGAATCAAGAAGCAGGTGCAGCAGAGAATGGTAGGTGTCAGGGTCAAGGAAGAGATCAAATTGTCACCATTGGCCCTATCCATGTCTTTGAGAATCTTCAGGTATGCCTTATGAATATAGGATAACTTTGTCGATCATGTTTATTAACAGAGCTATGTGAATGACGGAACCTTCTTCTTAGGATTGTAATCTGACCATTGATTGGAAGAACTGGACTTTCTGTGAGCAAATCTCCACCAAAGGGAGTCCTGATCAACAAATAAAACTCGACTCTCTTGAACACCGGCCCAAGGGGTTTGATCTAAATGAACTGCCGACTCTTGATGTGTGCGTCATCGATGATGAGGAGCCTGAACAATGTGCTAGTCAACCAGAAGGTATCACAGAGACATCTCCGGTAGTCTTGGTAGCATACCAGGAGGAGAAAAGTGGATACCTTGGCTCCTCTGATGGAGCTGAAGCGGTGAGTAGCTAAGACTTTCCCTTATTCTTGGGAGTTGTTTTTATTTCTTGGAACCATTCGTGACAAAGGGTCGTTTCCTGCATTCTTTATAGGATTGTGAAGTTTATGAAGCAGTCGAGTTGTCTGATGATGCTGGTGGTGCAGCAGACAAATCTCATGGACTGCAAAGCATATCATGTGGAGAAAGGTAGTAATTTTGTGGTTAGCAGAACACATGTTTGATTTCTAACTTCTAATCTATGCAATAATGATTTCAGATGAACGAATGGCTCTGCCAATGGTATGAGAGAGGCTTTCAGCCAAGCAAAGACTTTTTGAGTAGTGATGAAGAGAAATCGCAAGATGGAGACTACAACTGTTCTGAAAGTGACTCTGACTCTGAAAATAACGGTGCTGAAGACCGCCTGAAAAATGTGCTCTTAATCGTTGGTCCAGCAGGGGTGTGTGATAAGACATTTTGCCATCATCTGTTCAGTTATTGCTTCTAAATTGCTGTCTCGGTTTCATGTATGGGATTCTTATGCTTGTGAGTATGTGTTTGTGCATGTGTTGCAGAGTGGGAAATCTGCAGCTGTTCATGCATGCGCTAAGGAGCAAGGATTCAAAATCCTTGAGGTACGAACGTGTTCCCGCTATATGTATCTGAAGTGTTTTATCAGGCATTCATAATGAATCTCTAATGACTTTTGTTTATAGTCTAATGCATCAGAATGCCGAAGTGGAGCAGTTGTCAGGCAGAAATTTGGGGAGGCTCTCAAGTCATATAGCCTGTCAAGGTACATAGAGTGGCAACATTTATGAATGCTTGGATATCCTATTTTCTGTATTTCTATCGGTGTATGCAAACTCAAAAGGATAGTGTGTTTATATTCACGTAATTTGTTTTGTCAGGTCCTTGGACCCTCTTTTCAGTGCCTGTATCGATGGCAATGGAGATGAGGATGTGATTGAAGTGGCACCTGTATTACATATCCAGAACGACAGAGCTAATTTGAAGCCTTTAATTCTTTTTGAGGATGTAGATATTTGCTTTGCTGAAGATCGTGGTCTCATTTCTGCTATTCAGCAGATTGCTGAGAAAGCAAAAGGGCCTGTGATATTGACTGCCAATGGTATGTTAAAATTACTTATTTTTTCCTTTTTCTTTTGTAATTCATATTAATAAATCTGTTGATGGCATCTGTGTTAAATGGATATTTGCAGACAAGAATCATGGTTTACCAGACAACTTGGAGAGGATAGAGATATGTTTTTCGTTACCATCAACAAAAGAGCTGTTAAGCCACCTTTCTACGGTATGCATTCTGATGCTTAAACTCTAATTGTTCACTGGATTCTCGAAGAATCATTCTCCTAACATTTGTTATTTTACAGGTTTGTGCAGCAGAGGAAATTAAAGTTAATCCTGGTTCACTAGAGCAATTGACCATGTCTAGTGGTGGTGATATAAGGAAAGCGATTCTGCAACTACAATTCTGGTTTCAGAGTAAATCCAGAAGAGGTATTTTGGACGTTTCTTACTACATGCGAACAAATTATAGTCCCAGAGATCCACTAGTTAAAGACCAGTTGTGAATATTTTTGAAAGGTTTTTGACATTTGATATCTTTAAATTTTTATGTACCAAACCCAGCCAGAAGGAGAAAGCAAAATGGTGATCCAGATCTCTTTGATCATGAAGCTGGTCACATGCTGCTTCCCAACATAATTGGACGAGATTTCCCTTCTCAATTATCGCATTTTGTGGAGAGTGAGATTGCTAAGTCATTATCCACGGTGGAGGAAAGTTATAACACAGTGGACGTATTTATTGAAGAGGTTGAAGACGAAAACATGCTTAATATATTATTTAGGCGAGGCGCAGAGAAGAACAGGATAGAAGCCAAGAAAGCAGCCATGTTAAGGCAGAACACTTGTTTTGAGGATCATAATGAATTAGAAGACGTCTTAAGCATTCAGTGTGAGCGTAGCAACACTTCCTACCAACCACTGTCTTGCTCTCGGCCAGACAGAAGGAGGAAGCTCAACGTCGTGATGTCCTCTGATTCGGAAGATGAGCCTCTGAGTGACATACCGGTTCCCATTTCAAGACATCAGAAGAACGGTACGTTGTCCTCGTATTTTCCAGATATGCAAAAGGAAACAATCCCTCTGGAGGCAAGTTCTTTTCAGTGTGAGACATCAAAAGTCTCTTGCACGAATGAGGTGTCCCAGTCAATTGATGTATCATGTGTACCTGAGTCTTCATATGTTCCCGAGACTCTAATGGAGGGTAGTGATGCTGAGCTGTCGCCAAGAGCGGTATCATCTGGTCATTTTGATGGAAGAGTAGAAGTGTCCACGAGTGAGGACTTTGTACAGAACACACCACCAAAGGAGATATACGTAGACAGTTTTCAGAGTTTTGCTTGCTTAGAGAATACGTGTGAGATCACTGCAGAATCTTATGGTGGGACAATGATGGAAGATTGTTTCAAGGAGCACGCAGGGAGTTCCCAGAAGATGCAACAAGTAACAGATGAATGCAGTCGTATAGATTTTGGGATGGCATTCAAGACCGCTCAGAAACCGAAGCCTGATACATCTAGAGACCCGGTGCAAGAATCATGGAGAAAACTCTGTTCGGCCCATACTGATCTTAAACCGTACTTGGATTCAGAACCTGTAGAAGCTCCACAAGTTCTTGACATCGCTCATCAGATAACCAATCTAATTTCAGAAGCTGACCTGACACAATCGAAATGCCTGAACCTTGTGAGTATTACATTACAACAATTCAGCTTCCTCTCTCTCTACTAGCTCAGACTTTTTTTTTTAACTCATGGAATTTACTTCGTTAGGTTGCTATGGAGCCAGTGATGAACGCTTCTGGAGACCTTGACACTTCTTGTTTAACTAATGGGCTTGAACAGATGACTTCCACTGTGGCACAGCAGGGATTTAGGTTTCTTTCAAACCAAATTGCCACAACAGTATCCGTCCCTACTTCATCAGCCAACATGTTACCAGGAAGAGAATTGGTAGTAGACAAAACAAGTCAAGATTATACATCGAGCAGTGGAAGCTGCTTGGATATGAAACCAAAAACACATGAGGACGAATTGAAATGGTAATCTTATCCTCCCAACAAATTTGAGCTTGATACTGTATCTTCTAAAATTGTCCACTGTTCTGTATCTATCTCATTACTAATGTTGCTGTTTTCCTCGAGTGCAGTGAGCGAATGGCACAGCTTTCGGGCATATTAGAGTCAGTAGTCCCTCTGAGATCATTGAAAGGAAGAGCTTTCCATGAATACGCTTCATTCATATCACAGATCTCACGAGCAGATCCCTCTAACTTATCTGTAGCCATAGACAAAAGCAGAAGACGAAGGTCAGTAGTACTATTGCTTTCACCATAATTTGTGATTATGAATGATTTCTCTCCTAATCCCCACTTCTCTCTATTCAGGTCAAGAGAAGCTCGACATTATCTGTCAATGGAACTATCTTCAGAAGATATTTCATTCTTGTGTCAACCAACACAGCACATACAGAAGAAGTGAATAATAAACACAGTTTCAGTTGTACAGTGAAATTAGAAAAGCTCCACACTTCACGAAAAGTTTGATAACATGTTTGCTCAATTATTTATAGCAGAGACCATAGATCGATCTCTTGTTCCTTGCTTTAGGCATAACATTTGATTTAGTACATAGTTTCTTCATTTATATATACATAGAAAACTCAGAAATCAACATTGTAAGGTTTCTGAAAATGTATTCGATAAATTAAAGGTTCTACATACCACAGAGATATAAATAGTAAGAACCATCAGCTCTTCTATGAGCCCAAAACAAAACGAAGACAACAAAAAAAAACCAAAATGTTACTTTTTCTCTATTAAGGTTCTCGAGTAAAATGCATATATTTAGTAAAAATTAAACACCCCTTGTGCAAATGCTTCTTATCTTCTGCATCAGCCTGCAACAAGTGAACACTGAAGTGAGATCAAACTTTGCCTTCGAGCTTATCGTTGTTAACAAGAGGAAGCAACTCCATCTTGCTTCTTGGGGTGCGAGGAGTCCTAGGAGTTCCAGGTGCTTGCTGCGAGAGCATATGCCTGACGTATCCATAAAACGTGCAGCCCACAAGCGTAATCCCGCATCCAACAGCATTCATATACGAAATCGGGTTACGGAATATTAACCATGACACCATTACAGCCACCGCAACCTGCAAAAAACAGAACAATGAAGAAGCATGCTCAAAGAGTTAGATCAAAAGTTGTTATCTTTTGTTAGTTTAGGATTTTGTCTTTGTGTTACCTTGAGGTTCCCAGCTACGTTGAAGGTGACTGCGGTTGTGGAGTGAATGACGTAGAAGATGGAGAAGTTGAGACAGAAGGCTAACACACCAGAGCTGAAGATGATGATGAGAGCTGACCACGGAGACGGATGTGCATCAAACCAGCTCAGAATTCCATTTCCTTCAAGCAATAACGCCGGTATCCCGAGAATCATGGTGGCGAAAGGCGCCATGTAGTACACGGTGTTGATGCTAAAATAAAGAAAAACAGATCAAAATCAAATCTTTCTTCTACGCAGATGAGATATCCATAGGTTTAATTCTCAAAAGGTGATGTTATATTAGAGATACTGTAGTGACTTTGTAGCTAAACCCTTTTTCAATTTGGACTAAGATGGCATCAGAGGACTAAATCAGGATTAAAGTTCCAAAATTTAATAGTATCATAGCAAGAAAATGATGCAGAGGCTTGAGGAAAGAGCACTGACCTGTCAAATTTGTAGCCATGGAGGAGAGATTCGGCTAGAATGGTCTTAGTGGAAGTAGCTAAACAACCAAACAGTGCAGCACAGAATCCAAACATGTTAAAGCTAAGTTCCGTAACAGAGGTCAGAAGAATCCCTCCAACGATCGGCACCAGAGACGCCCATATACGCCAGTCGAAGTATTTCCTCCATACCAACCACTGTAACACAACTGCTCAAAACACAAATACACATAGAAAACAAGCAGATTCTCTTGAGATCAAAGAAAGATGAGTAATTGCAGAATTCAATCTCAAAAACCCTAACCTGTAGTTGCTGGAGTGAAGGATTTGATCGTCTGCATAAACGACACCGGGATGTAACGGAGGCTGACGTTTCCGAGCACTATGTTGATGCAGAACACGAAAGACATTGGGAAAATCCTCCTCCACCGATCTTCTGGATCGACGACGATCAGTGGTTTAAGCTTCAGGACTTTGATAACGATGTATGCTCCAATCGATGAACATATGAAGTGAACACATGAAACCGATAGTGGGAACTTGAAATCAAGTTTCTGCAAAATTCAAATTCAAAACATTTCTCATCACTCATCACTCTATGAAAGCTGAAAACCGCAGATTAAACTCATCAAATTAACAAACATCAAATTCCTCATCACGAGATCAGATCAACAGCGAATAGATTAAGAAACAAAGAAATTTGGGATGTTAAAATTGAGTAAAACCTAATTCAAGGGAAACTGAAGGTGAAAGGTACCTGGAAGATCCATTTGTTCATGATGATGACGGTAACGTTGAAACCCCACCACTGGAGAATCGCTAGAAGAGATCTGAACATACTTCCTTCTTCCATCTCTCTCAAATCCTATCTCTCCTCTCGAGAATTTCGACGAATTTTGGAATCAGATCGCAAAATGACAAAAACCCAGGAAAAAGATTGACGAGTTTTAAGAAGAGAATCCGATCAAGAGAGCGAGAGCTGCGGCAGCTAAATAGAGGAGAAAGAGGGAAGAAGAAGGAGAGGAAGCCCTAGAGAAAGTGAAAAGTGGAGAAGGTAACGGTAGCAGTGAGGAGGTCTTGTTCCATGTGATTTGTTTCGAATTCTCTCTTTCTGTTCATCAATCTCAAACGTCTCTCTCTGCCTTCTCTCTCTCTTTCTTATGCCATGAAAATAATGTTTTGCTCTTCCGTAGGATTTTCCCATTTATTATAAGAAATCTTTTTCTTTAAAAGAAAAAAGGAAAGCTCTTTTCACAGTTAAATTCTTTTTTTGTTTGGACATTATGATAAAAAAAAAAATTAATCAAGTACAGTAAGGAAAAAAAGATAGTCAAAATATCATGAAATGGTATTTCCATGTTTTCCAGATCTTGATGGATATTAATATTATATTTTGGTAACAAGTTTCAACAAAAAAAAAAAAAGTTTTGGTAACAAGTTACAATTTTTTAAAAAAATATTAAATCTAGTTTTGTCCTGTTTTGTTAACTGTAATTAATACTAAATACTACGGTGGAGTTGAATTTGAGTGATAATACAAGGATACAAATTACTAAACTATTTTTTTTTTTATTATCATATAACCATATGTATTACTTAAAATGCAAGTATATATATGACTAATTTATGCTAGCAAGTAGCACTGTAAGGTTTTGATTGTGTCACCATAGTCCATAGGGTTTTGTTAATCAAATTAGTGATGTAAGTAAACAATTTTCAGCGAAAGGAAACTAAAATGCACGATCAAAGTTTTTTCTTAACTATTGTATCCTTAAAGTTGTTCTTCGTGTTATAATCAAAACATATTGTTATTGCCCCATATTTTAAAAGATTGTTGAAAATTGTTTTGTGATATTCTGTTCTGTCCCACATACTTCCGAGGATACAGGGATAACACTGCCGTCCGATGAACATGACGTTGACATCCCACTGGTACTGTCTAATTTTTTTATTAGTTATGGAATATCAAATTTGTTATATCTTTTAATTTGTATTCTACATTTCTGTTATACTAAAGTTTTTTTCCTGTTATATTAAAGTTGAACGTTATATAGTCACCACATTAATTTACTGCAATTCAATAATGTATACTATATACGAAACTGGTTTTTGAATTAAATGCAAAAACCACTAACAATATACTTATAGCATTTGTGCGTTGAAATTTTAAACTTAAGTTATGAAAATTATGGACCAAGCTACTCAAGCAAGGACAATATCGTGGAAAATACGAAATAGCCTTTAAACTTAAAAGTTTTGTAGGATCTTAAGTTTTCTCTGAAAGCTGAAGCTATATATGTTTGGCAGCCAAATTCAAACGAAAATAAACGGCGGCGTTATTCAACGATAATCGGTCATGAATTTCATGATTTTATATATTTTAAAAATCCTTTTAACATATTTCATTTTCACAGTATCACAAGCAAAATGCATGATATAATGGAAACCAATTTAGACTTCATGAATTTGTTGCTGCATACGACCATTCAATATGTATTGAGTTTTTGACTGACTTGGTCAAAGTACGAGAAAATCAATCCTATAATATGATGGTCTCACTTTATGTGAACAATAAGATACGGAATATTAATAACAATAATAACTTCAACAAAAATGAAAAATCCAAGATCTTGAATGAAGTAGGCAGCAAGTTTTGGTTCCCTTTTGCAGAGTAAGCAATGAATACAATTTTTTACTTAACTACAAAGGTAAAATGCCAATCATTTTCTCCTATCAAAATTTTAGACGACTCGATAAGCATATGCTCGTTGGCAAAAAAGAGAGAGAGAGAGCAGGTAGTTATATATAGATGATTACTTGATTAAATGAAGATGATTTTGAGCAACAAAAGCTTAGGATATCGAGTCTTGATTATTCTAAAAGTCACAAACAAAGTCAAATATAACTTTTGAAATGTTAATCATCAATTTATTTCCATTTACTCACTATACCGAGAGCAAGTCATTTTCACATTGATTCGTGACACATAAACCAATCTTTCACAAGCAAACGAGGAGAAAGACATCTACAAATTAAAGCCAAAATAGTATCTATTTAGAGAAATTTGTGTCTTCAAAAGTCATACGACTCATACCACAACCACCATTATTATTATTGTTCCTCATTTAGTTTTCAATTTACATTGATGATTTGTCCAAAAAAATTACACTGATGCAAGAAATTATAATCTCAGCAATGGAATGGAGACTAAATATGATCAAGAATCATTACGGTCGAGAGATAAGTGTGCCACTAAGTATCAAATCACATTGGTGGTGTCTTGTCCCTTTGCTTACTACACCATCTAATGAGTAGATATATGATTTGGAAAATTGCAACAATCAACAATCAATCAATTAAATCTTCGAAATCTACTAATGAGCAAATCATTAGTACCATAACGTTTTCAAAAAACGTTAGACGATAATCAGATATTTTGGGCGTATAGGCCCATATATACTTTTTGGGCTTGTGTGTTTCTGTACAAGTTAGTTATCCTCCTCCTGCGTGTACAGTCTTCTTCAACAGGAAAATAAATAAAAATAAAATAAGAAAGGAAAAAAGTGTCCCTCCCGCTTAAACCTCCCTCCTTCCTTCCTCCGATTTCCTCGCAGAAACACCGTTGGGATTCCGATTCGTCTCTCTTCAGTCCAGTGAGGATTATCTAGGGCTATTTTTCTGGGCTTCTTCTCGTCTCCATTTTGATATCGATTTCAACTAGCGGTGTACGGGATGGAGAAAACTCCGACGCAGACTGTTTCCGAAATGGGTTCTCGTTTGCTTCAGCTATCTCGTCCAAACAAGGGCTCGCTTGTGAAGTCGCTACGGGTAATTTATTTTTTTTCCGAAGCTGATTCCGACGAATTGATTAACTTCGAACTTGAAAATAAGCTCTGGGTTTGTTTTTGATTATCTCGATTTTATCACTCTGGGGTTTGATTTCTTCACTGAGAATAACTTGTTTTTACTCCGGAAAAGCTCGATTCCTCGGAAATCGACTTGAAATCGAGTGGGTTTGATGGGAGAGAACCTATTTCGTGAGGATTTCTTAATCGGTTTGCCTTGTTTCTCAATGGTTTTGCGGTAGCTGCATCTCTCGCTTTTGCAGATTTGAAATCGATTTTCGTTTTTGTCGATCGCTGATTTGATGGTAGCTTAAGCGTTGTTTCTGCTGATATTTTGTAGATCAGATCCGAAATAGTCTATGGGGACGATTTATGTTCATTATCACTTTCGATCATTGCTTACAGTCATATATCTGTTAATTTGCAGGAAGTTGCTACTACTCTATCACAAATCGAGCAGCCTAGAGTCACCGAAATGGTGAACAAGAAAAAAGCTCTGAAACTTCTCGAAGCCGAGTTAAAACCTCTGACGAAATCCATTATAAAGCATGACCTTCTTAAGAGTCGTGATAACGACGTGAGCTTTTTGGTCACTGTTTGTGTCACCGAGATTTTTCGGATTTTGGCACCCGAGCCACCTTTTGAAGACAAGTATCTCAGGGTATGAAGATCCTTTTAACTCCTTCGCAATAAATATGTATCTGTTATGTTTTCTCAATTCTCATTTATGGTTCTTGTTTGAGTAGACACTAGCATTCGTGGGTTATTTTAACATGTCATATCTCGATTTCAGGATATCTTCAACCTCTTTCTTGCTGAGTTTTCTGAGCTATCTGATACTGGAAGCCCTTATTTCTCGAAGAGGGCGAAAATATTGGAGACAGTCTCGAGATGTAAATGTTGTCTGGTAATGCTGGACGTGGAATGCTATGACTTGATCCATGAGATGTTTAACATATTTTTCTCTGTTGTAAGGTTAGTGACGAAACTTTTTCTTCAAGTGATTTCACTGCTACTCTGATATTGAACTGCTTTAACAAGGTCCTTTTTCCTTCTTCTTTACAGAGAGCACCATGAACAAAATTTAGTTCACCAGAAAAAGGATAAAACGCAGCAGCGAAACGCTAACACGCAGCAAACACAACAGAGTTTATTTAATGACATTTTAACTATAATGATTGATATTCTGAAGGAAGAGGCAAGTTCGTCACTTGTGGATGTTATTCTGCAAAATCTTGTGAAGGAGGAAAAGGTATAGTTGTACTGAGATTAATTATCTTATCCATTATGATTTGCAAAATTATCAGTTGATTTTTTTTTTGAATTCTTGTGTGTTTGCAGGATGCAACTTCTGCTGCTAATAACCTCGCCAGTTCTCTCATTGAAAGCTGTACCGACACGCTGGAGCCGTTAATTTGCAGCTTTTTATCATCATGTTTTATGGAGAAAGATTCCATCCAGACCAATCTCAAGGATTCTTATCACGAAATCATATTTAAGATCTCCTTAAGTGCTCCCCAGATATTGCTAGCAGTTATCCCGAACTTGACCAAAGAACTACTGGTATTTATTGTAGACTTGCGAATTTATTGGTTAAGTTGTGTTAGTTAGGAATGTATAGACTGTTTTGTTTTAAATGTGTTGATATTCATGTTTGTTTATTTAGTTACTCACCAGGGTTGTTATTTTCTCTGTCTGCAGACTGATCAGGTCGATGTACGCATTAAGGCCCTTAACTTAGCTGGAAGGATTTTTGCACAGCCGAAGCAGTGTTTCGGAGAAATATATCAAGATCTTTTTGCTGAGTTCTTGAGAAGATTCTCAGATAAATCTGCAGAAGTCAGAATAGCTGCATTGAAATGTGGCCAACAGTGTTACTTGGTGAATCGGTCTGGAAACAAAGCATCTGGAGTTCTCAGTAATATTCCAAAAGCTTATTCTCTCTTTTTTTTCCATGGTTCTTCTTTTCTGCCTATCTTCTAATAGTACCTGGTGTCCTTTATTGGTTTTTTTTATGTGTCAGCTGCCATCCAAGAACGCCTATTAGATTTTGATGACAGGGTTAGAACACATGCTCTGGTTGTTGCTTGTGATATCATGAAGTCTAATATGAAGTATGTTCCTTTGAATCTGATTTCTGAAGCCATTGAGAGACTTCGGGACAAGAAGGTGCTCTAGTTTCAGTATATGATGCGTTGCTCAGTGGATATTTTTGTTTCCATATCACCCACCACCTTATTTGATATTGTGCTTTTCTTTTGAAAAGATATCTGTTAGGAAGAAGGCGCTGCAGAAGCTGACGGAAGTATATCAAGACTATTGTGACAAGTGTTCAGAAGGAAAGATGACAATAAATGATCATTTTGAGCATATCCCATGCAAAATCTTGCTGCTTTGCTGCGATAAAAATTGTGAAGAATTCAGGTAGCACAAGTTACCAACTATCCTTGAATTGATTTTATAACTAGAGAAGTATTTTTGACAAACTAACATAGTTCTATGAATCACTTAGGCCCCAAAATATGGAACTTGTGCTCTCCGATGATCTTTTCCCTCGCCTTCTTCCAGTTGAGGAGAGGATGCGGCACTGGGTACAATGTTTTTCCGTGATGAACCATATTCAGTTGAAGTCACTCAATTCAATCTTATCTCAGAAGAGAAGGTAGCCCGAAAAATTCACATTCAATATAGGTTAAAAGGCTTTCTTGTTATTCACTCGGTATGTTTGCAGGTTACAAATTGAATTGCGGCATTGCCTGGCCCTCTGGGGTCAAGCTAAGGTCTGATTTACTTGTTTCTCTTAAGTTTTGGTGTCTCTCACATTCTCAGGGCTTCACAAACCTTACATTGCTCATTTTGTTATATTAATCTGATGCTTGCTTCAGGATCACAATATAGAAGAAGTGCAAAGAAAACACAAAAGCTATTTTGTAAAGCTTTCAGCTTGCTTTCCAGATGCCTCCAAGGCAGAAGGTTTCTTCCACAACTTAGACCAAAGGAGAGACACATCGATTTTTGATGCCTTAACTCTACTGCTGGATGAACTGACATTCACAAAAGCCCAGACTATTAGAGTAAGTCCAAAGTTTTGCGACAGGCAGATAAAGTACTTACTAATGTGTAATTTATGTTTAGTTTCTTCACAATTCATAATGCTTTCTAGGAAACATCTACAGTATCATGAATATTCTACTTTTTTCCATTCTTGACGTATTCTATGATGCATTGTTTTAGTAGTATCAGCAAGAGTATGTTATAGGAAATGCATTGGTATTCATAATGACGAAAATAATAGACCCTTTAATGTGCATATTGGATGTATTCAACTTCACTACATTTTAGAGAAGTGATTCGTTTTCTCATTGTTTTTTTTCCAGGAGAAGTTTCTCAAGACGATTGGTTCTAAACATCATCTTTTTGAGTTCTTACGTACACTTACTACAAAATGCTCGCCTTCTATATTTAGCTCAGAGCATGTCCAATATCTTCTGAATCAGCTATGTGGGAGCACCTCTGTTACTGCTCAATTGAAGGCTCCTTCCATCAAACTTCTTCTGGTAAGAACTTATGTTGGGGAACATGCATACTCTAATTGATATCCTTATATTTAAGTTCCTTTTGTTCCAATTGATATCTGTTCTTTTGCTCAATTTAGCCATTTAGGTGTTCCGTTGTTAATTTTATTGTTCCATATAATACATATATAAAAAATTTAGGTATATCGGCATTCTTAAGCAAACCTTATTATTATGCATACATCTACTTCGAATACGTCAATGAGACACAGTTATTTATTTCCTAAATTAGGTTATCCTCAACATGTTCCCTTCTTACCTGAGAGGTTCGGAAAAGCAGTTTCTGAAGCTGCTAGAGGAGAATGATTCATTTGCTGACGAGTTAATTGAAGCTCTATCAAAGGCAGCTCCTTATATTTCTGTCAACTTCGGGTAATCTTTTTAGCACTATTTGACTTACAATGTGTTTAGGTTAACTTATTAGCATTCTTGTATGTTTCTTAGGCCTGGTAGTATTACTTACTGGTTTGCCTTTGCAGTGACTATTACCCTGTTCTGGAGAAGATGTGTCTGGAGGGTACTCGTTCTCAGGCAAAATATGCTGTTTCTACCATCGCTTCATTGGGTGGAACATCGGACCAATCTGTCTTATCCGAGTTATGCGAGGTTATTTTTTCTAAAACCTATATTTGTGTTAATTTGTTCTAATCCTCATTTACTTGCTCACATATGGATTTTCTAGATTGAAGGCATTTATGTGATTGTTATGTGTCTGGCTTTGGGAAGATCCTTAGCGTATAACTTTATAGTGCTTTATGTTCTCCGGAACCTAACTCTTGGATTAAGTGACATTTTATAAGTGATGGAGTGATAAAGATTGTAGGGAACATCGCTTTGATTTATTAGACAGTCTGTTCTCTGCACTCACAGTGCTCCCTTTTAATTAGTGATAGTTTAGACTTTTAGAGAAACTTGAGTGTTGTCATTGATTGTTTCACTTTAATTTTACTCAGATGCTCATAAATTCTTTGTTGGGTGGACGGAACATTCCAACAACTTTGCAATCTTTGGCGTGTGCTAGTCAATATTCTGTTTTGGCATTTGACAATATATATGAAGATATCAGCAGCTACGTTTACCAGGTTTTTCAAGTAAGTGGCAAGTGGTGCTAGTCTTCAAAACTGATATGGGGATATCCAGCTAGTTCTTTGTTTTCTTATATTTTCCTAATTGTTGATGGTAACATTTCATAGGAGGAACCATCTGACAGTCAACCTCCTTGTGATCAGTCTTCTGGTTGTTGCAACTCTTGCAAGCTAAAGGTAAGTGCTGGAGAAGGAAACACTTTTGCTTACCGTTTATTAGTTGCTGAGACAAAGTGAAACAAGTGCGGCGTTGGTATATGTTTACTTTGGAAGAAGTTCAGGATTTCATGCTTTACTGCAGAATTTTTAAGAATAATGTTGCCGCATATAAATATAAGTCTGAATCACATTATCGTTGAGAATGATGCTATTCCTTTATTGGTTAGACAAGGATAGGAGTGTAAGCCTTGATTTGACTTGTGGCCTTTGGCAGATATATGGGCTCAAAACACTTGTGAAAAGTTTCTTGCCTCGTCGTGGTCAAGTCGTAAGGAAAATCGATGACTTGTTAAACATATTGAAGAAAACACTAAAATCACAGGGATACGTTGGCATAAAATCATGGTATGTTCCTTTGATAGTCATCCAAATTTATGAGCTTTTACAATTCCATTATCACTTTCTCTTGGTACATTCCTCATCCTTGTTGACTTGTCATATGATCGAACTGAAACTTGTAGTGAGGACACGGGGGCTCATGTTAGACTGGCTGCTGCTAAAGCTGTTCTATTGCTGTCAAGGAAATGGGACCTTCATATTTGTCCTGAAACTTTTCGTCTCACCATCCTGATGGGAAAGGTAAAGTGAGTTGTATCTTGTACAACAAATTCATGAATATTATTCGAACTGGATAATTTTAACTGCTTGTTCTACAATTTGTATTTTCTATTGAGTGATGGCAAGTTATGAGTCGACTGTTACAGTGACCACTAGCTGCATCCTGCATTTTGTAACTTATGAGAGTATCTATCCTTGAATATAGGAAAGTTTCAATAGTGGCTTGGGTTAATGCCTTTATAGATGGTAGTTTATTCTGAAGAAAAGGGTGTTTTTTTGTAGTGTGAACCATGTAGGGGCAGTGAAGGCAGTCTGGCTCATAATTGCTTCATTTGTTTTTTCGTACTGGATGTATATGCTTAGAAAGTTGGATTTATTGGTGAATTTATGGTGCACTTGATTGTCTTTCTGACTGTTTACCTACTTCTACCAGGACTCCAACGCCTTTATTACCAGGAATTTTCTCACCAAATTACACAAGCTATTGACGGAACATATGATACCCAGTAGATACGCGTGTGCTTTTTCGTTTTCCGTGTCTGGTCCTTGCAGAGAACTGCAAGATGATGTAACTTGCTCATACTCCTCACTTTAAGAAAGGACTATTTCGGTTGTTTTAATCCTTTAAGTTCTCTGAGAATTTTCTTGTCTTTTTGTTCAGTCAATTAGATACATCAATGGATTCATCAAAAATGCTAGAAGAGAAGCTACGACATGTCGGAATTTAGATCAAGGGGAGTCACTCACTGATTGTCCAGCTTACATGACAGTGTTCCTGATCCATGTTCTTGCACATGACCCAGAGTTCCCTCCAGAAGACTGCACGGATGAGCATGTATATGCTCGGTTTTGTAGGTAATTGCTGAGTTCCTATTATTGTTTGTGGTTGGTTTCTATCTGAACTTGTGTTCTTACTTCTTCCTTTTGGCAGCCCTCTGTTCTCGGTCTTACAGGTGCTACTTAGTATCAAGGAAACGATCAAGGAAACTGTCCCTTTCTTATTTTGTATCTTCCGTGCAATTAAAAGAGCCGAGGATGCTGTTAATGCTCGTAAAACTACTGTAAGTTTGGCGTAATGGCATTGGATAATACAGACGTTTCTTACCATTCGTACGCTATATTTTTTTATGCTTTGAACTGCAGAGGCTGCATATTTTAGCTGATATCGGTTGTTCAGCTGTCAACACATTAAAATCTCTTGCCGTCACTTCTCCACAAGCTCCACGATCGGTTTTGCTACCATCATCTTTGTACAAATTAAGCCTCACTAGCATGTCAGATAACCAGGCAAGTCCTGCATTGTGTCAATATTGCTCAATTTGTGACTTTAACTAACGTTTTATGTTTCCGGGAATGCACTCTGCAGAAGAAGGCTAAGTCTCATACTCGAAATGCTTTGGAACAAAGTTTCATTGAAAGAGTAATTCATATATTCCAATCACAGATCTCCCTGGTATATCCATTTTGCAACTTCTTACTATCCTTTACCTGCCTAAATTATTCCATGCATGTTTGCCTTTTCCTGATCCTATTTACTTGAACTCTTTCCAAGTATGATCAGAGCTGTCAAGAAGATACCCCAGCAGTTGTTTTAGAGGACAGAGTTTTGCCTACATTATTGGGCAATCAAATCGAAACCTCAATGACTGGTTCAACCGAAGCCAGCAAAAAAATAACAAGGTGTAGCAGGAAGCGGACTCATTTGGGATTGCCTGAAAAAAGTGCTACTGCCGGGGAGAAGACAAATGCTTCTTCAAAAAGGTGTAAAACAGGAGAGGGGCCAGAAATGATTTCCTGTGATTCCTTATCTTTGAGAACAGTTGAGTCGGAAGTTCCTATAAAGAAGCTTGAAAGACACAGTACTTTTTCAAAGGAGAGTGTTGGAGCAAGTGTAAGCAATAACGTTACATCTGCAAAACACTCCGGGGTAGTATCTGCTTTAAAGGTAAAATTCACAAGTATATCTTAGATCTTTATATAAACTATCCATCCATATCTTCCTGTGATGCCAGTTATTGATTTCCACAGGATATCAGCAACCACGGCGAAACAATTATTGGGCAGCGGATTAAATTACTCTCTCCCACTGATGGATGGTAGAAAATTTCTTATAGACAGTCGACCAAATATATTCTGGAGTTTCCATAATTTTTTGTTTTTATTTTGTTTTATACCAGTTTCTATCCGGGCACTGTTGAGAGATTTAATTCTAAAAGCAACTCGCACAAGGTATGCCTGTGACTTCAGAGCCCACATTATTCTGTTTAATCGTTAATGACTGTTTATCCATTCGTCCCCAGGAGTGTAGTATTCATTCTCTAAGGAACTATTTATTAAATGCTATACTGGCATATGATGAGATGATTGACAAGATTTATTGCCTTGTCATTGTATCTATCTTTGTACTAATTACGGAAGATATTACATTATTAGAGATATCGAGTTCCAATACCATGAAAGCATCATTAGTACTCGAATAAGCATTCTGTGATATGAGCTCTTTATGCTCAAAGTTGGTCATATAGAACTCGAGTAGCATACATCTTCCTTTCGTCCTCATTCTCTGCCTTTATCTTGCTGCACTACATCTGTTTCTGCTTTGTTGCAGATTGTTTTGGATAATGGGGATGTTGAATTGGTTTGCTTGGAGAGCGAGAGCTGGGAGACCCTGAGCCATGAATCTATGGGAACACAGGTAAAAACGGAATGTTCTGTGTGATTCATGATTCGAGTGCTAACATCTTGGAATCCAAAATGAACTTGACACAAGAACAATTGTGTAACATTTTTAATTGCTCAGGAAATCTTGGGAAAGGAGACGGAGTCTTTTGGTTCTCGGAATTGGTGAGTTCCACAATCAGCCGACTTTCTTTGAATTACTGCATCTCTGATTGCTCAATATTCCGTATAATCTGCAATGATCTTGAGAGATATACCTATGATTTCTGCAGCGTTCCTGAAATGACTCATACACATGCAAAAGCTAATGACCAAAAGCAGAAAACTACAACAAAGCAGCAGAAGAAAAAGGTGCCTGCTAAATTGATTCCTCCACCTGGTAAAGTGCTGCAAACTTCCCATTTGTGCTATTGTTGACTTATTAAGGCATTTGGCTGATTAGTGTGTATAAGTCCATGTGGTGGAAACTATAAGCATAGGAGAGGCAATTTTGTTCACGTTTAGTTGGTTATACTTGTACATTAACGTTCTTCTTGATTGGTTTTGGATTTGATATCTAACGACTCTTGCCATGTTTCACGATTTCAGCAAACTCAATAAAAGGAAAATTGGTTTCAGGAGAAGCATCAGTTTCGCTTTCAGAAGTGACCAACACAAGTGACGCCATTGTAAACACTCTCTCTTTCACGTTTAGTGCGTCTTAAATTTGGCCAATGATCACAATACTAATCAGAAGACGGAATGTTATTTGCTCAATTTTCAGGGACTTAGAAGAAGTCGGAGACACAGAATTTCTTAGGAACATGATGGTGCTGGAACAATGGAGTTTCTAAATATAACCTCGTACAAAATAATTAACGAAATCCTTGTCTAGATTTGAACATGTGAATGACCACCGACGCCAAAAGAATACGCACAAAGTTTTAAAACTTTTCATTTTGTTTGTCAACTTCATAATCAAGTCATTTTCAAACTTATCTAACTAAACCAAAACTTACCAAAGTTCTCCAAAAATATCTTCCTTTTCAGTTGGATTAATTTTTCCAAAGAGAAGAGAAGACTTTATTTGTTTATTTATTATTTGTTGTAGAATGCAGTTAGATTTGGTTGTGAAATTAGGTGCGAAAGGTATGAGATTGACAATAAGAGCGTTTTATGGAATGAGATTTGGCATACCAACAAGAAGAGGTTATCTGCATTTGTTGCATGGCCGTTTGTCAGACAGGCCTAACACATCCTACGGTCCTCATCATCCGCCTACTTCATCTTACAATCCTCACCCTCCACGTGTATGGACTTTTCTTATTATATTCCTCCTTTAGGCTTGAATAATTCAAATTCAGAAATCAGTTTTTTTGTTGTTTTGCTTCTTAATTCTTCATCTCGTTTCGTCTTTTCACCTCCACAGTCCTCTCGACGTCTCCGCTAAGAGACGATTATACCCTCGCCGCTCTGCGTCTCTCTAAATTGCAAACCTCGCTCGCTGCTTTGTTTCGTTTTCAATTTCCGACGACGGTTTCGTTTCGCTTCTCCGTTCACCTGCTTCGATCACTGTAAACCCCGTTCTCTCTCTCTCGCTTCTTCTGCTTCACATTTCCGATTGCATTCTTCGAGTAGAAGTGTGTTTCTCTCTCTTTGAGGCTTGATTAGTTTGCTCTACTCTCGTTGTTTCTCTCAGATCTTTTCAAAGTTGAGCTCATTATTGTAGGAGATCAAAGGTTAAAAAAAACTAAGTTCATGAGAGTGTTCTTCTGCTTAAGCAATGCAAATCTGTATTAGAATCGTAGAACGATCGCGTGTCGTGTTAAGCTTGTGTTGCAGTTGGTTTCGTGAAATTGATTATCCTAATAACAATGTTCAACAATGTGATTGCAGGAGAAGGTGTTCATTAGCCATATAACTCAGTGAAATCTTCTGGAAGATGATTCCTTATGCAGCTGGTGTCATTGTGCCTTTAGCTTTGACGCTTCTGGTTCGGAATTCGAAGAAAGATAAGAAAAGAGGTGTGATTGTTGAGGACGTTGGTGGAGAACCAGGTCATACCATTAGGAACCACAGGTTCGTTGATCCCGTTAGCTCCCACTGGGAAAACATCTCGACGCTTCCAGAGCTCTTTGAGATCTCGTGTAAGACTCACAGCGAGAGGTCTTTCCTTGGGACACGGAAGCTGATCTCTAGAGTGATTGAGACTAGTGAAGATGGCAAAACGTTTGAGAAGCTTCATTTGGGTGACTACGAGTGGTTGACCTTTGGGAAAACGCTTGAAGCTGTGTGCAATTTCGCTTCTGGTTTGGTTCAGATTGGACACAGTTCTGGAGAACGAGTCGCCATTTTCGCTGACACGAGAGAAGAATGGTTCATTTCCCTACAGGTGCTTTTTCCAGTTCTTTTGGCTGTTAATCCGAATGCACTGTTGAATGTTGATACAGTTTGGAAACTTATTGTGTGATTCACTGTTACAGGGCTGCTTCAGGCGCAATGTTACTGTGGTCACTATCTACTCATCTTTGGGAGAGGAAGCTCTTTGTCACTCGCTGAATGAGGTAGTCCTCGCTTTGCTTCTCTTCACTATCCGTGTGATCATTCACTAGTAGAGCTTATATGATTCCTTTTCTTTTACGCTCCAGACAGAGGTCACAACTGTAATCTGTGGTAACAAAGAACTCAAAAAGCTCATGGACATAAGCGACAACCTTGAAACTGTGAAACGCGTTATATGTATGGATGATGAGTTCCCATCTGAAGCGAAGAGTACTTGGAAGACGACTTCATTTGCTGATGTTCAGAAGCTTGGCCTCGAAAATCCTGTCGAGCCTAATTTCCCACTTTCAGCAGATGTTGCTGTTATAATGTACACCAGTGGAAGCACTGGGCTTCCCAAGGTTAGAATGTTTTCGAAACCAGTTTACTCTTACATTTATCGTGTATAAAATTACTCATTCTGATTTGCGCACTTCCTGAATTGTATAGGGTGTTATGATGACACACGGTAATGTCCTAGCTACAGTTTCAGCAGTGATGACGATTGTTCCAGACCTCGGAAAGAGAGATATATACATGGCCTATTTACCTTTGGCTCACATCCTTGAGTTAGCAGCTGAGGTATCTTAAATATTTATTGCTCAAATGCGTTTATTCGGCAGTTCCTTGACACTCAATGCGTTTATTGAATACGGCATGAATGTTGTTGTTGTTGTAGAGTGTAATGGCTACTATTGGGAGTGCTATTGGATATGGGTCTCCCTTGACGCTCACTGATACTTCAAACAAGATTAAAAAGGGTACAAAAGGAGATGTCACAGCACTAAAGCCCACTATAATGACAGCTGTTCCAGCCATTCTTGACCGTGTCCGGGATGGTGTGCGCAAAAAGGTTTGTGCATATTGAACATACATTGAAATTCTTTTGCTTGTTAAAGTAGTTTAGCTTTTGCTCTGCTATGCTAGTTGTTTAAATGATACCAGCCATCTTGACAATTTCTGACAATCAGGTTGATGCAAAGGGCGGATTAGCTAAGGCATTGTTTGACTTTGCATATGCTCGGAGATTATCTGCAATCAATGGAAGTTGGTTCGGAGCCTGGGGTTTGGAAAAGCTCCTATGGGATCTGCTTGTGTTTAGTAAAATCCGTGCAGTCTTGGGAGGTCGAATCCGCTATTTGCTCTCTGGTGGTGCCCCTCTCTCTGGTGAAACTCAGAGATTCATTAACATATGCATTGGGTAAAAGCATCTCTGAATATCTCCTTGAGTCTTGCTACTCTCCAATATTAGGGTGGCTGATTTATGTTTTCGTTCCTCAGGGCTCCAATCGGTCAGGGATATGGGCTCACAGAGACTTGTGCTGGTGGAACCTTCTCTGAGTTTGATGACACATCCGTTGGCCGTGTGGGCGCTCCACTTCCTTGCTCTTTTGTTAAGGTAGCCTCTTTACCTGACATGTCCACCATTTTTGTTTCATGGTTGCTTATTTTCACGCTTTGTTAGCTATTTATGGTTTATTAGTTTGTATGTAGTAAGTAGTCTCTTACGATCGTATGCTTAAATCTTGTTTCAGCTAATAGACTGGCCAGAAGGTGGGTATCTAATCAATGATAAGCCGATGCCCCGTGGTGAAATTGTAATTGGTGGCTCAAATATCACACTCGGGTATTTCAAGAATGAAGACAAAACTCAAGAAGTGTACAAGGTGGATAATTTTAACATTTCATTATCAGTTTCTGCAATGTTTTAAGATTCGTTTGTTACTTCCTCTAACCGTGCTTATATACACTTTAATGTTTCAAAGGTTGATGAAAAGGGAATGAGATGGTTCTACACAGGAGACATTGGACGATTTCACCCTGATGGTTGCCTCGAGATTATAGACCGAAAGAAGGATATCGTTAAACTTCAGCACGGCGAATATGTCTCCTTGGGAAAAGTATAGTCTTCTCAAATCGAAACTTCCATGTTTTTTTTTTTCTTTTCCATATCAGTTTATTAATAGAGTCCTTGTTTTTGCAGGTCGAATCTGCTCTCAGTATAAGTCCTTACGTCGAGAATATAATGGTTCATGCTGATCCATTTTACAGTTTCTGTGTGGCTCTTGTGGTGGCGTCTCAGCAAACACTTGAAGGTTGGGCCTCAAAGCAAGGAATAGACTCAGCCAACTTCGAAGAGCTTTGTGCGAAAGAGCAAACCGTGAAAGAAGTGTATGCGTCTCTTGTCAAGGTAATAATGTTCATCTCTGAAGAAGGCATTTATCAAGCGATTTGTGTTCACAAAAATCAGTTCCTTATGATGTAATTCTGTGGTATGTTTTTGCAGGCGGCTAAACAATCACGGTTGGAGAAGTTTGAGATACCAGCAAAGATCAAACTGTTGGCTTCTCCATGGACGCCAGAATCAGGTTTAGTCACAGCAGCGTTGAAGCTTAAAAGAGATGTAATTAAAAGGGAGTTCTCTGAAGATCTCACCAAGTTATATGCTTCCTAAATCTTCTTCTTCTTCAACTCCTTTTTCGTTTTTTCTTCCCAACGCATGCCAAAGGTGCAACAAACAAAGAAAACTCAGTCTCAGAGTATATTACTTGCTTTTGTTCTTCTGTTACACAACTTGAATTTCTTTTCTTGTTGTTTATCTGGTTGGGAAAAAAAAGAGTTGTTGTGGCAACTTTAGGCCCATTTACTCTCAACAATCAAACTTTACGACATAGGCCTAAAACAAAAAATGGGCCTTTATCAAGCTAAGGCAGTTGTTGTCAAGCCATAATGCAATGTTCATGAAACCAATAATATAGCTGTTTGAAACAGTGAGAATTTCTGATTCATAATCTGAAGTCTCGAGATAAACGACAACAGAAAGAGACTATTAATTGTACAATTTGAAGTGAAAGTAAAGCTACATTACCAACTACTAACAATTAAGAAATATTAACACAGGGCAGGAGTTAATAATTTACTCGATATTTGAATTAGTATTATTATCGTAGAAAGACGAAAGGATTTCAATCGAAGCAGAGTTAAGAGGAGAAATCTCAGCCGTCCGATAAACTGTGTATCTCACTCACTGATTTGTCAGGGAATCCAATGGCCAGTCTCAGCTCTTAATCCCATGTACTTAAAACTTTTCCATTACCAAGTCAACAAACAAGTTCCTTAAATTAAAAGCTGCGCAGCTGCTTTCTAAATTTTATAATTTCCTAAAATAATGTCGATAAAACTGACTGTTAGAGAAAAAAAATACAACAGCGTCATAATTGACTAGAGAGAGGTAATTAAGGCGCAATAAAATCGTTCAAATTTCTATCTGTAATTTATTTTTGGCAAATACTGGATCTCTTTTTTCGAAATTAGAGATCCTATTACTTTATTTATTTTCATTATTTTAAAATTGTCTTTTTACTTAAAAATTTTGTTGAAAATTGTGGAAAAAGTTAAACCAAATCTTCCTTACTTTTTCCACAATTTAATTTTTATTTTTCTTCTTTTGTAATGGCTTTCTGTTCTAGTTAAAAACTGAGAATAATGCAAATGATGACAAAAAAATGTAGGAGGTGATTGGTTGTCGCTGTAGAAACTGTAGAGAGCAAAAAAAAATTCTAAAGCCAAATAGATTACTAATCATGCTCTATACTTTTTTTTTAAAACCTACAGCCTTCTTTCATTTCTTTCATTTTTCCTTCCTTTTTTAGTTTTGCAGATCAAAATTTCTAGAACATAATTTTAAAGGCTCTGAATTTCTTTTTTTTCTCTCTTTGATTCTTTCCAAATATATTGTTTTTTCTTTACTTTTTTCCTTATTATTATTTTCCATATTTACCTATTTCATTTTTTACTAAAATCCTGCAGTCAATATCCTAAAGCAACAATTTTACAACCACAACCATAAAACATAAAGCAAAAACTCTACAAAAAAAAAAAAAGCTAGAGCAACAACCAATCACCCCGTAATAAATGTATATGCTTATTCACGGGCGGGAACTGTAATCAAGTTAAGTTTTGAAACTCATATAGAAGAATGTAAAATTGAGTACTTTTTTTGTCAACAATTCAAATTAAGCAGTATACAGTACTATATTTTTCAATAGAAAATACGTTTCCTATGACATTTATATACATAAAATATTAAATTAATAAAATAGGAAAAAAAGCTGAAAAGTTGGATTTTAATGTTTTGAGTTCACAGCTCCACATACAGAGGATCACATGCCTTCTCTCTCTCTCTCTCTCTCTCTCTCTCTCTCTCTCTCTCCATCTTTTGAATTAAAGAAGAAAATTCTGTTTTCAAAAATTAGAAAATCAAAAGATAGCCAAAAACAAAGATAGAGAGAATTCTCTTTCATTCTCTCTCTGCCTTTGTCGCTGTTAAAAATCGCAATAGTGCTCCAGACAGTATCAGAAAGCTTCCTCTTCTTCTTCTTTGTTTTTTTTGTTTAATCTCTGATTTTTGTTTCCATTGGGGCATTTCCGGATCTCAAAGCTCTTCAGACACTCTCGCAGACATCGGACAAAAGGTATTTATTTGGTCTCTTGTAAGATTATCTCTTCCTTTTGTTCATCTTTCTTGCTTCATTTCTACTTGCTCTGTGTTTCTTCAGAGCAAATTTCTTTAAAGCGCAAAACTTTGGGTTTTTTGGAGTCTCGTTTCATCAAACGAAGATTGAGACTAATTGACACTGTTGCATTACTCTGTTAGTTCTTTAAATCCCTTGGATTTGAAACTGATTTTAATATGATTTCTCCATTTTTGAAGCAAGTTCCAAACTTTAAAGTTAATTTTTGCAGATTTGTATTTTGTTCTGTAGCTTTCTCTATGGTTGGGTTTTTCGCAATGAAACGGACATCTGGAACAAACAAATGCACATTTGTTATCAAAAAGACAAAATCAGTTTCTTTATTCATTTCTGTCACTTCAACATAAATGATTGGGTCATCCAAGATTCTCTTCTCTTTGCATGTTTCTTGGTTGGCTGAGTTTTCTTCATCTTAAAGTTTGATTCTTTCTTTTGGTTTCAGCACTTAGGAATAACTCAAATGTGTGTTTTCTCTCTCTTTCTCTTCAGATCCTGTGCTATGCGTTGATACATTCATTACTTTTGCAATGGAGAAACGAAAGAGAGAGTCAAGCTTTGGCGAATCAGAATCAGTGTCTTCCCATTCTGAGAAGGATTCTGAAGTTCAAGTAAGCAAAAAAAAATTCCTTTTTTTGGTCATTCTTATGTATCTAAAAAGATAATGATGATGACTGATTTTGTACTTTAAGCCTGAGAGCACAACAATGGAGGAGTCTAATGATGATGATATAAAGCAACCGGAGGTTTCTTTGGAAGATAGTGTGAGAACCTTGACTGAGAAACTCTCAGCTGCTCTTGCTAGCGTGAGTGCTAAAGAAGATCTTGTGAAGCAACATGCCAAAGTCGCTGAAGAAGCTGTCGCTGGTACCAATCTTTTCTTGATTTTGGATTGTGATAATGTGAATTCTCTTATAGTGAATATATATTCTCCTTGTGAAGGTTGGGAGAAAGCTGAGAATGAAGCGGCTGCGTTGAAGGAGAAGCTTGAGGCTGTTGATGAGAAGAACAAAGTGTTGGAAGATAGAGTAAGCCATCTCGATGGAGCTCTCAAGGAATGTGTTAGACAGTTAAGGCAAGCAAGAGACGAGCAAGAAGAGAGAATCCAAGACGCTGTCACCGAGAGAACACAGGATCTGCAGTCTTCCAAAACCAACTTAGAGAGCAAGATTCTTGAATCTACAAGAAAGTCTGATGAGCTCAGCCAGATGGCTGAGTCTGTTGCCAAGGAAAACGTGATGCTGAGGCACGAGCTTCTTGCACGGTGCGAGGAGCTAGAGATCAGAACGATCGAGAGAGATTTGAGCACACAGGCAGCTGAAACCGCTAGCAAGCAGATGTTAGATAGCATCAAGAAAGTGGCGAGGCTTGAGGCTGAGTGCAGGAAGCTTAGGATGTTGGCTAAATCTTCGTTTAATGACCATCGGTCGAATGATAGTCATTCTGATGGAGGGGAGAGGATGGATGTGAGCTGCTCTGAGTCATGGACACCATCATCGTCGTTGGTTGAGAAGAGAACTTCTTCTTCCATTGAGATTGATCTCATGGGTGATTTTCTTGAGATGGAACGTCTTGTGGCTTTGCCTGAGACTGGACCTGAGTCTGTCGCTGAAGAGAAAGAGAACTTCTTGGCTGCTGAAATGGAAGTGTTGAGTAGCAGAAACAAGGAGCTTGAAGAGAAGTTGGAGAAGCTTGAAAGGGAAGTTAAAAGCAATAGAGAAGTGGAGATCACACTAAGATTTGAGCTTGAATCTATGAGATGTGATAAAGTGGAGCTTGAAAATCAGTTGGAGAAGTTAGAAAGCGAAGTTAAATGTAACAGAGAAGTGGAGAGGGGATTGAGGTTTAAGCTTGAAGCTATAGTTTGTGATAAAACAGAGCTGGAAGATAAGTTGGAGAAGATGGAGGTTGAGAAAGCTGAGCTACAGATATCTTTTGACATAATCAAAGATAAGTACAAAGAATCTCAAGTTTGTCTGCAAGATATTGAGATGAAGCTGGAGGAGATACAGAAGGAGATGAAAGTAGCTAACGAACTGAAAACAGAAGTTGAGTATCAGATTATTGCCATGGAAGCAGAGACGAAGACTAAGTCAGCAAAGATTGAGTCTTTGGAGGAAGACATGAGAAAGGAGAAGTTTGCCTCTGATGAGCTTAAGAGAAAATGTGAGGCTCTTGAAGAAGAAGTCTCTCTCCATCAAGAAAACGCCATCAAGAGAGAAAATGTAGAGCCTAAGATCAAACAGGTCAGTCTTTAAAAGTTTAGTTTTGGTTTGTGTTCCATATGAATCCGTTTTGTTTTCACTAAGAGTTGATTATATGGTTGCAGGAAGACATGGTAACAGCTGCAGGGAAGCTGGCGAATTGTCAGAAGACAATAGCTTCGTTGGGGAAACAGCTTCAGTCTCTTGCAACACTTGAGGATTTCTTGATCGATACAGCGAGCATTCCAGTGGCTACAAATGGTGTAAGCAACGGTAATAGCACTAGCTCAGAGAATTGGAAAGTTCACAAGAATGGAAGTTTCTTGACAAGAAATCATCCAGAGTCCATCAAACCGAACAAAGAACCATCATCTTCTTTTGCTGGTGGTGGTGGTTCAGTGCCAATGACATCAAACAGAGGGAGTTCTGAGAAGAACCGCAATGGATTTGCTAAAGTGTTTACTCGAAGTAAAGACGGGATACATCTAGCGATTTAGCATAAAAGTTGGTACTAGGCAAGAGACAGATTTAACACCTCTTTGTTAAAAGCTCCTTTTAGCAAAGCTCCTTAGGTTTTTAAAAGCTCCTTTTCATGGTTTAACACCTCTTTGTTACCTTTTCCAGATTTTGAATCTTGAATAGTTTTAAAGTTATCGATAGTGTTCACTCTCTCTCTCTCTCTAGTGTATGCAGGGTGTTATTCTCCATGAATGATGATGTTTCTAATGAATTCAAACTTCCTTTGTGTATAGCAAACACTCACTAGACTCCACAAGAAAGCTGAGCTACAGAGACTAATTAACGTTAACATCTACTTGAATCACTTAGAACTTGATATGCCTCTTCCAACACCTGAACAAGAACTAAGTTTCTCAAAAACTGGTACTAATGATACACATAAAGCATCCTCTAATGCTACAATACACAAAGCTTATCCACCAATAGTCAAAAAGTGAACACTAAATTTTTTTCTTTCAATTTTCAAAATATTTGGAAATTCGTAGGTGTTAACCCATGATTTTGGAAAAAATTGTACATTTTGAGGTTTTTGGAAAAATGAATAAAAAGGATCCAAAATAAGAGTAAAGTTATCAGAAATTTTTTCATGGTGAACCTACTAATTTAAGATCATTTAAGTTAGCTAGCTGTCTAATCTCTTAACCACAACAAAAAGCTTAATCTTGTACTCGATTTACATGAGATAAATAAACAAAAAGCAACGTAACAAGCACCTGAGGTTCTATGGTGTAGTGGTTAGCACTCTGGACTTTGAATCCAGCGACCTGGGTTCGACTCCCGGTAGGACCTTCTTTGTTTTATTCCCTTTTTATTGATTTCATATCTGTAGATCTTCATTACTTTAAGGCCCAAAAGAATCAGACCAATTAAAGGCCCAAAAACAAGGATCATCGCCATTCATCTGATAAAGAAACTTTCCTTTAATTTTTTTCACATTTTATTTACATTTTTGACATATGACGAACACGGCGGCGACATCGGAGGCGAAAACGCCGGCGGCGGCTGAGCCACCGAAGATAGTTTTGAATCAGGCGAAACGACGGTTCGAGACGGAAGATCACGAAGCTTTCATAGAATACAAGATGAGAAACAACGGGAAATTGATGGATCTGGTCCACACCTACGTCCCTTCTTCCAAACGTGGATTAGGTTTGGCTTCGCATCTCTGCGTCGCCGCTTTCGAACACGCCTCCTCTCACTCCATCTCCGTCTTCCCTTCCTGCTCCTACGTTTCGGTATTGAAATTTTTCAAATCTAATTTTCTTAATTTATGATGTTGAATCAACCAATCGGTGAGTTTTGTTTTTATTTTTTTGTGTGATTTTTGCAGGATACGTTTCTTCCTCGAAACCCTTCATGGAAGCCTTTGGTCCATGATATCAAGTCTAGCATCTGAAGAAGACGATGTTAAAGTCTCTGTAGTTTGTAATAAGCAAGTCTCGATCCATATGACATAACAATCGTTGGTTGTAATAAAAATGTGTTCAGTCCTGAGAGCGAGAGACAGTCTCTTCTTTATGAATAACATTCGAGCAATGAGCGTCTCAAATTTGCAATTTACAACACTAAACACATTTTCATAATTATCATATTATAATAATCACAAAGACCAATCCAAGAAAACAAAATTATATTACACATATTAACAAGATACTTTTATGTTTTTATCTTGAAATCTATTTGTGGAATTCAATAAGAGAGAAAGAATAAGAACGACAAACAAACTCGCAACGAAAGCCTGAAGCTAGACCTAAAGCCTCGAATTCGGAAAGAGTCCTTTCTCTACCACCCGAACGTTGTGACAAAATGAACATATCCATAGTGAGCCCAATGTTTGTAGAAAAATCGTCAATCTTTGGTTCTATTGGCATAACCACGTCCACGACTATCACTTTTCCTTTTTCTTCAAGACTTCTCCAACAGTTTTTGAGAATCTTAACACAGTTTTCGTCGTCCCAAGCATGCAACATCCACTGTCATCAAATTAAACCACTTATTGGACCTTGATACTATTTAAACATGTATATATTAAAGTAAACTTACTTTCATGAAAATAGCATCTCCCTTTGGAATTTCTACTAACATGTCTCCGGCTACATGTTGCACTCCTACAACAGATTTTAGTAAAATCAAATAGATCATATATAACTTGAGGAAAATATTTATTCAAACTATATATCAAGTTTATCATTTAGTTTGTTTACCGGGATAAGGAGGAGCATGAGCTAAAACGTGGGGCAAATCGAAATTGATGCCTTGAATATGAGGATACTTGGAAGTGACTAGACCTAGTACGGTTCCAACTCCTCCTCCTACATCCACCAAAGTCTTAACATTTTCGAAACCTTTGTAAACTTCAAGAACCTTATTCATGACCATGGTTGAAGATTCCGTCATTCCCCGGTTAAACATCTCAGCGAATTCTTCATCCGAACCGATGTAATCAAAGACTCTCATGCCATTGGCAGAAGCAAATGCATCTCTTCCTTCTAATACCACATCCTTGAGATGTGACCTGTATAGAGTAAATATTAGTAAGGAGTATGTAAACTGGTTTAAACGTAAGTGAGTACTGATCTAGGGTTATTAGTTTAGTACGTACAAAGCTTTGAACACGACATGGTTTTGGCACAACATGAAGAGAGACAAGAGAGAACCGGAGCCGTCACTATCTTTCAAGAAAAACTTGCAAACCGGTTCGGCTGCATATACCCTTTCGGTCTTTCTGGTTAGATCGTTCTCTCCGGTTTCAACCACACGGCCTTTCAAGATCGAGTGGCTGGCAAGTAAGTGCATCATCCGGTCCAGCAGTGCCGGAGCATCCGGGTTGGTGGGTTTAGTTGGGAGACGAGACACTATCTCAGAAGCTGAGAGCCACATGCCGTCGTCAAGGGAAGCGATCGTGTCGATGACTCCAAGCTCCAAGGCAGCTTTGAGAACCATTGGGAATGTCAAAGAGTACACGATCCTCTCGGCTTGCAGTTGCAAACCTACCATTTCTTCAGAAACTTGTTGGTTCTCTTCTTTGGTTAGACCCGGTTCAGGAGAAGTGGTTACTGATTTTTGAAGTTGGTTTGCCATGTAAAACTGTTTGTTGGTTGAACAACTGAAAAAGAAAGATAGAGAAACAATAGGCAGGAGTGAGGTCTGGTTTCAACATTCATGCTTTGTGCCATTTTATAGTGGAAAAACTGAAGATATATTTCTTTCTTTTTTAAAAAAGGTTTTCGATCGTGTATTAATTTTAATTAATTAGGGGATTGTTTACAAAATATGAAAACAACAGGTCCCAAAGGGGAAAGGAATGAAAATTATTAACTTCAAACTTCAACTCCCCAACCGTACATATATGTATGAGAATTTAAAGCTCCAAACCTACTTCGAAGAGATAATATTTTATTTCCTTCGTTGTTCTCAATTATTGTCATGATTTATGGAGAATGTGTTTGGATAAGATGAATTGCCTCTGTTGTGTTGGGTTCCAAAAAACATGCATTGATTAACGAACAACATCATGTCATTTCACACTATTGACTCGTTGAAAAAAAGAGCTAAAAACCATATGATTGTAATTTGCAAACTATTCCTTAGTGGCCCTCAATAAACGTACAATTTCCTTCCATAAAAACTAAGTATGTTACATTTTATTTTGTGCAGATATACACTTATAGCTCATGTATGGTCTCTACATGCATGAGACTTACCATTGCTTCATTTTTATTAACTCCCGATCTATTTGTAAAATTCTATTACAGAATGTGAAAGAGCAATACATATGATTTCACAGCGAAGAAAACCTGAATCATATGCTAAAACCTCAAACTCAGAGAGAGATCGTTCTCTACCGTTGGAGCAATAGGTTAACAACAACATGTCCAAATCAAACACAATATTAGATGAAACGTCGTCGCTCTTTGAAGTTGACGGTGTAACCATTTCTACAATGATCACTTTTCCTCTTTCCGGAAGACTCTTCCAACAATTTTTTAGAATCTTTACACAATCTTCATCCGTCCAATCATGTAATATTCTCTGTAATTAAAATAAAATCATAAATAATATACTTTATAGTACCGCAATACCCTTGGAATTATATAGTGGCCGTGCATGCAAAGAAAAATGATTGTTTTGAGTAATTTATTTAGATCTTAGAAATAAGAACGGTTTTATTTTGTATTCAAATGAAGTAAACATAACTCACTTTCATGAGGATGACATCTCCTTTAGGAACTTCTGTAAACATATCTCCGGCCACATGCTTAATTCCTATAAACCGGTTTAATTAAGAAAATATATGAACAAAAAAAAAATAGTTTTGTCCTTTCGCTAGAATATTAGTTATGATAATTATCAAAAACTGATCAAAGGAAATTGTACCTGAATAAGGATGAGCATGAGCTAAAACGTGGGGTAAATCGAAATTGATGCCTTCAATATGAGGATATTTGGAAGTGATTAGACCTAGTACCGTGCCAAGTCCTCCTCCCACATCCACCAAAATGTTAACATCTTCAAATCCTTTGTAAACTTCTAGAACTTTGTTCATGATTATGATCGAAGATTCCGACATCGCCCGGTTAAACAGATCACCGTACGGTTCATCCAAACCAATGTATTCAAAGAGTCTCATTCCATGGGCAGAACTGAATCCATCTCTCCCTTCAAGTATCACATTCTTAAGATGTGTCCTGTAAATATACAAGTGCATTGTAGAGCATTAATATTATAAATTAAACCGTTTTATGAGATTCTTCTAACCAGTTTTATGTAATCGAGGATCAACTACTAATCTGGCTAATTGATCAAGTATACTTACCACGCTTTGAAAACGATGTCGCCTTGTACCAACATGAAGAGAGAAAAGAAAGAACCGGTTTCGTCACTATTTTTCAAGAAAAACTTGCAAACTGGTTCAGCTGCATATACCCTCTCAATCTTTCCGGTTCGATTGTTTTCTCCAGTTTCAACTACACGACACTTCAGAATCGAGTGGCTCGCGAGTTGGCGCATCATCCGGTCTAACAACATTGGAGCCTCCGGGTTAGACGGTTTGCTTGGAAGACGAACCGCTATCTCAGACGGTGAGAGCCACGTGTCCTTCCCTGCAGCAGAAATAGTGTCGATGACACCAAGCTCCAAGGCAGCTTTGAGAACCATTGGGAAGGCCAATGAGTTTGCAATACTCTCCGCTTGCAAGCTCGCCATTTTTTCGTCGACTTCTTCTTTTTTGGTTAAATCCGGTTTAATGGAAGTGGTTAAGGGATCATTTAGATGGGTTGCCATTGTTCCTGTTGTTGTTTGTAGGAAAAACTGAAGAAGATATCATCATTGATATATAGAAAAGTATAACAAAGGCAGAGAGGAGAAGAGAGGATTGATGATCTCAACGTTCATTTGGAACTTTTAGTGCCATGCATAAAGACGTGTGTAGTTTTCAAACAATGAAGACGCGTCGACCCTTTCCTGATGGACACACTCCATCCGTCCATTAATTTATATTTTCACCAGAAAAAAAAAGTAAACTAAACACTAAATGGTAACGGGAAAAGAAAAGAAAAAAGTTTCTTTTTTTGTGTATCAGTGGATATCCATTACAAAGTATGAACCTAAAAAGAATATGGAACATGCAAGGATTAAATTTCCCAACAATTATTTTAGCATGACACATCATACTAGGTTTGAAGAGTCATATCACATGCAGTTGTACTTGTGAGTTGTGACACTATCATAAACCTACATGGAATCAAAATAAGTAACAACAAAAAAGCCCTCATTATTTATTCATTTTACACAATATTTTTTCGCACATTTTAACGAAAATGAAAAAGAAACATATTTTTTTTGCATTTCCAAATAGGCACAAAACTCATAATTGTTCCATTATCGTAAATTCCAAAACTATTTGTGGAATTCCATAACAGAATATGAATAGGCATGACAAATGATTTCACATCGAAGAAAACCTGAGTCAAATGCTAAATTCTTGAACTGCGAAAGAGATCTCTCTTTACCACCCGAGCAGGTGTTAACATCACCAACTCCACTGCAAACACAATGCCAGAGGAAAGGTCATAACCCTTTGGTTCTATTGGTGCAATCCTCTCTACAACGATCACTTTCTCTTACTTTCTCTTTTTTATGAAGACTCTTCCAGCAATTTTTTAGAAGTTTATAAGAACTTCTCACGGTGTATTTAGTTTGTGAAATATACACTTGTAGCTTATATATGGTCTTTACATACATGAGACAACCATTACTTTATTTTTGCTAACTCCCGATCTATTTGTAAAATTCTATTACAGAATATGAATAAGCAGTACATATGAATTCACAACGAAGAAAACCTGAATCGTATGCCAAAACCTCAAACTCAGAGAGAGATCGTTGTTTACCATTCGAGCAATAGGTTAGCAACAGCATGTCCAAATCAAACACAGTATTAGGTAAAACGTCGTCGCTCTTTGATGTTACCGGTGTAACCATTTCTACAATGATCACTTTTCCTCTTTCCGAAAGACTCTTCCAACAATTTTTTAGAATCTTTACACAATCTTCATCGTTCCAATCATTTAATATCCTCTGTTGATAAAATAAAGTCGTAAATAAAAAGGCTTTATCGTACCACAATATTGGAATTATATACTGGCCGTGCATGTAACGAAGTTTCAAAATGTTTTAAGTACTTTATCTAGATCTTAACAATATATATATTTCTATAAGAACGGTTTTATTTTCTATTCAAATGGAAAAAACATAACTCACTTTCAAGAGGATGACATCTCCTTTAGGAACTTCTGTAAACATATCTCCCGCAACATGCTTAATTCCTATAAAACGATTAAAGAAAGTGCATGAACAAAATAATAACTATAGTTTTGTCCTTTTGGTAGCATATTAGTTATGATAATTATCGAAAACTAATCAAAGAAAACTGTACCATGATAAGGATGAGCTTGAGCTGCTAAAGCGTGGGGTAAATCGAAATTGATGCCTTGAATATGAGGATACTTGGATGTGACTAGACCTAGTACTGTGCCAAGTCCTCCTCCCACATTCACCAAAATGTTAACATCTCCAAATCCTTTGTAAACTTCTAAAACGTTTTTCATGATTATGATCGAAGATTCCGACATTGCTCGATTAAACAGATTACCGTGTGGTTCATCCAAAGCAATGTATTCAAAGAGTTTCATTCCATAGGCAGAACTGAATCCATCTCTCCCTTCAAGTATCACATTCTTAAGATGTGTCCTGTAATTTGTAAACATACAAGTGCATGTAGAGAATTTATATTATAAACCGTTTTATGAGATTCCTAACGTAAGTAATCGAGGATCAACTACTAATCTGGCTAATTAATCTAGTACTTACCACGCCTTGAAAACGATGTCGCTTTGCCCCAACATGAAGAGAGAAAAGAAAGAACCGGACTCGTCACCATTTCTCAAGAAAAACTTGCAAACTGGTTCGGCTGCATATACCCTCTCCATCTTTCCGGTTCGATTGTTTTCTCCAGTTTCAACTACACGACACTTCAGAATCGAGTGGCTGGCGAGTTGGCGCATCATCCGGTCTAACAACATTGGAGCCTCCGGGTTAGCCGGTTTGGTTGGAAGACGAACCGCTAATTCAGATGGTGAGAGCCAGGTGCCGTTGCTTGTATCAGCGATAGTTTCGATGACGCCAAGCTCCAAGGCGGCTTTGAGTGCCATTGGGAAGGCCAATGAGTTTGCAATACTCTCCGCTTGCAAGCTCACCATTTCTTCGTCAACTTCTTCTTTTTTGGTTAAAACCGGTTTAAGGGAAGTGGTTAAGGGATCATTTAGATGGTTTGTCATGGTTCTTGTTGTTGTTTGTAGGAAAAACAGAAAAAAATATCACTTATAAATAGAAAAATATATCAAAGGCAGAGAGGAGAAGAGATGATTGATGATTTCAACGATTCATTTTAAACTTTTAGTCCCATGCGTTAAGACGTGTGTAGTTAAAAACAAATTTAAACAATGAAGACGCGTCGAGCCTTTCCTGATGGATACTCCATCTCCATCCATTCCATTATAATTTGTTTTTTTTTTTTTTTTTTTTTTTCTTCTCAGAGAAAATCCACCACCACATAGTATAAATGTATAGAAAGAATATGGAACATGCATGCAAGGATCAAAATTGCCAACATTAATTTTAGCATGACACTTCATACTAGTTGTGAAGAATCATTTCACATGAAATCATGCCAATATAGCATAAACCTATGTGTGTATAATATACATGGAATCAAAATAACTAACAAGAAAAAAGGCTCCTCATTATTTTTTCATTTTACACAACATTTTTTTTTGCACATTTTAACCAAACACTTCCACATATACGCACCAAACAGATCATTGTTCCATTATCGTAAATTCCAAAACTATTTGTGGAATTCTATAACAGAATATGAATAGGCATGACAAATGATTTCACATCGGAGAAAACCTGAGTCAAATGCTAAATTCTCGAATTGCGAAAGAGATCTCTCTTTACCACCCGAGCAGTGTGTTAACATCACCAAGTCCATGGCAAACACAATGCTAGAAGAAAGGTCATAACCCTTTGGTTCCATTGGTGCAATCCTCTCAACTACGATCACTTTCCCATTTTCAGGAAGACTCTTCCAGCAATTTTTTAGAATTTTTATACAATGTTCATTCGTCCAATCATGTAGTATGCACTGTCAATTATTCAACCATTTTATTTAGAAAACAATGGATTTAATTTATGTTAAAAATATGATTTAATTTTTTTTCCTATTCAAAATATACATAAATAAACTTACCTTCATAAAGATGACATCTCCCTTCGGAACTTCTACAAACATGTCTCCAGAGACATGCTCGACTCCTATAGTAAAAAAGAGGTGGTTGTTAAATCTAGCACTTCAATATATGAACTATCAAATATATATTACGTAAATTTTACCTGGATGAAAAAGAGCACTGGTTAAAACTTGAGCTAAGTCAAAATTAACACCCTTGATATGAGGATATTGGGAAGTGACTAGACCTAATATGGCGCCAGTTCCTCCTCCTACATCCACCAAAGTGTTAACATCTTCAAATCCTCTGTAAACTTCTAGAATCTTCTTCATGAACAAAGTGGAAGCTTCGGCCAAACCCCGGTGAAACACCTCACGAAATCTTTCGTCCAAGTTAATGTATTCAAAAATGCTCATGTTGTGTGCAGAGCTAAATGCGTCTTTTCCCTCTAGTATCACATCTTTAAGATTTGTCCTAAGAAAAAAAGAAAAAAAAACATATAGAAAGATATATTTATATATTGAACCTTTTCTTTTTATTGTAAATCAGTTTAATTAGTCGGTTAATAATTAACCGATTTCAGTTAACTAACAAGCAACTACTGGTTTGACTTATTGTTCGGATAGTGAAACTCTTACCAAGTCTTGAAGATGACTTGGTCATGGTACATGATGAACAGAGACGCGAGAGAACCAGAACCGTCACGATCTTTCAAGAAGTACTTGCAAACCGGTTCAGCTGCATATACCCTCTGGGTATTTCCGGTTCGACCGTTTTCTTCAATTTCAGTCACACGGCACTTCAAGATCGAGTGGCTGACAAGTAACCGCAGCATCCGGTCCAGCAAAACCGGTGCATCCGGGTTTATGGGTTTGGTTGGGAGATTAGCCGTTATCTCAGAGGGTGAGAGCCACACGTCGTTGCCTGCATCATTGATTGTGTCAATGACGCCAAGCTCCAAAGCGGCTTTAAAAACCATAGGGAAAGCCACAGTATTGACGATGCTCTCAGCTTGCAAACTCACCATTTTCTCTTCGGCTGCTTGTTCTTCTTTGGTTAAACCCGGTTTAGAGTAAGTGGTTAAAGACATTATTGTTGCTGGTTGAAGTTAGATGAATAATAGAAGAGAGATGACATATGTAGAGTTTGGTTTGAGATTGGTTTTTTAACTCTCTCATCAAGTTTCATATTATAGGGATAAACCTCAAGCAAAGTGCTTTCGACTTTTGGCGAATATTATATCTAATATGGTCGAAAGAGCGGTTTAATTATTGATGTATTGTTTGTTGTGAAGGTTCGTCATTGTTTGTATAATTTAGGTTCGGTCATTGTTATATGATTTAGGTTCCATCGAGATTGCCACTGACCTAGTATAATAATTTATTTTTTGTCGTATAATAATTTACTAAATGCATCGTATCTGTCCAGCGACACACCAACTCTCTACAGATTAATTTAACTTGATGAGGCTGGAGAGACAGAATTATATATAATGGCACTTGGTGGTTCCACGAAACAGAATACAATTTCTCAGAAACATAGTATGAAATGAAAACAACTAAACAAGGGAAGGACTAGGAGCATGGAAAAGGGAACCAATAACACCATGGTAAGTGATTAAACATTAATGTAGAAAAGTAGAAATGTTGCGAGACATGAAAAGAAGAAATCTCAACACTAGTTTTAGCATAAAACACAACACATTTTTCACACTTTATCACATTTACGCTTAGCTGAAACAAAATCATTATCACAAATATTACATTTCATTGATACTACAACAACCACAATCTTGAAAGGAAACAATATAACAAACCAGTACCATAAAACTATATTACATGCAATAAAAACCATCAACAAAATAAAAAAAAGCCCTTCGTCCTTTATCGATCATACATAGACATAGTACCATAATTGTAGCTCCTGATATCATTGTGTGATTTTGGTAATTTCTTAACCTATTTATGGAATTCTATTACAGAATAGGAATAGGCATGACATATGACTTCACATCGCAAAAAACCTGAGTCAAATGCTAATTTTTCAAACTGCAAAAGAGATCTCTCTTTACCACCCGAGCATTGGGTTAACATCAACAAGTCCATCGCGGATACCGTGTTAGAGTGAAAGTCACCAGGCTTTGGTACTATCGGTGTAATCATCTCAACGATTATCACTTTTCCTTTTTCCGGCAGACTCTTCCAACAATTCTTTAGAATCTTTATACAGTGTTCGTCCGTCCAATCATGCAGTATCCACTGTCAATAATTTAACCATTTAATTATATTTCGAGAATACATAAACTTCCACTCAAAGATATATAAAACTTACTTTCATGAAAATGGTGTCTCCCTTTGGAACTTCTATAAACATGTCTCCGGAGACATGTTCGACTCCTATAATTAGTAGAATTAGTCAAAACAAAAGGTTTAAGAGGTAGTGATTAAAACTAGCTATATATTCAATATAAAATCTGTAGAATATAGTGAGTAGTTTTGTACCTGAATAAAAAGGAGCATGAGTTAAAACTTGAGGTAAGTCGAAATTAATACCCTTAATATGTGGATACTTGGAAATGACTAGACCTAATATAGTACCATCTCCTCCTCCTACATCAACCAAAGTGTTAACATCTTCAAATCCTCTGTAAAATTCAAGAACCTTTTTCATGATCATTGTGGAAGATTCCGACATTGCCGGGTTAAACAACTTAGCAAATTTTTCATCTGAACCAATGTATTCGAAAATTCTCATGCCGTGAGCAGAACTGAATGCATCTTTTCCTTCTAGTATCACATCCTTGAGATTTGTCCTATAAAAAAAAAAAAAACACACGTCATTACTTGTACTACATCATTAAAAACCAAAAAAATAAAACAAATCAACAGTTTTTTGTTAATCGGTTTAATTAGTTGGTTAAAAACCGGTTTCTCGTAACTAACGGTCAACTACTGGTTTGACTTATTTTCAGATAGTGAAGCATTTACCAAGTCTTGAAAAGGACTTGGCCATGGAACAACAAGAACAAAGACGCGAGAGAACCAGAACCGTCACAATCTTTCAAGAAATACTTGCAAACCGGTTCGGCTGCATAAACCCTCTCGATATCTGGCGTTGGATCGTTCTCTCCGGTTTCAATCACACGGCACTTCAAGATCGAGTGGCTGACGAGTAATCGCAGCATCCGATCTAGCAAAACCGGCGCTTCTGGGTTGGTGGGTTTCGTTGGGAGACTAAGTGCTATCTCAGACGGTGAGAGCCATGTGCCGTTGCATGCAGCAGCGATGGTGTCGATGACGCCAAGCTCTAAGGCGGCTTTAAGAACCATAGGGAAAGCCACGGTGTTCACGATGCTCTCAGCTTGCAAGCTCACCATTTTCTCGTCAACTTCTTCTTTTTCTTTGGTTAAAACCGGTTTAGAGTAAGTGGGCTCTTGAAGATGGTTTGACATTATTGTTGTTGCTTGAAAGTTTAAGGAATTTAGAAAACAAAGGTAGAATTGGTTTTGAGAGTGTGGTTTTAACTTTTACACTTAGTTTCATTTTATAGGGAGAAATCTCAAGCCAAGTGTATCGAACATTGATTGGGTGACAAATTTACCCAAGATTATGCCTAATATTTCATTGTTTTCATCGAGGAATGCAAACTTCTTTTCACTGAGTGTTCCGTCACCAATTATAAAAAAAAAGGTCTCCATTATTATGCCTTATTTATAATTAGAATTTCAAGTTGTATAAGCAAACGTACGGACTTTGTAATATTTTACTAATAATCTGCAGTAAAAAATGTTGATGATATAGCCGTGTCCCCATCATATATTATGATTAGTCATTATGAAAATATATTTCAGGTGAATTGAGCAAGAAGACCCGTCGGTGCACCAAACACGTGAATCAGGATATCCACTCATGAAATCACTTTTGAGGAATCACCAACTAATTAAAGATTGATCGTTTGGTGTACAATCCGTTTGTTGTATATTACTATCTTTTTTGTTTGTTTGTTAAAGGGTTATATATATCACTATCGCTATTACAAGTGAACAATCAATTCAAAAGAGAGATGATTTACATTAAATCTCAAAAAGGACTTTAGTGTCCACATTGTACCATAACCATCCACATGATCAATTACAAACCTAATGCAAACAGCAAAACACACTTTCACACTTATCACGATTATTACACTTCTTGATACTACATGCAATCACCTCAATCATTGTTTGATTTCCATAATTACAAATCTACTTGTGGAACTCGATGACTGAGTAAGAATAAGACATATGATTTCACATCGGAGAAACCCTGACTCAATTTCTAAATTCTTGAACTGCGCAAGCGATCTCTCTTTACCACTAGAGCATTGTGTTAACATCAACAAGGCCATGGAAAACACAGTGTTAGAGTAAAAGTCTTTGGTTCTAGTGGTGTAACCATTTCTACGATATTCACCTTCTTTGGTTAAAGCCATTTTAGGGTAAGTGAATAGAGGCTCTTGAAGAAGAGAAATATAAACCCTAAAATCTACATTATAAACCCTAAATCTAAACTTACTCTTAAATATGAACTCAAAATCCTAAAATATAAACCCTAATTAAAGATTAGTGAACTCAAACCTATATTTTAAAAATTAGAAAAATTGTATATCCGAAAACTATTATGTATGCTGCTGCTGTGCTGGTACGATGCATGACTAAATATATTTTTGTCAACATTAGGGGAGAAAACCCTGATATACTCTACCCAAAAAAAAAATGAACCCTAATCTTCCACTATTTTCCATAGTGATATATTATTACTAGCTATTATATGTTCTTGAGATCTTCAATGCGTATAGTAGCCGCGGACGAATCAAAGTATCAAACTGCTACAAAGTTTTATTGCGCGTAGACAGATCTAGTTTAAAAAAGTCGGTTTCGTTAAAAACAAAACAGCCTGTAGTAACATGGGAGTATAATTTTCTGTATACTAACATGTTAACCTTTAAGTAGTTCGTGCATCAGCAAATGAGATGCCAGTGCATATATTATGTCTATTTTGATGATTGTGTAGTTTAAACCATTTTTATTTTTATTTATTCTTATCTTGATGTTGTATTTTGAACCATCTGTCAAAATTTTATTCTTATTTTGAATCTTGATGGCCATCGCCCATTTGTTTTGTAACAACTTCACATACTGTACTAACATGTTAACCTTAAGTAGTTCTTGCATCAGCAAGTGAGATGCCAGCGCATATATTATGTCTATTTGGTAGTTCTGTATTTTAAATCATTTCTCAAATTTGTATCTTATCTTGATGGTGTATTTTAAACCATTTGTCAAATTTTTATTCTTATCTTGATGGCACACTTATCTTGATGACACACTTATCATAATGATTACACTTCGTTGATGGTAAGCACTTACAACAATCGTGAAAAAGAAAAAGAAATGATAATACCAAAAAAAATCCATATGCTTTATTTATCTTACATATAGCACCAGAATATTAGCTCGTTATTTCCAGTTGCAATCACTGTATTATGATTGATTTTCACATTTATTTGTGGAACTCGATAATAGAGTATGGATAGATGAGACTAATGACTTCACATCCCAGAAAACCTGACTCAAATGCTAAATTTTCGAATTGCGAAAGAGATCTCTCTTTACCACCCGAACATTGTGTTAACATAAACATGTCCATATGAAACATATGAGTGTCACCACGCTTTGGTTCTGTAGGTGTAATCATATCCACAATTATCACTTTTCCTTTTTGTGGGAGACTCTTCCAACAGTTTTTTAGAATCTTTACACAATATTCGTCCGTCCAGTCATGCAGTATCCACTGTCAATAATTTAATCATTTTAATTTAGAAAAAAATAATGGATTTAAACTCAATTAACCTAGCTGAAACAATAAAGTTTTCTATTCAATTTAAATATATAAACTTACTTTCATGAAAATGGCATCTCCCTTTGGAACTTCTATAAACATATCTCCGGAAACATGCTCAACTCCTGTAAGTAGTAAAAATTAAATAAAACAAAGGATTTAAGATGTAGTTATAAAGGACTATCTACAAATATATTAAGTAGTTTTGTACCTGGATAACAAGGAGCATGGGTTAAAACTTGAGGTAAGTCAAAATTAACACACTTAATATGAGGATACTTGGAAGTGACTTGGCCTAATACGGTGCCAATTCCTCCTTCTACATCCACCAAAGTTTCAACATCTTCAAATCCTCTGTAAACTTCTAGAAAGTCTTTCATGGCGATTGTGGAAGATTCCGACATTGCCTGGTTAAACATCTCAGCGAATTTTTCATTTGCACCGATGTATTCGAAAACTCTCATGCCGTGGGCAGAGCTGAATGCATCTTTTCCTTCTAGTATCACATCTTTGAGATTTGTCCTACGAATTATTATTTTTTTAAAAAGAAAAAAAATAACATGTAACTACTGGTTTGACTAAAGTATAAAAAAATTAAAGAAATACGTACAGGTTTGACTAGTTTAAGATAGTGAAGCACATACCAAGTCTTGAAAAAGGCTTGGGTATGGACAAACAAGAACACAGACGCGAGAGAACCAGAACCGTCACAATCTTTCAAGAAAAACTTGCAAACCGGTTCGGTTGCATATAGCCTCTCAGTATGTCCGTTTTCTCCGGTTTCAATCACACGGCACTTCAAGATCGAGTGGCTGGCGAGTAATCGGAGCATCCGATCTAGCAAAACCGGCGCTTCTGGGTTGGTGGGTTTCGTTGGGAGACTAAGTGCTACCTCGGATGGTGAGAGCCACGCGCCGTTGCCTGCAGCGGCGATGGTGTCGATGACACCAAGCTCTAAGGCGGCTTTAAGAACCATAGGGAAAGCCACAGTGTTGACGATACTCTGAGCTTGCAAGATCACCATTTTCTCGTCGACCTCTTCTTCTTCATCTTTAGTTAAAGTCATTTTAAGGCAAGTGGATAGAGGCTCTTGAATATGGTTTGGCATTCTTGTTTGTCAGTTAAAATGTTGAAGAAGATAAGATTACAATGGTAGAGTTTTGGTTCGGGAGTGTGGTTCCAACATTTGTACTTAATGCCATTTTATAGGGCGGAAATATGAAGGCAAGCGTACGGTACCGATCGAGCCAAGAGTATGGCTAATAAAATGTGAAGATGTAATGATTATATTGATACCTACTAGCTGTCCCAAAAAGAAAGAAAAAAAGGTGACACATACCAATTACTACTATCTCATGAGCATCGATTATACAAAAGTGGTGAGATACGGTGTATAGTTTTTGTTCTTGAGATCTTCAATGCGTATGGTAGCAACGGACGAATCAAAATGCTACAAAGTTACAGAATAAAATAACACTAAAAAACATAACAGCCTGTAGTATAGTATAATGAAACCTTCACGTTCACTACTATTATTCAAAACTCAACTGGCTCTTGCATCATCAGGTGAGATGCCAGCGCTGTAGCGCGTATTTTACTGTATATACGTTTTGTACAACTTCAATAATATTTTCTTTTCATAACTCAAGGTTTTGGATGTTTTAGGTCATAAAGCGGCTTGCATTCCCTTGGCGTCTTTCTCTATGGACTTTATCTCAATTGTTTTTATTTTCACTCACTTTTACTTCTCCAATCCGTCGTTTAGGCCCAAATCATATTAACGTATACTACAAGAAAGTTAAGTTGAGCGTTCTCAGTTATATTATAAAGCTTTTTGACTTGTTTCACTCACATGAAGATTTACTTTCAACGGGGAACAACGATAGACCAAAACTAGGAAGATGATTTGTAAGTTTTATTGTATCGAATCTTTTTTATTAATGGGAGACCTTAAAGTTCAAATGACAGAAAGGAGACAGAGAGCAGAAAGAGAAGACACTGTAATTAAATATAAATGAAGAAGAGATATTGCTCCTAATCAAATTCCCAAAAAAGAAACTCATTAAGAGTTTTTACAGCTCGTCCTTAGCGGCCGATTCATCAGTCTTCTTAGGTTCCTCAACCTTAGTAGCAGCAGACTCTTCACCGTGAGAAGAAGTTGGCTTGTTCTTCTCAATGAAGCTGATGAAGTCTTCCTTTGTTCTGCTTCCTTCGTATGATACAATGTTTCCACTCGCTGATCTGAAGTATATGGTTGGGAAGCCTTTCACGTCAAAGGGATCACTTGGGATGTCATTTGCGGTTGCGTCCTGCACACACATACACACAAGGACATGTCTTGGTTTAAGTATATGATTTTATCAAACTGATTTTACATTACAGACAAAAGTAAGAGGCTTACGAGTTTTGCAATGATCACAGTTGGGTCGTTCTGGAAAGACACAGCTACTTCGTCCAAGATTGGGGCGATTTTTTGGCAATGTCCACACCATGGTGCATAGAATTCAATCAAGACTGATAAACACAAACATTGATGTTTTCAATTTATCAGTTTTTGTAATTGCAAGAAAATATCAAAACGATTAAATTATTAGAGTTTTGTTAAAAATGTGCTCACCGTTCTTTCCAGAGTTGATGACGATTTCGTCAAGAGTCTCAGCAACAACAACCTTCACAGGCTCGTTGTTCTCAGCTGGAATAGGTTGAGATTTCTTGTGGGCTGCAACTTTACCGTCCTGAAGGCATACAAGTTCTTTTTTCGTTAGGTTATATATTGATTTGACCTAACTTGCGTGAAAAGGTATGTGTAAAAGAGAAGTGAAACCTTGAAGTCCTTCATCCATGACTCAATCTGGTCAGCTTCAACGTTTGCCTTCAAGTACTTCTTGCTGTCAGGAGTCTGGATGATGACGAGAGGAAGTTGGCTCTCTTCAAGTCCAAAGTACTGTTTAACCACAATACATGAAAATAAAACTCTGTTTTAGAGACGAGTGTAAAGTAAAGCAGAGGAAAATGATTGATGAAATGAAGTAGTAACCTGCAAAGCGCCTTGGCCACTCTCAGCATCACCAACAAGGAAGGTAAGATCTTGTCCTTTGTAGGATGTAGCAACTTCACGGAACTTTGACTTTAGTGATTCAGCTCCTTCTCCGGTGAAGTTCACAAACATCATTGCCTAAAATTTAACAAAAATATCATTACCACTTCATCAAAACCAGAACCAAACATCAAAGGCACAACAAAATGTCCACCAACAATTACCTTGGTGGCAGGGCTGTCAAAGAATTTGGAAATGTAAGGGTGGTTGCTTGGATCATTGTCAAAGACGGTGACAAGTGGAATGCTTGACTCTTTGACAAATTTCTCTAGAGCTTCTCCATTGAAATCCTACTCGTAAATCAAAATAAACAATCAGCAACGTTCTTGCATATAACATAACTACTACTCATACAAAAAATGAACAAGTTTCCTCTGTACCTTGGAATCGACAAAGAGTTCATCGAAAGGCTTGAATAGCCTCACTACAGGTCCTGACACAGATGACTCTCCACGAGGAAGAAGCTTGGCGTCCACAGTGTGTGCGAAGTCATAGTCAGCGCGCAATTTCTCAGCAAGAGCCATGAAAGAATCATACTCCACACCGGATAATTTAGGGAACACACCAACCTATAAGACAACATATATACACACACATTATTGTATGAATTCAATGGAGAAAAAAGAAACCATTTTTTTCAATCTCAGAGGAACTTACAGCAACGACATCCTTGTCACCAACAACCTCAGCAGCATCAGCAGCTGACTTAATCTCAGCTGAAGCAGGACCACTCTGCTTCTTCACGTAAGAGACAATACCATCAGCCTCACGAGGTCCGTTGTAATCCTGAACAGATTTTCCTCCGTTCCTCAAGATCTTGATGGTTGGGAAACCCTGAATCTTGTACTCGTTTGCAATTCCTTTGTTTGATTCCTCGCTGGCATCAATCTTGGCCAGAACTAGAGGAGGGCTGTGACTGCTCAATTCCGATGCAGCCTTCTCGTACTGTAACAATCACATAATCGCCACACGTTAGACACAGTTGCATTAATCTAGCCATTGATGCAAAAAATAAGTTATTTAAAAACCCAAATTTCTCACCTCAGGAGCAAGGCTCTTGCAGTGACCACACCTGAAAGATTAGAGCAAAACATCGGATTATTAAGATCGTTTGCTTTCACGCATCAATCACACACGAAGATAAACCGAGCATCATCAATCTACATAAATCTTATCCACCAAATCAATCAGAATCCACAATTACGGAAACCGATCAGCTGTACATACAATTTGAAATCGACATTGAAAACACTAGAAAACGATTGAAATCAGAAATGGAGCTAGATGATTGACGAATCAGAGAATCCACAATTACGGAAACCGATCAGCTGAACATACAATTTGAAATCGACATTGAAAACACTAGAAAACGACTGAAATTCAGAAATGGAGCTAGATGATTGACGAAACACGATCGAATTCAACAGAGATCTATTGATTAAGATTGAAGCAAAACGGAGTGATAGATTACCATGGGGCGTAGAATTCGACGACGATGAAGTCGTGCTTGTTGATGGTTTCGGTGAAGTTAGAGTGATCGAGAGTCAAGACGAACTCCTTCGTCTGTTCGCTTGCGATGGAGGAAGCGAACAAAGATAACAAAAGGATCGAGAACACCGCGAAACCTCTGAACGCCATTATCGCTACCGTTTGTATGTTACGAAGAATATTCTCTGTGTCTCTGAGAAAGCGCTCAACGAGAGAGAGATTTATAGTAGCGCTTTTCTACACTGGAGAGAAAGTGGAAATTACGAAAGTGTTGGATTCTAAATGGTCACAAATACACGTGTCGTTATTTCATTGGGTATACCTTGTCATTGGCTTTTTACTGACAAGGGAAAGATTTTCATTGACTCTTTGACCATATCGGTTTTTATTCATAACATCAATATTTACTTCCTTAAGCAGCAGTGAAAATTTTAATGAGGACAAATTTGATTACCTTGTCAAGAAAAAAACACACACACGTGGCCACTTCTAATTGGTGTACTTTTTGGAGTCAACGTAAGAATTAATTGCAATTCTAAAATTATTGACTGTCCAAAATATTGTAATGAAGGTTTGACTTTGAAATTTCGTAAGAGATTAGTACACTCCCATAGATGTACATTGCCTAACACACAAAATGTTGCAATATGGCTTCACAATGGCAACATAGCTTATCTCTGTACTTTATAATAATATTACTCTACCGTTTTGTTTATTTCAAATTGAATTTAATATCTGTAACTGTTATCATAGAATCTATAACAATTGATCATATGTAAATTTTCAATTCAAATCTGATCCACTAGTTGACTCTTAGTTTGATTTTTAGCCATTAATGATAATCTCTCAGTCATAGATTATGCCTAACCTCATAAAAATGGGCTCATATACATAATAATCTCAATATCGACAAGTAATATTTGAATTTCTTCTTCAACATTTGAAACGGCTTACAAAAACAAACTAACCAACCAATAAACGAATATAAACTTATCTGTACAACAATTTCCTAAATAAACTTATACCTAAATTTAAGGTAACAAAACTTCAAAACGATGCAAAATGTGGCAAAGTCTACACTCTACACTCAAGAAGAAGCCTGAGGATGTTGAAGCCTAACAATTTCATGAGCTTTCACATATTCCGCTGTGAACTTCCTCAACGCATCAAAAATGGGAACTAAACCAGCTTTCAAGCTACTCGAAGAAACGTTGTTCACAAGTTTAACACTTTCTTTGCCCCTACCTCTCTCCTCAGCAAGCTTCTTCCTCATCGAATCCAAATCAACTTTCAAATCATCCAAAACCGAAACCCCACTCTCTGACTTACCACCTCTCGAGACCACGCTTCTCTTATCCGACTCTGCGTCTCGTAGCTCAAACTCTGCTTTTACTCTTCGTTCTTCTTCCTCTTGCTTCTCCCATAGCTCGTGCAAGCTCGAAGCGAAGCCTTGCATCGCACTGCTCACGTTCTCTCCGGATACTCTACTCATTGCTTCTTGCCAGTCTTTGCATATGATAAAGATGGGCGGTGCGCCGATCCGACTAGGTGAGAAAGGAGCGATTCCGTCTTCGGTTGACTCAGGCTCGTAGTGAAGACACCGCGAGAGCCATCCGTTTAGAGACTGTACGTATAGTTTCTGTGAGCTGACCCAGCCGTTGAAGCTGCTGCACCATTCTCTTAGCTCCATCTCAAGATCAAGAATCGCTCCCGAACCACCAGAGTCTTTCTGTGAGACGGTTTTCGACTTTACAGATCGGACCTTGCTCTCCATAATCGCTTGGAACTGTTTCTGGTGGCACTTGAGCATCGATCTCCACATTCTTATCAACCTTCAAAAGCACAAACATCAGTTTTTTTTAACATCTTAATACTCTGTATAATCTGCATTTATATATGTGGAAAGATGATCTTACCCATGGATCAACAGTGTGAGTTGTGGCTGCAACTCTTCATCTCTAAGTTTATGGATTCTGCTGGAAATGGAATCAATAGATCTTATAGAGACGTCGATTTTCGTCAGAAGCTTCCTGATGTATGCTCGAGTAGCGTCGATCTTGCTAGTTTCTGCTCCATGACTATCCATTTTCTTCAGTGTCCTGCACTTCTCTTCATACATTGCACGGAGCCTTTCTTCGTCCTGTCATCAAAACGCCAAATCACAATGTAAACAAGATGCAAGAATCTAGAAAAGAGACACTAAATCCCATTAGAGATTCAGAAGCACTAAATGTACCTTGACTTCCTTGTACAGTTTCTTCTCCCATGCATACAGTTTCTCCAAGGTTGATGAGAGGTTTCCACTGAAACCTCCTCCATTAACGTCTTGTCCATTATATGCTTTCGCCATTTTCAGTGTCCTTGACGTTAAACGTATTGATACTTCAGGCTTAGAGCGTGACGACCGTGTAGATGGTGCCACTAGATACATAATCCTTGACAAGATAACTGAGAAAATAGAACATTTTGTTTCATGTATCCACCAAAGCAACTCATGGTTTTGTTCTGAAACCTTATTTCAACATAATGTTTCCATGTAAAGATTCCTTATTTCAGCAAAAGATTTGAGTTTTAAGATAGAGTTACCTTTAAAGCCATTGTTTTTATGCAGATAAGGCAACTTGCTGACATCAAGTAACACGCCAACTTCCTTTCCATATGAAGAAGCAACTTCGAATTCACTCTTGATCTCCTTCACAACTTCTCTGAGATCCCTAGTGGCATGGATCGACAAACTGGATAAGCTACTTATCTTGGAGGATTCAACATCAAAAGAAGAGGAAGTGCTTGTTTCCTCCAACTCAAAGCTCACTCCTTTCCTGAGTTTCCTCTTCCCATAATGTTCTTCTACTTCTCCAGAGCTCTTCGTTCCCATGATCGTCCCTTGTCCGCTTGAACTGTTGCTGCTCTTGTTAACGTAGTGAAACTCAGAGTCTTCATCACTACCTGAAAAAGTAGACACTGTATCTGAATCCAAGGAGCTCTCAGTGGCTCTTTCTTCTGGCATTGGCACTGACTCTCTTCTGTAAACGTTGTTGTGCTTGGGCTCGTCTCTGTGTTCTTTGACCCTCTCCAAGCTTGTTCTCTTATGACGACGATAGACTTGTTTGATCACTTCGTGCTCTGATTCTTCTTCCAGCTCGGGAATCCCTTCCCTCTCTCTAACTTCCTTCGAATCGGGGCTGCTTGAGATCGACGCCATTCCCGGCGGATAGTAGCTCGAACCACCACGTGAACGGCCGTTGCTGTAATCGTACGTATCAAAAACATTCAGGAAATCCCAAGTTGAAACCCTCGGCGGCGATGGAAGAGCCGGCGCCGGCGATCTCCGTGAGCTGTAATCCCCGGAAGGAGGAGGAGGGTAACCGGAAAACCCAGGATTATTAGGGAGATAACCGGAGTTTCGGAATCCGGAATCCGACGGCTCTACTCGGTGATTCTCCGGCTGAAAAATGAACGGTCGAGATGAAGGCGCGGATTTCTTCATGAAATACATTCCTTGATTCGCGTTCGGATTCTCACCGGGGAATCCCCATCCTCCAGCCGCGTATGGGTAACCCGGTGGAGCATATCCAGTTGGATAACCCGGTGGAGCATAGGCAGGTGGATAACCGGAAGAAAATGTCTCCCTTGACCGGTTTTGCTCTTGTNGCTTTAAGAACCATAGGGAAAGCCACAGTGTTGACGATATTTTGAGCTTGCAAGCGCACCATTTTCTCGTCGACTTCTTCTTCTTTGGTTAAAGCCGGTTTAGGGTAAGTGGATTGAGGCTCTTGAATATGGTTTGGCATTATTGTTGTCGGTTAAAAATGTTGAAGAAGATAGAGTTTTGGTTCGGGAGTGTGTGGTTTCAACATTCATACTTAGTGCCATTTTATAGGGGGGGGAATCTGAAGCCAAGACTATGGATAATATTTTAATTGTCTAAAAAAATTAATGTGAAGATGTAATGATTATATTGATACCTACTAGCTGTCCCAAAAAGAAAGAAAAAAAGGTGACACATACCAATTACTACTATCTCATGAGCATCGATTATACAAAAGTGGTGAGATACGGTGTATAGTTTTTGTTCTTGAGATCTTCAATGCGTATGGTAGCAACGGACGAATCAAAATGCTACAAAGTTACAGAATAAAATAACACTAAAAAACATAACAGCCTGTAGTATAGTATAATGAAACCTTCACGTTCACTACTATTATTCAAAACTCAACTGGCTCTTGCATCATCAGGTGAGATGCCAGCGCTGTAGCGCGTATTTTACTGTATATACGTTTTGTACAACTTCAATAATATTTTCTTTTCATAACTCAAGGTTTTGGATGTTTTAGGTCATAAAGCGGCTTGCATTCCCTTGGCGTCTTTCTCTATGGACTTTATCTCAATTGTTTTTATTTTCACTCACTTTTACTTCTCCAATCCGTCGTTTAGGCCCAAATCATATTAACGTATACTACAAGAAAGTTAAGTTGAGCGTTCTCAGTTATATTATAAAGCTTTTTGACTTGTTTCACTCACATGAAGATTTACTTTCAACGGGGAACAACGATAGACCAAAACTAGGAAGATGATTTGTAAGTTTTATTGTATCGAATCTTTTTTATTAATGGGAGACCTTAAAGTTCAAATGACAGAAAGGAGACAGAGAGCAGAAAGAGAAGACACTGTAATTAAATATAAATGAAGAAGAGATATTGCTCCTAATCAAATTCCCAAAAAAGAAACTCATTAAGAGTTTTTACAGCTCGTCCTTAGCGGCCGATTCATCAGTCTTCTTAGGTTCCTCAACCTTAGTAGCAGCAGACTCTTCACCGTGAGAAGAAGTTGGCTTGTTCTTCTCAATGAAGCTGATGAAGTCTTCCTTTGTTCTGCTTCCTTCGTATGATACAATGTTTCCACTCGCTGATCTGAAGTATATGGTTGGGAAGCCTTTCACGTCAAAGGGATCACTTGGGATGTCATTTGCGGTTGCGTCCTGCACACACATACACACAAGGACATGTCTTGGTTTAAGTATATGATTTTATCAAACTGATTTTACATTACAGACAAAAGTAAGAGGCTTACGAGTTTTGCAATGATCACAGTTGGGTCGTTCTGGAAAGACACAGCTACTTCGTCCAAGATTGGGGCGATTTTTTGGCAATGTCCACACCATGGTGCATAGAATTCAATCAAGACTGATAAACACAAACATTGATGTTTTCAATTTATCAGTTTTTGTAATTGCAAGAAAATATCAAAACGATTAAATTATTAGAGTTTTGTTAAAAATGTGCTCACCGTTCTTTCCAGAGTTGATGACGATTTCGTCAAGAGTCTCAGCAACAACAACCTTCACAGGCTCGTTGTTCTCAGCTGGAATAGGTTGAGATTTCTTGTGGGCTGCAACTTTACCGTCCTGAAGGCATACAAGTTCTTTTTTCGTTAGGTTATATATTGATTTGACCTAACTTGCGTGAAAAGGTATGTGTAAAAGAGAAGTGAAACCTTGAAGTCCTTCATCCATGACTCAATCTGGTCAGCTTCAACGTTTGCCTTCAAGTACTTCTTGCTGTCAGGAGTCTGGATGATGACGAGAGGAAGTTGGCTCTCTTCAAGTCCAAAGTACTGTTTAACCACAATACATGAAAATAAAACTCTGTTTTAGAGACGAGTGTAAAGTAAAGCAGAGGAAAATGATTGATGAAATGAAGTAGTAACCTGCAAAGCGCCTTGGCCACTCTCAGCATCACCAACAAGGAAGGTAAGATCTTGTCCTTTGTAGGATGTAGCAACTTCACGGAACTTTGACTTTAGTGATTCAGCTCCTTCTCCGGTGAAGTTCACAAACATCATTGCCTAAAATTTAACAAAAATATCATTACCACTTCATCAAAACCAGAACCAAACATCAAAGGCACAACAAAATGTCCACCAACAATTACCTTGGTGGCAGGGCTGTCAAAGAATTTGGAAATGTAAGGGTGGTTGCTTGGATCATTGTCAAAGACGGTGACAAGTGGAATGCTTGACTCTTTGACAAATTTCTCTAGAGCTTCTCCATTGAAATCCTACTCGTAAATCAAAATAAACAATCAGCAACGTTCTTGCATATAACATAACTACTACTCATACAAAAAATGAACAAGTTTCCTCTGTACCTTGGAATCGACAAAGAGTTCATCGAAAGGCTTGAATAGCCTCACTACAGGTCCTGACACAGATGACTCTCCACGAGGAAGAAGCTTGGCGTCCACAGTGTGTGCGAAGTCATAGTCAGCGCGCAATTTCTCAGCAAGAGCCATGAAAGAATCATACTCCACACCGGATAATTTAGGGAACACACCAACCTATAAGACAACATATATACACACACATTATTGTATGAATTCAATGGAGAAAAAAGAAACCATTTTTTTCAATCTCAGAGGAACTTACAGCAACGACATCCTTGTCACCAACAACCTCAGCAGCATCAGCAGCTGACTTAATCTCAGCTGAAGCAGGACCACTCTGCTTCTTCACGTAAGAGACAATACCATCAGCCTCACGAGGTCCGTTGTAATCCTGAACAGATTTTCCTCCGTTCCTCAAGATCTTGATGGTTGGGAAACCCTGAATCTTGTACTCGTTTGCAATTCCTTTGTTTGATTCCTCGCTGGCATCAATCTTGGCCAGAACTAGAGGAGGGCTGTGACTGCTCAATTCCGATGCAGCCTTCTCGTACTGTAACAATCACATAATCGCCACACGTTAGACACAGTTGCATTAATCTAGCCATTGATGCAAAAAATAAGTTATTTAAAAACCCAAATTTCTCACCTCAGGAGCAAGGCTCTTGCAGTGACCACACCTGAAAGATTAGAGCAAAACATCGGATTATTAAGATCGTTTGCTTTCACGCATCAATCACACACGAAGATAAACCGAGCATCATCAATCTACATAAATCTTATCCACCAAATCAATCAGAATCCACAATTACGGAAACCGATCAGCTGTACATACAATTTGAAATCGACATTGAAAACACTAGAAAACGATTGAAATCAGAAATGGAGCTAGATGATTGACGAATCAGAGAATCCACAATTACGGAAACCGATCAGCTGAACATACAATTTGAAATCGACATTGAAAACACTAGAAAACGACTGAAATTCAGAAATGGAGCTAGATGATTGACGAAACACGATCGAATTCAACAGAGATCTATTGATTAAGATTGAAGCAAAACGGAGTGATAGATTACCATGGGGCGTAGAATTCGACGACGATGAAGTCGTGCTTGTTGATGGTTTCGGTGAAGTTAGAGTGATCGAGAGTCAAGACGAACTCCTTCGTCTGTTCGCTTGCGATGGAGGAAGCGAACAAAGATAACAAAAGGATCGAGAACACCGCGAAACCTCTGAACGCCATTATCGCTACCGTTTGTATGTTACGAAGAATATTCTCTGTGTCTCTGAGAAAGCGCTCAACGAGAGAGAGATTTATAGTAGCGCTTTTCTACACTGGAGAGAAAGTGGAAATTACGAAAGTGTTGGATTCTAAATGGTCACAAATACACGTGTCGTTATTTCATTGGGTATACCTTGTCATTGGCTTTTTACTGACAAGGGAAAGATTTTCATTGACTCTTTGACCATATCGGTTTTTATTCATAACATCAATATTTACTTCCTTAAGCAGCAGTGAAAATTTTAATGAGGACAAATTTGATTACCTTGTCAAGAAAAAAACACACACACGTGGCCACTTCTAATTGGTGTACTTTTTGGAGTCAACGTAAGAATTAATTGCAATTCTAAAATTATTGACTGTCCAAAATATTGTAATGAAGGTTTGACTTTGAAATTTCGTAAGAGATTAGTACACTCCCATAGATGTACATTGCCTAACACACAAAATGTTGCAATATGGCTTCACAATGGCAACATAGCTTATCTCTGTACTTTATAATAATATTACTCTACCGTTTTGTTTATTTCAAATTGAATTTAATATCTGTAACTGTTATCATAGAATCTATAACAATTGATCATATGTAAATTTTCAATTCAAATCTGATCCACTAGTTGACTCTTAGTTTGATTTTTAGCCATTAATGATAATCTCTCAGTCATAGATTATGCCTAACCTCATAAAAATGGGCTCATATACATAATAATCTCAATATCGACAAGTAATATTTGAATTTCTTCTTCAACATTTGAAACGGCTTACAAAAACAAACTAACCAACCAATAAACGAATATAAACTTATCTGTACAACAATTTCCTAAATAAACTTATACCTAAATTTAAGGTAACAAAACTTCAAAACGATGCAAAATGTGGCAAAGTCTACACTCTACACTCAAGAAGAAGCCTGAGGATGTTGAAGCCTAACAATTTCATGAGCTTTCACATATTCCGCTGTGAACTTCCTCAACGCATCAAAAATGGGAACTAAACCAGCTTTCAAGCTACTCGAAGAAACGTTGTTCACAAGTTTAACACTTTCTTTGCCCCTACCTCTCTCCTCAGCAAGCTTCTTCCTCATCGAATCCAAATCAACTTTCAAATCATCCAAAACCGAAACCCCACTCTCTGACTTACCACCTCTCGAGACCACGCTTCTCTTATCCGACTCTGCGTCTCGTAGCTCAAACTCTGCTTTTACTCTTCGTTCTTCTTCCTCTTGCTTCTCCCATAGCTCGTGCAAGCTCGAAGCGAAGCCTTGCATCGCACTGCTCACGTTCTCTCCGGATACTCTACTCATTGCTTCTTGCCAGTCTTTGCATATGATAAAGATGGGCGGTGCGCCGATCCGACTAGGTGAGAAAGGAGCGATTCCGTCTTCGGTTGACTCAGGCTCGTAGTGAAGACACCGCGAGAGCCATCCGTTTAGAGACTGTACGTATAGTTTCTGTGAGCTGACCCAGCCGTTGAAGCTGCTGCACCATTCTCTTAGCTCCATCTCAAGATCAAGAATCGCTCCCGAACCACCAGAGTCTTTCTGTGAGACGGTTTTCGACTTTACAGATCGGACCTTGCTCTCCATAATCGCTTGGAACTGTTTCTGGTGGCACTTGAGCATCGATCTCCACATTCTTATCAACCTTCAAAAGCACAAACATCAGTTTTTTTTAACATCTTAATACTCTGTATAATCTGCATTTATATATGTGGAAAGATGATCTTACCCATGGATCAACAGTGTGAGTTGTGGCTGCAACTCTTCATCTCTAAGTTTATGGATTCTGCTGGAAATGGAATCAATAGATCTTATAGAGACGTCGATTTTCGTCAGAAGCTTCCTGATGTATGCTCGAGTAGCGTCGATCTTGCTAGTTTCTGCTCCATGACTATCCATTTTCTTCAGTGTCCTGCACTTCTCTTCATACATTGCACGGAGCCTTTCTTCGTCCTGTCATCAAAACGCCAAATCACAATGTAAACAAGATGCAAGAATCTAGAAAAGAGACACTAAATCCCATTAGAGATTCAGAAGCACTAAATGTACCTTGACTTCCTTGTACAGTTTCTTCTCCCATGCATACAGTTTCTCCAAGGTTGATGAGAGGTTTCCACTGAAACCTCCTCCATTAACGTCTTGTCCATTATATGCTTTCGCCATTTTCAGTGTCCTTGACGTTAAACGTATTGATACTTCAGGCTTAGAGCGTGACGACCGTGTAGATGGTGCCACTAGATACATAATCCTTGACAAGATAACTGAGAAAATAGAACATTTTGTTTCATGTATCCACCAAAGCAACTCATGGTTTTGTTCTGAAACCTTATTTCAACATAATGTTTCCATGTAAAGATTCCTTATTTCAGCAAAAGATTTGAGTTTTAAGATAGAGTTACCTTTAAAGCCATTGTTTTTATGCAGATAAGGCAACTTGCTGACATCAAGTAACACGCCAACTTCCTTTCCATATGAAGAAGCAACTTCGAATTCACTCTTGATCTCCTTCACAACTTCTCTGAGATCCCTAGTGGCATGGATCGACAAACTGGATAAGCTACTTATCTTGGAGGATTCAACATCAAAAGAAGAGGAAGTGCTTGTTTCCTCCAACTCAAAGCTCACTCCTTTCCTGAGTTTCCTCTTCCCATAATGTTCTTCTACTTCTCCAGAGCTCTTCGTTCCCATGATCGTCCCTTGTCCGCTTGAACTGTTGCTGCTCTTGTTAACGTAGTGAAACTCAGAGTCTTCATCACTACCTGAAAAAGTAGACACTGTATCTGAATCCAAGGAGCTCTCAGTGGCTCTTTCTTCTGGCATTGGCACTGACTCTCTTCTGTAAACGTTGTTGTGCTTGGGCTCGTCTCTGTGTTCTTTGACCCTCTCCAAGCTTGTTCTCTTATGACGACGATAGACTTGTTTGATCACTTCGTGCTCTGATTCTTCTTCCAGCTCGGGAATCCCTTCCCTCTCTCTAACTTCCTTCGAATCGGGGCTGCTTGAGATCGACGCCATTCCCGGCGGATAGTAGCTCGAACCACCACGTGAACGGCCGTTGCTGTAATCGTACGTATCAAAAACATTCAGGAAATCCCAAGTTGAAACCCTCGGCGGCGATGGAAGAGCCGGCGCCGGCGATCTCCGTGAGCTGTAATCCCCGGAAGGAGGAGGAGGGTAACCGGAAAACCCAGGATTATTAGGGAGATAACCGGAGTTTCGGAATCCGGAATCCGACGGCTCTACTCGGTGATTCTCCGGCTGAAAAATGAACGGTCGAGATGAAGGCGCGGATTTCTTCATGAAATACATTCCTTGATTCGCGTTCGGATTCTCACCGGGGAATCCCCATCCTCCAGCCGCGTATGGGTAACCCGGTGGAGCATATCCAGTTGGATAACCCGGTGGAGCATAGGCAGGTGGATAACCGGAAGAAAATGTCTCCCTTGACCGGTTTTGCTCTTGTTCCGGAGTGGAAACAATGTGGATATGATCATCAGATCCAGCTTCCGATTCGGGTTCAGATTCAGATCCGGACGAGAGATGCAAATGCGAATCCTCCGTATCTTCTTCCGATTCTCCTTCTTCTTCGATGACGGAATGAGAAATCGAGGTGGAAGAAGGCGAAATCCTCTTGTGTTTCGTCGGCTTGCCTTCGTCTGACGGAAGAGTAAGAACTGGAGAATCCGGCGAAGCAGAAGACGAAGAACCACCGACTAAGATATCCTCGTCGGCGAAACGACGAATAGCTTCTCCGACGTCGCAGAGAGACTGGAAGTAAACGAGGTGAGCTACGGCGAGAGCAGAGCGATGATGCGACGCCGCCTTAATCAGCTCCTTCCGCTCTCTACAGAGAATCACCAGCGGTTGATTGTCAATCTTCGATCCTCCGCAACCCATGGAAAACCAGAAAAGGTAACGTCTTCTTCACGATGGTTCAAGTCTCATTCTGCTTCCAGTCCGATAATCGTCGGACATGGAGCTACTACCATCGAAGAAACGGCGGCAAAACTGAAGCTTGTTTTTGAAGGAACAGAGCAAAATGGGTTTGGAGAGGTTTTAATTCAAAATTATCATGTGTAAGCGAATTTTATATAAAGAAAAGGGAGGTCTTTGTGCATGAGTGACAGAGAAACAAAACAGAAGAAGCCATGGCTGCTGATTTATTTGGAAACGTGAAAACACGAATCAGAGGAGAGAGAGACGAGGAAAAGGAAACAAAAGAAATTTTCGTCGTGTTGCAATTAGTTTAACTTTACTGGATTTAATGGATAGTGATGTGCGAAGAAAGTTAGGGATCTGGGCAAGTATTATTAAATCGGAGAAGAAGAAAGTGGGAGCGACGAGGAATGAGTTCTCTTTTACCATTTTCCCCCTAATGTTAAGATTTGTGCATTTTGGTCCCTACCAATTTTGCCACTATTTTCTATCTTTGTGCACACAAGACGATACTGCGTTATACAATTTTGTACATACAGTCATACACATCCAAAAATGATAGATTAAGCTTTATTGTTCTGTAACACATAGACAAAATATATCCCATCATTTGGATTAGTTATACAATTAGGAAAAGGCAAGAACAAATGGATTATAGGTTATTAGGTTACCAGAATTTAATTGGATATTGTGGATCTAACATTCATTTATTGGCCCCTTTTCTCTATATAAAAGCAATGGAAACTAATTTCATTTTCTAAGAAGTCAAAAATTTGTTGTCTTTACGAAAGTGTTTACAAGAGTCCAAATGTAAATTAGTAAATGTCGTCTTTAAGTCTCATAATCAAATCAAATCCCAAATATTTGAACGTTCCCTTTTCAATGCATAAATTTCAATGTTTGTGTATTGTAACAAGGGAGATTTGTGATTATACACAGAAAAGAGGGAAGGTTTGTCCATATACACATTTTCATGTTTTTACTATTTTTGCCATTAATACCCTTTATATATTTAAAAATATGAAATAGTTTATGTAAGAAACCCAAAATATTTCTAAAAATCAGATAAATGATCTTCAGACTTGTTATAATTTTTCACAATTTTTTTTCAAAAATATGATTTTTAAAAAATATATTGAAGTTTTCTTCTACCAGCTCTGAAATTCAAAGTAGAATATGTATCCTACACGTTTTTATTACATCTACTGGAGATAGAATTCGATATCTACCATTTATACACACATCTTCCACTTGTAGAACACGAGTTCTATAATCTATATATACCTCTACTATTAGTAGCATATCACTTCTACCTGTTACTCTATGTTCTGCGATTTTGTAAATTTGGTAGAAGATATGTTCTACCAAAAACAAAGTTTTCTACATGTTCTAGAATTTGTTGTCTACGAGAAACACAGCCTTCTACGCAGGCGTAGATTTCGTATTCTGTTACACACATTATCTCTTACCATCCGTAGAGTTCAGTTTCTACTAAAAACCACTTTTCTACCATGTTGGTAGAGGTCGTGTTCTTCTAGAAATCAGTCTTCTACCAAATGTAGAAATCGTCTTCTGCCGGAAATCTTAGAGAATATTAACAAATATTTTTTTGAATATTTTGTTTCCTTTTTCTTCTCCAACCTTCTCCCACGACGCAATTTGGCGGAGAAGAGGAAAACACAGAGGAGTAGTTTGAAGGAGAAGAACAGACGGCAACGGAAGAGGCGACGGAGGATTATGTGACGGAGAAGAGAGGAGAGAAAAGAGATGATTATGTGACGGAGAAGAGCGGAGAAGAAGAATGTCGCAGAAGAAAAGAAATGTCGGAGAAGAAGAAAAGAGGAGAGATGTCGGGGAAGAAAGGAAATATTTTCACTTTTATGTTTAATTAAAAATATCTCAATTAAAGGGTTAATTACTTTAATCAATTTTAAGGGTAAAAAGGGATTATAAGTTTAGAAAATGTGTAGTGGACAAAAATCTCTCCAAATTGTGTATTGGGACAAAGACTCTCCCAAAGCTGTGTATTTTGCCAATTTTCTCTTGTAACAATAATGCAAGTAACATGAGGCATTGAGACTATTGTATTGGGTGAAAAAGTTGGACATGTGCCTCCAAATCCAGATCACATGCATTTCATAATCCCCAATCCCCAAACGGCCAAAAACATAACATAACTTTTCGTTTTTATCCTCACAGTTTAATATTCCCACTTAAAGTTACATGATTGGCCCCTTGCTCTCGCTTTAATTAGTCCTTAATCACGGAAAAAAACACTTAACGAGTAATGATTGTGTTGTTTCTTGGCAAATGGGTCGTTTAACTCAATAGTACTCATTCACACTTAATTAAGATTTCTAACAAATATTGTGCTGTCTTGTTGTGACTGCTGAAAATGATACATTGTTTTTGTTGTGTGAATAAAATTGTTTCCTTTAAACAGGCGCGACAGAGTGTATAAGGTTTTGTCGTGTGTGTGTTCTATTTTAATGCTACAACACCAATTTGCATTTATGTATGAAATTAATTTCGTCATAACAAATGACATCATTCATATAAACAAACAAAGGTTATCAAATGTCGATTGTAAGAATGAGAATGAGTCTGACCAACCCCATCGGCGGATCGTAAGACTATTGCGTCATTAGAGAGGTAGGAACATCGTTTTCCATACCAACCATTCATACATCTTTCTAGATTCAGAATTTAATACTATTTCAAGTAAATATTAAAATTGGTGTGGTTGTAAAGGAAACTTTGATAATCCCAATTCCCAACAAGTAACTATTAATGAGATAGATGGAGCATAACTTTGCACGTCCATGTCCCACGTGGTTCCTCTAAATTTTAATTTTAAGCGAAAAAGTCATTCTTGCTCGGATACAATTAGAGAAAAGTACAATGGTTATTGGTTAATCTAATTCAAGAGAGAGGACTCTTCTTTCTTTTTTTAGTATCCAAAAGAGAAGAATCTTGAATGAATCTCTAAAGAAAGTAAAAAGGTCTAACGTTTAACAATAACCCAAGCTTATTTTAATGTTTGATTTCAAAAATACTCGGAAAAAGGTGTAGCACTGATTCACACACTTTAATTTAGGTATATCTAGATTTGAAAAACTTAACACTAATCTGAAAAACTAAAACCACCAAACATGCAAGTTTATTAGAGCTGATTTTATTCAAGCAAACTATAACATACTTATAAACAATATCTGAACACCACAGGTGATTGATTATTATGTATGTATATAGGTAAGAGAAATCAAAATATGTTTTGTAATGTTTCAATTAGAAACCAGAGAAATCATCGGAGTTGTTATTACCAAAGAAGTAGAAAAAGAGGACCAAAACGCTGATGGCAATGATGATGTTGAGGAAGTAATTAGTGGGCAATGGCTTATTTGGGCTTCCTCCTATTGCTTCGTACTCTGCTCTTATCTTCTTCTTCATCGAATCCGAAAGCTCCTTCTGCAAGTAACATGTTCCTCAAAATGCAAAATACAAAAAAAACTACAAAACATTGTGTCATGTACTGAAGACAAACCTTATTAGTGGAATAATTAGCAGCTACAAACTTCTCTGGAGTTCCTTGTGTAGGATCATTGCCAATGATTATTCCCTGATTAGTTTATCAGAGGCACATTCAGCAGTTTTAGACTATGGTTCAAAATGGTTAACACATGTAGCTAGAGATTAAGTTTGTCTCTCTTTTGCGTATGTACCTCGGGAGGATCAAATTTGGCGCCGAGGTTGCTGAGCTTGGCATGAGCTTCAGCGTAATCCTTGAAGAATGCAGCCGGATCTTCAGCATATTTCTCTGCATAAATCTGTTACAAAAAAACAAAATTAACATTTCCTCTCAAGTAACAAAGAACTACTAACTATATGGTATCTAATTAGCAATCACTGTTTTAAAACCTTGAATGAAGGATCTTCGAATAGCGCAGCGTCAGTGGGTAAAACCAACAGCTCTTCGTCTCTCTTTTCTTTGATATCCTGCAAGTTACAGACGTCAGTGAGAATCATCTTCTTCATTCTCAAATGCGAGTTGCTATAAGGCGGATAAGAGATAGACCTTGAAGTAAGAATTGTCAAACTTCAGCCATTTCACTGTCCATGACTGTCCTCCTGCTTCTCCAGGTCCAGTTTTCTGCCATTTTTTTAACATTTCCATAAACATCTCTACACCATCATTGCTAACTACAACAATGTAACAATGGAGATAGATTCTGTCGTTTATTATATACCGTGTACTTTGTCTCAGGCTTGCCCCAGCCGCTACGTTCTGGTCTGGCTCTTCCTAGAGTATGTGCACCAGATAAAGCAACAATCTCCTTATCATCTAGTCCCATTCTGTAGAACACTTCCCTCAAATGATCAGCTGGTGAAGGAGGTCCAGCATCTAAACACACGTCATATAAATTAGTCACCTCTTTATTCCATAACAATATCTGAAACAAAACTCATCGAAAGCCATGAAACAGACAATGGAAAAAGATTAGTTAACCAGGGAGTCTTCCTTCTTCAGGACACTGTTCAGGTGCCGTCACATCAACTCTCCCATACTTCATCGGAATCTCAGGACCACCAGCCTCCTGAAATCAAATCTATAGCCATCAATAAAAGTTTCCAAGAACTAACATAGTTTTCCAGAATAGTCCAATCCCTAACCTCTATTGCAGTGGCACTAGCTAATTGGAATAAGTCGGCGTAAGAGATGTTTGGATACTTTTCTTTGAGAGGCTCAATGAGCTTTAAAGCACTAATGAGACCTGTCAAAAATGTCAAAACGTTTACAATGTAAAAAACAAAACGAAGCCATGAGGACACATTGAATGGTGAACGTGATGGAAACTTAGTTACCAGCATTTGCAGCATGTTTAATCTCAGGCTCAAATCTGATACTCGCATTAGCTCCTCCTCTCTGTGGCCACTCCTCTATGTTCTTGTTGTACGTACCTGCATCGTGCCATCCCAATCTCACCTGCAATCGAAAATGTGTATCTCTTCGTCAATGACATAGCCAAAATGATTTTGGCAGACGATTTTCTCCGGAGAAGAGATACTACATGATCAAATCAAAGGGATATGAAGAAGAGAATCGATACTTAACCAAAATCGGATGGCAAAACTTTGTACGGAGAAGCACTTTGATATCTTCTTTGGCGCTTTTCAATTGAGCTGCATCGGAGGCGGCGCATTTCGGCGAAATCCCGGTGCTAGAGCCTCTGTTCGTCACATTGATCGGATACTTTTTCTACAAATCAACAGAAGTTATAGACAAATCGTTCAGAGAGAAATTGCCGAAACTATGATTCCGTATCGAATTTCGCGATTGAGTGATCGTACCTGAATGAGGGAGGAATGTGGGAACAGAGAGGAAGATGAGACGATTCGGAGAGAAGAGATAGAATGCGGTGATGAAGAGGAAGGAATAGCAACGAGAGGAGACGAGGATGAGGAGGCGGCGGGGAGAGAGACTCTGGGGGAGGAGCAGAGTGAGTGAGAGGCGGCGGAGAGAGAGAAAGCCATTTGTCACGGCGGAGAGATGCGCCGGCCGGGAAGATTTGAATTAAAAAAGGACATGTGTCAGTGAATTAGCGATACGTTGACAGTTGGATCTATTTGGAGTCACTCACTCTCTAAAACTGGATAATGATATCTGTACACTGACACCTAATTCGCAGGTGATCCTCACGTGCCTCATCTCTATGAGCTAATTGACATGTGATCCTCACGCGCCTTCATTTATGGGCCGAGAATATTGGGCTTTAAAATGAAAAACTTTCGGCCTTTTAGACCAATGGTGGTGGTTCGCGCGTGATCTATGCGCGTTAAGCTTATTTTTAGCCAAAGTCCAAATTTCTCAATCAGCTACGGGAAATCAAAGAAGTCTCTGTAGCAGCAGCAACTTGCAAGAAATTGAGTGAGTCAGTGAGAGATATAATAAAAACTAGGAAGCAGCAAATTCTTAAAGGAGCCTCCTTTTTCGTTTGTTGTTGCCTGGTGTCAACTTTTCTCCTCCGAAAAAGAAACCTTTATTGGGATTTGGTTTTCGCTTTTCTCGGGGAAAAGGAAGAAATGATGATGAATCCGAAAAGGGAGACAAGAAAGCTTTTTCCAGGTGTTTACCTCTTCTTCTTCTTCTCTGTGCTCGTCCTCTGTGCTCGCTTTCAACTCTCAGAAGCTACCAAAGAGTCCACGAAGCGGCAAGTGAAGTTGCAGAATCTTCGGCTTAGCTCTTCCGTTGTGTTCCCCGTCTCCGGGAACGTTTATCCTCTTGGGTAAGTCAAATCTTCTCTCCGAAATTTCATTTCTTTCGTTAGATTCCGTCATTTGCGAGCTTGATCTTCTCCGTTTGACTGCTTTCTCGGAATTGTTGACTGATGTGTCTTTGATTTTGAATCTGTTAGCGTTCTTAATCTTTTAATGCACGAGAAGAGAAATTTGATGTGAAAAGGGAAATCCAAAGATTGAAACTTTCAAGAATTGCAGATTTTGTGCAATGTTGATTCCGATATCCCCTTCTATTGAAAACGCCCAATTTGATTGTTGTTTGCATTTGAAGTCATTTGAAGAATCCGAATTTGGTTTTGTTGTTGTTGTTGTTGCAGGTACTACTATGTGTTGCTTAACATAGGAAACCCACCAAAGCTCTTTGACTTGGACATTGACACTGGAAGCGATCTCACTTGGGTTCAATGTGATGCACCTTGCAACGGTTGCACAAAGGTTTGATTTTTGCTTCTTTTAGTGTGCGTTTGTGACATATTAAGGAGAGAGGTGTTTGTTTTAATCAAGAATCTGATCCCTTTTCTTCACAGTCTCGTGCTAATCAGTACAAGCCAGATCACAACACTTTGCCTTGTTCACATCTCCTGTGCTCTGGCCTCGACCTTCCTCAGAGCAGGCCTTGTGATGACCCTGAGGATCAGTGTGACTATGAGATTGGGTATTCGGATCATGCATCATCTATTGGTGCTCTTGTAACTGATGAGTTTCCTCTAAGACTCGCCAATGGCTCCACTATGCATCCTCATTTGACATTTGGGTTAGTTTCACTAAACTCATAGGTTGTAAAAGTTGGTGATGATATTGCTAGTGATTCTGATTCTTCAATCCAAATTCTCTTTTTTTTTTTCAGATGTGGGTATGATCAGCAGAATCCTGGTCCACACCCTCCTCCTCCAACAGCGGGAATCCTTGGCCTTGGAAGAGGGAAAGTAAGCATCTCATCACAGCTTAGTTCCATGAAGGTGACGAAGAATGTGATTGTGCATTGCTTAAGTCATGATGGTAAAGGCTTTCTCTCTATTGGAGATGAGCTTGTTCCTTCTTCTGGAGTTACATGGACTTCACTGGCTCTTAATTCACCTAGGTGAGCAAATCTTTGAGCCTTTAAGTTATTGACTCACACACACTTTTATAACTGCCAAGTTATAACTCATGTTGCATCTTCCTTCTGTAGTAAAAACTACATTACTGGACCAGCAGAGCTTCTCTTCAACGACAAGAGCACAGGTGTCAAAGGCATGAACGTAGTTTTCGATAGTGGAAGCTCCTACACTTACTACAATGCTGAAGCATACCAAGCGATTCTCAAACTTGTAAGACACAATTTCTTCTTCTCTGAGAAACAAATAGACTAGTTTCTTTTTCTAATTTGGTGTGCATATATATCTCTTGTAGATAAGAAAAGACTTGAATGGGAAGTCTTTGAAGGAGACGAAAGATGATACCAGCTTACCGGTGTGTTGGAAAGGCAAAAAAACTCTGAAATCACTTGATGATGTCAAGACATACTTCAAGACGATTACTTTACGATTTGGGAATCAAAAGAATGGTCCGATATTTGAGGTTCCACCTGAATCATACCTCATCATCACTGTGAGTCACACATATGACATATATTCACTGGACTATATATGACTTGTATATCCATAAAGATTCATGGCTGAGAGTCTGTTTCTTCTTTTTGGTTTTTTAGGAAAAAGGAAATGTGTGTTTGGGTATCCTGAACGGAACTGAAGTCGGGATCGAGAACTACAATATCATTGGAGGTCAGTTAATAGATATGCTAGTAAGTTTTTGATTATAGTCTTTCTCAGGTATTTTTGTATGCTTGTTGGCTCATGGCTCTGTGTGTGTGTGTGATAGACATATTCTTCCAAGGGATAATGGTGATCTACGACAATGAGAAGCAGAGGATTGGATGGATTTCTACAGACTGTGACAAGCTTCCCAAGTTCTGAAACTGAACCTTCATCTTCTTCTTTGTTTCTTCTGTTTCATCAGATGTATAATACAGTTTCTTCTTTTCTTCTTCCTCTGTTTGCCTTTGGAACTTTGTTAACAGTGTGAAAGAAGACTTGGCGGAGGAGGAGGCATATCCAAGAGGGTTTGGTTTGATAGGAGAGCTTTTCTCAGGAACTGATTCTTCTAAGAACAAGAACTTGGCCTCAGATGGAGAGCTTTGACACAGTCACACAGAAGAGTTTTAGTGATAAAAATAAATACTTTTAAAGGTTTTTTTGGTTCTGCTGTTATCAGAGAAACTTAGAAACGAGGAAATATATTGTGAATATATATACTCCTTTTGTATGTCATTTGATGCAATCATATAATCCAAAGAAAATGAGCAAATCTTGAAGAGTAAAATGCATTCGAGTTTTAGCAACATTTGGGAAATTTCAGCTGTGAGTTTTTTTTTGAGTTTGCTATAAAAAGAGTATGCTGATATCATTTTTCCCACTCATATGATTCATATTTTTTCAAATTTTATTGGCTCTTAATAGTTTGCCAAAAAAGTAGACCTTAAAATAAAATTTCAGTTTCTAAAATATGTTTTTGCTGAACCTGTAAAATACTAAAATGTAAATAAATTATGAAAAAAAAAAACTGAAAGCTTCACAGTGGCTGTTGTTTTACCAAAATAGCCCCAGCTCAACCATCATTTTTCGAGGCTAAAAAGGTAATTACAGAACGAAGACTCCACAGTAGACAATGGCGGAAGGAAACCTCAAAAACTAGAGATTGGCGCCATAAGCAAAGAGAGTGAAAAGACGGCTGAATTTCTGAAGCGATTTTCGGTAATCAGCGGCGAAAATGACTGAGACGGCGTCGGCGATGGACATTGACGTGGACGAAAATCAGCCTCGGAAGCCGAGTAACAAGGGCAAAGCCGTCGCCGGTTTTGGCGGTCCGCCGCAGAGTAAGGCGACGCCTTGGGTCGAGAAATACCGACCTCAATCGCTCGATGACGTCGCAGCACATCGTGACATTATTGATACGAGTAAGTAATTAAACTTACTCACACTCTCTCTTCCTCAATTTCCAGCCTCTAGGGTTTCCTTTCCATTTTTAGGGATTCAATTTAGTATTTTCAATTTTCAATTTCTCTGTAGAGAGATTTCTGGAAAACCCAGAGGATTGTGACTTGAAATTTTTGATTTTTTTTCGAATTACGATTGTATTTGAAAGAGAAATGGTGCTTCTGATTGAGAAGCTAAGGCATTTATCTGTCAAATTTATCAGTGTATTTTCAGTGTATTTGTCAAAGAGAAATGGTTCAAATTTATCTTTGTCAGTGTATTTTCTGAGTTGGATTGAGAGACTAATGCTTCTTACCTTTGCTAATGGAAGGTTTGTTGTTGTTTTGGTGTCTTTTGTACACAGTTGATAGGTTGACGAATGAGAACAAATTGCCTCATCTGCTGTTGTATGGACCTCCCGGGACAGGGAAAACATCGACCATTCTAGCCGTTTCCCGGAAACTGTATGGACCCAAGTACCGTAATATGATTCTTGAACTGAACGCTTCTGACGATAGAGGTATTGATGTTGTGAGGCAGCAGATTCAAGACTTCGCTAGCACTCAGAGCTTCTCACTGTGAGTTTCTATATCACGACTCCATTTCTTGCCTTTGAATGTGGAAATGCGTTTCGATGGCATGAGCTATGTTTAGCTGTAGCATACGCTATCCTTTTATGTAGCAAAGATTGTTTTGGATTATATAAAACAAAGTTTAAAATTCATGAATGCAGAGGAAAATCTTCGATAAAGTTGGTTCTGCTGGATGAAGCAGATGCCATGACAAAAGATGCTCAGTTTGCCCTGCGTAGAGGTAAAAAACCATATAATCTTTGTAGCTCTCTCTCTCGTTTTTTATTTCATTTAAGTATGGCACTAACTAATCTTCTTTTCTTGAATTTGGCAAGTGATTGAGAAATACACAAAGAGTACGAGGTTTGCGCTCATTGGAAACCATGTCAATAAGATCATCCCAGCTTTACAGTCCAGATGCACCCGATTCAGATTTGCCCCTCTTGATCCTGTTCATGTGAGTCAACGTCTTAAACATGTTGTAGAAGCTGAAGGGTGAGTGAGGCTTAAGCTATTTCTGTCTTATAAACCTTCTTTTTATGTGTGTTTTTCCATCCTCTCTGCTTAATATCTAACTTGTTGATCCTTTTTTCTTGTGCTATCTCTTCATAATTCGATTAGGCTTGATATAAGTGAGAGTGGCTTGGCAGCTCTTGTACGTCTGAGCAATGGGGACATGAGAAAAGCTTTGAACATTTTGCAGGTTCGATCTATATAGATGATAATCACTGTGAATAGTTCTGTGATAATTCTCTAATGTGTTTTGTGGGTTTTGGGCAGTCAACGCATATGGCGTCAGAGAAAATTACAGAGGAAGAGGTTTACCTCTGCACTGGAAACCCATTGCCTAGGGACATTGAGCAGATATCTCACTGGCTTCTGAATGAATCATATGCTGAGAGCTACAAAAGTATTGAACTTTTATATGATATCTTCTTCTCTTTATTTACTAAGATACTGATTCCATGGTCCTGATTCCTAATTGTGAAACTTCAATTTCTGCAGAGATATCAGATATGAAGACTAGAAAAGGACTTGCCATTGTTGACATCGTCAAAGAAGTTACCATGTTAGTGACGACTAACTTGGTTTGCTGATTCTTCACCTACTGTATTATCAGTGTTTTAACTTTTGGTTTTTTCTCAATCAGGTTTGTTTTCAAGATCAAGATGCCTTCACATGTCAGAGTTCAACTGATAAACGATTTGGCAGACATCGAGTGAGTGTATTTTTGTGTGTTTTCAAAACTTTGTGGATTGTTTAAATTCTGAATGTATTGTTTTTAATGTTTATAGGTACAGATTGAGTTTTGGGTGCAACGACAAACTTCAGCTTGGAGCTATCATTTCTACTTTCACACATGCCCGGTCTGTCTTGGTTGCTGCAGCAAACTGAACCAAAACGTGTATCTGTTAACATTTTGGAAACTCGCAAGTAGCTTTTATATTTTGTGATTTTGGTTTTCTTTTAACTTAACAAATTGATAACCTATAATGTTTTTTACCTTTGGTGATGTTTTCCTGATAATCTTGTTTGTATATGTTATGGCTTTTGCGACCAAAAGCTTGCGTTTCTATGAAAACATAAAAATATAAAATCACAATCCATATCTCGTAATCACATTTTCGAAAAGAAAGAAGAAGAACAAAAACAAAAACTTACAAAAAACAGGCCCATATAAGCCCGGAGTGCTTAACCATTGTCGGTTCGTTTGGTTTATTCGGTTAGGTGATTGCGAAGAAGGGTTCTTTGACTTTATCATCTCAAAAAGTCAAAAACTAGGTTAGGGTTTTGCGAAGTTAGGTGATAAAGAGCAGATCAAGCAAGTCAAAGTTGTGACCTAGTTTTTTGAGATGGCTTCTTCGTCAAGGCTTTGCGCAAAGGGTTCGTCGACGCTGCCTTTAGAGTTGGTAGAAGAAGAGATACTTCACAGGGTTCCTACAGAATCTTCACAGGTTTCCCCATCGGAATTTTTTTATTATCCACTGCGACGGATTATTGCTATGCCGTTTTGCTGCTTATGGACTAGATGGCCAGAAGCTTGCAGTCTGGAACCCGGCTTTGAGTAGCCAGGTCAAATGGGTCGAACCATCGCATGCTCACAAGCATAATGGTATTTACGGTTTTGGATACGACAGTGACAACAAGTACAAGGTTTTGAGGTTTAACAGAGGTAGGGAAATGGAATATGAGATATATGACCTCAAGTCTAAGCTCTGGACATCTTTTCCCGCCACTTTCGATTGGTCTCCGATAAAGCCGATCCAAAACGTGTCTATGAAGGGAAACATGTATTGGATTGCTAAAAGCGACAAGACTCGCAAAACCTTCATCCAAAGTTTCGATTTCTCCACGGAGACATTCAAGCCCATATGCTCCTCTAACCCCGTTGAGGCAAGGGTTGTAGGTGTCTACCAAAACAATATGATGAACCATCACGATATGATAAGATTTGTCGAACTTGATATTGTAGTCTTGTCAGATTTCGGAGGAGACAGGCTTTCTTTACTACATCAACACAGAGATAAAGTCAGCACAAGGGAGATCAAGATCGAGGTGTGGGTCACAAACAAGGTGACTGATAGTGTTGTCTCGTGGACTAAGTATTTTACTCACTCTCATCTCCCTATATTACTTGACGACAACTTCTCTCTCCGTCATCCATCATACTTCATCCACAAGACCAATGGTATCATGCTATGGTGCGATAGAGTTTTACAAGATGAGGATGGTATTGTGCGTGCCAGCTTTTACGAAATTGGTGAGGGTGAGATCAAAAAAGTTGAGATTGGACCACGGTTTAGTTCTAATGGAGAAAACAACCTTTGTATTGGTGGCTCTACTTACGTTCCAAGTCTGGTTCCGGTTCCATAATAAGAGGCAAGAGGACATAGACACACACAAAAGAGACTCCATGCATGTTGTGTCAGCAAAAAAAAACCTTTATATTATCATTGATTAAAATATGTTTCGTTTCAATGTCTTTCTTTCATAATGTCAATCTGATATTGGTTAACTATGAACACAGGCAAAAAAGTATGGTAAAATAACTTTATAACATCGCTACAAGAATCAGAGCACTTCGTGCTGCTTAGTTGATCCCCGAGCGAAAAAAAAGGTTTCATGAACAAAATGTCAAATACATGATAACATGGCAGACAAAAAAAAAAGAAAGAGAAACAAGCTATACACAAAGATTTTCTTACTTGCTATGGAGGGAGGCTCTTGGCTTCTACGATTCTTTATCACACACCATACCAATACTCATTACCCATATACACGTATTGCTATACATTTTCTGCAGACTTTGCTTTTTTCTTCTTCTTCTACTACAAAAAAAACTACAGCCATTAATGGAGCATTACATCTTTACCTTAGCCAAGTTTATGGAGCTTTTTTGTTTTTTTTTTTGTTTCCTCAAAGAGCATCATCCGTTGTTCTGTTGGACCATGCAATCTCGATGTCGATAGATCTGGAAGAAGCATCTTTGCTGTTTTCATGATTCAGGCTTAGAGATCCATTGTACACTCCTTCCGTCACCACTTTGTCGATTTGGATTGTGACACGACCTAGAGTTGTCTGCAAACAAGGAATGTGTTTTGTGTTAAAACAAAAAGTACCAATCAAGACAACATATAGCTTACAAGTGTGATCCATAGCTATAATAATACCTTTCCGAATGTGCTTTTGCTCTTGCAAATGATGTGAAGCTTTTGTCCTTTGGGAGGAACATCAAATCCCCAAGTAAAGCCTTCTTTCCACTCAGGACAAGTGCTGTTGCTCACAACCTACACAAAACGAGTCAAAGCCCATTAAACAAAAAGAAGTTATTAGCAACAGTGGAGAGAAGAGGATGAATTTGCTTTACCTTAGTTTGCCGTTGAGGGCAGTTTCCTATTGTTAGTTGACAAAAGGCGTTTGTGCTTGCCATAGACTGCTTTAAGTTATTGGCACGCATGACGTTCACTGTTAAGCAACCTGGTAAGCAGTGCAATAAGCTGTCTGCCTTGTCGTGGAACCTAGGAGGACATGTTTTCATCAGCACTTGCAGGACGGGAATCGCTTCAGCTGCAATCATGGCTTGAGACTTTGCAACGTCTATACCCATACTTGTCCACGAGTGTCTTATCAAGTAGAGAATATCCAATACTAACCCTTGAACATCTTCACCACCAGATTTGAGCGCCCCTACCAAATGAGGGATGCAGAAAGTAGCAGCTTCTGAGGCACGGAGCTTGGGGAAGTTGGAGAAAATCACATTTATGGTTCTCAAAACTTCGATATTTATAGTTGATGTAGACCACAAGCCTCTCTCAAGTGCAGCTGCTCAACAAAGAAACCATCAGAATATAACAAACTAGAGTGACAGGGATATGATATGATAAGCATAACTTGTTGAAAAAGTACCTGTTAGTGATCGTATAAGCTCATTCGAGACATATTCTTGGAGTGTGTGGTTGGAGAACAAAAACTTGACCATCAGTGCAGCTTGCCCAGAAACTTCTGCGTTGCAAGAAAGAAGCAGCTCCTGAATTAACAATACACCACCAGCCTCTGCAACAGCTCGCCTATTTGTTCTACTATTCATTACAAAATTCTGCAACGCACATATCGCCACCACTTTCATTTCTTCTGTTGGTTGTTCTTCTAGCACGCTAATGAGCGCACGACAAGCGGAAACAGAACCACTGGATCTAGAAAGCCCTTCGTGTTGAGAAAGGTCTCCAAGTGCAAGAGCAGCAAGAAGTCTACCAGGGTCTGATCTCGTCTGAGGGTCCAACAGATACTGAGAGAGTGGTGCTATCGCGTATTTGCATAACTTCAACTCTCTTACCCTTGGATTGTTAAATATTACTTCGAGCAAGCTTCCTGACTCTTCCTCGCACTGATGAGATCTCAGGAGGTCTAGTAATGCATCGATTGCGCCAAGCTCAGCCATTTGTACTGTGCTTGAAGCATCGTTCTTCTCGTGAATCATCAATGCTTTAAGAGCCAGCATCACCGTGCTTTCAATCGTCGAGAACAACAATTTTACTAAAACTGGTAGTTCAACTCTGAAAAAGCATTCTGCGTCACACTGCAGAACATTGGAGAGAACAAAAGCAGCTGACTCCCACAGATCAAGAGATGGCTGAGGATCCTCCTGAAGAATAACTTTGGATAGCTCAAAAATACCTCCAGCATCAAGAACAGCCTTAGGCCAGCTAGCTGAAATCTTCTCCAGTGCCTTTATCGCAGTTTCCTGCAGGCTCAGTATTCCAATTCCAGCAAGCCGAACCAGAGGAACAACAGCACTCTGTGTTGTGATGTCTTGCTGGAAATCTTCCATTGTAAGAAAATGGCTCAAAAGTTCTGCTCCAAGCTGCTGGATGGCTTGAGACGAAGACTCCAAAAATGAAATCAGAGGCACCATGGCTTCACTGGGCGTAAAACTAAAAGCTTCAAGGCTCTGCTGTTTTTCCAAAATGTTAACAAGTGCTTGTAACGCACTGTGTTGCCCCCATAAGGTCAAGTCTGATCGGAGCAAGACCATGAAAAGAGGTTCTACAATTTTTGTAACATCTGGTCTTCTTGCGATTACTCCACTATTTGTTAAAATTCGAAACAGCTCTGCAACAGAGGAACATAACGAACTTGAGGCCCCAGGTAGTAGCTCAAGACATCGATCAATTATTCCAGCTTCCACCATCTCCAACTTGCGTGGTACTCTGTCTTTCCCCAGCTTAATGAGAGCTGATAAGCTAGCCTCAATAACTCTGTAATTTGTTCCGGAAACCAAGCCAACAAGAATCTCCTGAATGTCATGAGCTGCCGCGAGTTCCAACTGTTGCTCGTCATCCAACAATATCTTAATAGCACAAACTGCTGCTTCAACTTCTGCACTTCTTCCAGACTGCATAAGAGTTATTAGGGACTTCATGCATTCGGAGGCGGATGGACTTGCTCTGACGTTTTTGTTCGAGAAAACAACAGAACAAAGTCTGGCAGCATTTATCTTTAACTCCTCTGAAGCAGAAGCAGAAGCAGATGATAAGATTTTGTTTAGATTTTCCAGCAGACTGTCTTCCACATCAATCAGAAGAGCTGTATTCGAAGTATTTCCTGAGCTTAGTTTAATCAATGCAGAGAGAGCTACCTCTTGCTCACTCTCTGATACAGAGCCGAGCATGTCCATCAATGGTTGAGCAGCCTGGCAGGCGATTTCAGATTTTCTGATGTGTTCAGCATCAAAGAGCTCATTCAGAGCCCCAGCGGCGCTGTATCTTGCACTTCTCGACCCCAGACGAAGTACTGCTATAAGCTGATTCAAGGAACTTAGAGCCATTTCGTTTTGTCTAAGCTCATGGTTGCTAAATAACACCCTAAGCAATTCAGATATGATGTACTCAGTTGAGTCTTGAGGGCTTAGAGAAAGGTACTTCGTTAAAGCTTCCACAGCTCCAGCTTCAGCCATTAGCAATTTATTTGTGTCACTTCCATCAGCAATGCGAATCAAGATTTGGACGGCAAATTGAGGGGCTCCTGGCCTATCTGGAATTGGCCTTAAGAGATCAACAAGCAGTGGGATAGATTTGCGTGCAGTGGAGCCAAGCCTCACATCTTCAATTTCAAAAAGGTGTTGAAGAATGACTTGGTCAGGCTCTTTCACCAGAGAGAATTCATTTCCCAAAGCAATCAAGTTCAGCATCTCTGACTCCACATAGCCAAGAAGGTTTATTATCCCAGAAACAGCACCTGAGTTTGCAACTGTCAGATTTATTCCTCTGTTCCCAGTACAAACAAGACTAGCCATTGCATGGGCAGCGAAATACCGATCTATCAGTTCATCAGATCTTAGCAAAAGTGCAAGTGTTGGAATGATCTGCATTGTCGTTGAAGATAAGGACACATTGTCATCCTGGAACATGATAGCCAGGAGGAGAGCGCTAATCCAAATTCCTTCTGTATCCTCAAATTCAGCCTGGTAAAACAATATAGATCAATATTAGATGGAACAAGCAAGTCAACTTCCTGATGTAGTGGACCAATATTATCTTTACATGTCCGAAAAAAAGAAAAATTTACCTGAGGACTGGAAGTATACCTAGCAAGCTTCCCAAAGAGAACCTCAAGTCCGCCAGCTTCCATAACAATGAGCTTTGACTTAGCATCAACAGAAGTGAGTACGCATAGCAGCCACAGTGCGACTGTACCACCCAAGATTTTAGCTGGATCAGGGAAATAAAAACCACCTGTATCCTGGACAACATTTGTTTCCATAAAACCTTTAGATGTCTGGACTTCAGTTTCTATAGAAAAGCATTCAGAATTGTGCTTTATCATGTCTACTAGAGCATGTAACAAGATCTTTGAAAAACCAGACTGATCAAGTGCCTCCATGATCAGCTGCTTCTTCTCTTTTGCAGCACATAAGAGCAGCGCTGTCCCTCCAACTCTCACTTCTAAGCTCGATGCATTCACGATTCTATCAGCCAAAACCCCTATTGACTTGGATCTTGAAACTATAAGTTCACTGAGCAGAAGTTGTTGATCAGAGCAAAGCCTGGACAAAATTTCTATTGCCTTATCTTGCACAAGAGTACGGCCTTCAGCAAGGCATTGCACAAGGGTCTCCACGCTTGATGGCACTTCGGCAAGGGCAATCCATGGAGGGTAAGAGAAATTTACTCCATCCTTAGCCCTTGCCAAGAGTGCAACGACTTCCAGTATGTTGAAAGCATCTGTGCTATTCATATCAATTGCTTTTAGAGAATCAACGAGTGAAAGCATAGCAAAACGGCACTGGGCGCTTCCCTTTAGCACATCACAAACTGGAAAGTTCTGAAGTAACTGATGAAGTGCCCGTGATGCATTTCTCTTACCCTCTGAAGATCCATCAGCCAAAATTCTTGTGAAAGCTGAAACAACATCTTCAGCTAGTGCTTCTGCAGCAATATCCGGATCAGACAGAATATTTGCCAGAGCAGAAACTGCATTTTCTGCAGACTCAATGGAAGAGTCCTTAGCCAATTTTATGAGTGACTTAAAATCTCCTTCTGCAATGTAAGACTTCTTTTTATGAGAGTTTTTCTTCACCGGGCGGGACAGTGCGTCCAAAGCCCTAGCCACCTGTTTCGCCACATTCTGAGTGTTGTTCGTAAGGAGCTTAATCCATGGATTAATAATGTCATCAGTCGCAAGATGATCACAGATATCTTGTCTTGAGCTAAACAGATCAGCTAAGACTGAAGCTGTATGCTCCTTTGTTTCATCCCTGGAAGATGTCAAGGACTGTACAAGGGACCTCAGTCCTTTGTTAGCAGCACATCCGCTATGAACAAGATCCTCTTGCGAAGCTTTAGAAAGCACATGACCCAATACTTGTATTACATGAACCTTAGAACTCGGATTATCTCCCAGAAGTAAAGCCAACAACTGATTAATTGTAGCAGGCTCAGCTGTACGGACAAGCTTCACTAGTGTCTTTGCAGATGTTTCCTGGGAATTCGGTCCACCGGTCTTCAGTAGCCACAAGAATGCCTGAATACCATCAGCTCTTTCAACACAATCACGGATTTCCTCACTGTGACAGCACAAATTCCAGAGGATCCTGGCAGAATCTTCCTTGGCCTTTAGAGATCCAGTCTCGAGCAACTGAACAAGTGGAGGAATCCCCCCGGCTGCGGTCACAGCCCATTTACTATCATCGACCTGGGCTGTCAAAATTTCCAGCATTTCAACAGCATACTCTTGGTGTTGCTCACTAGACAAACCTAGAAACGATATAAACAATTGGATTCCTTCTCTCTTTCCAACCGCCTCCCAAATTCCAAATTTCTCATGACATAAGCGAGACAAGCAAATTATAAGAAGCTCTCGTACATCAGCGGAAGCCATAGTTATGAGCGCGATAAGGACTCTCTTAGCTTCTGCATCATCTAGGTAACACGATAGACTACCGTTTCCATACAAGCTAGCCATAGCCTCCAAGATCCGTTCTTGGATTAACTTTGTGTCACGAGGCTTTAGTAACTTCACCAAAATGCTCTCTATCACTCTCGGATCAAATAACTTCTCAGAGCTCACTGGTTGCTTGAAAATCATTAGAGCATAGGCAAGGGCTCCAATTACATCACCAATTGGTTCCGTCAGACGAGGGGATTGAGATACTTCTCCAAGATATATAATCAAATGGCGCATCCCACCAAACACATTTGCCAAAGCTCCAGTCGCATGTTCTTGTAGGGATTGTCCATGTTTTCCCTGCATACACTCTTTCGATGGAGCAACAATCGCTCCAATGAGAGCTTGAACACCTCCTGCATCTTCAACACATTTCTTAGCTTCATCGGATCTTGATGAAAGAGCTTCCAAAGCATCTGCTGCACTAGCACGAACATTTACATCATTCTTCTGTTCCAAAAGCTGAATCAGAGACTTGACAACTCCAGAATCTAATATTTTCTGGATGCTGTCACAAAAGGACATCACTAGACGAGCCAGCAGAGAAGCAGCATTTGCTTGAGAATTAGGATTATCAGATGACAAAAGAGACACAACTATGTCTACACCAGTACCCTCCTCTAACGTCACTCTCCAATAACCATCATCAACGCCACAAAGATTCCTCAAAGCTCCAGTAACGTACCCTTCAACCACATTATCCTGTTTTCCTTTCAGACTGAGTTGATCCCACAAAGTTGGCACTACACCTTCTGTGATAAATATCTTCATGCCAATGTGATCATTCGAAATTCCAGCAGAAGAAACCTCATATATAGCTTCTGCAGCTGCTTTCCTAGTTTCAACGGTTCCAGACTTCAAAACCGAGAGTAACGGCGGGATGCATCCTCCTAGAAGCACTTTTAGTCGCAGTTCTTTGTCTTTGCATAAAACACAGAGGATCGACGCCACGTTTACTTTCGCCAAACTCGTCCCATTTCTAAGCAAGGAAATGAATAAAGGCATTGCTTGAGGATACGAACCGATCAGCCTTCTTGCCTCCTTTCTACCTTTTACAATACCTAGCAGACGAGCTGTCGTGAGTTCTTTGTCTTGTGGAGAAGATGTTTTAGCGTGAAGTTGCTCTATGAGCTGAGCAACCGTAGCCATTGCCTTCTCTGGATCATCCATCTCCGTTTTTGCATCATCGACTTCCCTGCACATATTTTAACAATGATTTTCTGGTTTTAACGGATATTACAAAAAGGACAAGGAACCATAACCAAAGAAAGAAACTTTTGAGCAATATCAAATTTTCGCTACCTGGACTCCGATGAAGATAATGTTTCCTCCTGTATACCAGGAAGGAAGCCCTTCAACATCTGCATAATCACTCGCCTTTAGCCTCAGTCTTTGTTTTCCTATAAGAAGAAGAAACCTTAGAGGTAAGTCTTAAAAATGCAATTGATAGAGTTTGCCAAACATTCAGACTATCTTTACACCTACACTCAGTACTTAAAATGGCAAAAAAAAAAACTGGAATAGTCTCTACTAAGAATCTTGACAATTTACCTATACCAAATCCATACATTCACAATTACAGCTCATCCAATGCCAAAGAAACCAACTTTAACTCAAATCTACATAATAAAGCTTCAATCACCATAAAATGTACTAGAATTCAAAAACCAGACTAAATTGAGAAATTTACACACCTCGTGGAAGGTGCAGTTGCTTTCGAAATCCCTCCGCCTTGCTTCTAACCCAAAATCCGCCTCCCGGAATCGAAGAAGCATCACCGGAGAATCTCCAAACGCCGTCGGGATACAAATTCCGAATCAGACTCCATTTTTTCGCTCAAAGTATAGCAACAGTGTTAAACTCACTAGCAAAGCTCCGATTCTGGAAATTCAAGCTACCTGAATCAGCGACGCTGAGAAGTTGAATCAAATAAAGAGACTGGATCACACAGAGTCTTAGGGCAGAGTCCAAATTAAAAAAAAAAAAAAAAAAAAACAAAAAATTGGATTCGTAGTCGTCTCCGTTGGATCAATTGGCGAAAAAAACGAGAATACTAACAATGGGACTCGTAAGAGCATTACTATATTGAAATGCCGAAAAAGTTCACAGGAGAATTACCTTTCTCTTTGTAGTTGCCGGAATCAAAATGCTGAATTGCCTCGAATGAAGAAGAAGAAGAACGTACGAGCAGAGAGAGAGAGAGAACAGTCTTCTCTTTATTATTTTTCCTTTTACTTTCTTCATTGATTATATCAATTTTTCCCCAGCCTTTAATTATCCACTATTTTTTTATTACATTGGCCTTAATTATCCATTTTTGGTCATTACAATGCTTGTATAAAATTAAATTAATACATCTGAGATATTTAGCTGAATTTTTGTCTTGTATGGTTGAAATTTTGAATGTTGAACTTTACACGGTAGCCATAAATAATGGAGTGAATGTGAACTTTAGGATCTAATTTTGAATTACCAATTAGTGTACCAAGCATGATGTAGGACTATGGTGTTAGGTTTCTATAATCCGATAACTTGAAGACTTTTCATTTCATTGTCTACTCTGTTCTACTTTCATTTCATTTTCTAGTCTCCACTTTTATCAACTATATTTATTTAATTTTTGAAAAGTTTTGAGCATTGACAAAAAGATATAAGAAAATGTTTGCTCAAAATATAATTTCTCAAGATGAAATGTGTTGATGTATCGTGGAATCTTGAGTTTTGACCAAGTCTAGTAGACAATCTTTGTTTACGACGTGCACAGAAATCTCTACACATAACATAACACAGGCTGATCTTATCAAAATCTATTAATTTAAACCTAGGCAGAGAAAGATTCTCCTCGCAGTTTTGGTTTAACCAAGACGTGATCATCGGATCTGCCCCTCAACTTTGTTGGATTATGATTTGTTTGTTGAAGATTGAAATATTCTACATATTTTTTTGTATTACATCTTTTTCACTACATAACGTGTCTAACGTTTTTCTATTTGCAACACAATTGATCATGTATATGTATGATCATTGTACCTCTATGCGATGTTATTAATTATATAAGTCTTCCACATGTAAGTACAATATAGTAACTGTAAAGAGAAATTGGTAATTTGGTTGCGATTTTAAATTATGCATGTGGATAACAGAAATACACTATTTCATATTTCCACATGTATGATATCATCACATATGAACTTCCTGATGTAATAGGGGGAAGAAACAAACCAGAAATATGATTTTAAATTGTTTGGTGCAATTGAAGAAATGAATAATAGATTTAGTATAAAGTGTAAAGATAGACTGGTTGTAAATTGAAAGTGAAGGTTGTAAGAGGAACAAGAAACATAGCTAACATGGACTTAAAACCCCACTTCCCAGTGAGACTGATTGTTTCTATTCTTTCCAGTTCGCAACAAATATGTCTGGCCCCATACTTTACTATTCTTTATGTACATCATTAATATGACCACATCCAAATTTCTTCTTTCTTCTTTATTTCCTTCACTTTTCGAATGTAAAATAAAAATATATATAGATTAGTCAGAGTCTAGAGAGTAGAGACCCCATATCTTCACATGCATGTTTCTTAATTAATGTCGTAACATAAATCGTATACTGTTTAGTGAGTTTATACACATTACCCTTAGTTTTACTTCTTCTTTTTTTGGTAGAACCATAGTTAGATCTACAAGGAGTCGTAGATAAAATTGTTTTCTCAAAATGTAAGTCACGAAACTTATTCGAACCTGACTTAACCTGAACATTTCAATCAGTGAAACCTAATCAGAATTAAACATTCGACAAAATCTAATGAGTATTCAAAGACAAAAACAAAACTAAATAGTCTAATTAAAGAAGAAGGAGACTTGTTTGAATGCAAGTTGCAACGATAAGACTGTTATCCGACAAAGGACCTACCATTACCGACAGGTTCCAAATACGACGGATTCAGTAAGCAAAATCGGATCTCGAGCTTCCCTCGCTATCTTCCTGTGTACATATTTTGTTTTTATACTATTCATTCGTATTTTTCTCCCGCATATAATTTACTATTTTTGAACTTACATAACAACAACAAAGCTCCATTGTTTTCCGTAGTTGAATGATTATTTGAAAAATAATAAATAAATAACATTCCAAAATTTTATTATGATTTTCTTTTCAATATATTTTCAAAATGAATTTATTCCAAATCAAATATCCTAAAGAGCCATGGTATTGCTATCGCCAAGGAGAAACGTCAAGGCCCAATTGTAGCGAAAAGGCCCAATTCGTCCCCTTCTGATTCAGCTAGAGGTTTCGAAACCTGTTAACCGGCACGTGCGACATGACAGTGAGAAGTTTCCACTAACTCGCACGTGTCAACTCAAAAAGTTTTCTGCCGAACAACAAGTGGATCCAGCGCCGTAGGCCACATCTGATTCCCGCCCAACAGCCGTGAGACAATCTCGTTATCGGCGATGGCATCTACGTAATTAAACGGAAACTCATGGGCGTTGCTCAACCGAACGTTGCTCCACCTACTCGTCTCGCTCTCAGCCTCGCACGTGAATTCCGGTGACACCACTTGCTCCGAGCCGGCTATCAATTCCGGTCTATCGAAGTTCATCGTCACCGGAGCTGTTAAAGTACACGTGTCGATCACAGGTTTTATCTCCTCCTCGATCACACTCCGTCGCTTCTCGATGACACCTTTCTTGTTATAGATACGACACAGTACCCAATCGTCGAGCTGTACAAACGAAACGAACACGTCCGGTTAACAAAACACGGTTTATATCATACTGAAATCTCGGTTTGAACAGAATTAATTACTCACCCTTAAACTGTTTTTCTTGCGAACCGACCGGTCCACCTCGGCGAGCCGGTATTCGTGCATAATCCAATTGGTTTTCTCTCCTCTTGGCGGTTTCCCGGAGTAAAACACTAGAGCCTTCTTAATTCCGACCGGTTTTGGACGACCGATCGGTTTATCAGCACCTGTGGCTTTCCAATAGCCATTACCAGCAGCCCGGTTCGGTCTTGAACCGTTTGGGTACTTTCGGTCTCGTGGTGAGAAAAAATACCACTCCTTTTCTCCGTACAAAGCCATGTCTGTAAATTTGAGAATCCATTTGTTAAACCGGTTAAAGGAAACCGATGATTCTTCAGTGATTTAAGGGAGGAAAAAAAACGTACCGGGAAGGTCCCAAGGATCATATCTGTACAAGTCGAGTTCGGTGATGATCGGAGCAGCGATCGGCTGCGACGCGCATTTTCGGCAGAGATACATGAGGACGAGCTCCTCATCCGTCGGATGAAATCTAAATCCTGGTGGAAATTGCAAATCAGCGCCAGCTTTCAACATAACTCACTAATTTTTTTACCGGCACTTATTGCTCGTTTCTTGTTTTAAAGAAGAAAGAACCAGAAAGATGTTTGAAACTTCTAAAGCAAAGAAGAGCTGGATGAATATATAAGACGAAGGGCTTGGACACGTGGCGGATATAAAGGGATTTTGCCCTGGTGGGTGGAATGGAATCTCAACAAGAATAGAAAAAATGTTATATGAAAATAGGAGTGACTAGTGAAGGTAAGTAAAGTTAAAATTTGTAGTGGAGGATTCATTGAAGTAGATACTGAGGGACACGTGGGAAGACGATAATGTAGGTGAGTTTTGTCATCGCTTGCGTCAGACTATTTGGACTGTAGCGGTCCGAAGCATGATGTTGATTTTGGGAAAGAGCGATGAGAGTCGACACGTTCGATCTCATGCGTGTATCGTACTACTTTGCAAAGGAGACCGACCGTTGACCGTATCTTAATTATTATTCTCTCTCACTGATTTCGTGAGATCTCAACTCTCAAGGCTCGTGCTTTTCGATCTTATATAAAAAAAAGCTTTGACTATACCCTCAAACTAAAGTATACACTCTTTGTGTGATGCGAATAGAGTGATACTTGTCCATTTTGACTAGAATGATTTTAGTTACTAGTCGTTGCTTTCGTGTTATGTGGTGTTTCTTCTTTCTACTTTTGAAATCTACGGGTAACTTCTAGTCTTCTTCTTTATAGTCTAAAACACTCCTACTACGAAATCTATATTATTAAACTTTAAACAAAAACGTCGCATTCATATTCAAAATTAATTTTTAATCTTCTTATTATCCATAAAGCTAGCTACGCAGAGGTCTATGATTCAAAAAGAGAAATCTCTACTTTATCAACTTATGCTCAATGCCATTTAACTCTTAGTCGTTTCTCTAATGGAGTCCACAAGAAAAACGTCATCTCAAGCCGCATTTGCCACCTAACAGATAGACGCTACGATCTTCGCCACGTGGAGCGGCAAATGTAAAAGTTCGGCCGCCTTTTGATTTTTGGTGGGTTGAATTTGCTAAAAAGCTCAAAAGTGAAAGAAAGATTTAGACACGTGACAAGACGTGGATGGTTCCATATCATTCTATTATGAAATTGATTAGATCCATGAATTTACGAGCATCGCTAATGATTGCCTAAGTATAGCATACACACACACACACACACACACACACACACACACGCACACGCACATATATGAATTATGAACTGAATCTCCACCGAGAGAAAAATAAGGTCGGCTGCATTTATCTTCGTGTAACGACCAGAACTATTGCACTTGCCACGTGCTTTTATAAGGTATCATACAACGTATGTGTGGATTTAGTTCGTTTTATGTGGTGATTTAGGCTCTTTTGCTCAATTTAACGCCAAGAACCGAACCAACATACACAAACAGAACAAGACACACGAATCATTCACGATATGACATGTCAATATGTTATGAATTTATGATCATCATAGCTAACCACGAAACTAAGAGCGAGAAATCAGAAAACACTTAAAGGTACGAGTTTAAACCACGAAATAACAAGGTACATAGAAGAGTGGTCGAGTATTGGAACAAGACAACAAAGTGCTATTCTTCAATTTCTTTGAACTCTATTAATAGCAAATAAAACATCCAAGAGAAGGAACCCACAAATATCCAGTTTCAGAGGAGGAACAGTAACTATGGTGACAAGAGAGGTTTCAATTCTACTTAACCGGGTTAAGAGGTAAACCGAACTTGGACATGCGATTTCAGATCAGTCCATTCTTCCCTTGAGGATTCTCTCCTTGACTTCATTTGGTGTTCTGTAAAACATTACCATGAAAGTACATATGTCAGTATTTATATAAAACGCTTCTTTAGAAGACTAGTGCAGAAGACGCAAAACTTACACAACGTAGACATGTCCTCCCCATCCACTAAGACAATCACGGTCTACTGAAGAGAGAAGTGCTTGTGAAATTGTCTCAAACAATTCCTCAGCTTCCTGAAAAATCAAATTTGTTGAGTCGAGTTATAATATACTTCTGCATTTCATCAAGTCTGTTACAATGCACAGTACACTTCTTCGAACGAAGCCATTGCACAAGATTTTAGCAGGGATCGCAGTATAGCTAACAAGTCTGAGCTTTTGAAACACCTCATTCTAGGTCAAATGATGATAGCCGAGAGAAAACTATTGGATTCCGTCATCTACAACCAGCATTATGCACACACAAATCCCTACCAAACCTAGATTCCACACTAGCATTCTTACTAAATGAAAGGAATTTATTGAACAAGCGTGAAACTTAAAACACAATATTCCTCAGCTAAATGAAGACATTCAGTCATCTATGCAACAAGCATCTTGGAATTCAGTGATCCAGTAATAAAAAAGAAGCTTTTTGAATGCACATACCATATCTGGTTTGTACATGGCTTCACAGGCACCATATAGTGACTCTGAAGCAGTTCCAGAGACGACAAAGTCTTTAGCCAACTCCCTACGTTCAGAGAGAATAAGTGTTAAAGTAATCATTTTCAGTAAAATCCAAACTCCGTTATGAACTAGAAACTGAAACAGCAAACACATTTAAAAAGCATAACTCATATTGATACACAGTATTGGATGACAAACTAACAGTAAAAAATTCCAACTAAAACCCTTCTGGTTCACCTAGCAAGATTCAGGACTACACTCACTGACTAACAATACTAAATGGCACTACTACATATGAAGACTTTGAATAATAAGAGACTCAGCAAAGAAAGGATGTGAGCATACTTGGCTCCAATCGAATCCATTGTGCAGATGAAAGGTTTGTTATCTTCTCCGAGTCCAGCAATCACAGGTTGGCACAAGTATGGACCAAATCTGAAATTGAAGAAGTTAGTTTTTTGTCATCAAAGAAAAACCAGCTTGAATAAGGTAAGCTACAAATCGGAGAAGAAGAGCTCATCTTTCACCAACCTTTTCTCATAAAGAATGGCAGATACAAGACTAGCGAAAGTGTCTGGCTTCATATCTCTTTCTTCCCGAAGCTTATATAAATTATGACGAAATACGAGTCGCTGGTTCCTTCAGTCCCCAAAAGACAAAGACAAAATCGAAAATTTTGTAATTCACCGAAAAATTAGTAATCAAATTAAATTGGAGTTGTGATGAGAGTGTACAATGTCTGGACATCGGTAGCGAGACCGGAAAGTCCGATGAAGAGATGATCGTGGATCTTAGAGATTCTCTGGAAATCGGTAGCGATGGTCTGTAATTGCACACCGAGCCTCCGATCACTGGCTATAGCGAAGCAGTTCTTCCCCACCATAGCCACGACGGCACTTCCATTGTACTCGAAGATCTGCATCACCCACAAACAGTGTCCATCAAATCCCTCGTTCAATCATCGCCCAGAACTAACCAAAGTTGGAAATCGAGAGAAGATTCCGGAAGGAACACTTACCGACATCGGAGATTAGGGTTTACAGAGTGAAGCTTCGGAGTTTTCCTAACGGAGAAGAAATCTGAGCAGCAAAAGAGCAAATAGTTAAAGTCGACGACGATGGCTTCACTGGCTTGGACGAAAATCTAGAAGACAACTTTTGTATTTGTTTGCCTTATTAATGGGCCTCGTTTTTAACTTTCATATCTTATTAATGGGCCTGTTTTTCCTTTTTTGTTTTTTTTAATTGTTTTCTCACAAACGGCATCGTTTTCCTACTCTTCGTTTATTTTAACCGTCTTCTTCATCAGAAAATGTTTTGGTTTGATTCACATAACACAATACATAGAAGTTGTGAAGCGTTTTTGTTCAATAATAAATACATGATTGTGGAGTTATAATCTCACTTTTTACTTGGGAGTGGTGGTGCGAGCATCGAGCCAAGCAACAATGTCGTTGATTACGGTGAAAATGTCTTCGTCTGTTTCACCTTCCAGAATGCAATGGTAGCCACCAGGATAGAGTTTTAGAGTTTTGTCTTGGCTGATTGATTGTTCGTGAAGGAACTTGCTAACAGTGGGATCTGTTACTTTATCTGCAGCTCCATGTAGTATCAACAATGGCAATGAGACCTGAAACATACAAGAGACGGAAGTTATTATCATCATAAAAATGTTTCCTTTATTTTGTAATGGATATCAAAAACTAAACCTTATCAATATGCATCTCAATGTCTCTAGTCGCATTTAGAAGCTCAACAGCAGTTTTCAGACGCGTCTGGTCATCGTAGCTAATCACATCATAGTTTCCCTTTGATCATCCACACAGACGAAGTCAGCAAAATGCTTCAGAAAGTGAGTCTGTTGACAAAACTAAGAGAAATTTTTACCAGTTTTCTTTTGCTCGGGTCTCTGATGAACAGCTCGCTCAAGTCTTTCTTTGGAAAGAGCTTTGCTTTTGGAAATAGTGTTGACATCAAGATTAACGCATTCAAGACTAGCTTAGGAGGTTTCACATCTTCTGAAATCTTGAGGAAAACTCAGGGTCAGGAGAAGTATAATGTGAGTTAAAATACTTCCAAGCACTAACCACTACTCGTTCAATTTGATTTACCTTACACATTGGAGCCACAAGGATAAGACCATCCCAAGCTTGAGGTTCTTTCAAATGAATTTTCAAGGCAATAGCTCCTCCCATTGACTGCCCGAACAGGAACCGAGGCAAATTTCTCAGTTCAGGTCTCCCTGAGAAATATAATAACACTTCAGAAAACCACCACAAAAGCAGATTCATTCAACACAAAAAGTAGAGAAACAGGTAACAGTTTTGACTACCTTTCATTTTGGTGAACTGTTCAATAGCATTTTCAGCTAAGTCATCAAAACTTGGGATGTGACCATGTAAACCATCAGAGAGGCCAAAACCAGGATGGTCTATAGCATAAACGCCATAACCAAAACCTGCTATTTGCCTTGCTATGCCTGTAAAATCAAACCCAGAATTTTCACACTATAATATAAGAAGAGCCTAATGTTTAAGTAGAAATTCAACTATCTAACGAACCATCGAAGAAGAAAGTGCAAGTGCTTCCATAGCCATGGCAGAAACACACCGCAGCTTTGATTCCGACGCCGGCTTCCGGCAACCAACTCTTACAGAAAATCTCCTCCCCTTTTGAATTTCTCTCATACCACTATTCATATAACGGAAGAAGATTTAAGAGCTAATTTGACTTTTTATCACGAAAATCAGAAGGTTTAATAGAAAAATCACAGCTTACCTCCTCTGTTCTGATCCCAATCGGAGCTTTCTGTCACCAGATTCAGATGATTAGAGAGAAGATAAGTTAGATTTTGCTATTAATAGTAAGACTCAATTAATGCACCTTGAACAAGCAGTGATCGAGCTGCTGCTGCAAGTCAGCAAAAGCCGAACGGACTCGTCTTCGTGCGGGAGCTTGATCTAAGACCTGTGAGGCGATCAGATTCAGCTCTTCGCTCACTCCATCGATCGGAGGTCGTTTCGCGAACACAATCGCCGGCGGGAATCGTCGAGTGATGGCCAGAGAACTTCTACGGCGGCGCCGGAAGGGAGAGAGAGTAGACGGAATTTCAAAACGGGAAGTTAAAGCACGATCCATGGATCCGAGAGACTCAATTCAACAATCCGAGATTGTAAAATTAGATGAGGAAGAAGACAAAAATGAGTCTATTTTTGTGCGGGAAAATTCGCACGCGCAACACGTGCTTCTTACTGTGCGTTGACCATGACTCTTCAGCCTTTGACTCCGGCTAATATCTTTTAGGGCCTATTGATGGGCCTCTTCATAACTGGGCTTACATGACGTATGAAATTCCGTTGCATCGTATGAAGCCACGTTTATAAATCCGTATCGGTTCGAAATGATGATGAGATACACTGAACAGTTTCGTCTCCAACTGTAAAACACTCTACGATCTACAGAAATCTCAGTGACGACGATATTCGAGTACTGTTTAGAAGAGAAATGACGATTCGATATTCGCTGGCTATGCTCATTCTCATGGCCGTTATCGGATCCAGAGACGCCGGAAACGTAACCTACGACGGACGATCGCTGATCATCGACGGCAAACATAAGATCCTCTTCTCCGGCTCAATCCATTACCCTCGCAGCACTCCTCAGGTATATTCCCTCTCCGTCTCCAGCTTCGTCTCTTCTTCTTCGTATAATTTCCGATAAAATGGAAGTTTAGTAAGTGTCATCGGAGTTTAATTTCTGCAATTTCCCGGCGAAATCGCGTCGAGGAGTCACGTGAATTAGCACACTGGAGCTGCCGGTAGTTTGCGATGACGCAATGCGTGAGCCGTTAGAGAGAGAGAGAGGATAGAATCGTCGTTTCTCGACTTTGGCCGTTAGGAACTTGCAAGACGAAGGCTCGCATTCTAGATTTATTCTCAATTGACCCCAAACATTCTGATTTCGTTTTTAACTTGTGGAATTTGCGATAGAGCGGTCTCAATTTTCGATTTTATTCGAATTTAACCCCAAACGTTCTGATGTTCCTCCAATGAAAGCTTCCATGCTAAATGATTTTGGAGGGAGCTCATTTTCTTCTTCTGCAAATATTAATGGAAGCCAAACTCGCAGATGTGGCCGTCTTTGATAGCAAAGGCAAAAGCTGGAGGAATAGATGTAATAGATACATACGTCTTCTGGAACATTCACGAGCCGCAACAAGGCCAGGTCAGTCCATCTTCCTCTATGCTCTATGCTCTATGCTCTATATATGTGCATATAGGTGAATTGTGATTGATGGAATTTGCAATCTCCAGTTCGATTTCAGTGGACGCCGAGATATTGTGAGGTTCATCAAGGAAATTCAAGCGCTAGGCTTATAAGTCTGTCTTCGGATTGGACCTTTTATCCAGGGTGAATGGTCGTATGGGTAAGCTTTTCCGGCCATAAGATTTTCCGAAATGTAAAGCCGAATTCGTTGAATTTTATGTTTTGCAATATACATTGCAGGGGTTTGCCTTTCTGGTTGCATAATGTGCAGGGGATTGTCTTTAGAACAGATAATGAGCCATTCAAGGTAATAATTGAGTGAACTCAAATGGCTCCACACTCGTATGGTTCTAAAGAAGATACGTTTTTTTATTTTTTATGCAGTATCACATGAAGAAATTTGTACAAATGATTGTTAAGATGATGAAATCGGAAAACTTGTATGCTTCCCAAGGAGGGCCTATCATACTCTCACAGGTTTACATTTTGTTTTTTTTTTTCATGTATGTTTCCTTCAAAGATGTTATTTTTTACTGATCTTAAAGTTATTGGAAAAAACAGATTGAGAACGAGTATGGGATGGTAGCTAGAGCTTTTAGACAAGAAGGGAAATCATATGTCAAATGGGCAGCAAAAATGGCTGTGGAGCTTGACACAGGAGTGCCATGGGTCATGTGCAAGCAAGATGATGCCCCTGATCCTTTGGTTGGTTTTTACGTTTGTCATGCAATGAGATTCATCTGCAAATTTTTAATTTGTTGTTCATTTAGTTGATTCTATGATGCACCAGATTAATTCTTGCAATGGGAGGCAATGTGGAGAAACATTTAGAGGACCTAATTCACCAGACAAACCTGCAATATGGACTGAGAACTGGACGAGTTTGTATGTTTGCATTCATAGTCACTACATTTCTGTTTACTTCATAGTCCCCAGATAAGTAATTAACTTTCAGCTGCTCACTTTGTATAGTTATCAAACATATGGCGAGGAAGCATTGAAAAGGTCAGTTGAGGATATAGCGTTTCAGGTTGCTCTATTCATCGCTAAGAATGGAAGTTTTGTAAACTACTACATGGTACTTTTTCCAGTCTCACTCTCTGTTTCTATTGTTAGTGTATACTATATGCAGAAATGAATGGTGATTTGAGACTTTATCTTATTCTAGTATCATGGAGGAACAAACTTCGGGAGAAATGCTTCGCAGTTCGTAGCCACCAGCTATTATGATCAGGCTCCACTTGATGAATATGGTAATATATTAAACTATTAACCCCCAAAACTCAAGATTTTGATTTGAAAGTATAACATTTAGAGATGGTGCTACAGGATTACTTAGGCAACCAAAATGGGGACACCTTAAGGAATTACATGTTGCAGTTAAGCTCTGTGAAAAGCCTCTACTTTCTGGACTGCGAAGTACAATATCTTTGGGGAAGCTACAAACTGTAAGAAAAATCCAATAGTATCTTCACCTGTTTGATATCATGAAGAGTTTTGTAGCAGTGTTATTAATGTCTTATTCAACAGGCTTTTTTGTTTGGGAAGAACGCGGACCTATGCGCTGCCTTGCTAGTGAACCAAGACAGAATCGAGTCTACTGTGCATTTTTTAAATTCTTCATACCTTTTGTCTCCAAAATCTATAAGTGTCCTGCCAAACTGCAAGAGCGTAGTCTACAACACTGCCAAGGTAAGCTCATAATCAGGACTATCATTCATGCAGCTTTCTTGTGATGCATGCATTTATACTTTCTGGTGTGGATAGGTTAATGCGCAATACAACACGAGAACAAGGGAACCAAGAAGAAATTTGTCTTCTCCTCACATGTGGGAGGAATTTACAGAGACTGTCCCGAGTTACGATGAAACGTCAATAAGATCAGAATACTTGCTTGAACACATGAATACAACACAGGATACTTCTGACTATCTGTGGCAAATATTCAGGTAAAGCCAGTTTTATCCCATAAACATCATTAGTTAGGAGGAAAGTAAGATATATATGCTGGGCTGGTGATAGATTCCATAAGTAACTATGTCTCTTTTCTAATACAGGTTTCAACAACTTGAACAAGCTTCATCAGTTCTTAAAGTCAACCACATTGGACATGTTCTACACGCATTTGTTAATGGGAGATTCGTAGGTATGCTTTTGTATCTCGGAATCCTATTCATTGTTAAAGGCTTTTATATAGCAATCATCATTTTCTTTATTTAAATGCTTCAATTTCTCTTTAGGTTCTATGCACGGAGCTTTCAAAGCGCAGAGATTTCTGCTAGAGAAAAATGTGTCATTGATCAATGGCACAAATAGCATTGCATTACTCAGCGTAATGGTTGGATTACCGGTGAGCCCCAATCTTTTCTTCTGGACTTATTTACATTCACTCAAAACAGAGTACTTTTGGACTTTTTTATGAGCTTGTTTCTCTTTGGATCACAGAATTCAGGAGCACATCTAGAAAGAAGAGTCGGTGGATCACGGAACGTAAAGATTTGGGATGGAAAACATGCATTGTACTTCAACAGATATAGTTGGGGATATCAGGTAAAACTTATGAGTTTTATCCTTCAACAGAACTTATCACCTTCATGTGAACTGACACTGGCTCAAAACTGTTGTGGAGGTTGAGATGCAAGGGGAGAAATTCCAAGTTTACACCGAACATGGGGCGGCAAAAGTTCAGTGGAAGCAGTACAGTGACTCCAAAAGCCAGCCTCTGACTTGGTACAAGGTATAGTAGAATAACAAAATAGTAAATATAGTACTAGTTCAACACAACTCTCAAACTTCAACTTCTGAGGTTATTCTTATATCTGTAGGTTTCTTTTGATACACCAGAGGGGAAAGATCCAGTGGCACTGAACTTAGGATCAATGGGAAAAGGAGAAGCTTGGGTGAATGGCCAGAGTATTGGTCGGTATTGGGTCTCATTTCATACTTCAAAAGGGAACCCTTCTCAGATATGGTACGGTATTCTTCACTCTCCTATTTGAATCATCTATCATCTTGGTATGTCTGTATATTGATAGCTATATTCTCCTATTTATAGGTACCACATACCGAGATCATTCCTTAAACCCAACAGTAACTTGCTAGTCATCCTGGAAGAAGAAAGAGAAGCGAATCCTCTTGGTATAACTATAGACACAGTGTCAACCACCGAAGTCTGTGGTCATGTCTCCACTTCACATCCTCCTCCTCTGATCTCTCCGAGAAGAAAAAGGCATGAACACAGACATCTAAAACACCGGTATGATACGAGGCCTAAGGTTCAGCTCCAGTGTTCTTATAGCAGGAAAATATCAAAGATACTGTTTGCGAGCTTTGGCACTCCAAATGGAAACTGTTGGAGCTATTCTCTTGGAAGATGTCATTCACCGAACTCTTTAGCTGTTGTACAGAAGGTAAAAGCTACTATATTGTTCCCTGTAACTTCTACTTGTTTACTGAAAATCGTAGAATCTTAAACAAAGATGTCCTTGTGAACTGTTGCAGGCTTGTCTTGGCAAGAGTAGGTGTTCTGTTCCAGTATGGAGCAAAACATTTGGCGGTGATTCATGTCCACACATTGTTAAATCCCTGCTTGTTCATGCTCAATGCTCATGACTGCTACTCTTTACTATCGATTCCTCCTTTTTTCTTTCTTGTATGTAGAAAATGACAAGAGTATCAATGAAATTTTACAAAAATCACAATACAAGGTGTGAGTTACATAGCAAACATCTGAATAGCTCTTAAATCAGTGCAAATGCCAACAATCAGCCTCCATTCATGTCCACACAATCTCTTTTCGAGCCATGACTGGTTTGATCTTCATGACTCTTGTACATCTCTGCTCTATTCCTTTTCTCACTCTCTTATGCAGCTCTACATCAAGTGTATCCGCTATTCCTTCTGAGCTCAGAGCATCCAACACCAGCTTATACGTATGCTCTCTCGGAACCAACCCGGCCTCCACCATCTCCACCACCATATCCCGAGCCTCGACCGCTCTCCTGGTCTCAACAAGAGCGTGTATCACCGGCGTGTACGTGCTCGAACCAGGCACACAGTGACCCATCTTCTCCATCATCCTCATCATCTCAATCGCACGTTCTATCTCATTAGTAACACTATAATACCTTATGAAAGAGTTATACGTCACCTGGTTCGGGACACACTCTCTCTTCTTCATATCCTCAAACAGCTCCAGAGCCCGACCGATCCGATTCGTTTTGCAACATCCATCGATCAAGCAATTGTAAGTCACCACGTCAGGCACAAATCCTCTGAAGAGCATTTCCCTAAACATTCGATTAGCTTCCCACATCCTCCTCCTTATCGCCTTTCTACATCCAGTCTCCATCGCATATCTACAGTACGAGCTTATCAAAATGGTGTAAGTGTACGTGTCCGGTGGATACCGAAAGCCCGGTAATTGCATCTGTTCCAACAAAAACCGAGCCTTTTTGAAATTCCCAACTCGGCAAAGAGCGTTGATGATTGTATTGTAAGCGTAAACGTCCGGTTTGCAGTGATACTCTTTCATCCTGTAAAATGTAGCTAACGCCTCTTTCACAAAACCTTCTTCTCCTAGGCATTTCATCAAACACGTTATAGACGACGTTGTCACCAGTTCTCCTCCGTTCTGTTTTCTAGAGACTTGCCGGAGAAATTCCCAGAGACCGTTAAAGTCGTTTCCTTTGGCGAACAAACACGCCATATCTCTGCAAGTGATTTCGTTGTGGTCGAATCCGAAATGGGTCTCGATCCAGAAGAAGAACTCGGTTGCTTTCTGCAAACCGAGTGAGACTTTCTTAGGATCCATATACGCGCCGGGACCCAGAACTAAGACTTCAGAACGGCGTCTTACGGATTCTTCTCGGAGGTTTCTCTGTTTTAACGGTGACCGGTGGCGAAAACCTTTTTGCCGGCCGATTGATCGTGGGGAGGTGAAGAAGAATCTGGGGATAGAGCGGAGGATATCGGAGACGAGCTGTTGACTCCACGGACGGGAGACCGTTGACGATGCGAGAACGGCGTCGAATGTTCGGTTCTGAATCATTGCGGCGATGAGCTGATCAATAATGCGGTTGCTCGGTTGTGACGGTTTCATAGTCTGTTTCAAGTTTCGTTTGAACTTTGAAGTCCAAACAGTCAAATACAAAAGCTAACTGCTTTTCAAGTTTTCGCTTTTACCAAATAATCCAAACTATTTTTAAAAATTCAAATGTAACCCCCATACTTTGAATGGTTCGATTTAGCCGTTTAAAGATGATCAGAAAAATGTATATAATACATACAACATCTGTTGAACAGAAAAAAAAATACATACATCTCCTTTTTTAAAATACATTTTATATAAATAATAAGATTTCACTTTCACATCTTACATTACATTCCTTTCTTCCACACTCAAAATTTTGGAATGTCATCCACAATCCACATTATACTACAAAAATGTGAAAACTCTGTTGATATTCGAATTAAGGTCCATAACTTAAGAAAATGCAATTCTAGCCCAAAGATTTGCTTTAATTTGATTTGAGCGATTCAAGCTTTCCTTTGGTTCGGATGGCTAAACAAAACCAATCTCGAAACAATTCACTAAAACTTGCTCAAAAAAGCCCAAACCCGACCCATTCAGCTTCGTTGGCGATTCGTGGCGAGAATCGGAGCGAAGAGAAGGACGATTTCGGGGAGTCCCATCTCGGAGAAACCGATCTCCGGCTAGAAACAGTCCACGGTGACATTGTCTCTAAATCGGAACAGTAACCACGCTCCGACATCGACCCGGGTTTTTTCAGACCACTGCTCTTGTTCTTCCTCGATCTAAACTTAGGTGTCGGGAAACACCCGAGTCCGGCAACAGCAAAATCATGTCCATGTTCGGATTCGGATCCGGGTTTGACCCGGTTAGGGCGGTGGAGCTGCCACCGTTCCGAGAAGGCACGCGGTGATGATCGGAAAGAAGGTCCCGGAGAGTAGAATCCAGAATGAGACGGTGGAGGCGGCTTGAGCTTCGATGGAGTAGAAGAAAATGAAGGAGGAGTGAGAGGAGATAAAGGACGGCTCTTGGAATTGGAAATGAAAGAAGACGACGGCGGAGATAACGCCGGCGGGAAAAGCGGCTGAGAGTGAGACAATGGTTTTAAACGGAGTGGAGAGAGTTTCTTGGGAGGGTGAAGAATGGTGTTACTGTTACCGGGTTGAGACATCCGGGTCTTGGGTACACCGGGTCGGATCTCCCAGCTAAAAGGTACAGTTCCTGGTCTCTTGAAAGAATCATCAACCCCAACAATGGCCATTTCTCTTTTCTTTTTGCTTTCAAGAAGAGAGAAGAAAAAGAAACAAAGAGAGAGAGAGAGATATGAGTTTAGAGTTGGATTAAGAATGAGTTAATGTCTTTATATATGAGGACAAAAACAAGAGATAGGAGAGAGATGAGAGGCGAGATTAGAGGAAGATAGGAGTGGGTGGCGGGAGAGATTAGCGATTTGACTTGGTTCAATTGGTCCCCCCACCATTAAGATAAGCTTTTCAATTATGCAATGGTCACCATATAAGTATTCAAATATTCAAATTGTAATTGAGATTAACCACACATAAAAATCACAAAATTGAATATTTGAATACTGAACTTTTAAAAGTGGTTAACTTTTTAGTAACACAAGAGAAAATTACCGTTATGATTTGTTTTTACATAACCTATGATTTAGTGACCGATATTTATGTATGAATCATAAGCTTGATAGAACTAAAGGGCTCAAATTTCATATATAAAGTGCTATAAAATAGTTATAGCATGCGGTGTTTTATGATTTAGACGTGAAAGAGAAATCAAAGCATCCTAAAAAGAGATTGTTGGGGTAAAATTTTCAAACTTTGGAATGATCACTGACCTTTTTCCATACATGAAACCCAAAAAAGCTAAACCACTAATTTTTGTCTTGCCTGAAAAAGACACAAATTTTGCACTAAAAACTGTAACAAAGCATGATGATGATGATGTTGATGATGATGATGTTGATATTAATGACATAAAATCAAACCAAACTTCAAACGACCACAATTAAATGGTTCCATTGCAATTGTGGGAAGAGCACAAATTGAAATTTATATGCCTGAGTCGTTAGACGACACAATCAATTATGATGGAACCCGATGATCATCTTGTAAATCGTATTTGATTTCAATCCGACGGTCAGAACTGATCATTATTTTCTCAATAAAGGCTCTCAGAATTAAATGGATTGGATATTTAAGTGACATAAAATCAAACCAAACTTCAAACGACCACAATCGAACAGTTGAATTCTATTGCAATTGTGGGATTACAGGCCATAAAAGAGCAAGAGTAGACATTGCAAGGTCAGACCTATAACTAAATATATAAGTCTGAGTCTCTGTCTTAGCCAGATGGTTTAGGCATATGTTCAAAAAATCGTTAGACCGTTAGTCGATCGATGGCTTCAAAATTTTGTCAAAAATCGGAAATAAAACGGGGAATAGTTGGGGAGGAATTTTTATTACATTTTTTAATTTATTAAACATTTTTATATAAAAGATAAAACATAAATATGAAAATTATATATTTCAAAATTAGTTAAACATTTTTCAAGTTTTGGAGGACCAAACTCTTACAATTAATAACAAAATTTCTTGTTTGGGTTTATAAATCCTCAAAATCGATTTTTTGAAATAATTTGGAATTGGGCCAAAGAAAATTCGGAAACCAAAGATTTGCTCCATCTCATTTTAAAATTTTCAAACGATTTTTCTTATTAGTTGAATTTTAGAAAGTCGCCACGTTTTCACCCCGAGTCCAATTTTTTACCAATTTTTTATATAGGCACATCAAATAAAAAAAAGTTTCGCGCTAAACTATAGTGGGACCCATCGATGATCAGTCTGGTAAGTCGTAACCGTTTTTTATTTCAATCCGACGGCCATGATCGACCCGTTATTTTCTTAATAAATATAACTAGAAAATCCCCAAATCAGTTCCGCGTTATCCTTTTGCGTTGTTTCTTCTTTTCGCGCTCAAGATCTCTCGCAGAAGAAAAACCCTAAATCTCACCGGAAAACGAAGACATCGAATCGGAGATCTTCCATTCCTTCGTTAACAATGTCTTCCTTGGCTAAACGGAGTTCTTCCTCGTCGGCATCGGAGAATCCACCCAAGGAGAATCCGGTTCCTCGGCCGCCGAACGCAGCCAAGGCTCGAGTCCCACTCGGCGATGCTGGAAACCGCCGTCATGTCCTCGGCGACATCACTAACCAGAAGACCGGATCTAGAAATTCCGCTTCGTCGTCTTCTCTGGTATGTTAACTTTGATTCTCTCCTTCTTCTCCTCCTTTCCCATTTCAATTTCTGATGTTTGTTCGACGAGAAAATTAGTTTTAGGGTTTATCCTGGAATTTCCGTCTATAATTTCGTAAATTGCTTCATCTATGAAGGTGCGTTGCTCAAATAAGATCGGGCAATCGAAGAAATCACAAAAGCCTGCTCTATCACGAAACTGGAATTTGGGAATTCTCGATAGCGGTTTACCTCCAAAGCCAAATCCAAAATCAAACTCACTCGTTCCTTACGAAGACATCAAATTGCCTCAACGCGATGATAATCTTCTATCTTCATCACCTATATCATCCCTTGATGCCTCTCCCACTCAATCAGATCAAGTCTCGGTTTCTCTTGACCATTCGATTTCCACTTGCGAAAGCCCCAAAGTTGAATACATGGTCGACGCCACTGTTTCTCTCCCGGAGTATGCAGAATCATCAGAAACAGATTTGGGAGAAGATGATATGATTGTTAACATTGATAGTAACTTGGTTGATCCACAGCTTTGTGGTGCCTTTGCTTCCGATATCTACGAGCATCTGCGTTCATTAGAGGTTGGATTTCTGTAAAAACTTCTCTGCCACAGTTCTCAGTTCTCATGCCAAATTGCTCTGTTTATGAATTGGCTTATTGTTCTCTGCAGGTAAAGAAGAGGCCGGCTCTAGATTACATGGAGAGGATTCAGCTAAACATCAATGCTAGCATGCGTTCCATTCTTATCGACTGGCTCGTAGAGGTAAGCTTTTGATGTATCATGGTTTAGATTGATGAGACAGGACGTTGAATGTTAGAATTTCCACTAGTAGGTACTGTATAGTTACAAAGCTGTTCTCTGGATTTTTCATGAAAATACAGGTTGCTGAAGAGTATAGGCTTTTGCCAGAGACATTGTATTTGGCGGTGAACTATGTAGACCGGTATCTTTCAGGGAATGCAATGACGAAGCAAAACCTGCAGTTACTTGGTATTTCATGCATGATGATAGCAGCGTAAGCAATCTACATGTTTTACTATGAGGCTTTTCATTTCATATTTTGGCTATGCAATTCCTAACTAGTGGACTTACTACTGAATTTACAGGAAATATGAAGAAGTGTTTGTTCCCCTAGTGGAGGATTTCTGCTACATAACTGATAACACGTACTTAAAAAACGAGGTTTGTGATTTGGACTTCCGTGGAAAAGCCTCTTCTTCTTGTGGTTTTGATATGCCTGTGATACATTGTTAACCTGAAATGTTTGTAACAGCTTTTGGAGATGGAGTCTTCTGTTCTGAATTACTTGAAGTTCGAATTAACAACTCCAACAGCAAAATGTTTCTTGAGGTAGCTTCTGGATCTATTGATGTTACTTGAATAATCCTTTTTGTTTGTGGTTCCCTGCTAATCTGGACTTGTAAAATGATGGTTAGGCGCTTTGTTCGAGCTGCTCAAGGCAAAAAGGAGGTATTGTGTTGTTATATGACAAGTGAAGATGAGCTCTCTACGAAATGGGTGATGTGTTTTGTATGTATCTGACTTGTTTATTGCTTCTTATTAGGTACCATCACTGCTGTTTGAATGCCTAGCGAGCTATCTCACCGAACTCTCTCTCTTGGACTATGCTATGCTTCGATACGCTCCATCACTTGTCGCAGCATCTGCAGTTTTCTTGGCACAATACATTCTACACCCTGCAACAAGACCATGGGTATGACCAAAAAACAAAAACTGCATTTCTGTTTTCTCCAGTACTTAGCTTGTTCTAATGAAACTTGTTAATCATCTGGGGTTTTGCAGAACGCTACGCTAGAGCATTACACATCTTACAGGGCTAAACACTTGGAAGCATGCGTTAAGAAACTTCTTCAGCTATGTCATGAAAGTCCCTCAGAAGCCGATGTAGTTGCAGTCAGAAAGAAGTACAGTCAACACAAAGTAACAATCACAACACACTTTTTTGGCTTCTTTATTATGTTGCTAGCTTCATATAAGATAATTGAAATGTTAACTCTCTTTTTTTGTTGTTGTTGCTGCTTGCAGTTCAAGTTTGCAGCAAAGAAGTTTTGCCCTGCCTCACTACCACAAGAGCTCTTCCTCTGCTAAAGGTTTCTTGCCACTTTTTTTTCCTCGTCTTGTAGACAGTTATGTTGATAAAAAGCTCATCCGGACAAACAAATGTATTCAGTTCGAGATGTGTAGATGAAAAACAAACCTATCAAGATAGAGTGTAGTTCCGTTACAACTTACAAGTAACTGAATAAAGTAACTGTGAATCGGTACATGATGATATGTTCATATCGATTTCTAAACCATGGATGTGTTTAGGGCAATGAGATGATTATTCAAATCACAAAATGAAATAATTATTGCAATAACTTGGCAATATCGTCTAATTGCGGTGAAATGATTGATACAAGAGACACTGTTGTCGCTAAAGTCAACGTCAAATATGAAATTAAAGCTTTCATGGTACATACTGCATACATTACTTTTCTTTGGATCATAAAGTGAATATATTTTTTTTTAATTTAGAAAGTGTTGAATTGTGAGCCCTCAATCAATTTGCAAAAGAAACAGTTGCTCGAGTCAACTCAAGTGTGAACAGTTGAATACAAAGCACAAAAAAACGTCAAAAAAACGAAAATATCTTCGAGTGATGGAGTCAAAAGTAATTATCTTTCTAATTAACGCTCATTTGATGAGGTAAGCATTGAATTAAGTTGTTTGAGTGCAACTAATTAAAAATATCAGAAAATTTAAGTATGCTACCTAACGTTCAAGCATTTCAACTGTAACGACATTGCCAATAACTTGTTTTTTTTGTTATACAATTGGTTGATTACAAGGTTGGCTTTCCATGCGGAAATATAATCTCGAATAGGGGTCAGAAAATAGAAAAATATTCTTCTACTTGCAACTTGTCAATAAAGTGTAGTGCTAAGAGCATAACTAAAATTCAATGATCACTACAACTGATAAAATACGATCTACTATAGTGGACCAATTTTTTTGTTTTATTATCGAAAACCAATTAAACCATGTGAAATAAATGTTGAGGATTTGTTATAATCATTCTCTTTCGATATATGTTGTCACGGTTCACGGATCGAGTGGGTAGGTCGATTAATGACGGAAAGCTTTAATTTACAAGTTACAACTTGAAGATTCTGATAGTGGTAATTACGAATCTTATCTTCGATCAATAAGAATCTAGTTGGTTTAGCTTATCAGAAAATACATTATTACATGATTGTGTTGTTTTAAGTTAATTAGTCGTCAAGCCTTTCTTACAAGATTTCTAATAATCAACAACCTTTGCGTCATCTTGATCTACCATGACAATACATATTTTTTTTCTTGAATTATGTTGATTATTGTCATAGTAGTGGAGATAGAATACATAATTCATGATTCGTTGAATTATGTTTGCAGTACCAAACCTGATATTTCTGTCAGATCATAATATTTTTATTTAATACCTAATTCGGGAATAGTACTAAGCAAGGAACTCGATGCTCTCTTTTTTTTCTCTAAATTCGAATGAGATAAATCGCGACGGCTGAAAAATGAAAAAGAGAGAACTCAAGTGTTGGGATGATATAAATCATGAGTTGTGGCGATGTATACTCTTAAAAGTATGATAAAATTGAATGTATATGATGTGGATATTGGGATAATGCTATAAGGGAACAAGTTGAAGAAAGTGGCTTGATGATGAAAGGCGTTTCTGGTTCACTCTTTTAAATTCGTTTAGTGGAGGATAGCTCTCTGTGTCTGCCTAAATTTAAGTGGATTATCTGAACCAACGAACCCTATTCTTTTTCTTGATCTCCTAGATCTTTGTTGTTATTATCTTTTCAGTATACGAAAGTAAGAGTTTATTTTTAAGGAAAATAAAAAGATGGTTTACTACAGTTTGTATGTGTTCTTGCGGTTTAATGCAAAGGACTGTATTCTATTTGTATGATTTATAATTATCATTTAGTTTGGACTTTTTTTTTTTCCATTGAAATTTATAGTCTAACGATTTGTCTGACGACAGTTTTGATATAAATTCCTTATGGAGGATTTGCTTTCCCCACGAATCAAACTTATGGTAGTAGTGAAAAGACAAAAACCTTGTATGTATAGAGACTAAAAAGTTCCTTTTTCATGAAGTCAATGCAATAAGTCAATAACTAGAGACAATTTTGAATTTTCTATTTTTTATTTTTTTTATCTAAAATAAAGAATAATAAACTAACATTCGTTTTACGTGGTGATCATGAGACGGTTTCTTCTCTAACAAAACCCAATACATTTTTTGTGTGTAAGACATGTGTATATATATATTTAATGAGTTTAGTTGGCAAATAAATTTTCATTTTGAGAAGAAAAGATAGCTTACACGCCTCATAAGTTACCTGCAAAGACTTATATGGTAGACTGGTGATATTTCTTGTTTTTGTCTAGGGATATTGCTTCGGTTTTTAGGTAAGAGATGTATATGTTACTGTCGAGTTTGATCATATGTTATCCAATTTTACTGTTTTAGTTATCATTTTGAAATCTCCACAAGATTGTGTATATAAAGTAGGCACTAAGATGTCCTCATGAATGTTCTTTTAACATTTTTAACATAAAAAAAAATTGAAGAAAAAAATACAGGCTATTTTCTTTATAAGTTTAGCTAATTAAAAAAAATGAAGATATTTTCATAACACTACGCTTTCTAGCAAATCCTTTTTCAGAAAAATAAAATAATAGAAGAAAAATATGAAGCTTCAACACACGTACAGAGAAAATTATTCAAAGTTATTAAGTCCAATTGAAAGCGATGGGAAGCATCTTGGACTCCCATTTTCCATGTTCATGTTTGTACATCTTCTTCTTTGTTTGTACAGTACTCTTTTCGTTTTTAGAATCATTCACTATTCATATAAATCATGTAGTCATAATTTTCAAAAGAACACACCGTGTATGGTCCTACTGACCTTTCACCCATTTCTTTTTCATTTCTTGGTATGAACTTTTTTTACCAATTTCTGTGTATATAAATCTGCACTCCATTATCAGTTTCTCTTCACCCACTCTCTCTTCCTCTTCTTCTTTGAATTTGAAACACCAAGAAAACAAAGGTTCTTGAATTCTGATTAGATTAAGTTCTTGGACAAATGCATTAAATAGTATCCATACCATTTCCCTTAGCTTCTGTCTTTTTCATCAAAAAGTCAACACTTAACTCTGCATTTAAGCTCCTACACTGAACCAAAAAAACAGAGCAAAACAAAACAAAAATGGTCCAAAACCAGCAAATACCTTTCGCCGTCGACATGCCACAAAACGGCGGCTCCAAGTGCTTCGACGACGACGGAAAAAACAAAAGAACTGGTAACAGTGTTATATCTTTCTTTCTCTCTAGATTCTTGTTGAAATTTGGTTATAATGTAAAAAAAACAAGAAAGTTGAAGTTTTTAGATATTTTTTGGTTTTAGGTAGTGTTTGGACGGCGAGTGCGCACATAATAACGGCGGTGATAGGTTCCGGAGTTTTATCACTTGCATGGGCCACGGCGCAGTTAGGTTGGATCGCCGGACCGGTGGTGATGTTGCTCTTTTCCATCGTCACTTATTTCACATCTACTCTCCTCGCCGCCTGTTACCGCTCCGGTGACCCTAACTCCGGAAAGAGGAACTACACTTACATGGACGCCGTCAGATCAAATCTCGGTAAGAAGCACAATCTTTGAAGTATAAAAATGGACAGTGGAGATAATATCAGAACAGAACCTAACATGTTTTCATTGTCTTGACAGGTGGCGTAAAGGTCAAGTTATGTGGTACTGTTCAATATCTTAACCTCTTTGGTGTTGCAATTGGCTACACAATTGCCTCAGCTATAAGCATGATGTAAGTCTTTCACTAATTAAACACTAAAAAGCTACAAAATTTGAGTGTTTCTTGGTAATGCATCAAATGGGTTTTGATCCAACAAAACAAATTTTCTTCTTTTTGAACCAAAAAAAAAACAGGGCAATAAAGAGATCAAACTGTTTCCACAAGAGTGATGGGAAAGATCCATGTCAAATGAACAGTAACCCTTACATGATAGCTTTTGGATTAGTCCAGATAATATTCTCTCAGATTCCAGATTTCGACCAACTTTGGTGGCTCTCTTATCTTGCCGCCGTTATGTCTTTCACTTATTCCTCTGCCGGTCTCGCTCTCGGCATCGCCCAAGTCATAGGTCTGTTTTAAAAAACAAAAACCTAGATAGTCTTTAAATAGAGACTTATAAGTCAAGATTTCTAAATAAAGTAACTGTTTGTTTTGGTTTCAACAGAAAATGGGAAAGTAAAGGGAAGTCTCACAGGGATTAGCATAGGAGCAGTGACAGAGACACAGAAGATTTGGAGAACCTTCCAAGCTCTTGGAGACATTGCTTTTGCTTACTCTTACTCCATCATTCTCATTGAGATTCAGGTACCCTATCTTCTTTCACAAGTCTTGATGATTCAAAGTTAAAACCATTATTGGTTCTTATCCTTATTTCTGAAACAGGACACAGTGAAGTCACCACCATCAGAAGAGAAAACAATGAAGAAAGCAACGCTTGTGAGCGTAGGTGTAACGACTATGTTCTATATGTTGTGTGGATGCATGGGATACGCAGCGTTTGGAGACATGTCACCCGGAAATCTCTTAACCGGTTTCGGTTTTTACAACCCTTATTGGCTTCTTGACATTGCAAATGCTGCCATTGTTGTTCACCTCGTTGGTGCATACCAAGTCTATTGCCAACCTTTATTTGCCTTCATCGAGAAGCAAGCTTTGATTCGGTTCCCAAATAGCGAGTTTATATCTAAAGATATCAAAATCCCTGTTCCTGGTTTCAAACCTTTCCGTTTAAACTTCTTCAGGTACACATAATAGTCCTGTCTTTACACTATATATGATCTGAGTTTTTAGAAATGTTACTAATAATGCGTTTTGTGTGGCTTACTTATAGGTTGATATGGAGGACAGTGTTTGTGATAATAACGACAGTGATCTCAATGCTTCTTCCGTTTTTCAACGACGTTGTGGGGCTGCTCGGAGCACTAGGGTTTTGGCCGTTGACGGTGTATTTTCCGGTGGAGATGTACATTGAGCAGAAGAAGATAGCTAGATGGAGCACTAGATGGGTTTGTCTTCAAGTATTTAGCTTAGCTTGTTTGGGAGTTAGCATTGCTGCAGCTGCAGGGTCTATAGCTGGAGTTGTTCTTGATCTCAAGTCTTACAAGCCATTTCAAAGCAGTTACTGATGTTAAAACTATCTCAGTCGTTTCTTATACACAAAGGAACGAATCAAGAACGGTTAAGAGAATCAAGAAGTTTGGATTTGAGAATATTGATCAGTTTTTTTTTTTTATAGGTTAGACCAATAATGATGTTGTTTCTTAGTTTATGATAGGAGCCTTTGAAGCCTAATTGCAAGAATTGTAGTCTTAATGAGAAAGTGTCCGTTTTGTTCCTTGTGCTGCAAGAGAACCAATTCGCCTATTTTGGGTCCATTGGGCCTTTCTTTACTTTTCTTACTTAAATCTGGCCCATTTAACTCACTTTCTCAAAACGGTGCGTATCCTTCTCAGTCTTCATCAGTCTGTAGTCACTCGACACTATCGCCGCCGAGTGGATTATCCTCCGGTGAGCAAAACCACATTTTTCTGAAAACGGGAAACAAACACCATTTGATCGAGAAAGGTAAAAACCTAATCTTTTCTGATAAGTTAATTGTGTATATAATATTGTGCATTGGCTTGTGTGTGCACAATTTGATAATGTTTATTAACTGTTCGACGAAATGCCTCAGTGACGCGTTTAGAATTAACACCACTCGGTTTTTAGTCTGATGATCAACGCTTCACTCATTTTGTAGCTCTGGGTTAGATTCAACATGACGATCAAAATTCTCAACAATCAATCCAGATCACGCTGTAAAACCATTCTATCTGCGAAGCTGCATAGCTCAAGCGAACAAGTGAGAGACGCTGCAGATATCGCAAAGAACATATCCAAAGTAATGATGTCTTCTCCTCAAATTGTGCTTGACTCGGCATTAGATCAAAGCGGTTTAAGAGTCACACAAGAAGTAGCAGAAGAAGTGCTAAACAGATTCAGGAACGCCGGTTTATTAGCATACAGATTCTTCCAATGGTCAGAGAAGCAGCGTCACTACGAGCACAGCGTCCGTGCCTACCACGTGATGATCGAGTCCACAGCGAAGATAAAGCAGTACAAGCTCATGTGGGATCTTATCAACTCAATGAGGAAGAAGAAGTTGCTAAATGTCGAGACTTTCTGCATCGTGATGAGGAAGTACGCGAGGGCGCAGAGAGTGGAAGAAGCGGTTTACGCGTTTAACGTGATGGAGAAGTATGATTTGCCTCCGAATCTTGTGGCTTTCAATGGATTGTTGAGTGCTCTGTGTAAGTCCAAGAACGTGAGGAAAGCTGAGGAGATATTCGAGAAGATGAGAGACCGGTTTGTGCCTGACTCGAAAACGTATAGCATTCTGCTTGAAGGATGGGGTAAAGAGCCAAACTTGCCAAAGGCGAGAGAGGTTTTCAGGGAGATGATTGATGCTGGTTGTGATCCGGATATAGTGACTTACAGTATAATGGTTGATGTGCTTTGTAAAGCTGGAAGAGTTGATGAAGCTCTTGGCATTGTGAGGAGCATGGATACGAGAGTTTGCAAGCCGAGTACTTTCATCTATAGTGTGCTTGTGCATACTTATGGAAGTGAGAACCGGCTTGAGGAGGCGGTTGATACGTTTCTTGAGATGGAGAGAAGTGGAGTGAGAGGTGATGTGGCGGTTTTCAATTCGTTGATTGGAGCGTTTTGCAAAGCGAATCGGATGAAGAATGTGTATAGGGTTTTGAGAGAGATGAAGAGTAAGGAGGTGACGCCTAATTCAAAGTCATGTAACATTATTTTACGGCATTTGATTGATTGTGGTGAGAGAGATGAAGCGTTTGATGTGTTTAGGAAGATGATGAGAGTGTGTGAGCCAGATGCAGACACGTACACGATGATGATAAAGATGTTTTGTGAGAAGAGAGAGATGGAGAGTGCTGATAGAGTGTGGAGGTACATGAGGAAGAAAGGTGTTTTTCCGAGTATGCATACGTTTGCTGTTCTTATTCATGGGTTGTGCGAGGAAGGTAACACTCAGAGAGCTTGTGTATTGTTGGAGGAGATGATTGAGATGGGGATTCGACCTTCAGGTGTGACGTTTGGGAGATTGAGACAGCTGCTTCTCAAAGAAGGTAGAGATGATGTGCTCAAGTTTCTTAATGAGAAGATGAATCTTTTGGTTAATGAGCCTTTGTGTGATTGACTTGCTTTAGGTCTCAGTTGTTGTAAAGTTGTAATTGAACTCTAAATTAGCTATTGTTGCAGTTTTGATACAAAGATATTGTGATGATACGCTGCAAAGGAATCATAGTACCCACATAAAGCATAAGATGCAGATTTTGGATTTAAGGTTACAAGTGTTCTTGCATGTTCTAGTATCTAACTCAAGAACAATACGTGTCCTTTACCAATTCCAACCTCAGGTTCAGTGTCTCTTAGATTTTGATTCGGTCTTGGAAAGCATGTAGCCTGAGATCTTGTTCATCTCGTAAAAAAGCCCAGCAGAGAACAAGAAACTGCAGGAGGATCAAGAAACAGCATTGCAATCACTAAACAGGTTTAAAGACGACTAAAAAGAGAAGACGGATGATAAATCAAAGCAGAGCTAGTGAGTGTTTCCACTTACCAGGTTGTAATACAAACCCTATGCACCGTGCTTGCAGCAATAAGGGCTATGATCTCTGCAAGAATCACTGCCATTGAAAACAAAAAAACTGATTTCAATAACTTGATGAGTGTACCAGTTTCAATCAGGAAGAAGCAAACAAATTCGAGACCTTTGTCACTATATTTGACACTTAGATGAAAATTTTCAAGTTCCAACAACTGAGTCGGTGAAAGAGCCTCAAGAGCAATGCTTTTGTAACATGTTATCAGAAAGTAAACCAAAACCATCATCAAGTATTCAACTTTTTAAGCCATCAAGAGCAATGCTTCTCTACAATGGTTTTGATTTCATGACAAAGCAAGGACATACCTGAGCCCCAGCCACTCTTCAAGCCAGAAGATTCCTGGAAATTGCCAATGAACTGCAAACGGAATCCAAACGAAACTGTAAAGATCTCAAATTTGTAAACACAGATCAACAAAAATGTCAGATTTATAGTGCATTTCCATCGTAAGGAACTTACAGTGAGAGAAAACAGGAAAAGGAGAGAGCTTGAGAATCCTCCAAGGATGGTGAAGAGTTCTGAAGACGCTAACTTTCCTCTGTAAATTGATTGAACAGAGAGGATCACTGTGAACACAAGAAGAGAGCCCAGCATCGATGTTCCAGCTCCAGCCATTGTTTTCTAAATCCTAAACCAAACACGAGACATCGATTTGTTACAAAATTGATCGGAATTGGAAGAAAGCAACGGATAAAAAGTTTCATTCGATGATGGAGATGAGTTACCTTAGAAGATTAGATCGGATCTTCGCTTCTCTTCTCTTGCCGATTGTCGATCGTCACTGCCACAGTTTCACTCCGAAGAGAAAAATTAGAAATGGGAATGCTAGGAAACAGCGAGGTGTTTATCTGGTTATGTTAAAAACAGCATGTAGTTTTATCTGTATGTTGTGAAGCCAAATTAATAAACCGTGGACATGTTAATTTCGGCCCGTATACAATTTTAGCCCAAATTTAGTTGCCATGTTCGATTGTTGACAAAAGTTGACGGATTCACTTTCACTCCAAAAGTTAATGTTATTTGTGTTTCACTTTCACTCCAAAAGATACAGAGTATGATTATAATAAATGGAGTCGGTAAATGAAGAGAAGATCCCCAAAAAATGTCGGTAACGGTTAAGAGAATGAGAGATTAAAGACGCAACAATAAGTTAATATGGTCAATTAGTTGCTCCAAAATATATGGAAACGAACCGACCACGTCTCACTGTTTACTTTGCGTGAGTAAGCACATTTAGTGAATGTCTCTTAGTTTTCTCCGGAAGTAGATACATTGCTGAAAAATTATTACGTTATGAATCATTTAAACACGTCAAGAAGCAAACTTAGAAGATAATGTTTTTTCCTTTCTTAATACATAGTTTATATAAGTAACGTCCACTAGATTTGAGTAGTTATTATCGACATTAGTTCTTTTGGTTAGTGTGTTTTTCTTCTTTAAATTAAGCTCATGTAGCATCGAGGAAGATGTTCATACATTGAACTAAGCTGATTATTTAAAGTGGTCATCTCATTATGTAATTATTATTTTTTCTGTTTCACAAATTTTAAGATTTCTTTTATAAAGAATGTTATCTTACATATTTTCAATACAATTCAAACTTCCGAAAACAAATTTGGTTAATACATAGTTAGATATGAAATTAGATGTACTAACAAAATGTACTATACACGTTATAACAAAATTTCATTATATGTGAAGACATTATAAACGGAAATTTTTATAATATGATGAAACTAACTGATTAAATAGTAAGTTTAAAATATAGTGCAATTCTATTTTTGTTTTCGGTGGATAATTTCTTTCAGCGGAATATAATTTTGCACTGATTGATAAAACAAAAACTGGTGCGTATACCACTACTTTATTCACCTCATAACGATCAAAAATATTATAATTAAGCTGGACTTTATTAGTCCTTAGATTCGATTGCTGCAACATAAAAGAGACAGAGATCAGTAAGCACCATGTGATTTACTCACTTGTCCTTTCAAGACTAATCCCATACTTTTCTCTTTTCTTAACATTCTTCTGTTTTATATCAATTTTTTGGGTACTAGTTTATATTGTTGTCAGTGTTATTACTCGTTGATCTTATTACAATAGTGGCACGGGGGAATGCATTTGGATGATAAGTGATTTTACTTTCTCATTTTATTATTGTAACACCACTTCCGAGTGTTGTCCCATGTGATCATGGACGGCATGCTTTTTATCAATTTTTAATTCAAACTAAAAAACTAGATCATATAATATTATAAATTGATCAAAAATAAGTTCTTGAAACTTATTAGTTCAACCTTATTTGACTTGTCTCGTTTATGTATATATTATTACTAACTTAGGGTCTATGGTGGTGCAATGACTTTCTGCATGTGAAATAGTGGGAGAAAGCAGATGATCGATTTATATTATCATATATATCAGCTAATCTATAATCATGAAACCAAAATGTATTCATAATTGTCAATAATACTAGCAAAAGCGTATGTATAATAGAGATCCATATAACAAACAATGATCTTACCTACTAGCAAAATCAAATAATCAAGATAGTTCTGAAATAATTTAAATTTTCGTGAAAGATTAACTTCCGTAGAGTCGGATATCTCGTTGTTATATATACAGTTACTATTGTAGAACAAATTGAAACCATGCATGTAAGCCCTGGCTCGATGAAAAAGTGGGCCCTGTGTAATGCTAAATTTTCTTTTAAACACACTCTATTACAGAATACTCTTGTAATTTTGTGCCCTATTTTATAATTTTATAGAAGAATTAGGCTCTAAAATCTAAAGAAAATGGGACTAAAATTAAATAGGCCCTGTGACATATCCCACCTCACACACCTTACTAACCGGCCCTGTGCATGTTTCTTCAACCAACACCAATACACCATAAACCATCGAGCCACTTTACTTAACAACTATGAAAACCAAACGGAATAAACAAATATATATATTTGCTATTGCTACAAAAGTACAACTCCGGAAGTACGTCAGTACATTAAGAAACAAATGTAACGATAGTTTAATTTGTTTAACTGTCAACCACTTCAACTTTTCTGACAAGACATATTTTCTACCGACTTGATCGAAACAAAGCACAAAATCAGATAATTAGATCATGTTTGTGATATTAATCTGTTTACTGTGTTCGTATTCAAACAAAGGCATTGAGATTTGAGTTAAGGACAAAAAAGAGGCATCACCTGCTCATGTGCGCAGCAGAGATGGCTGTGCTGTACATACAATTATTTCAACTAATAACTTTTCGTCTAAAATTTTTAAAAGCTTTTGTTAATTATCTTCTACTATGACGACAAAAATAAAAAGTTATCCTCTAGTATTATATTTGGTAGCTTTACAAAAACTCGTATACGTTATTTCTTTTACATACTCCATGTTCTCCTAATTTGTCCACATACCATGAAAACAAAGTTTATTGGTTGTTTTGGATATAATTCGCCAACCTATTATCACTTTCCACGTTCATATCACAGAACTCATAAGTGATAGAAAAAAGGCAATCAATTATAAAATAATATAAAACCCATAACTAGTCATGTAAGAATGATCTCATCGTACGTAATCTAAGTGAATATGAATACAGATAAAGATCACTCTCAAAATGGAGCAACCGTAAGTACAAATGTTTGTTTTTTGGAAAAAAATGACTCTTTTGTCACACTGCATATTTTCGCTTATGTCTTGATCTCAAATACCAAAACAATATGCTCAATTTATGGTTCTATACCTGATCAATTTAATAAATATCATTTTTCAAATAAGATTTTTTGGTTTGATCGACTTGCTTCTTATAATATTTGTAGTGGATTCACAAATACTTGTGTTCATTGGACATTGAAATAGTTTTGTTGTTGTCTTTAAGGAATGATTTTTCTATTGTCATGGAATGCAAATTAACACACTAACATCGCTTGTGTTGCTCCAGGAGTTGACACATCAGCTTTTTCAAGCAGGGAAAAAGGTGACACATCATTTAAAAGGTTTGGCCAATCAAAACATTCTAAATAATACCAGTCATCGGTACATTCGGTTTACTTACCACATTTTTGTCTCGGTTTGATCTGCGTTATATCCGGTTTACCTCCAATCAGCTAGCTACTCAATTTCCTCTCCGGTTACGATTCATTACTCTTCTTCAACGAAATTACGTTCCTCTTCTATCGTTTGCGAAATTCTTCTATAGTTTCTTTTACTCTATTAATTCACCTCAATCATTTCCTAATGTGTCACTCTTTAAATTGGATCGGCGCCGGAGCTTTCTAGCTGGAGACATGTGTCCGCCCCGGAGATTTGGAGAGTGTGTTCTTCGTGCTCTCCTCCAGTTCAACAATTTGATTACAGAATAAAGTTGATTTTGATTTCTTCTGGGATCTTCTGGTTAGAGGAACAAGAGATTTAAGGATCAAAAATTTGGTGGGAAGGATTTAGTTTTTTTTCTTCAATCGGAGTATTCAATCATCATCACTCTGTTTCTCTAACTTTCATTTTCTTTAAAAAGGATTGAATTTTGTTTGCCAACTTTAGGTTTTCCTTTCTGGGTATATATTCGAATTTGAGGTTATGTGCTGAATTCTTCTCTGTTTAGTAGAAACCCTGGAAGAACAGACCAATGGACGAAGGGAATTTGATCAAAAGCGGGTAAGAATCATTAGACGGTTTCTCTCTTTTGATCTCATACTTTAAATGATGTTGCTGATCGTGTAATTCAAATAACACTTATGGAGTTACTCAACCAGCACTTACAACGTAGATGTTTTAGCAATCTTTGACTACTTCGTTGCTATGGAAGTGTTCTTTAGGATTTAATATGTTTTGTTTCAAGTGATAATTTTGTTAGAAATAAGAAGAAATCAATCAAAATTGCAGTACCTGTTTTGCGAAAGTGGAAACTGAATTTATATTATTGTTCTCATAGGTTTTATTTGTTGGTTGAGGTTGCTTATGTAGTAAACAAATATAATCTTGAAACTGCTAACTAAATCATTTGGTAAGGCTTGATAATAATTGTTTCGTCACACAACATAATGGTCTTTCTAGATCCCTCATATTTTTCAAGACTAAACTCTAACTGTGAACACATTTGGAGTATGCAGGGGTGTGTGCAGAAACCTTTTGCAGAGCTCAGGGCAAATTTCAAGAAAAGTTCTCTTCATTGTGTCATGATGTCCTCTTTTCCAAATTCTCTGAAATCGCTGTTATTGCAGCTCAGGCACTGATCTCACTCTGAACATAGTAATATTAAGTTTATCAAAAGGAATACAAATGTAGGAGAAGATTTCGTCCCAAAAAAAACAGAAGAAGCTAAAACAGAGGAAGAAATAAGTAAACTATGGTAATTTGAATGTGAAAAAAAAACATAGTAATAGCAAAGCAAATAACATGTTTTTTAACTGAAAAGGAAGAAATTGTATTTTATGGCAATTTTTAAATAACATGTTTTCTCTAACTAAATAATATAAAGAGAATTAATTTTTTATAATAACTCATTAAAAATGAATTAAAAAATTCTAAGAAGAAGAACAACATTGATAGGGTGACTAAATGAAAAAAAAAAAAATAAACCAATAAGCCGAATTCAGTTTCCGTAGAAGAGAAGGTGTTGATAACTCCAATTTCGAAGTTTACCGAGAAGGATTTAGATATGTCCGAGTTTGAAAGTTGAAATAAGGTTTTCCAAAACAGAAAAACCTAAAAAAATTGAGATAAGTGAAGATAAAATTATGCAGAAAGTAACTAAAGCTATGTAGAAAATAAAAACAAAAATAATAATCCCGCAGCATAGCGCGGGTCTAAATCTAGTACTCTTAAAATTATGTGCAAATGGTTTTTTCTGAGTAGGTGTTGAGTGTACATGTAGACACACAATTGGAGTACTATTTTTTACTAAACCGAAATTAACGGTGAAACCGGTTGCACGGAAAAAGAGAAGTACCTGTCAAAGCCTGGCGAGATTAAAAAGTCTTCTTAACCTTTTAATTTTTTTAGTACATTAAAATTTAAAAAAGTCAAGAAGATGGACTAAACTGCAACTGCTTCAGCCATCAGGATAATCAAATCCTCTAAACACATCGATTCTTGTGCATTTAATTTTTATAGTACAACATAACGTAAAAATGAACACTGTCAAACAAAAAAAAAGCGTAAAAATGAACACAGTTGACATTTTAATCTATTGTTCTTATTTCTTAAAAGGGAAAAAAAAAACTGAAGGGAGACAAAACCTGGGAGTTGTATAAATGCAGGGCCTAAGCTTTCCATAATCTTCACAACTAAAATCTAATTACAAAAACAGAGTCGTCTTTGACTTACCAAAAACAGAGCCTTTTTGCCTACTACACATCTCTCTTTGCGGTATCTGAAATGGCGATTCCTGTGATCGATTTCTCCAAGATCAATGGTGAAGAAAGGGAGAAGACACTCTCTGAAATCGCTACAGCTTGCGAAGAATGGGGATTTTTTCAGGTCCAAATCTAAAAAAAAAAAATCGAAACTTTCTCTCTCTCTCTCTCTGTCACTCTGTTTTTATGTGCTTATCGCTCTGTGTGTGTATGTGTAGCTGATGAACCATGGGATCCCATTAGAGCTTCTGAACAAGGTGAAGAAGCTGAGCTCAGAGTGGTACAAAACAGAGAGAGAAGAAGCATTTAAGACCTCATCAACACCCGTGAAGCTTCTCAACGAATTGCTTCAGAAAAACTCTGAAGCAAAACTCGAGAACGTTGACTGGGAAGACGTCTTCACTTTCGTAAACAATAACCAAAACGAATGGCCATCCACTCTCAAGTAAACAATTCCTTCTCATATTACCAAAACTCAATCAAAATCATTCAAACCCATTTTCAAAAATCTTAACTTTTTTTTTGTTTAAAAAAAAACAGAGAGGCGATGATAGAATACAGAGAAGAAGTGAGGAAGCTAGCGAGCAAGATGATGGAAGTGATGGATGAGAATTTGGGTTTGGCTAAAGGTTACATAAAGAAAGCATTCAACGAAGGAATGGAAGATGGAGAAGAGACGGCTTTCTTCGGTACGAAAGTTAGCCATTACCCACCTTGTCCTCATCCAGAGCTCGTCAATGGCCTTAGAGCTCATACTGATGCTGGAGGTGTCGTTTTGCTCTTCCAAGACGACGAGTACGATGGCCTTCAAGTGTTGAAAGACGGCGAGTGGATCGATGTTCAGCCGCTGCCTAACGCCATTGTTATCAACACTGGTGACCAGATTGAAGTTCTCAGCAACGGAAGGTAATAACATCTTCTTGGCTTCATATGGCAACAATGGTGGTTATTGTTTAGGGTTTTTGTGAAGCAAGGATTTTGGTTTTGGCAGGTACAAGAGTGCGTGGCACAGGGTGTTGGCGAGGGAGGAAGGAAACCGGAGGTCAATAGCTTCCTTCTACAACCCGTCGTACAAGGCGGCGATCGGGCCAGCGGCGGAGGAAGGAGGAAGTGAGAAGAAGTATCCAAAGTTTGTGTTTGGAGATTACATGGATGTCTATGCAAACCAGAAGTTCATGCCTAAGGAGCCTCGTTTCCTTGCTGTAAAATCTCTCTAACTGTAATGTTTCTTTAAGAAGAAGTATTATATATATCACTGTTTTATCTACGCCACTATGTATTAAAATATGTGTTTCTTCTCTTTCATGTGATGTATGAATCTTTGTTGTTGTTGTGACCAATGTTATCAGAAGAAATCACTTTCATACCTCGAAGAGAGTTACAGTAATGTCCGTGTCTCGTAAACTTTGTAACTGTGTGTTTGTATACACATGATTTCATGACTTTGAGCAGCTGCTGTTTCATAATACAAGGAGACCACACACTACAGTCTCATCTTTCTTTATCCAAAGCTGCTTCGCGTTCTAACTCTGTCTATAAGCATCTGCATTCCTGAAAGATCTTCCTCGTAACTAACAACCTGCAAAATTTGTTCAAGTAGCACCATCACAAATTTTAGGTGCAGTTTCGTTTTTAATTAAGAGCTGTGAAGATATCTCCAAGCCAAAGGCATTTCAAGAGTAAGAGTTATAACCTGAGATTCTGTCTGCGTCTCACTGAAGTTTCCATAAATGCTTGTAGTTACATCTGGTGGAGGTTTGAATACGTCGTCATCCTTCTGCACACTGAAAAAACACACCAGAGTTTATTAGGTAAACATGAATCCTTACATGAGGAGCATTTAGAGGTGGTTCATGAATCCGGATATGCGTATTTAAACAGCAACCAAACTTGTGTAATATCAGCAAGATACGGATTGGTGGTAATTAAGGAATATAAAGCTACCTGGGTTTCCATAGACCAGAGAGGCCAGTGAGGGAACGATTCCCGCTGCTGTATGGTTCACTAGTTGAAAAAGGCTGTTTTTATCATCAAGGAGTCAAAACTATTCAAAGTCTTAATAATAACTCAAGAAAGATAGAAAATTGAATGAGCACAGAAAGCTACAAGGATACATTTTTCTCTGTAATTCTTCCAGGAGACTTCTTCTCTTGAATCTAAACAGATAACAAGAGGTGAGCATTGAGAAGATATGATTTGGAATTGATAAATCGGAGGAAAAAAGAAAATACTACTCACTTTACTTGTATGCTGCAACAGATCCTCAATAGTATCAGCCACATCTGGAACTTCACGACTACTTGCTACGTCATTTCTAGACACAACGCCATCTCCAAACTTCAAAGGGAGAGTACAATTTCTCGGATATTCACCCACAGGAAACACATCACCATCTCTCGAAAGTTTTGCCTTCTTTGACTGGGAACTCTGTTCCCTTCCAGTTTCTACAAGCCTGTTGTTTAGCTCAGTTTTACCGCAGCCATTGCCAGCAGTTTGAGTTTCTTCTCTGTCGTCAGAGTGGCTTACAAGCAGAGACCCATTGTTTCTTGAGGCCACTGGCACAAACTGTGTATGCAACTGACTGGGCAAGCCAACCCCTGCATCTCGGTCTTGAGTGGTCAATTCCTTTGGATGGAATTTATCAGGACAAACAACTTGATTCTACACATGAGAACAAAAAACAAGAAGGATTATTTGTTTAAGTTTAAAGATCCCATGTCAAAGAAACTATTTGAAAGACCTAGGCCCACCTGTCTAACACATTCATAAACCCAGTCAGGTGTCACGGTAACTGTTCCCCACTTGCAAGCTGCCTCATACTTACGTCCGTTAGCATCGTTGCATACCAAGTGAGTCACTTTCCTGGTCAGCTTTTCCACAAATTTTACCCCAAGAGTAAAAAACAGATTTCTCATGAGTGATTTATCCTTCTCTTCAAATTGGGAAACACAAAAGCGAAGACTTTGGAATCCAGGCAAAGGAATCTGGCAGGGAAGAGGCGAATAGAGGATATGACTTCTAACATCAAGTAAACAACCATCCTGCATCACCAAGATATCAGCTTAGAAACCAAGCTAGGAAATAAAGCATAATAAGGATACAGATAACTGATACAAATCAATTTTATTGAAAAGCTAATGTAGATATAAAATCTTTAAATGAATGATGGTATAGCAGTTGGAGGCAGAGTATTCCAGCATAAATGACAAAACCAGTAGAGAGCAGATGAACACTGAGAAGAATAATACCTCTAAACAAGATCGAACCCAGTGACTTGAGACATAGATAGTTTCGGTAGTCCCAGCACTACGGAACATACCATGGCATTCAATAGTAAAATTTGTGTTATGTATAAAAGGATCAGTTACAACCTCTCCCCCTCCTTGATTCACCCATTCCACCATTTCAGGTCGCTGCACAATATGGTAACACATCAACCAATTAACCTCAGAGACAAGAAAACAGTGCAAGACAAAGAAAGCTCAAATCTTCGAATAACCACATACCCTATCTTCAGGAAAAGAATGTGAGAAACAAAATGTCTTCCCCTCAAATACCGATGACTTTCTTTCTTGCTCGTTCTGACTATTAATTGCGCATTGAATTTTCGGTTGTTCTTTGCTTTGATTAGTTATAAGGGAATCAAGAGTTTCTTTTTGCTTGGGTGATACTATTTTTCTTTCCACGTGAATCTCATCTTTCCTGCTAGATTCCAGCATTGCTTCTTTATTCTTTCCCAGGAAAGTTACTGCCTCATTTGAGGCACTGATACTCCTTGAAGAGGAATCATATGACACGGTCTGAGGAACTGTATTTTTACCCTGTTCCATACCTGACATCCCTGCAAGAGATCCCTTGGTCAAGCATGCAAAATCTGATATGTCTAGATGTATCTTGGATTTACGGAATGTGTCCGAGGAAATTTTTTTAAAATGGTGAAATGAGATAATAGCAGACCTCTTGGAAGAATCAGGTTGTGAGCAGTATATATTTTATGAATGGGGATTTCTTTTTTCTCACGATCACAATCTTCAAGCCAACCAGGTGTAACTACTTGAATGACACCCGAAGCTGCAACACTCCTCGCCTCCCTTTTCTCACTGTAAATGAATATTCGATGTAGAGATCATAATAATAGAGCAAATAAATTCACTTTGGCTTGTGCAAAGATTGAGCTTACCTCTCTGAAGGAGTTCCAACCACAATGTGTGTCATTCTGTCGCCAAGCATCATATATCGTGATCCACCACCTCTTCGGACCAACTTTACAAGTCTACGCAATTCAGAAGCTTCAAAACCAAGCAAGAAAATTCGACAATCTGATAAGTAAAGGTCGTCTTCAGATTCTGAATCCCTGGCAGTACAGCCATCAAAATTCAGCTCTTGCGGCTCTGTTGTTGGGCCTTTACTTGGTTCTTTAGCATGAGTACTGGGATTTATAGATGTGGAATGAAGATTTTGCGAGGCACAAGCTTCCATATCTGAGTCTCTAGACGGAGCATAAGAAGCATATGAGTCTGTCGCAGGAGCAGCCGAATGTGACACTGATATTTGACATTCACGGAATTTTTCTTGATCATCATGGCTCGCATTCTCTCTCACCCCTTTTTTCAAGGGTATGGAACCCAGAACAGGATATGACTCTTCATTGAGACAAACTGCACATAACAGGTTGACATATGATATCTGTTAACTTATAGAGAACCAATACACTGATCAGTTCGACAATGCAAAGGATGCAGAAGCACCAAATGTCACCTTTTCTAGCGACGGACTGTTCAAACCATTTCAGTGTAACAATCTGAATGTGACCCCATTTTCGAGCAACTTTGTATTTGTCACCTTCAGCGGCGTATGCAATGTTAAGGACTCAATTTTTCATTCACCTATAAAATTTGTGCACAGGAATTCAAGCAATCCTAAGGCATCTACATTTCAACCATGTTGGTTACAGTCACATATCTTCTAACTCTAGAGAACCCGTGTATCACACCTTGGCTGCTGTTACCTAATCAGCACAACTAAATGTGAACTATGGTTAGCAAATTTACAAATTTTGATTCAAAGGATATATCAGCGATCAGATGTGTACACCTCCTTGTTAGCTCCGCAGAGTACCTCCCTCCATATTCTGAAGTTAGCTTCTCCATTTCCTTCCGCTTGTCTGACAATAAATTACTGATTAACTAGCAATAGAGAACCTGATTCGCACATGTAGAACAAACCATGTTTCTACCTGCTGGAATTTTTGTGACACAAATTGTCAATCCAGAAAAGGGAGGAATCTTATACGGTTCCTGAGGAACCACACGATGCTCATTCCAACACTGATGTAACCAGTTCAGTGCAACAGCTGGCTTTTTATTCAGGGCCCACTGCAAGTTAAAAAATCAGATAAAATGTATTTACTTGTCAGTTGTCACGGTGAAATAGGCATAACTGTTCTTGAACAGTTTCCTCAAGAACCTCATCATTTCACTCTAATGAAGGTACTATGTACTGCTTGAAAAAATGTAATACTCAAATGCACCAAGCGAAAGACCATCAGCCGCTTATATCTAACCCAATACACCAGCATCGACAGATTAAAACTCATCGTTGTCTCTATCAACATATCCTAGTGCTTACTGGAGTAAAGTTAAATGAAATGAAAAGTACTTTTAATTTACCTAAACAGTTTGATATATGTTACTAAAGCAAAGAAAATACCGATAAGAAGCCATTGATAATCTATCTACAAATGAGAACCTTTAAAAGCTAAATTAGTATTGATCGCAATCATTGAGCAATAGACCTTGTACTGGCTAGCCAAGACATTCTTCACAATGACGAAGTTGACATCTGAAGAAGCTCTAGAAAGCAAAACTCCCCCCATGGAAGTAACCATATCCTTGATCTTGACCTTCAAAATAGAAATAAGAAATCGAACCATTAATCACAGAGTTACCAAAATTGTTAAGTTGTGCACTGGGAAACAAAGACGCACACAAGCATTACTTCAAATGCACACTAATAATCTCATAAAACATAGCTGTGCCAACATAGAGTCGCCACCATTGCCATGGACATTAGGGAAAAAGGGAAACAATAGTACCTAAAACGCTACATAATTCTCTGAAAAAGAAGAAAAGGAGTACCTTCTCATCCATCTTAAACCCAGAAGCGAGAACTTTAAGACCATCCATGGCTAGGCAGCAAGTGAATCCCCCTTGTGGCAGCGCTCTACCCTCTTTTGCACAGGAGAGCGCACATTGAGGACCTGCCGCGCAATTAACACAACTCTTGTCAATGGAATTCACGAACACAGATTCAATTGGTTCGGAGGAGATAAATATAACTAAATAAATCCAGAGAGAGATTCAATCTCACCTATCAAATTACAATTCTTAGCTTTAAGATCCTCGAATTTCTCCTGCAAAATCCACAACGAGTTAAGAGCACATTTCCTCAAGAATATAGGCAATTGCAGTTAAAATAGAAAGGAAAATCCGCACGTGATCGGGAGAAGCGATGACGTGGAAATCGGAGGGACCGTTCCGGGAAGGATCGCAGCAGAGGAAGATTTCGGCACCGTTAAGCTTCAAGGCATCGAGAAGTGTGTTGAATACTTCAGGCGGCACCAGATTTCGGGACATGAACACGTTAGCCCCTTTGAACGGTTGCGTCATCCTCATCGCCGCCGGAAACCTAACCGCCTCTCCGATATTGTAAGAGCGTTTCACGTGGCTTTCGGATAAAATTACAACCCTAGAATCGGCGGAAGAAGGTGGATACTCTCGGACCTTGTAGCATTAGCACATAATTTTTCTCAGTGAACCGGCGCTGTAACTGGAGAGGGAGAGAGAGAGAGAGACGCGGGAATGGGTTCACTCACTGATCAGTGAGCGTAATTTCACATTTTAGTTTTTCTTTGGGCTTTTATGGTTTTATTACGTCCATCATTACCTCCACAATTGGGCCGGCGACAAATTTTAGAAGTTTTTTGAACAAATTTCCACTATTGAACTGGATGTAAATGATTTGGGTCACTTTAATCTTCTTCTCTTTCGTTTCTTCTTCTACAACACGAACACACATCTGCAAATTTCGGGACATTTCTACGAGTACTTGCTGAGAATCAACTGAAAAGAAAAACGAGCTTCTCTTTAAATGTTTGATATAATTTGTACAGAGGAGAGAGGACTTCGTCTTCTACTACTAGAAAAACCAAAAAAACTAGACGCAAAACTAGAAGCGACAGTGAAGCTACGAAGAGCAAAGGCAAGGCTAGAGCCAGGCTTTGAGTACACAGAAACTAAGCCGCCGCTACTTAACTTGGCAGGTTGAGATCCGGAGGAGCCTGTGACTTGGGTTGTTGATGAGTCTGTTGCCTTAGAGCCAGAACAAGATTTTTCTCTTTGGGCAGGTTAGATTCTTCTGCACTCGGTTCTGTCTTTCTTCTGACTGTCTTTACTTCTGCTGTAGGGTTGCTACAGCTTGAGGTCCCCTTTAGTTTCTCATGTTGCTGCTTTGACCTGTCGCGCGATGAGTCAGCTGTAGGTTGACTGTTGACTAAGGACGTGGTGGTTGCGCTTGGGACAACACTTGTTTTATCTCCAACACCTGAAGCCTTGTCGGGATTAGCAACCGGGTCTGATTTTGGTACCGCTTGTGTCTGTTTCTTCTTTGTCATCTTCCCTTGATCCTTAAATAAGAAAAAAGAACAAGGAATGATAACACTACAGTCTATGATAAATGGATCTTTCTCAGACTACAGCGTAAAAAACAAATTGCTATAGCGTAAAAAAAAAAAGATGAGAATTTCTCAAATACCTTCTCCTTCGATGCTCTTCGCCTTTCCTTTGCCCGGCAAATGGCACGCTTGATCTCATGATTGTCCATTAACTTATTTGGCCAGAGTTCAGCTAGCTGAAATAAATTCAATATTGGGTTTTAGGTAAGGTCTAGTCTTATGATTTGAATGAACTTGGAAAGTTTTAGACCACGAGAGCCAAAAGATAAGAGAATGGAGAACTTACATTTGCGTAAAGCTTTCTGATCTGTGGACCTGAATCTTCATCCAATCCCTAGAATAACCAAAAACAGAGCACAAATTTTAATTCTGGATCTAGTAAGTTAGAGAAAACTGTAATGGAAGTTGTCAATATGAAAACTCTTGATTACATCAACAAAGATGTCATATAGATCACACAGTTTATCCTCAAGCGCCTCATCCATGACAAACTTCTTCTTCAAAGGTGGCTTTTCAACAGAGCCAGCCTCCTGGAAATCGTCTGATGATCCAGCTTCTTGATTGGTTGCCTGTGAAACAATTTACGTCAGTGTAATGAATTTTCATAATATCATTTGAAAAGCAGATCAGTGAAACTAGTTGAGTAGAAGAGAGAGAGAACCTGGGATTCCATCAATGGAACTTGTGTTTTTAACATCTCAATAACTTCATTCTTGATCCGCTGAAATCTAGCATCTTTTTCTCGATTTGCAGAGTCGCCAGAATCAATCATGATTTTCAAATTCCTCTGTAACAGTAAGCATAAATAAACCGTCAGACCTTCTCTAATAAACACGTTAGCTCTTACATTTAGCAGGAACCTGGAAAATTCTAACTAACTCTTTATGTCTCAGTAAGAATCACTCACTACTTCGTTCCAATAACAAGTCTGGTATACAGGAGATGAGGTGATTACCTTAAGTGATCTAACTTGTATCAAATGGCCAACAATGCTCATGAGGCGATTGATTAACTCTCCCGATAAACTTTCTTTGCCCGGCGGCTTCAATAAAATAAAATTCCTCGTCTTTTTTCAGAATTTGGAAGATTATTGAAAAAAAGAAAAACAAACAGAAGATTTTGATTACCGCAGCAATCCTAGCAACTTTAGCAAGCTTCAATTTTACGTCTGTTGGCAATCCCCTCTTCACTGCTTGGGAAGTGGTATCGGCATCTTGATTCTCAGTGGGAGCAGGAGGCCTTGCTGCAATATATTGGACATTACATTATGCTAAGTGGAATTTAGATTGTCATGCATGTTGAGATTAGAAACAAGTGCTCCAACAGTTGAAACTCACATTCAGAGACCACCTTCTCCAATTCCCTGATGGCTTTCTCAAGTGCCGAGGTTTTGGGCCTGACTTTAGAGCCACTTTTTCTCTGAACAGAAAATGATTTTTGAAAACAAAAGTTAAAAATAATGTCAAATACGCGAGAAAAAAGGGCATGGAAGCGATTATTAGCCAAGAATATCAACTCAGAGTTGAGATGAAAACTAGAGCAACAGAACGAATGGGTGTCAGCTTAGGATAGCTAGAAAGTACTTACAGTCATTTGACTAGATTGTCTGCTTAGAGTTGCATTGTCCGGGTCATGCATGCCATTGTTTTCTTTCTGACGGACTACTGTTGATTTTTCTGAACCATTTGGGCGAGATTTTCCTGGCAAGGAATTAGATTGCTGATGAGCACTTTTGTTGCTAAACTTTGAATGAAGGGCGCCAGAAGATCCAGCTTCCTCTGACGGAGTTATGGCATTCCTAGGCTGATGATTTGCTTTATCAGTATGCTTCACATTTTCCAATAATAAGGAGTCATTGCCACTTTGAGTTTTCAAAGGGGAAACCGAATCCTGCACTGTCTTTGAATCATTGGACTTTTTCTTTGAAGAGGGCCCAGAAACAGCTGATTGGTCCTGCACTTTCACACCCACAAAATCAATTGTCTGGACTGGAACTCTGAAATGGATTTAAAATAGTTCTTTGCAAGCAATGGTGTTACCTTTCCTCCAGCCGTCTTAGCCACCTTGGCTTGTTTTCTAGATACATCAACATCATCGCCACAAGGTTTTGCCGACTCTTTCCTTTGCCTTTTCTTTGGTTGCCGGTTCGATGTTGTTGCTGTTGACGGTTCACTGTTGTAAAAAAGAATCACAATTTAGATAAACTGGTAAATGGAAGATAGCCTATTTATACAATCAGAGCCCACAGTGACACGAAATGGTATTTGCTGCTGGTTAAGTGACACTAATCATGGCGTTTTGACAGTAACCTACAGATAGTAAAAGAAAAAGGTAGCAAGATTGACAAAAGTAATGTATCAAATATTTCTGCCTTGAGGAAACACAGCATAAACCCCGATCAGAGTGAAAAACAGGTGATACTAAAGTCAGTTTTCATATAGTTATGCTGTTCAAGTGTTCATTGCCTATTCTGCACAACACATCCGCAAATGGAAATGACAACCCCATCATACAGTAATGTGACAACATGAACAATAAGAGGACAAGAAACTTACATCCGTTCTAACTTTCCTCTATTGACAAAAAATCCATCATGTTTAATTGCTGAATTATCAACTTCAAAATACTCATCCTACAATGCAAAAAAAAAAAAGAATTATGTCTCAGCTATCAAGGTACACTTTGAACACATAAGAAAACAAAAAGAAACCATAAGAGGGATATCTATACTAACCAATTCAGCGTCATCGATAAATGAATCTTCCGTGTCATACTCGTCATCGTCGGGAGCACCATCTAACTCTTCCTCATCACTACTATCTTTTCCCTGAATTTTATAGGAAGTAAGTATACGCTTTTCAGAAATTTGTGGTAGGAGCGTTAGCTTGTACGAACAATAGACAAAATTGAAAGAAAAATAAGGAAATGTACCATGTAGAGTCTCTCGATCTTCTCTATAACAGCGTTGAAACGATTAGAATGAGGTTGGTCACCCGCTTCACCTTCTGCTGGTGGCCCCTGCATTGGCTATATGAATAAAGCATTAGAAAATGACCTGATCCAAATTGTATGAACATAAAAAATGAAAACCCATCACCATAAGGCGTTTAAGATTGCCAATTCTTTAGCACGAAAAGATGTGAGTTGAGTTTAATGTGTATCACAATCTTCACTCATACATTTAGCAGTAAATATGGCTACTATCTAAACCAAAGTCCTTTCTAGATCAAACACAATCGATAGCATATTCACGTTACTATCAACGTGGTTGCGTCAATGTAACTAGCAATGCAGCCAAATCATATATCTAACCGCAAGTCAAATTACTTACCTAAGACTAGAGAATCAAATCAATCTCAGCTGTAGTTTTTCTTCATAGAAAGAGTTTGCTTGTTGAAACCCTAGTTCTAAACACAATGTCACAGAGCAATGACAACACAATTCCTTCTAATCTCATATCATATCAATTACACACAAAATTTCAGAAATTCTCCCGGAACCAGCCAAGAAATATTCGATAATCAGTCAAAACATTGAGACTCTCCCTGGATAAACCAGAATTCCCCCGAAAGCAAAATTCAGCTCCCAGGAGGATACAAACCAATGGTTGGTCCAATAGAGAAGAAAAGAAATTACGAGAGTAAGACAAAGTCAGATATACGCATGCCACAGCTAAAAACTCACCGGTGCAAGGCGAGTCTCGAGATTAGGGTTAGCATTAGGAGGCGGGTCGGGCGCCGCCGAGTGGGACAAGCCATTGTCCTTGCTAGCTTCCTTCATAAGCTTCTTCCAGGACACGTACGTCGTCTCCCCCTGACGGAGCTCCACCTTGAGTAATTTCCGATCACCGGCGGTCAATACCTTCGGCGAGGTCCTCGATGATTCGCCGGAAGTTGAACCGACATCGGTTGTGGCCTTTTGTTCGCCCATTAGTGATTGGGTCGGGTCAGAGTTAGACTCTGTACAGACCCGGATCGGAGACGACGAGAGTTGGATAAACGATCAGGAGCGAGAATTGGGGAATTTGATGTGAGGAGGACTCGAGAGAGATTAGAACTGAGAGGAGGATTTTTGTTAGAACGTTGCGCGGGATAGGCAATGACGCTTTGCTTTATTATTCCTTTTTATTTTTATCTTTCCTCTCGTGAACAAAATTTAATTAATTAATTTTCATTTATATCTGTTCTTGAAAATTGATGGTTTTTTAAATAAAAATAAATTGTGGGATTAGGCCCAGGTGTGGTAACCGATAATTGGGTTAGTTAAGTGGGCTTGTGACTTGGGTTAGTTAGAGGAAGAACATAAATCAATGCAAGCAAGAACATAATAACTTTTTATTTATACGACAAGATATAACTTTTTATTTATACGACAAGATGAAATCATAGGTTTCATCTGACCATAATAATTGGAGAAAATTATACTCAGACACACTTTTTAACTTTCAGTTTACACAATGACACACTTATTGACAGATGTGGATTTTCACCCTTTGAGTTTACCCTCTTACCCTCCTCCTCATAGCTTATTATCGATTTTATATCCCTTTTACCTTTCTCATTTCACAGCACACTTTCTAATTTTTACTGGCCTCTCACTTCCGACAAACCTCAACCGACGGAGACGCCGGTCTTCCCGAGCCTGACACACGTTTATCAGATTTCGTCCCAGCAAACACACCAGCTCTATCCCACCATTATCAGTCATTGTGAAATTATTTTCGTTCACGTCCCCTGTAGGAGCGCCAAAGACAATAGATTGACTCCCGAGTGAATTGGCAAAGTAAAGACTGCTGATGTACGGATTTGCGCCATCCCCGGAGTGTAAGTGCCGCCAACGGTCTTAATGAAACTGTGGTGCTGATTAAATGGTCCGACCTGATGGTAATATACAAAATCTTGACCGCAAACCAAAATGCATCATAAAATAAATTAGTGAAAATGACAGAATAACATGCCTAGAACATGAAAATCCTGGTTTTGTCAACCCCCATTGTGACATGCTGATGCTGTACGCGGTGAGAGCATCGTCGAAAATTTCATGACCACCATTTTGACTTCCAAACGGACATTTTCTTTGCTGAGCCATTTTGTGTTTTTCTTTTCTTCTTTCAGATATGTGATACTGATGGGATACTGGAATGTATATTGTGTAATTGTGTTTTTCATAAGTATTAGGGAAAGACAGAAAAGAATGAAATATCCTGTGATATTGTTTTTTTTTTTTAATGTAATTCTTATTTTTCCTTATGCTTTGCTTACTTTTTGATTTTATTATTTCCATTTAAAACTCACATTTTCCCTTTTTATTATTTTCTTTTTTTATATAAAATAATTAACTAACAACACTAAAATTTATATATTAATAAATTAACACATATTATATATGAGGTAAGCATTTTTTTAATCTTCTTAATTAATGATTCGTTTATACATATATAAAATTCTACCATAATGTATATTTTGACGAATTGTATTACCATAATATCTAATTTGTAAGGGACATAAATTTGCGGAAATTATACCCTTACAAATTAAGTGACAAATTAGAGATTATGGTAATATAGTTGGTCAAAATATGCATTATGGTAATATTATAAGTTTGTAACCGATGCGTGTCTCAAGTATGAGAATGCTCTTAACGGTTTTCTTATAATTATGACAATTTCCAAATGGTCCAATTTGTTCACACAAATTAATTAATGTAATCAAAATATATTAATTAACCAATAAATCATTAAAAATTAAACATGGTACCCTTTTGTGGTAATTATGGATGACACATATAATAACTAGTAATCTTACCATAATGCATATTTTGACCAACTATATTACTAACTTTTTTGAGAAATTGAGATTTACTATTAATATTGAACTATTTTGAAAATGTAAAACGTATATATAAATCTATCTAAAAGGTATTTTAAATCATTTTCCTTTGAGCATCATATTTCTTACGATAATTCGACATTTGTCTGCTTAATTTTTGATTTGATTTTGTGTATGTAATGTAATGCAATTTCTAAATCACCACAAAAAACTAAAGACAAAAAGCCACAAAAAGACCTGAGTCCAAAGCCAAGAAAAAAAAAAAAGGGAATTGCAAAGCATCGTTTGGGGATTTTACATAAGAAAAGAGGAAAATCGGTATCTCAAAAGCTGACCGCCTCGCGTTTGCCTCTTCTTCCCTACTTCCGATTTCCTTCTTCTCTCTCTCTCCGCCATCGGAATCGTCTCCGCCTCTATCCATCTAGGGCTTCCTCCGTTTCTCGTTTTCCCAGCTCATGTTCGTCGGCATTCGCTTAATCGCTTCTGATTCATGAGGTTAGGGTTTCGTATTTTGTCTTCTTCATGGGTGCCAAATTTCATTTATTTGTTATCCGTGCGGCTTGTTTGAATCAAGTTCGAATCATAGGGTTTGGTGGTTGTCATCAATGTTGATGATTGAGTCGTCCTTTGTGTTGCGTTAGGCCTGTAGTTGACCTTCTCAAGTTTTAATTTTTTTTTTTGAAAAAAAAAATTCCGGTGGCGTCTCTCTGATCGATTTCTAGATCACGTTGAGTTCAATTGAAAATCTGCATAGTGTCCATCAACCATTGGATGGTTTGATTACAAAGCAGCCTTCTTTGACGGATTTTATCATAAAACCCCTTTTCTAAGAATGCTATTTTGTTTGCTCTGAATCAGGTGGCATTACGATGGATTGCAAGGAAAACGGTGTTAGTGATCTTTCTGGGTGTGACTCTTTGTCTGGCGATAAGAATGCTAACTCTGAGAAAGCAAGTTCTGCTGGCAACGATATAGACTTAAGCTGTAGTTTGGCGACTTCCCAGGTTGAATCGGTTGTAAACCCTACGATGGAAGCTCAGAGGAAGTGCTCTATAGAGGATGAGGAATTGGGAGATGGAAACAGTATCAGTAAAGAGCATGATGAAAGCTCTGATGCTGGTCTAGCTGTTTGTTGCAATGGTGATGACAGTCAGAAGCAGGGATTGGTTTCAGATGAGCGTGAACAAAGTCAAGAATTGATCTGCGAGGCTGTTTTACAAAATTGCAGCAAGCAGGATGATGGAAAGGAAGTTCAGGAAACAAACTTTTCCCCCGTACCCATTGTTTCTGGGAGTATGCAAGAGAAAGGGTCTGGTGGTACAATATTCCCTGTAGAGGGCGATGAAGCATATACTGAATTGACTTTTGTAAATGATGCACCTGAACAGTTAGAGTCTTTGGAAACCGCGAAGAACAGAAAAGATGATGAAGCTGGAAGTGATGGTGGAGGTAGGGAAGGAAGAAATGAATCTCTGAGTGATCAAGATGCTGGTTCTTCTGATGATGTACCTTTCATCCGGAGTTGTCAGTTTCCAGATTCAATAATGGATTCTGGAGTTTTCAGCTGCAGCACCACAGAGACTTATTTGAAGGATTCAACCGAAATTGAAGGCAGTTTTCCTATTGCGGTATCCCCTTCATTAGCTATCCCAGAAATGTTAAGTAATAATGGCGGTGGTCTATGTTCATATCATCTTGACGACATCGCAGACACAGAGACGATAGATCCAGATTTGAAGTTAGTACATGAGGATGAGGTTCATACTAATATTTCCGAGAAGAATGAAAAAATGCTAAAGAGCCATGTTTTGGACTCATCATGTGAAAGTGCTGTGGCTGCCCTGAGTATGAACGGTGATATGGCTGCTGATCTGAGAGCTGAAGATTTGAGTCAGATATCACCCATAGATGAAAATACATTAGGTATGGAAGCCAACTCCCCGATTACTGACTCTTCTTTATGGAGTATTCCATTGAAATTGGGTAACGGGGGCATCGGAGTTCATAATCATGACAGCACAGTTGAGCCACCCACAATAGTAGATGGCAATGGCAGAATAGGTGGTGAAGTTGCTTCTGCATCCGGATCTTGTTTTTCAGAGACAGGCGTGTCTTCATCCCAAAGGAGGGCCCGAGATGGTCAACAGTGTAATATGGCGCAAACCAAAAGAAGTGTTCCTCATCGGAGAAACTCCTCTAGAAAGAAACAATCAGAAGGAGAACTTGAATCTGTTTTCAACTGCTCAAGGCAGAAGAGGAGCCTTGTTTCAAAACCAGGCCGTTCATCTCACTGGGGATTACCAAGTAGGACCGCTGAAATCTTCTTACAGAGCAATAATATTACCTATGATGGACCTCCGCATCACGAACCTCAGAAATCACAGAGCAATCCTAAAAATGGAGAGCATAATAGTTCTCATAACGGAAATGAAGAAGGGTCTAGCAGAAACATCCAAGCATCAAGTGGCCCTTGCCTTCGTTTGAAGGTTAAATTTGGTAAATCAGGCGGCCAAAGTCCTGTGAACATTACAGTCTCTAAGTTAAGTGGTAACTCTTTACCTGCTAATGGTATCGTTAAGGCGGGAGCAGGTTTAGAATTATCAGGGCCGGCAAATTTTGTCAAGGATAAGCTGCAAACTGAGGAAACTAGTGAACATTTAGAAGAGAAAAGCAACCAAGACGCTGGGGGGTTATGTAGGAAGCTGGGTGGTGATGTTTTAGATCAGGACCCACGCCTTTCCTCTAGTATAATGGTTGAAGGGTGCGAGAGGGCAACTGTAACCCTGTCTCTGGACGCGGAAACGTCACCAGATTCAGAAGTTATTAACTCTGTGCCTGATTCAATTGCCAATATTGGACTTAAAGGGGAATTGCATCATGGTTATGCCAGCACTCCAGAAGATGTGGTCAACAAGAACAGAGGATTAGAAAAAGAAGATGAATTGGTTGCTTTAAGATCTCCTTTAGAAAATGGTCCACATTTAACTCCCAGCGCAAAAAAGGGTAAACACCCCAAGTCAAAAGGTAGTGGGACAAAAAAAGGGAAATCCAAGGTTTCCAAATCTTCCAAAGACAGGCGAAAAAATGAATCTCGTGATGGGTTAGAGCAACGCAAATCCACAAATGGGAGTATTGGAAGGGATGATAGTGGCTGTCAAGAAGTAGGGAGAATAGAGTCTCACGAAACAACAGGTATGGCTCTTTTGATTGGCTTCTAAGCATTGTTGTCTGTTGTCTACATCCTTCTTGGTTTCCAAAAATTTGAGGACACCAATTTATGCGTACTAGAATAGTATCCCAATGTTTTCCATTTCTTTATGAAGCTTCTACTCTTTTAAATACCCAAATTATTAAATTGGCATCCATGCGAAATCATGCTATAGGTGCTCTTCTAGACGCTGATATTGGAAAAGCCAGTGCCATTAATGGCACCATATCGTCACATTTGATCCATGGGGAAACGGTCATGGACGTTACTATTGAGGATAGCTCTTCCGCTGAGAGCGCTTGGGTTCGGTGTGATGATTGCTATAAATGGCGACGAATACCTGCTTCTGTTGTAGAATCAATTGACGAGAGCTCGAGATGGTACGTATCATCCCAAAGCACATAATAACTTGTTTCGATGAAATTTTCAGATGAATTGTGTTCTCTACATGTTCCCTTCTCTTAATTTTCTTTAACTCTGTCATGTAGTCAACTTGGGATGAATGTGGTTAGTTTTAACTGGATCCATTATGTTCATGGTGTTCCATGAGATTTCTTGTTTAGCCTTAACTTTAGTGAATCCTCATCCCGTTATTTAATGGACATATACTGCTGCCTAGTAGTGCCACGCACTGTTTTGGCTAATTTTGCCAGTTGTGTCCTCTCACGGTTATAGTTTTTATTCTTGTAGATTATTCTTGTTGTTACGTGTTGAGTGGATGTTTTTATGAACAAGGTCCAGTTTGTTGCATATGATAGCTAATCCTGTTGCAGTTTACAAATTTGTGTTAACTTTTGTGCTTGTCGGATGCCTCAAATTTAAAGTTCCAATTTTGTTGTTGTGCTCTATATGTTTCTTACGGACTGTGCTTGACACTTTTGCATACTCATCTGCTATACTTGAGATCTAGTGTCAAATGTTTATAATCAGCATGCAGTCTTTTTCTCTTTTTGATGCTCATCTATTGTTATCTTCTGTAGTCTTTCTCTATATCTAATATTTGCTTTCTATTGTTTAAAGGATTTGTAAGAACAACTCAGATAAAGAGTTTGCTCATTGCACAATATCTCAAGAGATGTCAAACGAAGATATTAACGAAGAGTTGGGCATAGGACAGGAGGAAGCCGATGCATATGACTGTGAGGCGGCTAAAAGGGGTAAAGAGAAGGAACAGAAGAAAAAACGTTTGTCAGGTGCTTACACTTCAATATTGGTGTTTAATACCAAATTATCATATCATTTGTCCATGTACTGAATTATTGTTTGTGTTTTTCTTGGCCACGATTTTGCAGGTAAACAAAAGGCGTGCTTCAAGGCTATAAAAACAAACCAGTTTCTTCATCGCAACCGTAAATCTCAAACAATTGACGAGGTTAATTTTCTTGTATTTTGATTGTTTGTTATGTTAGTAATGCTGTAGTATAAAATGTGCTTGTGCTCTCAATATTTGCCCTTTTCTAAAGCTACGACTTAGTTACCATGTTTCCTCCTATTTTGGACAGATAATGGTTTGTCACTGCAAACCCCCACCTGATGGTAGGCTGGGTTGTGGAGAAGAATGTCTCAATAGAATGCTTAACATTGAATGTCTTCATAGTACTTGCCCGGCTGGCGATTTATGCTCAAATCAGCAGGTATGATGTCTTGTTTGCAAGCAAAAGTGTTATATTCACCGTCAGTTATATCTTTCTCACATATTTGGCTCATATATCTGCAGTTTCAAAAACGGAAGTATGTTAAGTTTGAGAGATTCCAATCTGGTAAGAAGGGTTATGGCCTGAGATTGCTCGAGGATGTACGAGAGGGACAATTCCTTATTGAATATGTTGGAGAGGTATGCTTCTGATAATCTTTCAACTTTTGGAGGATGTTATCAGTAGTATGGGCTTTTTGCAGCCTCTATGGAACCATATGAATCATCTCCTTTCATAACAGGTGCTTGATATGCAATCCTATGAGGCTCGTCAGAAGGATTATGCTTCCGTGGGTCAGAAACATTTCTATTTCATGACACTGAATGGCAATGAGGTAAACAGCTTTCTTTCTAATGAGTCAGCTGCTTCTTTTTCTTCATCTTTGTTTGAACTGGTTTGAGATTTTGCTGTTTAAAGTTGTGTGGAGTTCTTGAATAAAAATGTGTGATCAGTAGTAAATACGACGTATCATTCCCTGTTTCGTTTTTGATTTTCTATTAGCATATTTTTAGAAGTGATGTTCCATCTGTGTAAACCTATTATGCTTAAGCAATTTGCTTGCAGCTCTGGTTAGTTACTTTTTATATATCTTATTTTATACACTTGCGCCAAAAAAGGTTTTCCTTTGCAAGACTAAGATGACGAGATTATCCTCTCCTTTCCTCTTGACACTTTTATGTATCTTTATTAGTATCATCATCTTTCGTAAGATCTAAAGGTAACAGATTGAAATGCCTCTGCTATTTTTTGCAAAAGCTTTAAAGGGTTTTGCACATTTATTTAACTGGCCTATGCACAGAGAGGTTACTTCTGTTAGTTGTGCTTGTAATAATTGCTGTCCTTAACATATTATCTGCACTGGCTTGCAAGTCCTTTTCATATTCCGCTTTGTATGTTTTCTTTTTGGAAGCTATGCCTCTATGTTGCTCCTTGCAATAGCTCTCTAAGATTTTTTTGTTAATGCAGGTAATAGATGCTGGTGCAAAGGGAAATTTAGGGCGTTTCATTAACCATAGCTGTGAACCAAACTGCCGTACTGAAAAGGTGATTATTAAGCGTTCTTTATGGTTTCATACTTCATGGCCTGGTTATAAATTTTGTGATGAAAATCTGGGTTGGAAACTTTATTCTTGAGCTCGTCTGCTTCTTTGTTTTTTTTATAAAGGTATTCTACTTCATATGTATATGTTTTTCATTTGCTACTTCTTAAATGTTGTTGCAGTGGATGGTGAATGGTGAAATTTGTGTTGGAATATTCTCCATGCAAGACCTTAAGAAGGTAAGCTCTCCCGTCTCCCGCACTTACGGTTGTGAAGGTCTTTATGTGAAATTGAATTTCAGTAGAAATGTCTTTCTCTTTCTTGCTCTGTACAGACGTAAACCTCAAAATCCACCATCCGTATATAACGATGAATATCTTGTTGTGTCTATTAAATGTTTGTTAATGTAGCTGACTTTGGACCTAAAAACAATCTAGGTCTGATAATAATAATAATAATTTTTGATTTTCTCTCAAGTAGTTTTTTAATCTGTCTCCGTTACCAGGGTCAAGAGTTGACATTTGACTACAACTATGTGAGAGTTTTTGGTGCTGCTGCCAAAAAGTGCTATTGTGGGTCATCACATTGCCGAGGTTATATTGGTGGAGATCCTCTGAATGGTGATGTAATTATTCAAAGTGATTCAGATGAAGAGTATCCTGAACTTGTGATTGTTGATGAGGATGAAAGTGGAGAAGGAATCTTAGATGCAGCGTCTAGGATCTTCATTGATGGTGCTGATGTGCAAATGTCGCAGAACTTTACTTCTGATAATTCCCAATCACAGAGCTCAGTATCTGTAAAACTTCCGGAGAAGGACGTTCGTCCATCTCTTCAACCAACTGAAGTATCGAAGGAACTTTCGACGGACATGCCTGTTAGTGCTGTCCAGCAAGAGGTTTCTGTTGAAAAGAAGACTAAAAGCACATCTCCTACGTCAGGTTCTCTCAGCAGACTGGCCTCGGATGGTGCAGATGCTGATAAAACGGCAAAACATGGATTGGGTGAAGATAAGAAGATACTTCCACGGCCCCGTCCTCGTACGAAAACTTCTCGTTCATCTGGGTCTAGTAAGCGAGACAAAGGAGGTATTCTTCCTGGTGTTAGCAAAGCACAGATTATACCAGTCAAGAAGTCGCAACAGCAGCCCATCAAATCTAAAGGTGCAGAGGAAGTTTCTCCCAGCGGGCGAATTGAAACATGTACGGTACTAGTTTTAGGCGTGAATTGTTAAGATACCATCATTCAGTTATACTCGCTAATGACACCACTAATTTGCAGTTGAAGGGAAGCTGAACGAGTTACTAGATGCTGTGGGCGGGATAAGCAAGCGAAGGGTACGTTGCATAGCTTTACTCCTCAAGTCTGTAGACTTTCCCGCTTCAATTAGTTATGCTATAGGGTTAAAACAGCGCATCTTTTGCTTCTGGGATCATCATGCACTTTTAGCTGATTCTTTTCCACTTGAACCTACATTAGCAACAGTTCAATGCATATCTAAGTTGGTTTTCCTTTTCTTAATCACGCAGGATTCAGCAAAAGGCTACTTGAAACTACTGCTTCTCACTGCCGCTTCCCGAGGCAATGCCAATAATGAAGGAATTCAAAGGTCTTCAAGACTTTCTGCTTATCTTAGTTCCCTTGGAGGATTTGTTATACTCTGCATGTGGTGCCTGAATTCCTGTTTTTTGTTTTTGTGAAACTTTTGCAGCAATCGAGATCTTTCAATGATTCTTGATGCCCTATTGAAGACAAAGTCACGAACTGTTTTAGTGGACGTAATCAACAAGAATGGTACGTCTATCTTCTTTTAGTTTGGTACATGCCTCTGTTTTTCTTCTTCTTTGTCTTATGAATCTTTGTATAACTTGTAAAGATTAATTAACCTCCAAACACATCCAGGTCTGCAAATGTTACATAATATCATGAAACAATACCGTAGGGATTTCAAAAAGACCCCAATACTCCGAAAACTTTTGAAGGTACATTCCTTGTAACCCCCTGCTTCTGTTTATATAATTCCAACCTAAAGTCAGCTGTGAAAGAATCATTATTCATGGTCTGAAACCTCAGAGCAAAGTGAATACCAGAAAGTTTTGAGATTTTCTAGCTAATGCTTTCCTTGAATTTTAGCTAATGCTTACCAGTCAGTATTTGTTTAACTGGTTTTGCCTCAGGTGTTAGAGTATCTGGCTACAAGGGAAATTCTTGCACTGGAGCATATAGTCAGAAGACCTCCTTGTGCAGGGATGGAAAGGTTCGTAATTTTTAATCCTGTCTACACCGCCTTTGGTACTTTTTCTTTGACCAAATAGTTTTACTGGTTCTTATTCTGGAATGAGTGAACATTACCGAGAAGTGTTATCTGTTAGCATTTGCTTTGCTGTAACACCTCTTAGGACACCATATGACATCATGTTTACCTGTGTGCAGCTTTAAGGACTCTATTCTAACACTCACCGAGCATGATGACAAACAGGTACCTGGCGTCCCATTTACCCTTATGAAATTCTATTGAATCTTGTAATCCGCATAGTTGAACCTTGATCAGATGTAGTAACTGGGCTTATAGCTTCTAATTTGCTATTAAATTCATGCGTATGCTTGCAGGTTCATCAAATCGCACGGAACTTTCGAGACAGATGGATCCCTAAGCATTTTAGAAAACCTTGGCGCATGGACAGGGAGGACAGATCGGAGTCTATGCGATCCCCTATCAACAGCAGATTCAGAGCATCACAAGAACCTAGATATGATCATCATTCCCCAAGACCCGCAGAACCGTTTACGCCTGTCATATCATCAGCGGCTGCAACTCCTGAAACAGCTTCTGCATCAGATGGAAGTTCAGAACCTTATTCCAGTCTTCCCGAGACAAATGGACGCAAGCGTAAAAGCAGATGGGACCAGCCGTCTAAGACAAAAGAGCAAAGAAGCATGACTCTCTCGTCTGATGGAGATCAAGACGACCTTCCACCCGGGTTTTCATCACCCTGCAAGGAGGCGTCTGATTCAGCAACCGCACAGCCGCAACAGAAGTTCCTTTCTCGGTTACCAGTCTCCTATGGGATCCCGCTTAGCATCGTTGATCAATTTGGCTCTCTCGGCACAGAGGACCCGACTAGCTGGTCCGTTGCTCCCGGGATTCCGTTCTATCCATTTCCACCTCTACCGCCTGTCTCTCATGGTGAGTTTTTAGCTAAGAGAAACGGACCAGGAACAGTCTGTTCCTCCTCCAGTGAGATCTTACCGGCTACAACTGTACCCAGCCAGTCCTCTTGGAACATCCCAAGTGTTGCCGGGGCTGACTCAACCCCTCCAAGCCGGAAGAGAGAGTTTTCAGGTGATATAGGAACAAGTTACTTTCGGCAACAGAAACAGAACGTTCCTCCATGGATGCGGAACAACAACGGGTGGGATAAAACAGCAAACAGCCCTATACCTGAGAATCTAACTATAGAGAAGAAGCTCAACAGTTAAAGCATTCTTAACTTTAGAGAAGTATAGTCCATGAGAGTTGAAAATGGAGACGATGCAAGCTCTTGAGGAAGAATTACAGTGATTGATTTGGTTACATTACATCTGGCTTCATAGGAAAAGTCCCTTTAGGGAAAATCTTGTGCTTTTTCTTTCCGTTTTAGTATATTCTAAATTCTTTTGTTTATGATCAAAAGCAAAAGCAACATTTTCTCAGTGTAAGAGCAATCACATTCTTTATTATCTCTGCAAAGAAGTTTTATAAGTATACCTTCAAATAAATATTGCTCTCTGTTTTCTTTTCTCTTGGTGATTCAAAAGTACAAACTTTTTTTCAACTTTACAACAAGCAATGTTCTGTAAAAGTGAACATAAAAAGTGGGGAATGGAAAAAAAAAAAACCAAACTTTGAACATTTCAATATTTTCTAAGCAAACATCTGACTCTAACAAACATCCAAGTTTTTACAAGTGTTGCATATCTTCTCCATCCATTGAAGTACCTTCCAATCACCTTCTTGTAGCTTGGTCTCTGTTTCACAACAGTCCAATACTCAGCAAGATTCTTCCTGCTACTTACATACTCCTCTTCTAAATCCAACAGCGATAACCGAGCAAGCACCGGGACAAGCATCACATCAGCCATACTAAACTCATTCCCTGCCACATATGTAGTCCCCTCTAGCTTCGTTTCAACCTCATCTAGAAGCCTTATCAAATGTTCTTTGCTTCTCCTTAAGGCCTCGGGATCTTTCAGTTTGTCTTCGGTGTCGTAAGCTTCCCTTAGCTTCCTATGGTAAGCACTAGCCAAGTCAGGAGACTCAGCCATCCTTGCAATCACAACCATCCTCAAGAACTTGGAAACATAGAGACGGCGATTGTCAGGTATGTGAGCAAGAGTGAAAAGCTTGGAGTCCCATTCCCTTATCTTCCGCATCCATTCAAGAACTTCTCTGCCAAAAGTAGCATCTTCTACACCAGAAGACACCTCAGCTATTCTCTCTAAGTACCTGCAAAAAAAGCTTTAATTACTTGTTCTTATCCAATGGAGACTATTGTTATTGACAATGGTAGGTATTTGGTAACATACTCTATGATCTCGATAGTGTCCAAAATGATGTGAGAGCCGTTCTTGAAAACGGGAAGTTTGGCGTTGGGATTCATTCTAAAGAAGGAAGAGTCCATGTGCTTGCCTGTGATGGGATTCACATGGTATGATGTGTAATCAATGCCTTTCTCTTCCAAAGCTAATCTTACTCTTTGGCTGTCTAATGAGTAAGGATGGTGATATAACTGCATTGCTTTGCTTCACTCCAATTCCCTCCAAATATAAAAAAAACTGCAACTTTTAAGATTAGAAGCAGTGAGGTTAAACATTTCAGCACCAAATCATCAAAATGAACACATTAAAGCACCAAATTAATATTAACAGGAGAAACTGATGAGACCTGAAACTGAAACTGAAACAAAGAGGGATTCATATTTGGGACGATTTAAAGCAAGAAGTGAAAGAATCGGATCAAAAAGATGAGGTTGAAACCATAAAGAACAGCTTCAAGCAGAGATTATAGCAACCAAAGACAATATACGACAAGAACATGTTACTTTTATAAACTGCAGAAATTAAAAAAAGACTTACACAAAGAAAAGAGAACTCTCCTCCGAGCAAGAAATGAATCAAACTAAAATCTTCGTAGTTTCTCGAATTGATGTCTGAAGCTTTAAAGTTTGGTCCTTTGCAATTTTCTTCTTCTTTTTAGGAAAGAAGAGAGACAAATCACTATTACAGCTAAGATTTCTTCGTCTGATTGAAATTTCGGAAAGTGCGAGTATCTAATTCTCCACTGCTTACGTTTTAATGTTTACGTACGCGTAGATGTGTACTCGCTCTCTGATGTCGCCACGTGGTATGTATCTTGGGGTCAACTCTCTGTCAGAGTCAAAGCGCTTTTTAATGTGGTCTGATTATGATGATCAAATCTCTCAAGGGTATATCTGTCTTCTTCTTTGTTTTCTGCCAACTTCTTGTTTCACCTAAATTATTGCTTCTATTATTGCATTGCATCCTTTATTTTCATCTATATATATTTTCTCCATTATTTGGATAGATGAAAATTATTGTTAAAAGAATAACTAATTGTGGAAGCATCTTATTTTAGTTGCTGGTTAACATGCTTAATATGTCTATACTAATTATGATTTGGTAGTTGGTTACATACATGCTTAATCTGTTGTTATTGCAGAAATAAACTGTTCATATGGATTTGGGGTCTGGGCCTAGAACTTGTAATTAACATAGACATAGATCAATTAAAATAGTCCAAATGATGTTTTTTTTTATATGAATGTTAAGATTTATACCATTTTTAGAGTTTCACATTTGTCAAGCAACTTATTGAGCAAATACATAAACATAGAAACATAGACAACTTACGAATGTTGTCCCAAATGATGTTGCAATTTGGCGAAAACCCACTCTTCTCTTTGGGCCTAAAATTGATTGTCGAAAATGAAACATTAGTATTCAAGTGTGAAACAGCTTCAGTCGTATTTTATAAGCCCACTTTTGTACTTCTGAAACGAATGATTTAATTTAATAAGAAATCGACTATATCAATTATCTTTTTTTTTTTTTGAACGACTATATCAATTATCAAGTACGTAAAAAGATATACACTAGTTGACAAAAAAAAAAAGTACATAAAAGATATAGTATAATATAGTATTTAATTCACGTGCATGGACCAAGAAAAACACCAACCTCTAAAAATAGAGGAGACAATAAATATAAGCATCAAAATGATGACACGTAACTAGCCAAATATGTAAACAAAGGTCCCATTCATCACAATCTATTGAATTTAAGAGCTTTTATGTTGTAACCAAATTTTTTGTCTTCTATTTTCTTCACATTTTTGGCCCGGTAAATAATTTTAATGTAGGTAGGTAGAAGCATCTTAGTTCATAGTAGGTCCAAAAATAATCATTTACCTTTCCTAAAAGAAAATAGCGTTTTTCAAGACTTTCATCCACAAGTTAGAGAAATATCAACATCATGCATTCCATATTTGTTCACATATCTTTGTCATTTGTCTTACTTATTGTTTCTGTTCAGTGAAATAGTTGAATATATCTACAACGCATCGATGCATGTAAAAAATATAATCATACTCGTGTATACGTTAAAAGCAAAGTCGATATTTTTCTTCTTCTTATTCGTCACTACCATAAACCAAATCAAGCTTTTATTCTATAGATATTTTAGACCATTGTCACGTCGTCTTAACTTTTAATTAATGATCCATTAATAATACACGTGTTTGTATCATTGTAGGGTACTGATTAAAGGAAATAATCAATGAACCATATAAGGTACACAAAAATATCAATTAGTTTCGTAATTCTGCTGACATTTAATTTTATTAGTTTGGCCTAACTCTGACATGTACATGTAATGTAACTCTCTCCATATCTATGGTCATGATTCACGCTTCTTTGCGAAATCATTTATTCGAAACTTTCATATTGTAGAAAAAACATGGAGAGATAATCATTTATACTAGTACAATAGTACTAGCTAATAATCAAATTCCAATACCTTTAGAATAATAAAAGACTAAACATCTAAAGTACATAGGCTCCCAAAAATCATGCGAATTATTAGGACACGGTCTATATATTCGATGTGTTAATCCCGAGTTTACGACACAAGTCGCGATTAGTTAATACAAGAAAATGAAAGAGAATGGTTGGGATTTGGACTAATTAAAATGAAAGCAATGAGATGCGTAAGATCGAGTGGCGTTGTCGTGGCAGAAACAACAAAAGCCACCAACTGAGTAGTCTACGTTTCCTTGTTTTCCGGTTAATGTTTTGACCTCTCAGTTTGTTGCCACTTTCATTTCTCAATCTCATCATCACTTTAATATTCTCTAAAGATCTCCATGGCTCGATTTTGTTGCGTGACAAGGACCAGGCTTGAACACAATTGAGAAAGAACAAAAAACTTGAGTTTCTTAATAGTTGGCTATATTTTTACCAAAAATAATACATTTCCCCAACCGCAAACTCGAATAAAAAATGAAAATACACCCCCTAACAATAATATTTTTAAATGATTCATAGTTTGTTTTGATATATTGCTTGAAAATGCAAGAAAGAGGGAGATGGAGAGAAGGTAGGGTCCATGACTGATGAGGTAGACGCTGACGCATGCCTTTCGAATTTAGTTGACGTGTCGTTTCTGGCTCCTAAAACGGCAGGTATTCCGTTACTACTTTCCCCCCATAATATAACTAACCTTCTTTTATTCCGGCAATGATGACACGGCGTTAAGTGACCGTTACTAATACATTTAAACGCCGTCTAGTCTTATTACGTAGTTAATGTTGTGTACGTTACCTGAGGCACCGGTAAGCATGGGAAGGGAAAAGTGGAAAACGTCTTCGGTTATGATGACGTGGATATAGTAAAGACAGACACGTGTAGGTTAAATTGGTTGTTGTTGCAAGGATCACATGACATGAGCGGTTCTGTTCTTCGGACGGAACATAACTCGGTTGTTGTTGTGTAAGAGCCACAAAACGGGTTATTTCCACACCGACCATTATGAGAGCAGCCATATTTATTTCCCTGTTTAATTTATCCATTCATTTCAATACATTATGTAAATTAATTGATAATGCTCTGTGTATATAAATTGATTTTATTTAAATATAATCAACTAAACGAAATGTGATCACGGACGATTAACAGAGTTTATGGTATGTTCATAATGACAAAAGTCAGAGTCCAAAATTAAAGTCCGACATTCAACTTAAAAAAATTCAATTCAGGGGAATATAATTCAGTTATAGTAAACGAATTTTTAGTTTCTTAATGTGGTAAAGAAATTTGTTCTGAATATTCGTAGTTTCCTTTTTAAAAATATTTTTTCTGGTACACTTTCTGAAATCTATCACATCTTCGTGAATCGTGATCATTTCAGAACAGATAAAATCTTTAAACACTTTAAACTGATAATCTACAAACAAAATTTTATTCTCGCCATCTTTATCTTCAATTTGTTTTTCTTCCCCAATACTAATTCTTTAGATTTCTTGCATGATTTTCTGTAGCAGACTCTAAACTCTAAAAGTTGTTCGGCTTTTCAGATGAAAATAGAGTCAGATTATGATTAAACAATGATATAAATGTATATCATTATACACATACGACTGTCATTGTGATTGAATGCAGCACAGTAAGACTATGTCAAAATTGGAAAACGACAGAGAGAAATGATTTTTTTTTCTTAAAGTGAGTAAAAAAAAAAAAAAACCTGTGAAGTAGCAATAGTAGGGTTATAATAAAATCATTATTCTAAAATGATGGCTGCTCTTCAATTTTCTTCTCTTTCTTTCTGACGAGAGCATCAAAAGCAAAACCAAACCTGCGGTTAAAACTTAAGCCTCTGCAACTACAGAGAGAAAGAGAGATAGAGAGAGAAAGAGAGAGGATCTTGTCTTTTTATTGGGTATATAAATCCTTAACGATGTTCTTTTGTCTTTCTGAAGCACACGTCACGAAAAAGGCAACACTTTGAAATTCAGACAATCTCTGTAAGAAGAAATCGAGATAGAGAGAGAGAGAGATGATAGAAACCGGCGGAGAGAAACAGAGCTCCGTCGAGGAAAGTGGATGTGGGCGTACGATTCTTGTCGGCGTGAAGCTAGACGCACCGAGCAGAGAGTTACTCACTTGGGCTTTGGTTAAAGTCGCTGAGCCTGGCGATACAGTCATCGCTCTTCACATCCTTGGAAATGGTACATTCATGGAGTTTTCCAAGTTTCTCTTCCAAAAAAGCTCTGATTTTTATTGTTAAATACCAATTTTGGGTTTTTGTGTAGAGATTGCGGATCGAGCAGGAAACTCTTCGCTTCTCTCCTTGGTGAAAACTTTCGACTCTGTTCTTGACGTCTATGAAGGTTTCTGCAATTTAAAACAGGTAAACCAAAGTGTGAAACTTTTTCAATTTTTGATCAGAGAAATGTTGAAAGTGTGAAACTTTTTCTGTTTATACTCAAATCAGAAATCAAAGTGTGAAACTTTTTCAGTTTTTGATCAGAGAAATGTTGAAAGTTTCTTACTTTTATTTACAGGTGGATCTGAAGCTAAAGCTATGCCGTGGCGCTTCGGCTCGAAAGCTCATAGCTCGAGAAGCGAAATCGTTCTCTGTATCGAAAGTCTTAGTTGGGATTTCAAAAAGCCACCACACGATTCGTTCGTCAGCTTCCGTTGCAAAGTACTTAGCCAAGAAACTACCGAAAGATTGTTGGGTTCTTGCTGTAAACAATGGTAAAATCATGTTTCAGAAAGAAGGCTCTCCATCATCAAACATTAAGCATTCTCAAGGTTTGACCTTTTTGACTTTCTTTCAAAAAGTTTCAGCCTTTTCTTGTTTTGTATCAGAATGGATTAAAAATTGAGTTTTTGGTGTTTTTTTGTTGTTCTTATAGTTAAGGAAGATGTTAGGAGGAACACTTTGTTGAGTGTGCTTCAAAGATCTGTTACATTGAGTAACAAGACTACTAAAGTAGTTAACCATTCAGAGGAGGTTTTGAAGGAAGAAGATGAAGATCAGTCTTGTGGACAGAGTCTACAGCAAGCCTTAGCAGCTACTCGTTTAGAGAATTGCTCGGTTTGTGGCTCGGATTCTTTAGCTCCATATGATAAAGCCACTCTTGGAAAGTTATCTGATGATGATGATGATGATGAGTGTCACAAAGAAAAGGAGGTTGTAGAAGAAGATTCAGGTAGTTCTATAACTATGTTGGTTAGGAGATTGCCTGAGTCTAGACCAGGTTGGCCTTTGCTTCGCCGTGCTGTTTCTTCGTTAGGACAGTCCGTTACCACTTCCTCGAAATCGAAACAGATACCGGTTGTTCAATGGGCCTTGAAGCTTCCTCCAAGGAATAGTGAATCTTCTGAAGATGATTTGTCAAGCTCAAATGCAATTGTTCCCATCACTGATGAAAACAGTCCAAGAAAGCTCCCTGAGGAATTAGAAGGACTTTACGAGAGATTCTCATCAACTTGCCAGTTTTTCAAGTACAAGGAACTTGTTTCAGTGACATCAGATTTCTCCAATGGTTTGTTCTTGTACATGTTTTTAGTTTCTTGAATTTTTTGCAAGAATCTTGTTATGTAATTAAAGAAACTCTTTAATGTGAAATTTTTTTCAGATAATTTCATTGGGAGAGGAGGGAGCAGCCGGGTTTTTAGAGGTTGTTTGTCCAATGGAAGAGAGGTTGCTGTGAAAATCCTAAAGCAAACCGAAGATGTGTTGAATGATTTCGTGGCTGAGATTGAGATCATCACAACATTGCACCATAAGAACATTATCTCCCTCTTAGGCTTTTGCTTTGAAGACAACAACCTCTTGCTTGTATACAATTATCTCTCAAGAGGAAGCCTTGAAGAGAACCTTCACGGTAAGGTTCTTAAGCAACTTAAGAGTTTTCTCTTATGATCATGACCATGGATTCTAACAAGTTCTTGGTTTTTCAAAACCAGGAAACAAGAAAGATCCGGTCGCGTTTCGTTGGAGCGAGAGATATAAAGTAGCTGTGGGAGTGGCTGAGGCATTAGACTATCTGCATAACAGTGCTTCGCAACCAGTCATCCACAGAGATGTTAAGTCATCAAACATACTATTATCTGATAAATTTGAGCCACAGGTACTATAAAGACAAATCTCTTTGTTTCTTTCCTTATATCAAACAAGAATGAGAATGTTAAAGATATTAATTAGTAAACCTTGTGTCCTCCCAGCTTTCTGATTTTGGGCTTGCGAGGTGGGCATCTATATCTACAACTCACATAATCTGCTCTGATGTCGCTGGAACCTTTGGGTATGGTTGAAGAATCTGGTTTTCTCTTTGGTTGATGTTTTATGAAAGTTCTTGAGCTAATCTTGTGTTCTTGATTGCAGCTACATGGCTCCAGAGTACTTCATGTACGGTAAAGTGAATGATAAGATAGATGTGTATGCGTTCGGTGTTGTTCTTCTTGAGCTTCTTTCCGGAAGAAAACCGATTAGCAGCGGATGTCCAAAGGGACAAGAGAGTCTAGTCTTGTGGGTATGTGTTGCTGCTGCTTACTTTATTATACACCAATCTTTTTCTCTGCTCTTGTTGAAACAAGTATGTGTGTTTATGATCATTGTACAGGCCAAACCATTTCTTGATGATGGAAAGTATTCTCAGTTGTTAGACTCGAGTTTGCGGGATAACAACGACAATGACGATGACCAAATGCAGAGGATGGCGTTAGCTGCTACACTTTGTATCCGACGTAGCCCTCAAGCTAGACCGAAAATGAGCATTGTAAGTCAATATTAACAAGTAGCTTTATTGTTCACATCATGTGCTCTATGCAACTGTTTTTTTAAGGAATGTGGAATGATTCAGGTCTTGAAGCTACTCAAAGGAGATGAAGAGACGCTCAAGTGGGCAGTGCAACAAGTTAGTAGCTGTTCATCAGATGAATCAGAGATGCTAAAGGACGAGCAATGTCAAAGATCAAACTTGCAGTCACACCTTAACGTAGCGCTTACTGATGTTGAAGACGACTCTATCTCCATGGGAAGCATTGAGCAAGGCGTCTCTGTTGAGGATTATCTTAAAGGCAGGACAAGCCGTTCTTCGAGCTTCGACTAAACTTCCATTTTCTTACTGAATCTATTTGTGTGTTTTGGTGTATATATGTTGGATGGGTGTTGGATTTGTGGGGGCTCTTTTTAGCCCTCCTTCCTCACCGATTTTAGAGTTGTCATTGTAGATTTCATTTTCATTTTCAAGTCTTTTTGAGGAAACTTCTTATAGTTAAGTTGTGGTAATAAAACGAAAGAGGAAATTCTTGTAATTTGTCTACCTTAAAAGCAGAAAATACAAAGTGATAATTGTAGAGTCTTGATTTTCACTTATGATGTACTTCAAAGAGCCATTGTGGTGCCTTCTGATAGATAAATCACATTACACAAATCCTGACATGAAGTCACAAATTACTACTAGTATATGAACCTAAGAGAAGTCTTGTAGAATCTCTCGTTTTGCTTCATTTCGAATCCAAAGAGATAATGTTTTCAGTTAAGATGTTACTTCAAGAGCTATGTGGTGCGGAGCTGCTTGATGCATACAAGATCTTGCATTCTCTCATCAAACGTTGTTCATACTTCCATGGTTTGAATGCACCTTCAAGAGTTATGTTCTGCCACAAAAACCAAAACCATAAAAAGAACATTTTAAGAGCTCCATGGTGCAAACAACAAGAGGGCTTTCATGACACAAGTGCACACACACACAGAGAACTGTACCTCTAAGTAAAAGAGAAATCCGCGCAATAAGTTCAGAGCTCTAGGAGGATCTTTCCGATAACGACTTAACTGCTTTTTGAAATCTGCAGAACCAAACCAAAGTAAACTCATTATGTGCTCAATCGTCACTGAAGATGATGTCAACCCTACCAAGAAACTATCATGAACTTGAATACATCATTCCTAGCAAGTCTCAGATTATCATGATATAAGCAGATGCCAACAAGTGTGAATATCCAATTAAAGATGTATGATTTGCATAAATGTAACAACAAGAACATTATACCTGGATAGTCTTGGAGATATGAATGTGTCAACTGGTTATGAACATTATACTCAATCTCGGTTCCGTTACGCAATTGCCTATACCGAGTTAAAGGTCTCTTGTGTGATGCCTGATGGTAGAGTTTCACAAACTCCTTTTTATCATAAGGCTCTCTGAGGACTTCCATTAGCCTCTTGCTAAACGAAGAGTTGAATATATTGTCTGGTTCAATACCATCTTCAAGATCCTTGTGAAACAATTCAAACAAAACGAGAAAAAATGTCAACAAAATAAAAGTTAGAAAGAATCAGAAAGTGAGAGAGAGAGAGAGAAGGGTTACACATACTATCACTTTGCCGTCTCTGTTTGCCTCGAATGGTGACTTGCCTCCATCGAAAAACGGATGATCACTGACTGCGATAATATCAGGATCGTACAAACACACCGAATTTTCTACAGGTTTCACTTTCCGCTCCGGTTCAGGGACCACAGTAATTGAATTCCTCACAAATGCTAAGAAATAAGCATATCCTTTATCTACTGCCGATAGAGTCTCTTCACTCTCCTCCTTGCACGGCTTGAAACTGTGACTTACGTTGTCTTTTGTAGTCTTTGCTTTGACATTGCTTTTGGACACAGTGATCTTCATTTTGGTCTCTTCTTTCTTGTGAGTAGTCCTATTTTCAGTCCTCAATCTCTTTGAAGCTCTTAAAACCGTCTCAGACTTTGCATTTCTCCTTGCAGCGCTCTGCTCATTCTCCTTCTTGATCTTAGTCATTCGACGAGCATCTTCTTTCTTGTCTTTGACACTACTTTGAGGCTCTAATTTGACTTTTTTCTTGGTCAGATCAATCTTCCTTTCTCCTTTCTTCTGTTTGGTATCTTTGACACTGCTTCTAGGCTCTACCTTGATAGTCTTCTTGCTCAGATCAACCTTCCTCGTCGCTCGAGAATCTTCTCTCTTGCGTTTGCTCTCTAGTTTGATTGTCTTCTTGGTCTGACCAGTCTTCCTTCTACGATCAGCTTTACCATTATCAATCTTCAACCTCTTTGAACATCTTGAAGCCAGAGCAGACTCAGATCTTCTCTTCTCAGATTTCACTGCTCTGCCTTTCTTCATCTCAGTGTACATGAGACGCATTGGAGAAGCGTCCCTCTTATGAGGCAAATACAGGTTGATTTCGGTACAGCTCGCCAAGTACTTCTTGTACTCCACATCATATTCCAAACCGGAGTTGTTGCAATCATCATCAGCACAAACAATCTCCATACCGGTTTGGCCTTTTTCAGCACAAACAATCTCAGTTGATGCATTGACTTGACCACCACAGAGAGCCAGCACTCGACCACCAGCTTCTTCATCTCTGTCACTGTCTGACTCAATCTCTATAATCTCCTTCTTCACTGTTGCCGTAAAGACCTTAGAGCTCTTCGGTTTCCTCATCCTGAAACCAACCATTGACATAAAAACAAAAACTTGAACTTGAGGCGAATTTGACTATGTAAATTGATTTTTCGAGACATTTCACTTCCATTTCCGTAACCTAAATGCAACATTGACCCCCAAAAAATCAAGAGCATGAAAACGTGAAAAGAGTAGAAATTTCATAACGAACCTTCAATTAGATTATCGTCCTCCACTGTCTGAAGCAATAGTTGTCGATATTCTTCTAACTGAGACAGCTGAAACAAACACAGCGGAAGAAAAATTATTCATGAGAAATTTAAAAACGGCAACTTTATGAACAGATTTGAGCTCTCGGCAAAAAATCATCTCTTTAGACACAAAATCAAGACAATTTTAGCTAATTATAGAACTATTCAAACATGGATGATGCTTGAATCTGAGAGAAACGGTGGAATTAGAGCTTAGCTAACAAAACCCTAGAAGTAAAATCTCAGAGAGAAGGGAGAGGTTAAACGGAGGAAGAGATCGTGATCTATAAAATTAAGCAAAGACCCAATAGAAAAAAAAGCGGCGAGGATAAGCACATTTTCACTCACGAGGTTTGTTTCTCGTCGCCGTTCACACACTTCGCCGGATTTTCTCAGTCGCTGTTAAGTGGTAAACGATAAATGCGTGATTCGAAAATGAGAGCCGTACAGTTCGGACAGCTAAAATACGCGCTCTTTTATTAAAAATAATAATAATTATTAATTTGTTCCAAAGTATTCAAAATGGGCCGAAATGAAATCATAAAATCAGGCCCAAGAAAGTTTTAATGAACAGTATTAACACGCATTGATCTTTAGATTTATGAAAACAAATCATAACTAACAAATTCCCTATTTTAAAATGATAAATGTTTATTTGTTTGTTACAAATTAAAATAGTATTTTCGAGTTAACGTTACGATTAATATACATTTTATTTATATTTAATTGGATTTGGGACGAATATTGGAATGAAGCACGTGGGCATGTGGTTTATATACGTTACTGAAGTCTAAAGATTCTAAAGTCAGCAAGTCCAAAGAATACGGTCTAACTGAAACTTGTAAAAGATCCTCTCAACCATTAAATTAAACGAATCTGATTTTTAACATTAATAACCCAATCAAATACAAATGTAATCAAAAGAATAATACGAAAGAGAAGCGTCTGATTCACTACAAAAATCTTGTTCTGACTTCCAAGTGTTCTTCACCAAAATCTGTAATTTCCATTTGGGGCAATAAAACAATTGTATTAAATAGGATAAAATCATATGTTAACTTGTAGGTTGTATTTAGGTTCATTATTTCTTCTGAATCTGTACACTTTAGGCTGTAATTAGGTTATTTATTACTCCATATATACGTTTAATTATATCTGCTGAATTTTTCTTTCTTTCTTTGTTCTGTTTCATTGTCCTCATGCGAGTCATCGAGTTTCGTACCTTTCTTCACTGGCTCACATCAATTTCCTCACCACTTCATCCACGTGTCTCAACCTCCACCTTTCTCCGTCACTCTCCCGTCGCCGGCGTCTGATCATCATCAATTCCTCGCCGCTTAAACTTCCCACATCTCTCCCACTAACACTGATCTCTGTTTTGCTCGATCTGTCCTGAATTTTTCTTTGTCTCATCGCGATCATCAGATCGCCGGCGTGAAACCGCCGCCATGAAACTCTCCGACGTTGGATTAGACGTACTGAAGACACCGAGATTGGTCAAAGTCATCGCTTTCGCATTCCTCTCAATCTCTGCCATTTTCCTCTTCAACCACTTCTCAGATTCCTTCTCTTACCCATCTCTTCCTTTCCCCATCTCCTCCTCCTCAAACGCCGCCGAAACCATTCTAACCGACATAACAACAACCTCCGCCGCGGTATCACCATCTCCTCCGCCGCGTCCGCGTCTCAAAATCTCTCCTCCACCGCTTCCACCGACAGTGGTTCGTACCGGAATCATCGACGAGAACGGCGCAATGTCCGATTCCTTCGAAATCGGCGGATTCGATCCGGATTCCGTCGATGAGCTCAAATCCACCACCGGAAACTCCGCTGCCGGGGAAAACAAACCGTCCGGAGAAGACGACGATTCGAAAACTCCGATTGAGAAATTCAATCTCTGCGACAAACGGAAAACAGATCACATCCCCTGCTTAGACAACGACGAAGCGATCAAGAGACTGAACAACACCGATCGAGGAGAAAACTACGAGAGACATTGCCCTAAACAGACCCTAAATTGCTTGATTCCTCCTCCAGATGGTTACAAGAAACCAATCCCATGGCCTCAAAGCAGAGACAAGGTCAAATACTGTGATCAAAGCTCCTTACTTTACTTCTGCATTGTAGTGCAAAGTCACAACCTTTATTACTGACTGATTCTTCAATAGCCTTTGCTTCTGCATTGTAGTGCAAAGTCACTAACTTTCTTGACTGATTGCGTTTGCTTCTGTGGCAGGTATGGTTCAACAATGTGCCTCACACACGTTTAGTGGAAGATAAAGGAGGTCAAAACTGGATTAGAGTAGAGAAAGACAAGTTTGTTTTCCCAGGAGGTGGGACTCAATTCATACATGGAGCTGATCAGTACTTAGATCAGATCTCTCAGGTTTGTTTTTGATTCTCTTCCAAAGTTCCAAACTTTTGTGTGTTTTTGGGTCATGTTTGATCTTATACTCTTTTAGACTGGAATTTGCAGATGATTCCTGGGATTACATTTGGAGAACGCACACGTGTAGCCTTGGACATTGGCTGTGGTGTAGCGAGCTTTGGTGCGTTTCTAATGCAACGTAACACGACGACATTGTCCGTAGCGCCGAAAGATGTTCACGAGAATCAGATTCAGTTTGCTTTGGAGCGTGGTGTGCCTGCAATGGTGGCTGTTTTCGCTACAAGGAGGTTGTTGTATCCAAGCCAGGCTTTTGAGATGGTCCATTGTTCCAGATGCAGAATCAACTGGACACGAGATGGTTGATTTTCATTTCATTTTCACTTCTTTTCATCATCATTGTAAAGTGACTAATGAGAGTTTACACAGATGGGATACTTCTTCTGGAAGTGAATAGAATGCTGAGAGCAGGAGGGTACTTTGTTTGGGCTGCACAGCCTGTTTACAAGCATGAAGACAACTTGCAAGAACAATGGAAAGGTCTGTGTATATCAGTTTGACAAAGATAATATTTCTTGCTATGGAGTTTTAAACTAAAGAAGCGAGTGTTGTTTCAGAAATGGTTGACCTTACGAGTCAAATCTGTTGGGAGCTTATCAAGAAAGAGGGATACATCGCTGTGTGGAGGAAGCCTCTTAACAACAGCTGCTACAACAGACGTGGAGCTGGAGCAAAGCCTCCTTTGTGTAGACCTGATGATGATCCTGATGATGTTTGGTACATAAACTTATCTCAGCTTTTCAATTGAATCTTTCTTAAAAATCTGAACTTTATGGTTTCTTTGTTGTTAGGTATGTGGAGATGAAACCGTGTATCACTCGGTTACCTGAGAATGGCTACGGGGCTAATGTCTCCACGTGGCCTGCACGTCTCCATAATCCGCCAGAGAGGCTACAGAGCATTCAAATGGACGCGTATATATCCCGGAAGGAGATCATGAAGGCAGAGTCAAGATTTTGGTTTGAAACAGTAGAGAGCTACGTGCGTGTGTTCCGATGGAAAGAGTTTAAGCTAAGGAATGTTCTTGACATGAAAGCTGGCTTTGGAGGGTAAATAAACACATCAAATCAATCACACGTTTCTCTGTTTCTTTCTTGTCTTATCGAAAAAAGTTTTTCTTTGATCTTGGTGTAGGTTTGCAGCAGCGTTAACCGATCTCGGGCTTGACTGTTGGGTTATGAACGTTGTTCCTGTTAGTGGATTCAACACCTTGCCAGTTATTTATGACCGCGGGCTTGTAGGCGCTATGCACGATTGGTACATAAACCATACTTTAACTCTCTTTGCTTCTTCAAGAAGATCAGATCTAATGATTTTTTCGCTTGCTTTCTCTAGGTGTGAGCCATTTGACACCTACCCAAGAACCTACGACTTAATACATGCTGCATTTCTCTTCTCTGTTGAGAAGAAGAGGTAAAAATGATTTAAAGTTTTAAACTTTGTCATAAACTTTGATTGTGATTGGAGTAATGAGATTTGGTTTCATGTGGTGCGTAGGTGTAATATAACGAACATTATGCTGGAGATGGACCGAATGTTGAGACCAGGAGGACATGTTTACATAAGGGACTCACTGTCTTTGATGGACAAACTTCAACAAGTGGCTAAAGCCATTGGTTGGACATCTGGAGTTCATGATACAGGAGAAGGACCACACGCGAGTGTTAGGATTCTCATCTGCGATAAACGGATGTGAGTGAAGAGAAGAAAGATAAGTCTGCTCAAAGAGAGACAGTAGTAATACTGACTGATGATAATTGTGTATGTTTATTTATTTGTTCTGTTGATTTGATTGTTGTAGAATGAATGAGTGTTTATACACTTAAGAGCCATTTTTAACACTTAACTAAGAAAAAATTGAGAAACAAATATTCAACTTATCAGGATGGACATGAGAAGTGTCTAGCAATAACACTCTCTGCTGTTACCGTTGGATTTGCTTAAAATGAGATCCGACGGTAGAGACTCCTTTGATTGACTTTTTTAAAAAGCCGCAGGGAATAACTAACAAGATAACGCGCGTTCATCGAATGGGCTTTTTAGGCCCATAACGACCTGAAGCTGGGCTTATGAGCGGGCCAATAACAGAATAACGCGCGTGGACCACGAATCTTGCTGTTACTCCGTTCGTGAGTGTTCCGTCGCGGTGTAGTTACTTCCACGTGTCAGTTTTACGTCGTTGATTACCGGTTTTGACCGGTGTCAGATCCGAGTTGAAAACAATTGAACCGGTTCAGGAGGAGAACGGTGAAGTTTAAAAAATGATTCAAAGATAAGAAGAGAAGCCGGGATTTGCAGAGCCACCGGCGAGTCTGACTCACCGATAACGAAAAATTGACCCTTTTCGCCAATTTCTAGGGTTTTCTGTTCGTCGTTTCCAGACGCAGATTTCTTCACTCCGGTACGGTTTCTTACTCCCTTATGTTTCCCTTTGTCGTCTATTGTTCGCTTTTTCGCTAGAGCTTTGAATTTGGCTTTAGCGTCGTTCCGTCTCGTAGTGTTTAGGGAATGCTCCGTTGAAGATTATGTGTCTGGGAAATTCGTTTTCTAGGAAAATCGTTGGTAGAGAACAATTTGCATTGCTTTTTGTCGGCAACGAGGCATAATTTCATTTCTGATATCTTCGATGGTTTATTTTGGATGCTAAATTGAAGGCATTTTAGAAATCTATGGTCAAATGATAAACTTTTCGAAATGATAATTCTTCTATAGCCTGTGTAAAGGATTGTAAAGTTCTTTTGTTTCTGGTTTCTCTACAGTAGGAAGGAAGGATGAAACCCTAGATCCAGAGTGTGAGAACTCAGAAGATTCGTTTCTTCTGTGCGTTTAAGATGTTCATGGACGAGGCGACAATCAATGGTGGAGGTACAGAGAGGAATCCGCGAAATGGTTTGGTGGATATTGGAAAACTGACTAATTGGAGTGGAGGAGGTGGTGCTATGGCTAATTCCGCTAATGCAAGTTCCAGCAACAAGAACGTACAAACATACAAGCGTAGAAAACTTGGAATATCGATTTCTGGGAATCATTGTTCGGAAAATGAGAGAGTTTCCATGGAAGGTGCTAGCCACTCAGGAAGCCGGGTACTTTACCATGACTTTTCTATTTGATACCTCGTTGTTATGTTTTCTGTAGATTTGGTTCAACTTTCGGCTGTAATATAAATAGGAGCTTGCAAGGGAACGTATATTAGGATTTTGCAGTTATGTAACTATCTCTTCTTGTTTCCAGACGACATGAGTGTATTGTGTGTGATAGCTAGTTTCAGCAAATGCTTTGCAAATGATAGAAAATCCCAAAAAATGCTGGCTACTAACACTATTATTGTTGAGAACTAAGAAGTGTTTGCTGCATTGGGCATTTAATCTTGAAATTGGTGTCGTCTTATTTGTGTGATAAACACCTGTGGAACATGTTAGCTCGTTCTTGGTTTTGATTAATGTTTTCATTAAATTTCTTTTGCACAGGACTCTGTCGCTTGTGAATCACAGAATCTAAGGTTCAGCGTAGGAACTCATCTGACTGGTGAACTCCCTGAGATTTCCAATCCAAATAAACCATCAATCGAACCCAAGCTGGAGAATGCAACAGCGGGTTGCCAGAATGTTCTGTCTCATGTTTTAGCTTCAAAGGAGTTTGCATCCCTAAGCAAGCTGCTCTCCGAAAATCTTCAAGGGGTCAAGATTGACGACCTTACGAGTAGAACTCTGATAGACACCAGGATGAAAGAGGGTGTTTATGAAGCTTCACCTGCGCTCTTTACAACGGATCTCCAAGAGGTAATGAATGGAAACTCTGCGTAGCCTGAAGATAACTATGCATCATTTCAGATTAACATGCTTTTCTTATCCTTATCATTGTGAAAGATATGAAGGAATGTGGTTGAGTTGTTTGTTTGAAGATATTATTATGCATTAGATCGAGTTTAGACATTTGACTAAATCTAACTACTGATTTCAGGTCTGGCAAAAAATACAAGATGTTGGTAATGATATGGCTGTTCTTGCTAATAGCCTCCTAGAGGTTTCAAGGGCCTCCTGTAGCGAGCAGGTGAGTGTATCTTTCTCAAGGTGCTAGTTTATTATACAATTCATCCATAAATCGCCTAATATCTGTTTTTTTTTCTTTCAAAATCTGGAAGTTGAAGCAGTTCTACTCAAAGCCTAATGTAGAGATGAGCAGCAATGACAGTGCTTATGACATGTGCAAGATATGTGGAGAGAAGGCAGCGGTGAGAGAATGTTTAGCTTGTGACCATTGCGAAGATATGTACCATGTCCAATGTGCACATCCTGGAGGTGGGAAAGGGATGTTGACTGGCAGTTGGTATTGCGTGACCTGCAAATCTAACGGAATCGGAACGCCTCACGAAGATTGTGTAGTCTGTGAAAGAATGAAACCCGAAACACTGATGAAGACAGATAACGGATGTGTTGGTGTGAGCACAGAACGTAAAGAAGGTTCGAACGAATCTGGAGAGAACTCATCAAGCTGTAACATGGATCATGGAGTGCACAACGTAGAGACGACGATTGGAGATTCTGAAATCTGTAGAACCTGTGGAACAAAGGCGAATGATGGCGGAGGGAAGTTCATAACATGTGACCATCCTTTTTGCCCACACAGGTATTACCACATCAGGTGCTTGACTTCAAGACAGATCAAACTACACGGTGCTCGTTGGTATTGCTCGTCGTGCCTGTGCAGAAGCTGTCTCACTGATAAAGACGATGATAAGATCGTCTTGTGTGATGGGTGCGATGATGCGTATCACATCTACTGCATGAAGCCTCCGTGTGCGACGGTTCCAGAGGGACAATGGTTTTGCAAGACGTGTAAAGCTGCGGTTAATAAAGTCAAGAAAGCGAGAAAGGCTTTTGAGAAGAAGATGGAGACGAAGTTGAAGAAACAAGGAAGAAGAACAAAGCGAAAGAAAGGCAATGGGGAGTTAGATAAACTACTCGTTGGAGGAATGGATATGCTTCTAAACGCAGCTGATACACTGAAAGATGAAGAACAGATGACGTTCCTATCCGTCAAAGACAATACAGCTTCTTGTCACAGATGATTTTGTAATCTACTCATCCTCCTAACTTTGAATACGTTGATTTTTCTCTACAAATTCGTGTTTGTTTTGGAAATTGGCTGAATTTTGCTAACTTTGAAAAGATAGGCAGAGGATTCTGAAATTAACTCTTTTAAATTTTGAATTCTTTTAATCAACAGTGACTTGTGATTTACTGATTTAGCTGAGAGGTAATGTAGTCTTTAACTGGAAATTGAGGAGAAAATAGATACACATTAAAACAATTTAAAGTTCAAAAGAAAAAAATACTATATAAAATTGAGAAGAATAGTTTAAAATGAAGTTAAAGTTCATACAAGTTTTTTTTTTTTTTCTTTTTTTTTAAGTTCATACAAGTTACCTCTCTCCAACAATCTTTTGAGCATTAATGGATATCGTGTTAGTTCGAACTTGCCTTCTGTTTTCTGCCAACTGTCTCAAATCTCCCTTACTATTAAACCTTCTTTTGTCCGATCATGTGATACACCTGAACATTTGCCTACGTATTGTTATAATATCTTTCTTTTTAGGGAAAACCGTTTAGGATGTTACCTTCAACCTAAATAAGTAAAAGAAACATGAGTTGTCTTGTCTACTTGTTTGATTCATTCATTTTGGTACACGATATTCACGATACGGTAGCTACAAACAAAACTTAGCCGTATGCATGTGAATCATAAACTCACAACTGTATAAATATCATAAGAGCCACTCTTTATAAGTCAGTTTTATGCGTAAATGGAACTTTTACTCCCACATCCTTCAAACTCATCTCCTCTCACTGTTCTCGGCTTCTTAGAACGAGCCGCCTCCATCTACGGCGACTCTCCTTCCCTCCTCCACGCAACCACCGAGCATACTTGGTCTGAAACCCAATCTCGATGTCTCCGTATCGCTTCCACTCTCTCATCCTCCTCCCTCGGAATCAACCCTGGCCAAGTCGTCTCCGTTATTGGCCCCAACGTCCCTTCCGTCTACGAGCTTCAGTTCGCAGTTCCAATGTCCGGCGCAGTCCTCAACAACATCAACCCTCGTTTAGACGCACATGCACTATCCGTCCTTCTACGTCACAGCGAATCCAAGCTCGTTTTCGTCGACCATCACTCAACCTCTCTAGCCCTCGAAGCTGTTTCCTTCTTGCACAAGAATGAAAAACCTAAACTCGTCCTCCTCCACGACGACACGTCACCGTCTCTGACCCCTGACGTGGAGGGTTTTCTTGACACGTACGAAGGGGTTATGGAGAGAGGAGATCCAAGATTCAAATGGATCCGTCCTAAAACCGAGTGGCTCCCAATGGTGCTTAACTACACCTCAGGAACGACGTCGTCTCCTAAAGGAGTCGTCCTTAGCCACAGGGCAGTTTTCATGAGCGCGGTTAACTCTTTGCTCGACTGGTCCATGCCAAACCGTCCGGTATACCTATGGAGCTTACCGATGTTCCACGCCAACGGTTGGGGCTACACGTGGGCCACAGCAGCTGTGGGAGCCACAAACGTCTGCGTCAGAAGAGTCGACGCAGAGACTGTTTTTGACTTGATAGACAAGCATCAAGTGACTCACATGTGTGCTGCGCCGATGGTTCTCAACATGTTGACTAATTATCCAAACCGTAAACGGCTTAAGATCCCGGTTCGGGTCATGACAGCCGGAGCTCCACCGCCCGCTACGGTTATCTCCAAGGCTGAGGAGCTCGGTTTTGACGTGGGACACGGTTATGGGATGACGGAAACCGGTGGTTTGGTCGTCTCGTGTGCGTGGAAGCCTGAGTGGGACCATCTTGAACCAAACGAGAGAGCGAAAATGAAGTCAAGGCAAGGGGTAAGGACCGCGGTGTTCGCTGAAGCGGACGTGAGAGACCCAAGAACCGGAGAGAGCGTGAAGCACGACGGAGTAACCGTGGGAGAGATAGTTTTCCGAGGCGGCTCGGTGATGCTTGGCTATTACAAAGACTATGAAGGAAGTGCGGCGAGCATGAGAGAAGACGGATGGTTCTACACTGGAGACATTGGTGTGATGCATCCAGATGGTTACTTGGAAGTCAAGGATAGGTCAAAGGATGTGATTATATGCGGAGGAGAGAATATAAGCAGCACGGAGGTAGAGACGGTTTTGTACACGAACCCGATGGTTAAGGAAGCAGCTGTGGTGGCTAAGCCGGATAAGATGTGGGGAGAGACTCTATGTGCGTTTGTGAGCTTGAAGTATGATGAAGATCGGTCTGGACCAGTGACGGAGAGAGAGATAAGGGAGTTTTGTAAGAGGAAGCTGCCTAAGTATATGGTTCCGAGGAATGTTGTTTTTCAGGAGGAGCTTCCAAAGACTTCTACTGGAAAGATTCAGAAGTTTGTGCTAAGACAAATGGCCAAGTCTTTGCCTTGATGAAGAAGAACAACAAACTTTCTTTATTATTATTTTTACATTGTACACTAATTTGTTCTTCTCTCTACTACTCTTATTACAAGTCTCTGGTTTATTAGTTTGGCTCTATGTTTATGTCGCCGACCACAAAACGACGTTTAGTGTCAGTGTCCTGTTCTCCTGATGTTTGAAGCTGTAAATCTCTCTTCTTTATCAGTTGTTTAGCAGTTTGTAAATCGTCTTTCACTTCTCTCGAATCCGCCTGTTGCATGAATGTTTAATAAACACATCCTTAAGATCTCTATGAGACTAAAGAATTGGAAGATTTCGTTTTTTTTTTTCCAGTGGAACTCACATTGATCGATAATGCAGTTTCGAAACTCTTGATAGCAGTGTCAGGCTCGCCGAAATTTAGTTGTGCTCTACCAAGAGTAGTCCAAGCCTAATTAAGAAACCCAATATCAGTAATTCTCAAGTAAAGAAACTTATAGAGAAACATATGATATGATATGGAGTATAATAAATACCTCAGCCCAAGAAGGATCTATCTCAGTAGCTCCTGTTGTGATATAGAGTGATGATGTTAAGAGAATAATCATTGAAAGCTCTAAATTGAAACATAAAAGGCTAGGAGCATTACGTGATGCAGCCTTGAGTGCTTTCCATGAATCACCAAGCTCAAGTAACACTTGTGCTTTCTGTTCATGCAGGACTGCGTTTTCAGGGACAAGATTGAGAGCAGCTTCCCATTTCCCTAGAGCCTCCTTGTATTTTCCTTCCTTCAAAAACAAAGTTCACAAAGAAAAACCCGAATCAACTAGACATATTTTGTACATTCCATACAAATTTCAAGAAGTGCCATGGCCATTTCAAATGCTAAGATGTTGCATGTTTGACAATCTTTCACTGACCAAACGCAAAGTCTCTACTCTCTACTTCAAACAATAATCTTGTAAGTATGTCGTTCCTTTGGCCTTATCTTTAGACAACCTCTGGTTTCTAGAGAGAGTCTGAGACTAAACCATAACTTATTCTCTACTTGTTCCTTTTTTTTTCTTTGATAAAGTTTTCAGTCGCATAGTAGCAATCTTGGTGATGATGGAAAAATCAAACTCATAAGTGACGAACCCATTTTGTTCAACACTTATAAGAGAGATTCCATAGACCACGGATCATAGAGAGAGGATGATGAAAGACTGCCACTATGCTACTCAAACTTATCTACAACTTGAGATTTGAAGAAACTTCTGACCATATTTTCCCAAAGCTCAAGGAGCCAAGTAATCCAAAAGAAGAGAACTTGTTGAAATTAAAATCGAATCTAAACTCTCTGTAGATCTAAGACGGAGCTTCTTTGTTATATACAGCTGTGTTACGTTACCTCAGCGAGCTTGTCTCCTTGAGCTCTAAACGACTCTGCGAGACTCTTCGCCTCGAGATTTCCCGAATCATTCCCTCCAACCTCCGAGGAGTCCAGTCCATCGGCAGCTTTTCGACGCTCAAAGTCATCTTCTCGAAACTGGCGCTGAGATTGAGTCTCCGGAGCCTCCTCCGAGAAATTCGATAGAACAACGCGAGGTCGTTTCTTAGTGTTCTTGTGCCACGTCACCTTCATCTTCTTCGTCACACAACACAACCGAAGCTCTGCTTTTTTTGTTCTCTGTTCCAACGATCAGTTAAAGTCGGAAAATTTTGGGCCTTGGGCTTGTCATTGGGCCGATGTTTATATTTTTCATTGATTTATGTCTTTATGATTCGCATTGACAAGAAAAGGACTCGAACTTGATGAGCACAGTCAAGATTTCAGAACGAACACAATATGAGAGAAGAAGATACACAATTTTAGTGAAGAACCAATTTTTATTTTTATGTGTAAGAATCTGTCATTACAAAATACAGAGATCTAATAACTTTCTGGATAATAAAGTTGGTATTATAAGAGGAGATGAAACTAGTTAGTAGCATCTGTTGTTGTTACCTATTGTGTTATCCCAGAGCACCATCTCATAAACTCTACAGCTTCTTCTTTGTTAGATGTTCAACGAAGATGAGAGAGAGAAGACTTCAACCAAAAAAAGGTTTTTGTGTGTGTTCTTCTTCACTTTCGCATTCGAGTCCACAAACCAGAGACTCTAGACTGGCGACGCCGGTTTGTTCTTCTTCCTAAACCACTGTCGCTCACGCTCCCTCCTTCCTCATCCTCCGAGAACTCTTTCGTCCATGGATTCAGCGGAATCACATAAGAATCATCCCTCGTCGTCTTCTTCTGCTGCTCGAATCTCTTCACGTTCTCAGATATCTGATGGAACGTCCTGTTGATCTTCGCTATTCCTCTCTCAACCGGCTCCACCACGTGCGACACCGTGAACCTCATGTCATCCACAATCTTAAGCCAAGAAATGAAACAGTCAGTCACGAGCCAAGAACATGAAAAATAGATTCCTTATAGCAGAAGAAGAATCCGACTTACGATTTCACCACTTCCAAGCACCACATCACGCACGCTCTGTGGGAAATTCAAGCGCTTCTCTACGTCGTCAAGCCTACCATACCGGACTCTGGTTGTTCTCTCACTGTCTTTAACCTCTTCTGGATCAGGAGGTGTATCCAAAGAAGCGTAATCTGACATGACTGCTATATTACGGACGCATCTTTCTCCACGCTTGTATGGCGCTGCTGGGAAGACATAGAGATGGACCACAGCAGCAATACCCATCTACAAAAACATTATCATTATGATAAACTCACACCAACAACCTGATTATGGTTTACTTAAAAAAGCATAGATTGGTTTTTCATGAGAATTAATTACCTCGATACAGATGATGTAGTCTTGTATTCGTGTTTTCAGTTCCTTGGCCAAAGACCCTTTGAACAGTCCCATAGAGAAGAGGAATGCAACAATGATACCTTGCCACCAGGTGAGGAATACAATAGACTTGAATGTTAGAAACTTGGCCAACGGTTTGATGGGTGCTAGCTTGTCTTTGATGACGCCGTAGAACTGTACAAGGCAATACAATGCCCACGTTTGACTGAAATTAAGCACTACAGCTAGATACGGATATCTGCAATGAGACAACATTCATTACAATACAGCCAAAAACAAACACATATCAATAACTAGAAGGTACGGAAAAGCAAAGATTACCCGTAATTCCATTGGAACTTGCCTTCTCCATAAACCCCAAAGGCTTCAAGGATCATTGCCAATAGAGCACAGATCATTTTCAGTATCATCTGCACCGTATAAGTTATGTCAGCTGAAGCACGATAATAACATCATAGAGTCCAGAGAAAGTTATGACAGGACATACATATTGAACGATGCCAATTTTCACAGACTGATAAAACTCAGGACCAAGATTCCAATCTTTGAGGAAGCAGTTCATTGGAAAGGGATGCTCTACAACTCCATAAGAACACGTTCCTTCCAGAAGAGGAGTGCTCTGCGTGATAACTGTCTGCTGTTCCATGAATTCAATTGTCCGTTCTTCTCCATCTGCGAATACAAAGTTCATATTGAGGAACTCAGAAGCTAGTGGTAAAGATTTTGACGGTTACTTTAAAGCATTACCTAGGCAAGCAATCAAATATCTCTCAAAGCAGTAGAGTGCAAAAGCTTCATAACAATCCCGAATCACCTCGCAGTTGAAAGCTGCTTCTGAATTCACCAAAGACAAAAACTGCACATAAGAGAATCCAGAATTAGAAGGGGATCTTCAAGAGATTGCACTAACAAGGACTAACAGATATAGTAACTTATTAACCCTACCGATTCCACGGCGTAAACAGGAACCATCAGAATAAGTCCAATAAGAAACTTCTGCTCCTGTGAACACAAATAAAGAGAGCGTTACGCTTTCTTACTGGTAATGCTTACATTATCAAGAAAAAGTGCTAAGCAAGTGAATAACAAACCTCAGGCTGATTGTAAGAAGCCAAGTGCTCAAAGATGAGGTACATGGGGAGGACGATGGCAACGAGCACAAACACACTGGCACTTAAGATTGGCCAAGTGAAGGACGTTCCCGTTTCAACACCGAGATCAGGAAGCCAGAGTTTCCCGAATCTACTTGATGACTCTCCCATGGAAACAATAAAAAACAGAGAGCAGAGGATTCCCTTCCACTCCATTTTAGAACCAGTGAAAAGGAAGACTCAGATATCTTCACATCAATGCTCCACAGCTCATAGATACCAAACACTGATCCTTTATCGAGCTATGACAATAGTGGTGACACCACCTTTATGATTTGCAGAGAAAAAGTTGATTAAGGAAGAACAAAAACACCTGCATTATACGAATAGCAATTTGATCAAAATTCAATCTTTGGAATCAGAAACATCGAAAGCTAATTCCTTGATCTGGGTTCGTAATTAATCAGATAAAATTTTGCACTGAACAAACAAAAAAAGCTTAAAACTCCGGCAACGATTACAAGGCACGCCCTAAATCAAATCACCGAGCAATCAAAGCGATTACGAAAAACCCTAAATCATCGACTCGATTAAAGACGATAAAAAGGAGAAATTGCACTCACCGGAGTATGATAAATCCGCGGATCAATTTCGTTATCCAGAAAATTAAAAAAGCGCGAGTCCCAGTGATTTCGAAGTTGCTCGTGAGATTGATTGGAAAATCCAACAGAAAAATCGATTTTTCTTTGCCTTTATCTCCGAGTTATATTAATTCTGCTTTTCCGCGTGGAAGAAGAAGAGCCTAAAAAGGAAAAATTCTCCGTTTTGTGCCTTGGCGGTTGTCGCAAGCTAAACCCTTCCCAATGACTCTTTTATTTACTGACGTGTTTCATTTTATTCCAACATTACCGAATTATCTAATCTCATGTTTATGTCGCATCTCCATTTATTATTCATTTCATTTATCACGATCGTTTTATAACAAAATGTCTGATTTTGTCTCTTTTAATAGTCATGGATTTATAAGAATAGTAAATTCATTGATTCTTCTATTTTTAAATAGTGATAAGGTTCTGAGGATTAAACCAACTAACTTGTTAATGTTAAGTTAAGTACTAGTAGAACAAAAATTAAGCAATGAAAAGAGAACAAGAACTAGAATTCAAGCTCACTGAATAGATCAAAAAATACTTTAATTCCCCTACATTTTTTTTGGAATTTTCTTTTCAAATTTTATTTATTATTTTTCTTAATAAGTTTTATTTATTTATTCATTAAAAAAATTATAATATTTTCTTCCTACATTACTAGTAATCACAGATTTAGTCTTTTTTTTTTTTTTTTTGTAGAAACTGGATTGCTTATCAACCAACCACCAGTCCAACATGCAAGACGTATGAAGCCAAAAGTCTCTCCTTAGAACAAGGGATAAGGAAAGAAACTATTTCTAGCCTTAACCTTCAATTTTCTCCAAATTTTGACTAGTAGTTTGCACAAACACTCGATCAAAACCACTTCTTTTTGAATTCAAGGTTTTTAATCCATGGCCGGTGGAGCTCTCTCCGAAGAAGGAGCCCTAAAGAGAGCTCATCTCTATGAGCATCGAATCACTGGTTACTTCATATTTGCTTGCATCGTTGGATCCATGGGAGGCTCTCTCTTCGGCTATGATCTCGGTGTCTCTGGTTAGCTCTCTCTCGATCTTGGCTTATCTTATGTCAACCAGAAACTAAATTTCGAATCTTGGCTTAGATTCTCAAAAGGGTTAAGTTCAAATTTTATCAAAATATTCCCTAATTAAACTCCAAAAACAACTACATGCATGATGATATATTGTTTCCATCTTAATTGATCTAATCTTGTCGGTAATTAACCGAAGTTTGGAGATGGTCAGCTTCGGTTTAGTGAAATGTCAACGGTTTAATTATGCTCAAAATATGTATGGTTTCTTGCAACTCAAGGAACTTATGCAAGACAATTTTCTTTTAAAACGCAGGTGGTGTTACATCAATGGACGATTTCTTGATAGAGTTTTTCCCAGAGATCTACAAAAGAAAGCAAATGCATCTACACGAAACAGATTACTGCAAATACGACAGTCAACTCCTAACACTCTTCACTTCCTCACTCTACTTCGCCGGTTTAATCTCAACTTTCGGTGCTTCTTACGTCACAAGAATATACGGCAGGAGAGGAAGCATCCTCGTCGGCTCCGTCAGCTTCTTCCTCGGAGGTGTCGTCAACGCCGCCGCCAAAAACATCCCCATGTTAATCATTGGTCGAATCTTCCTCGGCATAGGAATTGGTTTCGGAAATCAGGCAAATTCTCAAAATATGTAAAGAGTCTTGATTAAACCGGATAATTATAACCGGTTAACATTCGGTTTAACTTTTTCGTTTGGTGTTTATAGGCGGTTCCGTTATACCTATCGGAGATGGCTCCGGCGAAGATTAGAGGAACAGTGAATCAGCTTTTCCAGCTAACAACATGCATCGGAATATTAGTTGCTAATTTGATAAACTACAAAACAGCTCAAATCCATCCATGGGGATGGAGACTCTCTCTAGGCCTCGCCGTCGTACCAGCTACACTCATGTTCCTCGGAGGACTCTTCTTGCCGGAGACACCGAACAGTCTCGTCGAGCAAGGGAAGCTCGAGGAGGCTAAAGCCGTACTAATCAAGGTACGTGGCACAAACAAGATCGAAGCTGAGTTTCAAGATCTTGTTGAAGCCAGCGAAGCTGCTAGAGCCGTGAAGAATCCGTTTAGGAACCTTCTTGCTCGGAGGAACAGACCACAGCTAGTGATCGGAGCCATTGCGCTTCCTGCGTTTCAGCAGCTAACCGGAATGAATTCGATTCTGTTTTACGCTCCGGTTATGTTTCAGAGCTTAGGGTTTGGTGGCTCCGCGTCGCTTATCTCTTCGACGATGACAAACGCTGCGCTTGTCGTCGCTGCGGTCATTTCTATGTACTCGGCTGATAAATTCGGAAGAAGGTTTCTTCTTCTTGAAGCTAGCGTTGAGATGTTCTGTTACATGGTAACTACAAGCTAGGTTTTATTATTAACTCTAAGTGACGTGTCATACAAGAAAACTCTAAAGCCCTAACAAAATGGTCATAATCTTTGCAGGTTGTTGTAGGAGTAACATTAGCCTTTAAGTTTGGGGAAGGCAAAGAGCTACCGAAGACGCTTGGTTTGATTCTTGTGGTGCTTATCTGTCTGTTTGTGTTGGCGTATGGACGGTCATGGGGTCCAATGGGATGGTTAGTGCCGAGTGAGCTATTCCCTTTAGAGACACGATCGGCTGGTCAGAGTGTTGTGGTCTGTGTGAACCTTTTCTTCACGGCGCTTATAGCGCAGTGTTTCCTTGTGTCGCTGTGCCATCTTAAGTACGGAATATTCCTTTTGTTCGCCGGACTTGTATTTGGGATGGGGAGTTTTGTTTACTTTCTGTTGCCGGAGACGAAGCAGGTTCCGATTGAAGAGGTTTATCTTCTGTGGAGACAGCATTGGCTCTGGAAGAAATATGTCCAAGACTGTGATCAAGAATAGGTCAATCGGTAAATTAATTAGTATAGTTTTGGATCTTTAAGGGTTGAAAATTTGAATTTTTTTTGTTTTGTTTTGTTTTCTTCTGTTCGAAAATGTTTGGTGTTTACTTAGACCAAACAACAACTGTTTGGTATTTGTAAGATTTGTTTTTTGCTTGATGATGATGTCAAGTCATTATGCCATAAAACCTTTGTGAAATGTAATTAATCTTCAAGAATATCAAAGTTGTACAAGATATTTTAGTTTGAGTTATACATATAAATATAAATACTTTTGCATAAGTATATGATCATGTTATAGATACTCAATACATGGGCATCTACGACATTCAAATTTCACATATCACAAGAGATTAAGACCTTCATCCAAAACAAACGAAACAGTTTTAGAAAGACAATTATTAGTATTTTAGTACCATCGTCTGTGCCAAGAAATAATTGTGTCTTGATACCATCAAAGGTACAAAATTAGTTATGGTTATGACGGACAGATTCTATTCCAAGAGGTTATGTGAGAACGATATATGCCAAAAGAATATGAATACATGTGGCGCGAGCATTAATGATGTCGACGCAATTATAAAAGTCTCTATTGATTTGACACTAATATTGGCTTTCCGTAATTAGAATTTCTTTTTGTGTACGTTTACGATATTGTTTGAGTTTTTCAGTCCAGTATACTTTATTCACATGCATGCTAGTTTTGCAGAGTAATGTTTCTTATCGACAAATTTATTCACTCATATATAAAGTCAACAACTCTAACTTTATGAATTAACTAAAACAGTAAACTATCAAAGCGTTAACAAGATATAATCAAATGTGTATGTGTATGTACAACAATTCTCACACAAGATGGTTTTTCTATTCGGATTCTTGCCAATATTCTAATAATGTATTGACGAGGTCAAGCAAGTAAATGAAGCTCGAAGATAAATAATATTCTTAGTCACTAATCGAAATACATATCAATACTAATATTGTGTAATCAATGGATGTGCACATATAGTTTTAGATGATAGAGAGGTTTGTGGAGTAGTTACTGGTTAGGTGTGTGCCGGTTTATAATTATAGCAACCGTGACAAGCGAAAAAAGGACAGAAAGGTTATGTACTGAAAGTTTGAAACGTTGAAATTGTGTGGTCAGATTTGCGAAAGTTTGGTAAAAACAATGAGGGGTTCGAATGGACCCCATTTCTTTAAAGCCCACAATTAACCAAACTTCTATTCTTGTAGGCCCAAACGGGTCCTAGCCCATTCATTGTTCTCATCTACTAACAAATTTTCGAATAAGTTAAAAAGGAACAAACATGAATTTAATTCCCTACTTCTTAAACAACAGTAGTATATATATTAGATCAAAATATAAAACTAATATATGCAATTTTTTCTTTATATGTAGCCTCGTTTTAAACACTTTATCGATATATTAATTGGGTGACTAGGTGTACAGCTTGTTCACTAAACGAATGCTAATTTTATAACAAGATTTTCTTTCAGTCAAATCAAAGTTTAAACCTCTAATTTCATAATGTACACGATGCCATAAAATCGGAGCTTCAGCTGTTGAAATATCTTCGGGCACACCTAACCACGACGCTGTTATGATTTAGGTTATATATATCCAGGTCAATGTCTAATTAATTGTGATTAATAAAATGTTTTTCTTCTTACATCACTGATAAGCTGATATAATTAAACACATAAGTATACTATTTAACTACGTACTGATGCCAATATTGCTGGCGTATTATCTTATGCAACCACGTGTTATCGAATTTGACTAATAACATATATATGCAACTATGTCGATGTGTTTATATTTTGAATTAGACATGAGATGTTATAATTCCATGCAGATTTTGCAAACAAACTATGAAAAATATGAACAGATTTAAAACAAAAAGTTAACACGGACAGATCGATTAATAATGCTAATAGCATGGCATATATACACGTACCCGTTTATATATTCTTCGTCCAAAATATCATAACTATTTAGTGCGAGGAATGGATGCTGTAAGGTTTTCATAATGGCACAGTTCACATACTATTATTTAATTTATAATGGCTAAAAACAGAGGAATTCATTACGTAATTGATGGTAGCATGGAAACCCTAATCTTACGCACGAGGCACGCCATGTTATTGATTTATAATTTCAAGGCATCTTATTGTAAATTTAAACTTTTTTACCCATGAGAAGATTGCATATTAAGTTTTATAAAGTATCTAATAAAATCAAATGGCGTGTTTATTAAATTTACTTATCAGTAATTAATCTTCTGGCAATCAATAGTTCAATACGATACGCCACAGCTAGAATGCATTATGCATGACATTCAAATGATACCCTCGGGACGATCATAAAAACATTAGATTACTACTCTACGAATAAGCGATGCTACCACATTGATTTAAAAAAACAAAATAACAGTGAAATGAAATATGTTAAATACAATGAAATAAGTGTGGTAAATGAACAATGAATAGCGAATGTATGGAAGAATGATAATAATGAAAAAAAGAAATAGGGATTTTCAAAACTAAAGGCATGTGGGAAGAGTGTTGACAGTTGTCAGAAATGCCATGCTCAGATGGGGCAAAGAGCCTTCACTCCTTGTGGGTCTCCTTAATTATCTATTTTCCTCTTCCCTTCCTTCTTAATTAGTACCTCTTTTTCTACCCTAACCCTAACAGTGAGTTTTACTCTATGATCTGTTTTATTCGCATTAATTATCTCAAGTTTAAACAACAGTTATGTTATGTACTATGTTGTTGATGAAATTCTAGAGTTATAGACAGCCATCAGATTATAGGAAAAGTGTGAAAGCAACTAAAGCATCAATGAAACAAAATAAACTTTAATCCTTTGCCACAAAAAAAAAGTCTTCATATCAATTTATCAAAGCAACTGTGTTGTACAATATAATATGAAACTTTATAGTATAATATGAAACCTTTAATCCTTGATTCGAAACCGGGTTTAGTTGGGAAACTCGACTTCCACCGAAAGACATTCATTTCGTTACGAGACAAAACAGAAGAAAAAATATACGTATATCTGGTTTCATATCTCCCATTTCGGTATTATAATAGTAATATACTGTTTCAAATTACAAATATTTATTTCAATCTAAAAACAATATAGCTAGTGTCTACATAGCACTTAACAGCACGTAAGCAAATAATATCCAAAGATAGATTGAAGTCGTTCTCTACATACGCGTGTGTTAATGGAGGAATTTCATTCATATATATATTTATATACTAACGTGTTATATAATCATAAGCTAACACAAAAATACTGTTTATCAACATCTTAATATAGTTTACGCACATTTGTAATTTTTTCCCCCTTACTACTGATTAAGAATGGAATATTAACCCCATTGAAAAAATCAAGTGCATCCATGGACCATGGACCATGCATAGGTTATCACGAAAAAGATAAATAAACACTTACTTGTTTGCAGAATGTAAAATAGTAACATTAAATGTGGTCATATCATATACAAATATATTGACGTGTAATATAGTAATGTGAACACACCTGTCATCATAAGTAAGCGATCCACTGTCCTTTTCTAACTAACTTCAACATTTTCACTTCAATACTTCAACTATCTCTCTCTCTCTCTCTCTCGCTCTCTCTAGATTTCTCTCTCTCTCTCTCTATCGAGTCTTTATATAAACCATACGTACGTGGTACGTACTCTCCTCACACTCACTGAGTCAATCCCACGTGTCAATGACCGAGTCTTCCATCTCCTCCGTCAAACAGTCGTCTCCGGTGGAGGAGGAGATCAATCATCATCATCATCATCATCAAGATCAAGAGTCCCTTCAAACCAATAACAAGAAACGGGTAAGACCCGACCCGGGTTACCGAGGCGTCCGGATGCGATCATGGGGCAAATGGGTCTCCGAGATCCGAGAGCCTCGCAAGAAGAGCAGAATCTGGCTAGGCACTTTCGCCACGCCGGAGATGGCCGCGCGTGCGCACGACGCGGCGGCTCTCACCATCAAAGGAACCTCCGCCGTTCTCAACTTCCCGGAGCTCGCCACCTACCTCCCCCGTCCAGTTTCTTCCTCTCCCCGTGACGTTCAAGCCGCAGCCGCCGTTGCCGCCGCCATGGACTTCTCTTCCTCCTCCTCCGCCGTGGTGGTCTCCGACCCTACCACCGTCGTCCCGGAGGCGCATTTATCTTCTTCCTCGAGCTACTCGACGTCTACGTCTACATCGTCATTGTCACCAACGAGCGAAGAAGCTGCGTCGTCAACGGCGGAAGAGCTGAGCGAGATAGTGGAGCTGCCGAGTCTAGAGACGAGTTACGATGAGTCGTGGAGCGAGTTTGTGTACGTTGACCCGGCGTATCCACCAAGTTCGCCTTGGTATTTTAATAACTGTTATAGCTTTTATTACCACAGCGACGAAAATGGCATTTCGATGGGTGAACCTTTTGAGTCTTCCAATTTTGGCCCCCTTTTTCCTTAGTTTATTCAAGTTTTATTCCTTTTTTTTTTTTTAAAATTCTAGCCTCATTTCTTCGAGTTTTGTTTAATTATTGGATTCACTACAGAGTTTAATATACCTAATTAAACCTTATATTATCATCATATAGTATGCTTATACTAGTTTTTTATTTTAGTTGTGATCCGATCTTCTAGAAGGAATCTATGACTAATCACGCATTACGTTATATGTAAACACCAATGTGAAGATTTTGAACTAATTTGTGATTGTATTCTCAGATGGTTTGTTAGCTGACAGATGTGGAATCTTTTCAGCTTGGTATTTATTATCATCACCCAATGAATTTAATTCACAAAACTACCATAGTTAGCTCGATTAGACCAACTTTTTTAATTTTACATTATTGTGTCTAATCAATGAGAACTACGAGTACAATGCAAATACATGGATCAAAACTTCTCGCAAGCAAAATCAGTTTGCAGGTTAAGCATTCTTATAATTTTTCTCTTCTTTGACTTTTTGCATTAGTTAGAGATAATTAAATGCCTAGCCTTAATTTAACATGTACATGCACTAACTCGTATGCAAACCAACGATGGATATTTAATAAGTACCTTCTTCATTTCATTGATTTGTTTAGACGAAAGTTATTTTACTTTTATGTTTGAACAATTCATTTCTCTCATACGCAAAGCCAGCCATGGAGCAACTGAGCAAGTACCTTTTAAATAAATCAAAGTGTACATTATATTTGCCTGAGTCTCCCTGTAGAAAACATCGATCAACACCGCCTCATAAGGTGTTTAAGTTAACCCATTTTATTATAATCATCGTACATTAATTTAAACAAAAATTAATTGTAACGTAATTACGTTAATCAATTTTGCATTTAACAATTCCGTAATAAAATGCCAGTTTCAGAAAGAAAGAAATAAACTATTCCGCAGGAAATGGCCATTGCCAATTTGCCATTGGGATCCGCGGTCAACGGAGGTTCCACCCACGAACACACAGTCTTTATTTGTTTATTGTTTTCTCAAATATAGACGATTCTTTTAGTTACGGGGTCCCATTTTATAGACTACTACTATAACGTAGTAAGATTTTGTTTCTGGTCAAACTGTAATGCGTAAAAATCAGAAAGAGAACTTTCTAAACAAAGTATCGCAACATCACCCCAGTAAATAAATGATTACATGATGATTGTTGTTAAAAGACTTTAATCTATTACGTTTAACCATTGATTTTCTCTATTAGCTAGTCGTTTTAAAGAATCACGAAACTCAAATGTACAAAATCGCATATTTATTTATGTCACCATGTCAAAATAACGAAGACTGTTCCACTTGAATAACAATTTAACGAGTATACTTTTTACTCCCCGACATTTCGAGTTGTGTCATGTAGTGAAGTGGAAAGAACAGAGCTTCAAAGTCAAACGGTCTAGACATTTGTCGTTAGGCTAATTAGCTCAACACAAGCACGCGAAGTTGTCCACCAAAACTTGCAAACTACCCATAAAACCAAATATTCCACTAAATATAATGTGGAGACAAAGATGTCCGGTTTACCTTTCCCTTCATACTATATCTTGCTATAAGTTATTGGTTTAGAAACTTTAAATCTCATGTGGATTTTTAATTTTCAACGCTTGTATAAAAATGCTCATCATTCTCTCTACGTTGATCTCTTTACTTTTGCAAAAAAACAAGAGATCCCGGAGACGATTTATATCTAAACTTTGGACACTATGACAAGAAGTCGCTTTGGCCGAGTGGTTAAGGCGTGTGCCTGCTAAGTACATGGGGTTTCCCCGCGAGAGTTCGAATCTCTCAGGCGACGACTTAATTTTTTATTATTTATTTGACCGACGTAATTGGTAAAAAAAAAAGGAAAGCAAAAAGACCGACTTAGACACTCTTCTTATCTCAAACTATAATTACATTTTAACTTGTTTATTATTTTAACCAACCCTAAAGGCTTCAAAGCCTGATCCTTTTTTTCCCAGAAAACAAGCTTCACCTCCGTCCGTTGTTCTTCATCGCCGCATCGCAACGCGTCTCGATTTCATCTCTCTCAAAATCGCCCTTCCCGTCGATCAATCTCCTCCGAGAGGTAACCTTCTTCCATTATCTTCATACACGCAATACTGCTTTTGCTTTCTTCCTCTGATTTCGTTCCCAAACGCAAATTTTCTACTTTTTTTTGTCCTCTTTATGAATATGTCGATCTCAAAGCTCACCGATTGTTAAACCCTAACTTGTTCCAGCTCTATTGTAGAATAATTAACCCAGATTTGTCTGCGTATTCAATCGGAATTAGTCGGAGATGTAGATCGATTGAAACCCTAATTTCGATTGAGCTGTGAAATCGTACAGTTTTGCTCACCTTCATAATCTGGTAAGTTCTGATTGGTATTGTTCATGTTCTCTTTTGCAGGTTGCTAGAGTTTTGAGTATCTCGATTCGAGCTGCTTACGATGGCGACTCTTAAAGACCGTTTACCCGCGCCCAAATCAACAGCCACGACGTTCTACGACCACTCCAACGATCCATGGTTCAAAAACCGTTTCACCGAATCCGAGTCGGAGAAAACCGCCGCCGTGACCTTCAAATCAGTGCCTGCTTACCTGAAGCGTCAAGGTTTCCGTCCGAGGAACCCCGAGGATTTCGGAGACGGTGGTGCCTTCCCGGAGATTCACGTTGCTCAGTATCCTCTCGGCATGGGCAAGAACAAATCCAACAAGCCTGGTTCCAAGACGCTCCCTGTTACTGTGGATGCTCAGGGAAACGTGGTCTTTGACGCCATTGTGAGGCAGAATGAGAACTCGAAGAAGATTGTTTACTCTCAGCACAAGGACCTTGTTCCGAAGATACTGAAAAACGAGGGAGATTTAGATGCTGTTGTGGACGAAGAGGAGGAGCTGCAGAAGGAGATTGAGGAGACTAGGGAAGAAACAATAGCTGCCATTGAGAAGATTGTGAACGTGAGACTTAGCGCAGCGCAGCCTAACAATATCCCGAGGCAATCCGGTGAATCAAAGTGCATCAAGTACAAGCCGTCACAGCAATCTTCAGCTTTCAATTCCGGTGCTAAAGAGAGGATCATTAGGATGGTTGAGATGCCTGTAGACCCACTTGATCCACCAAAGTTCAAGCACAAGAGAGTGCCAAGAGCTTCTGGCTCTCCTCCTGTTCCGGTCATGCATTCTCCGCCAAGGCCTGTTACCGTCAAGGACCAACAAGACTGGAAAATCCCTCCTTGTATCTCAAACTGGAAGAATCCGAAAGGTTACACTATCCCTCTTGATAAACGTCTTGCTGCTGATGGAAGAGGGTTGCAAGATGTTCAGATTAATGATAACTTTGCCAAGTTGTCAGAGGCTCTCTATGTAGCTGAGCAGAAAGCTAGAGAGGCTGTTTCAATGCGGTCGAAGGTGCAGAGAGATATGTTGATGAAGGAGAAGGAAAGGAAAGAGCAGGAACTGAGAGCTCTTGCTCAGAAAGCTCGTTCTGAGAGAACCGGTGCTGGTGCTCCGGCGAGCATGCCTGTCGAGAGGGGGAGGAGTGAGAGTGTTGACCCGAGGGGTGATTATGACTATGACCGCGAGAGAGAGCCGGTGAGGGAAAGGGAAAGAGAGAGAGAAAGAGAGAGGGATGGTCCAAAAGAGAGTAGAGAGGAAAGGGAAGAGAGGATGCAGAGGGAGAAGATCAGAGAAGAGCGTCGCAGGGAGAGAGAGAGGGAGAGAAGGCTGGAAGCTAAAGATGCTGCAATGGGGAAGAAGAGCAAGATCACTAGAGACAGAGACCGTGACATCAGTGAGAAAGTTGCTCTCGGAATGGCCTCCACCGGAAACAAAGGCGGCGAAGTCATGTACGACCAGCGTCTGTTTAACCAAGAGAAAGGAATGGAATCCGGTTTCGCCACCGACGACCAGTACAACGTATACGACAAGGGCTTGTTCACTGCACAGCCCACTCTTTCGACGCTGTACAAGCCGAAGAAGGACACGGATGAAGAAATGTACGGAAACGCTGATGAGCAGCTTGATAAGCTGAAGAACACGGAGAGATTTAAACCGGACAGAGCCTTCACCGGCGCTTCCGAGAGATCCGGTAAGAGAGAACGACCGGTTGAGTTTGAGAAGGAAGAGGAAGATCCTTTCGGTCTTGACCGGTTTGTCAGCGATGTGAAGAAAGCTAATAAGAAACCTTTGGACAAAATTGGTTCCGGTGGAACCATGAGAGCTAGCGGCGGCGGCGGTAGCTCCTCCAGGGATGATTACGGTGGTTCTGGTCGGACCAAGATCAATTTCGAACGTGGTGATCGTTAAAAAAGTTCGATTTCAATATATAAACTTTCTTATTATGGATCTACAAGAATCAGTTTGCTTTTGTTTCAGTACTATGTTGTAGCAAGTCGCCAATACAATCTTTGAGAAAAGTTTAAGCTTTTAATTTCATTTTCATGTACTAAAGTTTGTGTATTTAAGAGGTTTGTTTCAAACATTTCGTAGTTTGCTTCACAAATGGTCTTCTTCTCTGCTTTAACCTCCAGGCTCAATGGTGCTAAGGCAACAAATCACTTCACCGTCTTTCACCGGTTTGGTCATTCTACTACTCCGGCGGCTATAGCCACCACCGCCGTAGACGAAACATTTGGCTCGATCTCACCTTCTCTTTCACCTGAAGACCGAAACAAGTTCTTAGCGAAGCTGTTATCGAATTGCAACAGCCTCGCTCGAGTCCGTCGCATCCATGGCGATATCTTCCGTTCTCGAATCCTCGATCAAAATCGGATCGCGTTCTTATGGAACAACATCATGCGATCCTACGTACGCCACGATTCTCCTCTCGATGCAATCCAGGTGTACCTGGGTATGGTGAGATCAAATGTTTCACCGGATCGATACTCTTTTCCGATCGTAATCAAAGCCGCCGTTCAAAGTCACGACCTTCCGATGGGGAAACAGTTCCATTCCGTCGCCGTGAAGCTGGGTTTCGTCGGAGACGAGTTCTGCGAGAGCGGGTTTATCACATTGTACTGCAAATCTGGGAAGTTAGGAGATGCACGTAAACTGTTCGACGAAAATCCCGAGAGAAAGTTAGGATCTTGGAACGCCTTTATCGCAGGGTTGAATCAGGCGGCGAGAGGGAACGAGGCTGTGAGAATGTTCGTCGAGATGAAAAGGAACGGTTTTGAGCCTGACGATTTCACCATGGTGAGTGTGACGTCAGCTTGTGGAAGCTTAGGGAACTTGAGCTTAGCTTTTCAGCTGCACAAATGCGTTTTGGAAGCTAAATCTGAAGAGAAGTCTGATATCATGATGATGAATTCGCTTATCGACATGTATGGGAAATGCGGGCGTATGGATTTAGCGAGCCAGGTGTTCGATGAAATGCTGGAGAGGAACGTCGTCTCGTGGACGTCGATGATCATGGGCTACGCAGCTCACGGGGAGACAGAGGAGGCTTTGGGATGTTTTCGTCGGATGAGAGAGTCCGGTGTGAGACCGAACAATGTGACTTTCGTTGGAGTGCTCAGTGCTTGTGTTCATGGAGGTCTTGTGGAGGAAGGAAGAGTGTATTTTGATATGATGAAGTCGGAGTTCGGGTTGGAGCCGGGGCTGTTGCATTACGGGTGCGTGGTTGATCTGCTGAGCCGTGACGGGAGGCTTGAGGAGGCGAAGGAGGTGGTGGAGGGAATGCCGATGAAGGCTAATGTGGTGGTTTTGGGTTGTTTGATGGGTGGGTGTGAGAAGTTTGGGGATGTTGAGATGGCTGAGTGGGTGGCTCGACGTATGGTTGAGCTCGAGCCGTGGAACGATGGTGTTTATGTTGTTTTGGCTAATGTGTATGCGTTTAGAGGGATGTGGAGTGAGGTTGAGAGAGTTAGGAAGATGATGAAGACGACGAATGTTGCCAAGATTCCTGCTTATAGCTTTGCTACGTCGTCGTTTTGATAGTCAACTGCTTTTGAAACTTGGTTATAAATTGTTGGTTATGATCTGTTATGGTTTAGTTTGCTCTGACAACAACAAAACTGTTCAAGAGAAATTAACACTTTCTTTATTATATTAAACTTGTGTCGTATAATTGTCTTAAATATTCAGTCGTCATGATATCTTTATATCATATGGATCGATATGTATGATATACACATGAACACGTTATAATATGAATGGGTTTGAAACTTCCGGATAAGACAAAACTGACTTAGGATAATCTTGCTTCCAATTATGTGACAACGAGTTTGATCGATAGTAAAACTATTTTTGATCAATATGATATTATTTGGTATGATGTGTAAATCTATACTTTGGTGATTTAATAAACAAGTAGGAAATAATCAAAATACTGGAAGATGCATAAATATTAAACAACTCAGGCATTTGCATTTGTCTATTGATTTCTATTGGCATTGTGATTAACGAAGGCAAATGACTACCGATTTGGCCAATTGGGTTTAGTTGACGTCGTCAATACAGTTGAAGAAACTATTTATGTTAATGTTAATCTGTCAACGTTCATGGACGAATTTGTTTGATTTCATAATTCATACCATAGCTTTAAAAACAAAAATCGAGACATAAAAAATATTTGGACGAAAGTTTTTATTTAAAATATTCGGGTCACGCGTCAAGCTTCGAATATGTGGGATATACGACAAGTGGAAGATGACATGAAGCGACTTTTTCTACCGTCACGTATGACATGAAAAAAGCAAAAAATAATTTGTATACCAAATTTCCAAGAAAAGAGAAAAAAAAAAATGGATAAGATTATGTCACACCTTTTTATACTTATAGATTCAACTGTTCCTTCAACCCTTTTGCTCACTTCACCCAAAAAAAAAAAAAAAACTCAAATTTGCTCTCAACTTCTCCACAAAAAAAAATTGTTTCAAAATTAGATATAAGGATCAAAAAAAAAAAAAAAAAAGAAGAATCGGAAGAGAAAGGTGAGAATATTTAAGATGGGGAGCTTGGGAGAAGAAGATTTAGAGAAGCTTGTGATCGATTATATTGAGTCTCCGATCATAGTCGTCTCCGATGATGTGGAGAAATCTTCAAGAGCTCTTATCACTCTTCAGGTTTTTTATTCTCATCCTTTCGTCATGCATTTCTCTTCTATTTTTTTTCTTGGTAAAAAAAAAGTAAAATCTTTAATAAATATGTTTGAAGGAGATTCTTGTGACACAAGGACAAAAAGAGAAGGAAATAGAAGAGAAGATTAAGTCGTTTATCAAGAGAAGAAGATTATTCTATGAAGGAGACGATGAGAAGAGAGATGTGATGAAGAAGATCGTCTCTAAGCTTAGATCTGATGGCTACGATGCTTCTATCTCTAAAACCTCATGGGATTCTTCTTTTGATCGCCGTGAAGGTAATTAATAAAATAAAATATCACACATTTGTGGAAGGAGAAAAAACGAAAAAATTTGAAGTATTCATTCATGTGATTAATCTTATAAAAAGTTGGAAGACTTTTTCCTATAATCTTCGAAATGTAGAGAAAGTCAAGTTTTGATAATTTGTGGGGATTTGTGGAAATGTCACAGGATGTAGAGTGTTTAGGTGCTCGAGGAAGTACGAGTACATAAACATCATGGTGACGAGTGATCGCGACAGTGATGACGTAAGCGACGCGAGACGTGTGATAGTTGATCTTGATTTCAAATGTCAGTTCGAGCTAGCGAAACAGACAAAAGGTTACAAAGACGTGACTGAGATGCTTCCGACACTTTTTGTTGCGACAGAAGAGAGACTCAAGAGAGTTGTTTCGTTGGTTTGTGGTGAGATGAAAAATTCGATGAAGGAAGAAGGAATGCCTCGACCTCCATGGAGGTCTACGAGATACATGCAAGCCAAGTGGATGTCTGATAATCGTCGAAGAGCCTCTGCTTCTAAGAGAGAGTCTTGGTTTGTTCTTGAAGAAGGTGATTCTGATGGGAATAAAACTACGTGTTGCCTTCCTATTTTCTGAGAGGAATGCGCAGCGTTTTTATTTTTGTTGATCGATTATAACAAAAAAACAAAAAGAGTTGAAAATCGGTATTTGAACATTAGTTGTTTTTTTGTCTGGTCTTTCGTGTGATTGTTCCTTTTTTGTGGGGGGGGGGGGGGTGGTTTAGTTCTGAAATTTTGAATTGCGAAAAAAGAAGAAGAAGAAGAAGAAGAAGTGGGGCTTCTTGTTGTGGCAGGTTTTTTTTTGTGTGATGCTATATTGCATCATCTACTTCACTACTTGTATCGACAGCCGATGTATATAAAGTTGAAATATGTTTTCGTCGTGATGTAAAATGTCCATTTTAATATCTAATGTGACTTTTTTTTTTGGTTCAAGATATTGATTATGTTGGATAATAGTTTTGATACGAGCAGTGAGGACTACCCTTTTCTTGAAACTATTTAAGCATAAAATATATGACTAACATAAGAGATGAAAAATGAAACGAAAAAGTAATAGGATAAATGAAATAGGGGAATAAATGAAACTCGTCTCTTTATAAATATATAATTAATATATGCACTGTACAGTTTATAACGGAATTCTTTTCTTTAAACCCGACAATTTGATAAATGTTTTACGTGATAAACCCTAATGTTTATCATTTGTTCATAACGTGGAAAGATAAAAGACAATGGCTATGAATGGAGACATCGAACTAATACAGATCAAAAGCAGATTAAAAAAAAGTCAGATCAGTCTGCATTGACTCACCAATCATGCAAAAAAGTAGATCTGAGTTTTTGCAGGAGATATTTACTTTATTCTGCATGCAGAGTAAGCCATTAAAAAAAATAAAAGCCTGCATGAAGGGAGCCTTTTCGGAGCAGGGGACCTACCGGGGACCAATGAATGTTAACTTTCCAGAATTTTTTTTTGTTTTTGTTTTTCTTTTTTTTTTACCAACGAATTTCTTTTCTTTTTAGCCTTCATGGTTTTCTTTATAAACCCCCACATATTACTTTCTTCTCATTCACTCCTATTCACTTTTTCTCATTCACTTCTATTCACTTTTATACAAGAGAAATTTATACTCTCTCAAATTCTAAGGTAAGATTCTCTTCTTTTTTTTTCTTTCTTTTTTTGTTACAAATTTATACTTTGATAAGAGATATAATATAAATATTGTATTTTGAATCTCTTTTATGAATATTACTAAACACAATAACCTTCATATCAAAAGAAATTTACAATATATACTTATCTAACATATTCATAATTTTTTTTTCAACAATTATAATTATGCATATTGATTTTTTTTATCATTTTTAAATATATACCTTCATAAAATTAAATAATATTTACATTAATTGAGAAATATATGTTATAATATAAGAAGCTAATGTATTTTATTTTATAATCTATATTTTCAATGTAAATATTTATAAATTGATATAGTTATTATTATATCTATTTGATATTCATTTCATACACATACATGCATTGTGGTTTTAATTTTGTATATAATTAGAAAGTTTCATTTTAATTATTTGCAGGTTGTTTTTTCCATCAGAAGCACTCTCAAATTAAAGGTATGTTTTTCTTTTTATTTTTGTTATACTGAGATAGTTGTGGACATTTTTATAAACTATGTTTAGTGAGTTATATAGTAATTAAATTTTATATCCAAAAGGAACTTATATAAACTTGTTTTACATATTTACAATAATCTTTTTTTCTGCACCAATAATAGTTATACATATTGATTTTTTTTCGTTATTAAATATATATTTTCATCAAAATTAAATATTATTTACATTAATTGACAAAGATATTTTTTTTATAATAAATTAAGCTAATGTATTTTATTTTATAATCTGTATTTTTAACAGTAAATATTTATATACTTCTATAGTTATTATTATATCTATTTGATATTCATATCATTTAAACAAACACATGCATTGTGATTTTCACTTTTTATGTAATTATATATTTTCCTTTTAATTATTTACAGGTTGTTTTATCCATCAAAAGCACTCTCAAAATAAAGGTATGTTTTTCTTTTTATTTTTGTTATACTGAGATAGTTGTGGACATTTTTATAAACTATGTTTAGTGAGTTATATAATAATTAAATTTTATATCCAAAAGGAACTTATATAAATTTGTTTTACATATTTACAATAATCTTTTTTTCTGCACCAATAATAGTTATACATATTGTTTTTTTTCATTATTAAATATATATTTTCATCAAAATTAAATATTATTTACATTAATTGACAAAGATATATTTTTTATAATAAATTAAGCTAATGTATTTTATTTCATAATCTGTATTTTTAACAGTAAATATTTATAGACTTCTATAGTTATTATTATATCTATTTGATATTCATTTCATTTAAACAAATACATGCATTGTGATTTTCACTTTTATGTAATTATATATTTTCCTTTTAATTATTTACAGGTTGTTTTATCCATCAAAAGCACTCTCAAATTAAAGGTATGTTTTTTTCTTTTTTCTTTCTATTTTTGTTATAGGGAGATAGTGTGAACATTTTTATAAATTATGTTAGTGAGTTATATAGTAGATAACTTTTAAATTAGTCATGTTTAAAAAACTGAAATCTTTACTATTTTAAAATATATGCATTTGAGATTTATGTGGTGATAGTATTTACTTATTAGCATTTTAACCCTTTTATTGGATTTAATTCAATTTCAGTTTTAAATATTTTATGAAAATGATATAATAATATCTTAATAATTTACGTTATAAAAAAATAAAACAGAAAACAGATTTTACATGTACTATTTACAAAACATTGAATCATATATATATTAATTTACTCTTCCAAAATTTTAGAAAATAAAGTTATCATAATTTTGAGTTCATCACATTATATATATACATTTTAGAAAATAAAGTTATCATAAAATGCCATATTCAAATTTGTAATTTATGCTTAATATCTTTGAAGCATATATAGTTTGAAATATGTATAAAATATTAGTAACTCATTAAAATAATAAAATACTGAATTGTTATGTAAATACATTTCAGTTTTCTTTTGTTTAAGATTGGGTAAAAAAGTATTTTCGAAAATCAGATTATTAGCATTTATTTCTTCTTCAAAAAATGAAAGCCAAAACCTTTTAAAAGCTAATAGTCCTCAAATAATTTGAAAATGTAATTTACATAACTGCATCAATGATATCTTATTAAAAATACTATATTCCTATATCTTATATATATAATTTGAAAAATCAGTATCTTATTAAAAAAATGTTTATTCTTTCAATAAATCAATATAATTTTCAATTTTTCTAGATATGGCGTCAAATCGTAGACAAAACAGAAATTTTTCCATACAATCAGATACTATTCCTCATTCCGAAGCAGCAGTACGGGTAAGATTCTTACTATTATACATTCGAAGCAGCAGTACGGGTAAGATTCTTACTATTATACATTCAAATTTTTTAGTTTAGTTGGAGTTTTAGCAAGTAATTTAGATTATGAGTTTAAAAAACTTTAGGATGACGAGAACTCCATTTGGACTCATAGACGAGAACGGAAATTTATCGAGTTGTATGACGAAGCTCTTGCTATGAACAATTACCGTTTAAAAGATCCTACACCGATTGGTAAAGAGTTCATAGTAGAGAAGTTCAACGAGGAGTTCGGTCTTAATATAGACTACAAGTTTTTCAGAAAAAAACTTGATCATATGAAAAGAAAGTACAAAAAGTATTTGGGTCTTATACAAAATTCTACGGGAATCTCGGTTGATCCTGTTACATCTGTGATATCTGCATCAGACACATGGTGGAAAGACCGTGAAGTAAGTACTTTTAATCTCTTTTACTCAATTTTTTTAAATAACTTTACAAAACAGAAAAAATATGTTAACTAAAAACAACATAATTTTGTTGACAGGTATGTAGAATTATAAAAGCATTTCACAGAAAACCTCAGAGTTTTGGGATATTATGCAACGCTGTTTTAGATTGTATGACGTCCACTCACAAACTCAATACTCTGTGAGTCAAAGAAGAGAAGAGATGATGAACGAGGGTTATGCTGATGATGAAGGTTATTTGAATTCGGAAATATATGGTGAGGATATTCAAGACACTCAAATTCCAGAGACACAAGAAAATGAAGAGGGGTATCGTGTTGACATTGATAATCAACACGCAATTCAAATGAGTTTACTCCAACTCCACCGATTAATATTACTCACAAACTCAATACTCTGTGAGTCAAAGAAGAGAAGAGATGATGAACGAGGGTTTGCTGATGATGAAGGTTATTTGAATTCGGAAATATATGGTGAGGATATTCAAGACACACAAGTTCCAGAGACACAAGAAAATGAAGAGGGGTATCGTGTTGACATTGATGATCAACACGTCAATTCAAATGAGTTTGAATCCATGCGTCAACTCCCCGATTAATATGTTCCAGAATCAGGCTCCAGAGTTTCACAACAAGGAAGAATCAGACGTGAAAGTCTACAACAGAGTTGCTGGAAGCTCACAAGTCTCATCAAGGAATGGTTCACGAGGAGGTCGCAGAAAACAATCATTTCAGGCAACTCTAACAGATACAATGGCTGGTTTTAGAGAGTTTCAACGCCAAAGCTTACAACAAATGCGCCCAAATTCTTTTGATCAAGAAGATTATGATGAATGCGAGATGGCTATCAAGATATTTGAATCAATCGAAGTTCAAAAGAATACTGGATTTTATTGGGCATGCATTCAAGCATTTAAGGATGAAAGATTTTGGCGTAAGTATTTCATCGATAGAGCCGATGATTCTGACGAAGATAAGCTACAGTTTTTGCAAGCTTTGACAGGATATACACCAGACGGCGAATATGTTGGAAAACGGCTAAATTCAAATCAAAATTGCAGCAGCCCAAATTTTGGGTTTTTGCTTCTGGTGGTCCATCTTCTGGTACTAATAACTCATGGGGTCAAACTCCAAATGGACAATGGAGTCATGGTTCTCAACAATGGGGCACTCCTCCAAACGCTCAGCAATGGGGTTCATCATCAAGTATTCCACAATGGGGTACTCCTCCAAATGCTCAGCATGGGGTCCATCATCAAGTGTTCCACAATGGGGCACTCCTCCAAACGCTCAGCAACGGAATACTCCACCAAATGTCCCACAGTGGAGCACTCCACCAAATGTTCAACAATGGGGTTCATCAGGAAATGTTCCACAATGGGGTACGGCGAGAAATACTCAAAGTGGGGTTCATCATCAAATGCCAACCAATGGGATCCATCATCAAGTGCTCAACAGTGGGGTTCATCACCAAATGCCAACCAATGGGTTCATCATCAAGTGCTCAACAGTGGGTTTCATCACCAAATGCAAATCAATGGATTCCTCCGACAAATGTTCAGCGTGGATTTTCACTAGGACCTGAAGTAGAAACTACAACGATTGGTCAAGTAGAAGTTTCACGTGAATCAGAGATTCGTACTTCAGAAAATGTTCAGAGGGGAGTATCACCTGAATTCGGTTTCACAAATTATTCTTCAGAAGCACAAATACCAAGATCAAGACCGCGGAGAGTAGGAGGATTATTCAATTTGGGGAAATAAACAAGGACCAAATTTAAATGAAAGTCATCAAAGTGTTCAGGATCTGAAGATTAGTTTAGTACCACTTGTGTTTTGTTATTCATATTTATGCAAGTGATTTAAAAATATTTAATATGTATTCTTGCTTTCGAACATTGCATTTTCTTATCAATTTTATTTATGATTTGTCTTGTTGCAATATTAATTATTTATTATGCTTTTTGGTATGTTTTATAATATATAACTATTATTTATTTTTAATGATTGAAATTTTTATCAATTTGATTTACGTTTTTTCATGTTTACAATTTTTCAGGCTTTTCGTATATGTCAGTTACGATCATATGGTCTGCACAATCTAAGTTACGAGGAGAGAATTGAGTTGTGGAATTTGGAAAATGAGCAATTTGAAGAATTAATAATCCAACCATCATTAAGTTACTACAATCAATATTTTGAAAGAGGACCGGTCCAAACTGGTGGCGGTTTGGGATGGAGAAATATTTGGCGTCGGCTACAAGAAGATGATGCCGCTTGTCTTCAGTTATTACGGATGTCAATTAGGTGCTTTCAGAACATTGTGCGATAAACTGCAAACGAGTTATGGTTTACAACCAACATTGAATGTAGGCATTGAAGAGAGTGTGGCCATGTTTCTACGGATATGTGGGCATAACGAAGTTCAAAGAGATGTTGGATTACGATTTGGACGGACGCAAGAGACGTGAATCGAAAATTTTTTGAAGTGCTTAAAGCGACTGAGTTACTTGCTTGTGATTATATCAGGACTCCAACAACCCAAGAACTACGACAAATTCCTGAACGACTAGTAATGGATCAAAGATATTGGCCATATTTTAGTGGATTTGTTGGCGCTATGGATGGAGTTCATGTTTGCGTTAAAGTGAAGCCTGAAGTTCAAGGAATGTACTGGAACCGGCACAATATAACTTCATTTAATATAATGGCGATATGTGATCTCAATATGTTATTCACATATGTTTGGAATGGAGCACCTGGCTCATGTCATGATACATCAGTTTTCACAATGGCGCAAGAAAGGGATTCCTGATTTTCCTTTACCTCCACCAGACAAGTATTATCTAGTCGATTCTGGCTATCCAAACAAACAAGGTTTTTTGGCTCCTTTAGATCTTCACGGAATGTGGTTGTTCGGTATCATATGTCACATTTGAAAGTGGTCCTCCTCCTAGAAACAAGCAAGAGTTGTTTAATCGATATCATGCATCTTTACGTTCTGTTATTGAAAGGACTTTTGGAGTATGGAAGAAGAAATGGAGGATTCTTTGTGAATTTCCTAGGTATGATAAGAAAGTTCAAAAAAGAGTGGTAATGGCGACAATGGGATTACATAATTTTATTAGAATATCTAATTTTTCAGATGAAGATTTTGCTGATGAAGAAGAGACACAGAAACTGGTAACACAAGTTCTATGATAGAGCCAAGTGATGTAGCAGAAGCGGAAATAGGAGAAGGAGATTTTATGGCTAACATTAGAGAACATATTGCGAGTACACTATGGGCAGACAAAAACAATTCACGTTAGGTTTTTGGAAATAATTTTTTGTATGTTGTAATGGAATTTAAATTTTAGATAATGTCTAATTTTTTTAATTACTTGTTTTTAAGAATTTTTTTTACATATATGATTTGAAACTTTTCATTTTTTTTCTTATCGTTTAATCAAATATGATATTCTATAACTGTTTAACTTATTATATTTGTTTATATGATAATATCTGATATGGGATCTGAAAAAAAGAAAATTACATGAGTTTATATTATAGACAAATAATTATACTCTGTTATAATTGTTGCAGTATGTTTTAATGGAAGTTACATTTGAAACAATAATTATTCCAAACCTATTTATTATAATAAATATATTGATTGCATCTATAATTGTATTTTTTAAAAATTATTTGATTTATATTAATTTACGATTCATTTATTCGTTAGATTTGCTTCATTTGTTACATCGAGTTTTGGGTTTTCAAGTTTATAACTATAAATTCCGTTTGGATATTTTTATTTTTTGAGCTAGGTTCGGTTCGGGTTTTTCCGGATTTGAGTCAGGTTTGGGTATTTAAATTACGCAAAACTTATTTAATTTCAGTGAAATATATTTGATTTTGACATAAATAACTAACTATTTTTAATATTTTGTGGTATCTTTTTTAATTTTCCAAACTATATATAAATAATTTTCAGGTTATGTAATTATATTCTGGATATTTATTTTAAGTTTTCAGTTCGTTTTTTGGTTTAAAATATAAGAACTAATTCTGGGTTTGGTTTTGTTCAGTTTCGTTAATTGTTTTTATCAATTTTGAATCGGTTTTTAAAGTCCTAGCTCTAGCTAGCACTAAAGGAATAATATTTAATTTATTAGGGAAAATAAAAATAAATGAATATTTATAATCTTTAAATAACAATTTTTTATATATTTATTGTAGTAATTATATTTCTTGCATATATAATTGTATTGTTGTTTTAAAGTTTTCAAATTATATATTTACATTCTTTTTCGTTGTTTTATAATTCAATTAAATATGATAATTCGTTAGATTTGTTTCATCTGATATATATGTTTGATACGCATTTGTTCTGTATGCAGATCATGATCTGTATTTGTTCTGTATGATCTGTATTTACTGTTTGATCTGTATATTTTGATCTGTGTCACCATTCGAAACCAATATCGGTATCACACGCCATCACCGTTATATTAAAATTGGCTTACATCACTTAAAAATCATCTTGTTTTAATTAAAATATTCGGTTTTGGAATTTGATTAGACGTTCCATTCGGATAACAAAAATCAGAACAATCGATTTATAACCATTCGTTCGGATAAAGTTTCCTGCTTGCATGAATTGCATTTGTAATAGTTATAGCTTTTCCGATATAATCTCGATCTTGAATCAAATGATAAGAACGATGAGGTGTACCAACTTAGATTAGTAAAATTAATTTGAAACTGTAATTAATCAATAACCATCCATCACTCTCAACAATATCTTGATAAGCAATCTCTCTCTTTTTTGTCTTATCTATTTCGTCACGCTTTATTCTTTCGAGTTTTAATCCTCGAGATTTTGATAGAAACTTCGACCAAGCACACAGTTTTCAAAAAGTCAGATAACTAATTAACCACGAAATTATGCATTACTCTTACATACGTCATACTTAATAATTAAAGAGAGAGCAGACAATTTAGATGAAGGGAGAGAAGACACAGAGAGGATCTAATTATTACATTAACAACTGATTTGAAATGGATAGTCAGAGACTGCTTAGGAGCCAAGCATAAAGAAAGAGAAGTATCAAGAAATCTTCTCGAGCTCCTAAACTCTTTAACTATTTATTTATTACTGATATGACATTTCTCTAAAATATAATGAAATTACCACAAGACGAATATTTCTCGACGAGAGAACCGTGTTAATTAGTTGACTTCAAAAATCTTAATCCAACTTGATCGTAACAAATTCAAAGCAGAAACGTTAAACCAAACAAAATACATGCCAATACAAGGGATTTGGTTCTAAATTAGATACAGTAGTCAAAATATAAAATCATAAACGACAAACAATTACTTGTCACTCTTTAAATTCATATCTTATTAATCGCAGACACAATTCAAAAGGAGAAAGAAAAACTAACATGATCTAGTAGAAGCATGGATTCGTTTTGTTTAAAACGTAGTTACTTAGGAATTTGAATTCAGATGGAAAGAATAAGGTTAAAGAAGTAGTGGAATTTGTTGTAAATCTATAGTAAAGGAGGGGTTTATGTGAAATAAGAAAGGTGTGAATGTGTGAAAGAACAAGAAGTACTGATTAGGAATGCTTCCAGAGATGAGACAGAGAGATGTGTCAGCTTCACTTCAACATTCACATCATATCATATGACAGTTTGAGAAATCCAACAGCAGCCGAGCTACGTAGATCCTTTCTCTTTCTTCATTACTCAATTAGCTCTACTTTTATGTTTTTCTCTTTTCTTATTCTATACCGAAATTGGCATTACCTTTGACGTCATATTTTTTTCATTATAAAAAACAGATTTATGCATGGAGAGAGTAATAATATACACAAACGAATTTTTTTTTCCAAAGTATTTAACCATATTTTTTAATGTAGTATCTGTCTTTTAGGAGGACACTTTAAAAAAAAAATTTACATCTGATAATGAAAAGCTTCGAGAACATTTTGTAGTATTTTTCTTTTAGAAAAAAAATGTGATACTTTTTCGCTATGAAAATGAATCTTAAGTTACTATCATTATTTGGTACCAGATTCTTAATCTGTTTTGTGCGAAATTATAATAGATGGGCGAAATCCTTGGGATCATATTTCCTGATTAGCCATAATTTTGTACGGAGAACAATCCAGTTAAACTGTACCACAATGAATAAACAAACCAAAACGATGGTCACAGGCACACGCATGTATGGTTCTTCTATAAATCAAATTCTAATGTTAAATTTAGTTTTTGAATGGAATCTTATGAATGCTTATCTTGTTAAGATGCAATTTCATTTTGTTACAAAATATCATCATTTATTAGCAAAAGTTGAGCAAAACATAAGCACAAAAGTAGCATATATTGAGACAAAAATAAGCACAAAAGTAGTGTTCACGATGATTTCCCCCTTGCGATAATCTTTGAAGCCGTCAACACCGGTGTTTCCCGGAACATTCCTTTTGTCACCGTGTTTTGGGACAAACTCTCTCTATTTTGATCCCTTTTTGCTAATTCTTTCATTACAATTTAAATACTTTTTTTGGATATCCTTATACTCTTTTCCTCAATAATGTTATATGTTTTTCCTAGAGGGATACTGATATGTGAACAAACTATTCATGGTGCTGGTAAAATTGTCTTAATTGGTTTTGGTTGATTCAAAGTTTTTGGAAATTAATGAAAAAAAAATATGATCTATATTAGATAAACCCTCTTTTAAGACTAAAATAAAGATAAAAATTTGAATCAATATAATCAGTCTTGTCGATCCGTTGGAAGTTCATAGACTGGGTCGCTGGATAAGATCATAGCGTCACGAGCGGCTAGCGCCACAATGTCAGCGCAGGACACCACACCTGGACATGCCTCTTCCAGCTCTGCTTTCGCCCTTGCGATAACATTGAAGCCGTCGACACCAAGCGTTTCTTGGAGCACTCGTCTTGAACCGGCGATGACATTGTGTATTGGTCAAACTCTATCTAATTTGATCATTTTAGCCAATTCTTTCATTACAATTTAAATCATATATTTTTTAATATCCTTGATACTCTTTCTCTCAATAATGTTATTTATTTTTTTCTGGAGGGATAGTGATCTGTGAACAAACTATTCATGGTGCTGATAAAATTGTCTTTATAGGTTTCGTTGATTGTTAAAGTTTTATGGAAATTAATGAAAAAAAGATTATCTATATCAGATTGGCCCTCTTTAAGACTAAAATAAAGATCAAAAATTCGATTTCTCTTACTTTTTTTTACATGAAACACTTGAATGAAATGGAGATTTTTTGGGGGTAAATAAAACCTACATCTATAGATATAAAACATTTCAATTTTAAACTAATATAATCAGCCTTGTCGAAAAAATGGTAAGATAAAACTTTACAAATAAAGCTCGTTAAACATCATGTACTATGTGACATTGTAATACAAATTTATATTTTTTACAATTTACTGACAAAGTTAACTAAACTAGAAAGAATATTACCAACAGCAAATTGTCCCATTGGCCTATTAATTATGCCAACGTGGCATGTGCCATGCTGTAACAAGCCGCCACACGGTATATCTTTAGGCTAAATAGGCCGAGGGCAAAGATAACTGAAAGACAATTATAAATAGTGTGATTAACGTCTAAAAATATTTGAAAAACCTTGAGCCCAATTAAATTGAAAATCCAACCGATTCGAATAAGAGATTTTAATTTTGTTTCCTAATTAATGAAACCATGGATTAGAGTTGAAAGTTATCTAAATATTTCCATAATAGATTGGTTTCACTAAACAAATCTACTGTATTATGGATTTCTTATGATACAGTTTTGCATATAAAACATTGAAGAGGGCAATTTGGATTCATATTCGTAGTTCATTGAACACAATTTTGGGTTCATGTGTTTTTGACTTAACTAACCAATGTTGATTCCTAGTAATGCTTCTCAAGGTTGTAAAGACTTATAATTCAAACCGATTGAGGCTCATTTACTCAGCATTACCTTAACCACTGCATTGCCGCCAAGAACGAATCGAATCTCCGCGCGCGTTGGTGCCATTTTGTAGAGCAACGGAGCGTGATTCCTCGTACGTTGTTCCACTAACCATGAAAATCACCACCTCTTGTAGTGTTGTGGCCTGTTTAAACCTGCAGCAATTATGCAATTTTATATTAGTTAATGTAAATTCTACGCATAGCTGTCAAACACACTAGTAATTTTCAAGATTTTTTTTAATAAAGAACTAGTGGCACTGGTACATACCGTCCTTGTTGAATATATAAACCAAAATTTGTCACGTTTCTTTCATTTAAGTGTGTTTTTATGGGATTAAAAAATCATTAAAAAACTTGTATAATTTCTGAGAGGTTAGGTAAGGTAGAAAACAGAAAAAATTAACTGGGATATTAACAAAACGGAACAATATGATTGGTGCGTATAATGCTTTGCATTTTTTAAGTTATGCAGTTTATGCAAGTACTCGATAGAATAACAAGAAAAGAGAAAAGGAATATGTTCCTGTTCTACCACATGCTCGAGAACGAGGCCATCACACTATTATATGGTAGGGCGTACGTAGAATCATACTGTTTCTATAAATATGGCGATGAAAATGGATTCAGTATAATTGGTCATGTATATCGATACGATACCAAGTTTTGGACCAACACACAAATCCCAACTCTTTCTTCCTTCTTGGACTAATTTGTTTCCACTATACAAACTTTCTCGCTTTCCCCTTATACCATTTCCTCGTAAGCCTTCAAAGCTTGTTCGTTTGAAAGCCACCATGATCACTGCTCCAAAATGCGATGATCAAGAAAGGTGGAACTGGGGCCGGCCATCACTTCGTCTCTGTTCATGTTGACGTGTCGGTGAGTCTAGGATGCCAAAGGTAATGGTGAGCTTGTATACGCGTTGTTATATGAGAAGACTTGTATGAAACCGCTCACTTGGGGACAGCAACAGATTATATTATGGACATAGCATTGAAATTCACGACCAGCAAACTAGAGTCGTTAGCTGCAACGAGAGCTAGCTACAATTGGAGCCAATTGTCGCCAACGACTCTAATTTGCTCGTCGTGAAGCTCAATGCTTCGTCCATAATATAATCTTTCGTTGTCCCCATGTGAGCGGCTTCATACAAGCTCTTCTCATATAACAGCGCGAATACAAGGATCATATTGGTCAATCTCATTTCTCTTTGAATTTTTTTTTTTTTTTTTTTTGAATATTTGGTCTCTTTTCCTTTCGGCTGTAACATCCATTACGTTTCTTCTTTTCAATAAATGGAACAACATATCTAGTTCCATGATCTTCTTCTATTTGGGTTCTCATATATGTGTGTTCTCTAAACTGATTCGAAGCTGGGCTTAATGGGCTGCTGTATTTGTTTTCTTTTAACATGCAATTTAAATAGTAAGCATTTTGTAGAGCAACGGAGCGTGATTCCTCGTACAGTCTGTTGTGGCCTCTTTCTTTTCTTTGAAGTGTCTGATTGATGGGATCAAAACATATAAAAATTTGTATAATTTTCTGAGAGGTTAGGTTTGCACAGAGGAAAATATTGTCATTAATTAATTCATCACTGAGAAAGTGGAAAATAGAAAAATTCAACAAGGCTATTAACAAAATGGAACAATATGATGGGTGGGTATGCTTTTTCATTTTTAAGTTATCTAGTTTGTGCAGAACTGCAGATAGTCAATAAAACAACTAGAAAGAGAAAAAGGAATATATTCCTGACAGTTAAGCAAATGTTAACCATGTTCGACAACGAGGCCATCCAATGGCTGAACTAGATCTATTTAATGGGGTCAAAAATTATTCTATTTAATTTAATACAATTTTTTTTTATAAAACATACTATTTCTGATTTGAACACAAGGCGTAGGGGTCAAAAGTAGATTTTTTTTTTCCAATTCACCTCAACAATTCTCCTTTTAGTAAACTAGTAAACAATTTTTTTATAGATTTAGTAGGTGTCACTTGACCCCCTTCTCTTCAACTTGGCTGAGGCCATCACACAATTATTTGGTGGGGGCGTAGAATCATACTGTGTCTATAAATATGGCGATGAAAATGGATTCAATACAACTGGTCATGAATATGGATACGATAGCAAGTTTTGCACCGATACATAAACCCAAACACTTTCTTCCTTCTTGGACTAATTTCTTTCCAGCATGCAAACTTTCTCGCTTTCCCCTTATATCATTTCCTGGTAAGCCTTCAAAGCTTGTTCGTTTAAAGGCCAACACGATCACTGCTCCAAAATGCGTTGATCAAGAAAGTAATCGCACGTTTCATAAGGTTCCACCTTCTCAGTGGGACTGGGGCCAGCACTTCCTCTCTGTTCATGTTGACGTTACGGTAAGTCTATATATATGCATAATTTATGTATAAGTTAATGTTGATACTGATGTTCATCGCTTTCCTCTTTGTTCATATTCACGATGATTTATTGGCGTTTGGCGAGTCTATAATATATTAATATATGTAGATGTTTCGATTAGTTAGTATGTTGATACTGATGTTCATCACTTCCTCCTTCACGGTTTTTTATGCATGTTAAGAAAACAGCATTATGAGTGTTTTGATGTAATAGAAAAATGAGAGATAAAACTATATGAAGTAACAAACAATATATACTAGATTCATACTTTAGTAAATTGTCGTAGGCATATATAATTATTAATTTATGATATGATTGAGAACATATACCTAAACTTGAGCTTCTTACGAGATTATTATATGATCTAAATTTGCTAATTTTTACAATGTTCTACGAAATTTTTAATTATTTTCTAATATTTTTTATTAATTTGTGGAGTATAATTTTATTGGAACATAATTTTAGGAAATGGATGCGCTTAGGATAGAGATCGAGGAGTTAAAGCCAATAGTGAGAGGCATGCTCATGTCTTCCCAAAGCGTTGACTCGACTAAGAAGAGAGTATGTTTGATCTACTTACTGGTAAGCCTTGGTCTCATGTATCTTTTTGAGGATGAGATCGAGAAGAGTCTACAAGAGAACTTTGAGAAGATAGAGGATGTGTTGGCCGGCGAAAACGATTGTCCACGATTTCCAACATCTTTTGGGTTTTCAGAACATACGGTTACAAAATGTCTTCTGGTAAACAAAACACAAGCTAGGCTTGTTTCGATACAAGTTCATACAAAAAAACTTTTTTTTTCTTTTTCATTAATTCATATTTATAACATGATTCTTCGCTTTATGAACTTCAAGCAGAGGTGTTTACCAGATTTAAAGGAGAAGACGGAAAGTTTAAGGAATGTTTGGTCGAGGATGTCAAGGGAATGGTGAGCTTCTATGAAGCCGCTCACTTGGGGACAACAACAGAAGATATTATGGACGAAGCATTGAGCTTCACGACGAGCAAGTTAGAGTCCTTAGCTAAATATGGAGATGGCTTTTCTCATATAACAGCTCGTATAAAAAATGCTCTTTGCATGCCTCAGCATTTCAACAATGAAATGGTATTCACGAGGGAATACATTACATTCTACGAGAATGAAGAAGATCACAACAAGATGCTACTCAGATTTGCTAAGATCAACTTCAGGTTCTTGCAGCAAAACTGGATTCAAGAACTCACAACTCTCGGCAGGTATTTGTAGCTTTTTCTCACTATATGACGATTGTCACAATTTGAGCTTACAATAGTCATTGATGACATACATGTTTTGTACCTAGATGGTGGAAGCAGCAAGATTATGCATCTAAACTTCCACCTTACTTCAGAGACAGATTGACCGAGTGCTACTTATATTCATTGCTGACATATTTTGAGCCACGATTTTCACGTGGGAGGGCTGCGATTCTTAATATCAGCACGCTCGTCACCCTGATTGACGACACATGTGATAGATATGCACCTCTTTCCGATATCGCAGATCTTGTTGCTTGCGTGGAAAGGTATCGTCAAACACCTTCCTCATTTGCACTTTCTTTGTGTGAGAAAATTCTATAAAACGGAAATATAGAAAATGCAAAAGAGATAGCAATAATGAAAAGAATATATATATGTAATCTTCTTAACGTTGCATGAACAGGTGGGATCCGGATAACTTGGACTGTTTACCGGATTATATGAAAATCGTCTTCAAGGCTGCATGGGATATTTTGGAGAAGTGTGAAAGCGAGGGCAAATCTGAAGAAGGATCTTCTTTTGATGTGCAAGGTTTACTTGGAGAGGTAATTAAGTATTATCCAAATTTTACTATCATATGTTATATAGTAGACATTAATTTATTGTTTATGATATCTTAATGAATAAGCAGCTGAAGATATACTTAAGAGCCAACCTACGGTTCGCTGAATGGGCACAAACAGATTTGGTGCCTACAACATTAGATGAATACTTTGAGATTGGTGGAACCGAAGTGACAATGCATATATCCGTAGGAGGCACGTTTCTAGCGTTGGGAAAAACGGATAGGGACAAAGCTTATGAGTGGCTAAAGTCGAGACCTAAATACATTCAGGCTCAAGCTAAAAGGGGTCGTCTGATGAATGACATAACCGGCTTCTACGTAAGTATATACAATTAGCATGATCAATATTTCTTCTTGTGAACATAAATGATGACGTTGCGTTAATAAATTTCAACAGGATGATATGAGCAGAGGGTATAAACCAAATGCTGTAAATTATTACATGAAGCAGTACAATGTCACCGAGGATGAAGCGTTGGCGGATCTTCATATGATGGTTAGGGAGTTGGATAAGACCGTGAACGAGGAGTTCTTGAAGACAGCCAAGAAAATGCCGAGAAAAATACTAAGAGGACCAATTGGTTTCGGAAATACGGTAGTTTTTAGCTACAGGTTCGGTGAAGAATTCACTTTTCCCGAGAGATTCAAGGAGCATATCACCTCTTTGTTCGTCAATCTCATTCCTCTTTGAACGTTTTTTTAATGTTTGGTTTTCCTTTGAGTTGTAACATTTATATATGGTTTGAAACCATAACGTTTTTCTTCTGTTCAATAAATGGAACAACATAACTAGTTTCTTTATTTGGTTTTTGCTTATCAACTTCATCTTGGAGAGAGATAAGGTTGTAAGCAGAACAACCTTGGACCCAATGTTTTTTTGTACAATATCATTCAAAACCCAAGAAAAATTAGAAGGAAAATAAGAAGTCCATTCTCTTTAGTTTGTGTTGTCAAAAGCAGAAAAAGAGCAAGTGTAGTCAACGTAGTCCAATGCATTGGTTATGCTCTCCATAGTTTGGAGCAGAGGCGGCTGATGCTGAGTGTATACATTCTCAACCCCCTGTATTTTCAGCAACACATGTATGAGCATGACGTATATTTCTATATATATAGAGAGATGTAGAATGTTTCTGGAGATTGTGTGAACTTACCCTTCTTCATGATGTTCTTGAGGGCCTCATCTTGCTTCCTCTCTTTCATTTTCTGGGCTTTCCTCGTCTTCTTTGCATTCTTCTTTGCCTTTTTGGATTTTGGTGCCTTACGTGCAACAGCAACTACCACCACCTCATTCTTCTTCTTCACCTCTGGTTTCTTCACCTCCTTCTTCTTCAGCTTATCCCTCATCCGCTTGACTATCTTCTCAAACCACAGCATCCCCTTTTCACAACATCTTGCATACACCATCCTCTTCCAAATGGTGTATGAATACATGGACGTTTCCAAACTTTCATTGCATGAATACATGGACGTTTCCGATATCACGTTGTAGATGGATCGACTAATATGAAAGAAACAAAATGCAAACAAATTGACTGATATGAACATAAATTGCACACATCTTTTGCATCCAAACGTTGTCCTATGGCTACCTCTCTTCTAATGGTTGACCAAACAAAATACAAATTCATAAAATGCCAAAGAGTTGCTATTAGAACAACAAAATAGTAGTGAGTGTATGCCATTATAAATTTAGCATTATTACAACGTCAATTTTGGGAAGTAATATTCCAAAATTTCACAAACAAAATCCCATAATACCTGAATTATTAAAAAGTTCTCACGATCCCTTTTACATACGGTAATTGGTAATCCCATATAAACAGAAAAGGTAGTTAATTGTTGGAAAATTCCGTATTACTCTTAAATTTTACAATCTTTAGGTTACTTTTTTTATACACTTGATCAAGCAAAATTTCCAAAAGATTTTTGTGGTATCTTTAGAATAAATAAATATGCGATACATTTGAATATTTTTAGGTTATTAAAAACATTTTAAATCTATTTTGTGCATACAAGTTTACTAGAGGAGCAAGATTCCATGAAGTTACATTTCCGGATTAGCCATAATGTTGTACGAAAAGAAATCCAATTAAACTGTACCATATGGCTGCCTGATCTTATATCCATAAACCTGTAATTTGTGTGAAAAGTATATAAAGTGACACTTAATATAAAATGGAGGAAGTAGTAGATCTCTAACAAAAATTTGTTTTTGAAATGGAAGACAAACCTCAAACCAAGTTTTCATGCAACCTAGTTTAGATGTTTGTTTTTTGTTTTCTTTTCAACAAATCTATCAAATTAACGCAATTAAATACGGAACTAAACAACCATTTCAAAGCGAGGTCGTTTGATAGACACTCTTCAGTTGCCACGTGTCGTCTAACGACCCCACTTATACGAGACGGACCGGTCTATGAGCACGTACGCAACAAAAAATAGAATATTGTACTTCCCTAAACCGGCTAAACCGTATGATTTTGCGTTTCTGTACGGTTTATGATTTTTCTGTCATAAATCTCTCTATCTTTTATTCCTTGAAATACCTTTAACACCCTTTCCGTTTCGACGTTTCCGCACCGTCCAGTCGGTGTAAATATCTTTTCGTCACGAGGGTATTTTCGGAAAATACAAGTCAGATAATCTCAGATACAGACCTCAAGTCCACGGAGCCATGCTAATGCTATATTCAAAAGATCTCTGTTTCCAAAGAGATCCCCAGTACGCTTCTCCACACCGGCTTGTTTCAAGAGGAATTGAACAAGCTGCAGTTGCGTGACATCCAAGAATTTATGATGCAAGATACTCGAAAGAGCTACGATGATCTTTGTTGATTAAGATTCTGCATTTCACTAGATTACTTAATCCCAGATTATATAGTAAGAACTTCTTCAAGGTTGATTTGTCTAGTTTTTTTTGTTTTTAACATGCGATTTCCCCATGGGACAACGAGTAATAACCACTTACGTCTAATGAATGCAGAGAAACAATCTGATGATTAAACTAAGACCTCGTTATACTTCTCACTCATGAGGAAACGAAGAGGAATTCTATACCAAGACTAGGCTCTGTCAAGAACAAGGGTCTGACAAAACTAGAATCAGTCAGAATCCCTATGATTGATATTTTTATACCTCTATATTGTTATATTTTTCTATTTATATCAGTGATCTCTACAAACAACAACAACAACCATGGCAAACCATCTAAATGATCCCATAACCACTTCCCTTAAACCGGATTTAACCGAAAAAGAAGAAGTTGACGAAGAAATGGTGAGCTTGCGAGCGGAGAGTATTACAAACTCATCTCAAAGCCGCCTTGGAGCTGCTGCAGGCAACTGGCACGTGGCTCTCAGCATCTGAGTTAGTGGTTTGTCTTGCAGCCAAACCGTGTAACCCGGAGGCTCCAATGTTGTTAGACCGGATGATGCGCCAACTCACCAGCCACTCGATTCTCAAATGTTGGGGCAAAGCGACATCGTTTTCAAGGCGTGGTGAGTACTAGATTAATTAGCCAGATTAATAGTTGATCCTCGATTACGTTTAACTGGTTATAGCGAGGAATCTCATAAAGCGGTTTACAATATAAATGCTCTCCATGCACTTGTATATTTACAGGACACATCTTAAGAATGTGATACTTGAAGGGAGAGATGGATTCAGTTCTGCCCATAGAATGAGAATACATTGGTTTCGATGAACCATACGGTGATATGTTTAATCATGAATTTTTTTTTTAGAAGTTTACAAAGGATTCGAAGATGTTAACATTTTGGTGGATGTCGGAGGAGGACTTGGCACCGAACTTAGTCTAATTAATCACTTCCAAATATCGTCATATATTAAAGGCATCAATTTCGATTTACCCCCACGTTTTGGCTCATTCTCGTCCTTATCCAGGTACAAATTAAATTTCTTTGATTATCATAACCAATATTCGACCAAAAGGACAAAAGTATTGTTTTTATTTTGCTCATATACTTTTCTTTAATCGGTTTACAGGAATTATGTGCATGCGGCGGGATATTTGTTTACAGAAGTTCCTAAAGGAGATGTCATCCTCATGAAATGAAAGTGAGTTATGTTTATTTACTCCATTTGAATACAAAATTAAACCGTTCCTAACTCAAAAAAAAAAAATGTTGGAAGAGTCTTCCGGAAAGAGGAAAAGTGATCATTGTAGAAATGATTACACCAGAAACTTCAAAGAGCGATGACGTTTCATCTAATATTGTGTTTGATTTGGACATGTTGTTGTTAACCTATTGCTCGAATGGCAAAGAATGATCTCTTTTTGAGTTTGAGGTTTTAGCATATGATTCAGGTTTTCTTCGTTATGAAATCATATGTAGTGCTTATTCACATTCTGTAATTGAATTTGACACATAGATCGGGAGTTAGCAAAAATAAAGTAATGGTGTTTGTGCTATATGTAAAATAACAAAGGGACAATTGTTTAAAAAAATAAAAAAAATTATTGCATTACTAAGGTTTTGAAAATATTATTTTTCACTTTTCAAGATTGTGATAATTGTTTAAAATGAAAATCCTAAAACGCAGAGATACAATGTATTAGAGTTTACCAGGCCTTTTAAGCCAAAAAAAAGGATACAATGTATATATCTAAATCATATACCAAACACTCAAACCTAAATCTAAATCATATACCAAACACGTACATAATCAAAGCTTGGGCTCAGTTTTACCTTTTTCTGTCGAGGTTTTCTTTGCTGCAAAGTTCAAGACCTTTTTTTAATCTCTCTCCTTCTGGATTGCAGACTTCTTGTTCGTTGTTTTCTTCTTCGATTTCTTGGCATTTTTTGACACCTGAAACAAACGAGCAGGAGCAGCACAGGAGCAGGAGAAGCAGGCGCAGGAGGAGTAATTAGCTTTGCCTCTCTAGCTCTTTCCTTGTCAACCTGTCTTCTCAATCCTTTCCAGAATATACCGGAAAGTTCAACATCCACCTGAAAAACAAATGTTTTATTCAAAACTTATATATTGGAAAGCTTCAATAAAATCAAGAACATTATGCTTTATGATTGTAAAACTATAAGATATCTCCTAACTCAGAACATTATATGATTATGATAAGCGATATCTTACCCAAAAGACTATATCGATAAGCTGCCTTCAATAAAATCCAGGAGATTATTCTAAGATTTATATCTGATTATCAATAAAATGCTATTCAGTCATAGATCCTAATTGATATTCAGTCACAGTATATATCTGGACGAATCTAGAGAAGAGAAATTAGAAGAGAAACATTTATCAATTTCAGAAGTGACTAATAATTTATTCAGAACATGATGCTGAGGTAGACTTCTTAAAACGCTCAATGAATGAAAACAATGAATGAAAACATTGACGTTTCTTGTAGATGGATCAATTAATATGAAGGAAACAAACCTGAAAATGCAAACAAATTGACTGATGAACATAAACTGCACACACTTCTTTTGTATCCAAGTGTTGTCCTATTGCCACCTCTCTTCTAATGGTTGACCAAACAAAAGACAAGATTCACAAAATGTCAATTTTATTCATGGGTATGTTTATAATGGTTGCCACCTCTCTTCTAATGGTTGTCACCGCTCTTCTAATGTCAAAATAGTCCAAAATTTCACAAACAAAATATGTTTTCCAAAAGTATTTGAACCCTTTTTGAGTAGTTTTCTGAAAAATAATTCAGCTCAATAACATTTAAACCCTTTTTGAGTAGTTTTCTGAGAAATAATTCAGCTCAATAACATTTGAAGTTTTGGTCGAGATAACATTTGTCAAATAAATAAACAGATTATTTAAACTCCCAAAATAATACTTGAATTTTTAAAAAGTTCTCACGATTTAACATACGGTAATCCCATATGAACACAAAAGTCACCTAATAGTTGGAAAACTCTGTACTACACTTAAATTTTACAGTCTTTAGGTTACTTTTTTATACACCTGATAAAGCAAAATTTCCAAAAGATTTTCGTGGTATTTTTAGAATAAATAAAAATATGCGATACATTTGAATATTTTTAGGCTATTAAAATTATTTTTAATCTATTTTACTAGAGGAGCAAGATTCCATGAAATTACATTTCCATTATACTGTACCATGTGGCTGCCTGATCTTATAGACTAATAATTTACACAAATTATTTTTGTTATCCTTCACACCATATGGCTGCCTGATCTTGAAACCCTTTGTGCTTCTTCCAAGTCCTTGAGAAACCTGTCACATCACAAATCACAATTCATCTAACTTTCTTATGATAAAGTTTTGAATATGAACACTGAAAACAACAATTTGGATTCCTAATCATAATTCTCTGATTAAACTAACCAAAGTTGATTCCTAGTAATGACTCACTGGTCAGTGCTACATGATGAACGTACCTCTTGGAATTAAGCACTGCGGTGCCGCCAAGAATGAATCGAATCCCGGCGTTGGTGGCGTTTTGTAGAGCAACAGAGCGTGATTCCTCGTATGTTGTTCCACCAACCATGAAAATCACCACCTCTTGTGGCCTGTTTAAACCAAGCAATCATGCAATTTCTGATTAGTTAATGTAAATTTCACGCATAGGAGAAATCCGAAACTGTCAAAACACATGAGAAGATTTCAATACATACCGTCCCTGTTGAAAATGGTCTCCAACGAATGGGTAGTCCACATCTCGCAATCTCCCTCTGGTTATGCTCTCCATAGTTTGAAACAGGAGAGGCTGATGCTGTGTGTAGACATTCTCAACCCCCTGTGTTTTCAGTAACATGACATGTATGAGCATGGCATACATTTTTATATAGATATAGACTGTTTCTGGAGAGGCATATAATCTCAGATACAGACCTTAAGTCCACGAGCCATGTTGCGTGCTATATTCAGAAGATCTCTGTTTCCAAAAAGATCCCCAGTACGCTTCTCCACACCGGCTTGTTTCAAGAGGAATTGAACAAGCTGCAGTTGCGTGACATCCAAGAAGTTATGATGCGAATAACATGAAACCAAAGTATGAATTGAGGGTACTTTCTTTCATGTTATCCACCTCAAAGGTAAAAGAAAGAGAGACGCGAAAGGAATCAAGGTGTTAGTTTTACTGTACCCCTGGTTTGTACTTGGGAGAGCGTGAAGCCAATTTGTTGAATAATTGCATCAACTGAACGGGGTTTTCTTTCTCATAGCGCAAAGCATACAGCATAACCAAACGGAGCCGGTCGATGTCAGACACACTTTCATTGTTTAAGAGATCTGTCACTGCCTGCAATAAGCATGAAGAGAGAGTGAGAGAGAGTCAGAGCTTCGTGCTTACAACAGAGTGTGGACAAGTTTGCATATCCAGCTAATCTAGCTACGATGATATAAACTGATAGTTTGATGGGACAATGAGTAAATGGAGCAAGTGAATATTCACTACCTCATATGCAGCTCCTTGGCCACCATTGCAAGCCAAGTCCTGCTCTGTTTGTGAAACCAGCATCAGTTTCCTTGCTTCAACTAGCTTGCTCATCTCAGTAACCAGGGTTACATGCTTTGAAACATTGCCTTGCATCTTTTTGTACTCAGGGTAGTTGTCAACAAATCTGGCCATGTCCTCTGTAAAACCAACGCATTCACATATTATAATTTTCACTAGCACCAGAAACTAAACGTCTTTGCAGAGCATAGTTTAAGACTAGCCATATTTGTACCTACGGTCTGTATATTTTGGTTACTCTTTGCCACCTGCTGAAAGTCATCTACCATTCGCTTGATGTTCATTCCAATATCCCCAAAATTTTCATACATGTTAGACTTGAAGAATGCATCTTGTTCTGATGATAATACCACCTCCTGCAGGGGAAGTAGACTTATTAGCTACAAGGTTCTCAAATCTCAACTAATAAAAGATGGTATTGGAGAAGACTCACGACTTGCTGATCTTTCGGAAGACTTCCAATGGCTTTCAAGTCCACTTTATTATCTTGAAGTCCTATGAGTTCGTGCACCATTGCCTACAGAAGAATCTCTTTAATGAGCAAAAACATCTGGAGGCACATCTTATATACCAGAGACTAGCACAATATTAAACAAAAGTTGTTAGTCACATTAACCTGATATGTCCACTGATTCAGCAATGGGGTAACCGGGTCATCTCTTCTGTCAATTACAAGCAGCAACGGAGAGCTTTCAGTCCGTCTAAAGTCAAAGAGACCGCTTTCATGCTGATACATCAATTTCTGAAACATAAAAGTGTCTTTCAGATGAATACAGGACATACAAAATTTTCAGATTGATGCAGGCAAATGTAACTTTTGGAGAGCTTGTCCCACAGTTTCACTTACAGCTGTTTCGTGTGCAATCCTTTTCGCAGTATCAGAGGTCCTCTGGTATCTGATGACAGGTCTACGTTTCAACGCCAGAAACACTGCCGCAATTCCATCAACAACCCGATCCGAGTAGCGTTGCAAACCAGAGGGATCGACCACTGCTGGGAGCATATACAGGTGGTTTGATGCCATATTCAATGTGAAATGATATGGATCACCCGCCACAAAGTCTGCATAATACTCCTGCAATACCAAAAACCAAAAGGACTATGTTAAAAAAGCCACACTACTACGCCGAGTTTACCAAGCAATCACAAACCAAGCAACTTCTTAGAAGCAGCTAAAAATCTATGCTTATACTGATCCAATAATATGCTACGAAACATTCTTTCAGCATCAGTCTCCTATTCGAAAATAAACATCATGGAGGAAGGAGCAAGCCAGAGCAGAATTACTAAAAATCACCTGAACTTGTTGTACAACCTCTTGCTCATCCGAATCGGCCAAAATATGAATTTGAGTGTCCTTTAACAGATTGGAGAAAACTGAAAGATAAAAAGTTCAAAATTCCGTCATGAAGGCTCAAAATTCCAAATATGTCAATGAACAATGATAGATTCGAAATTCGTAAGAGATGCAAGAGAGCGTATGTACATAGATGGTATTCTCCAAATCTAGGATTCGCAAGCTGGTATCGTAGTTTCTGGATATTCTCCGAACTTGGGCGGATGAAATAAACAGCTTTGAGATGCGACATCGATTCCTTCGATACGGCGATTGAATCGATCATCTCTACAAGGAAAACTTCTTTCTGAAGAAGCTCTGACTGCGAATACACAATGCTCACATTGCTAACCTGAAATCGAGAAACATATAATGAGCTAATTTCGTTCCGGCTCCAAATGGAAATGAAGAAGAATGAGAGAAGAGTATAGTAATCGAAGACGAGATCGGATTTACCGTTTCGGAATCGAGTATGAGAACCTTCATGCCGGAGATGTCCTGAAGCATTCGGTTGATGTAATCACGCACAGACGTAACCAGCACCATCGTTTCACCGGAAAAAAATTTCCGCTACGATTACTTCGTCCGATCAGATCTACGGTGACTAATTTGGTCGATTTCTGTTTACTTTACAACGAAGCTGGCGCAGGGCCGTCTCTATATTATTAGGGCCCATTGGGCCATCTTTTGCAGCGTTCGTCCATTTTACCGAAACAAGTCAACTTTACGATTTTAACTCATCATGTTTCGCTTGAAGACATCAAATTAAAACAAACACATTATAGGTTCGCATTTAATACGGTTAATCACAACTTTTGGAAACTACAACACTTTCATTTGGTGTTATAGCTGCAATTGTATTGTCTTAAAAATTTGGTATGATTTAAGGAAGCAAAAGGGAATAACAAGAAAAGGATAATGTCATAATATATTCATCAAACTTGTTGTTCACGTTAATTTAGGGGTCGTCATAAGTCTAAGCTTACACAGAAAAAATAAACTCAATTCCTTGTAAATTAAATCGTACTACATAACAGTTTCAATCTTCACTTGAAAAAAAAGCTAAGCTGAGACGATGTAGATGAAGCCCTATGAATGTCTTTCAACTTCTTCTCCATCATCATATGTTGCTCTTCAAGCTTGGGTCTCAGCGAGATTTTCACGGTCTTTAAACACTTAGAGCTGGATAAGATGTACTTCAAGAATTGTTCCTCTTCTACTCTTCCTCCATATTCTCTATACTCAAAGATTTCGAGCTCTGATGACAAGCATCCGGGAACAGAAGTCGGTTTGTTCCACGAAAGTGGGAGACGCTCGGGTTTAAATGTAGTTTCCTGAGATGCAACGAGGGATATATATATTTAGTAAGCACATTTTTAGTTAGTTTTTTTTTTGTACATGAAAGAGTAGAAAAGGAGGAGGATACGTACGTAATTAACCATGAGAGATTTTAGTTTGGAAGTGTTTCCAAGTAGAAGCATAAGTGGTTCCAACCAATCTGATTTTCGTACTGGAATTATTTTTAAGGTCTCTAGTCGAGTGTAGTGGATGGTGCTAAAACACCGAAGCTGCAATGAAGCAAAACACAAACGTAAGTAGAAGTAACAATGTAAAACACGCATCAAACAAATTAAACACAGAGGCAGATTAAGAGAGTTACCATTTCATCCGTCAAATTCAACTCAAGAGACGAGACCGAAGAAAGAGACTTCAAAAGTTTGTCATCGGGGTAAGATGTAATATCGATATATGCATCCTTAAGACAAGGTATATCCTCGGTCGAGCAATAGTCTCTCGAACTATCAACGATGATTAACTTCTCTAACGAAGGAGTATTAATAATCAAGCACCCACCAGTATCTTCGACATCATTGTCGATATAATTATTGTCATAGGTTAAGGACAATAGAGAAGGAGCGTTCACATTGAACCTTTTCACATTGTCATCCTTTTTCCGTGTCACTTCAAGAATTTTGAGAACAGGGCATGCTGATAAGAACCTAACGTGAGAATCCTCGTCTTTATACACCACACAGTTTAGGTGTAGTTCTTCAAGGGATGGGAGGCAGGCGGTAAAAGGCACATCCACAAGAATCTTGTGGGAGAGAGTTAGTGACTCGAGAGATTTGCAAGAGTAAAGGGTCTTGGTCAAGGTGATTGGAGCTGCGGACCACAGGAGCTTGAATTTTAGGTCACGCACACCGCGTTCAATAGCGTTTGCAACCCACTTACCGACGTCAACATCAGTAGGACACCTTCGACCAAGTTTCATACTCAATTTGTGTAGTACAGGTGCATTATGGAGTTGCAATGTTTTGTCAAGAAACATCCAAACGCTCTTTTTGCTTTCGTCCTCGCTCTCTAGCTCATTGTAAACTTCCTCATCCTCATCCTCCTCCTCATCCTCATCCTCCTCGTCGTCATCATCATAGTAGTCGTCATCATCATCATCATCATCATCATCGCTGCCAAGATTATCATCAACGCTGTCAAGATCGCTGTCTTTGAACTTAAGTTGAAAAACCTTTGTCCAAACATAGCGCCATCGTTTCGACAAAAACGTGGTGACCACGGCGTCTTTTGTCGGGAGAAGACCCAATATCCTTACGATCAAATCTTCCGGCAACTCACTAAACCTGTCTTCACAAAGTGTGCCTTCAACTCTCCCGCAAGTTTTGGCTTCTGGCATCTTCTCGGCGCAATACCCTATCCCTCTCCGGTTTACACAAGGAAGTTGTTATAACCTAATAGCTAATAGGTTTTTACTTACCGATTAGTATTGCTTATATATCTAAAATATTTCCTTTTTGTATATCAAATAATTCCTTTTCTTATTTTGTTTAAGAGTTTGATAGGTTACAAATACAATAGATCACCTCTATAAATTAATACAAGACTATAAATATAATAAAAAATTAACTCGATAAGTATGAATCTAATGTTTGATTAACACAAACCAACAAAAATCCTATAGACTAAATATTAACACGAACTCTTTACTTATCCATCACGCCATATAGCTGCCTGATCGTCCCTACCGTTTGTGCTTCTTCAAGTCCTTGAGAAATCTGACACAAGCAAAATCATTAGTCAACTAACATTTTTAATGATACAGTTTTCAATATAAAATAATGAAAACAACAATTTGGATTCTTAATCATAAGTCATCGAACACCAATTTGGGTTCGTGTGTTCGCGGCCTTAACTAACCAACGTTGATTCCTAGTTATGCTTCTCAAGGTCGTTAAGACTTATAACTCAAACCGATCAAGGCTCATGAATCCCGGCGTTGGTGGCATTCTGTAGAGAAACGGAGCGTGATTCCTCGTATGTTGTTCCACCAACCATGAAAACCACCACCTCTTGTGGCCTGTTTAACCAGCGACTATGCAATTTTCAGTTTGTGTTGGTTTTACTGTACCTCTGGTTCGTATTTAGGAGACCGTGAAGCCAATTTGTTGAATAATTTAAATCAACTGAACGGGATTTTCTTTCTCACAGTACAAAGCACACATCATTAGCATTAATATGCTTTGAGATCTGTTGGATCGACTTATATTTATAAATTGCTACTGCGTTTTTCTTCCAAATATACAGTGAGAAAACAAGCAAGAGAAGATTAGACTGTGAAAAGGTTTTTCATGGCTACATATATTGGAATCGAATGTTCACTACTCTCAAACTTGTGTTGATTCTTACAATGTTGGTCGCTCTGTTCACACTCTACCGCTCTCCGCCGCTACTAATTTCTGAAAAATCGATAGACGTTCGTAAGCAAATGGATACAAGAATCTCGCTACACATCTACAGCTGAGATAAACTGGAACCATATGTCACATATTGTAGAAAACTACTTATCCGGTGGAAACAAGAATCAAAGAATTGGCTTTCTAAATCTTAACGACAACGAAATCAATCGATGGAAAGAGGTAACCAAATCCGATTCTCAACATGTACCTTTGCATCTAGACCATGCAGCAAGTGACATAACTTGGGCTGCTTCACTTTCCTACAAAAAGAAAGAAAAAGATTATGCCATCATTTATGTGATATTAATTGAAATTCAATATAAAAAAAAAATTAGAGAATACAGTACCTTTGTTCTTCTTATCAGCCTCCATTTTTTTCATTTTAGAAATAGATTTTGCTTTCTTGGCCAGCTTCTTACTCTTCTTAGTCTTCCTGGTTTTGGGCGGCAAAATAACTTTCTTAGGCTCAAATAGTGCTTAATGCTCCTCCAGCTTGTGTAGAAACCTCAAAATTGTTTCCCTGCAAATGTTAGATGTTAAGTATTCAGAGATAAAAAGTGTTCATATAAATGTATCTATCACTCACTATAGAACAGGTGTAGTCAACCTCATAAGTCTTTGCAATCAATCGTGAGATAATCTTCACAGGAATCTGTAGGATCAAAAAATGATTAGAAACAAAGAAGATCATCAAACTAAGGACTAATAAAAGAGTCTAATTAGAAACAATCAATCTGTACTCAATCCGATCTTTTCTCTATCAAGGACCTAGAATCTCTTGTTCCTTACAAGAAACTAAACCGATAACCTAGTATAATATCCAAGTTCGTACTACGGAGATCGATTTACATACCTGGTATTGAGACTTCAGATTTGGCGTCCAGCGAGATTTGGATAGCCGATCGATGAAATTATCCATGAAACTGAAGCAAAACGACATCAGAGAAGAGGAATCAGTGAGAATTTCAAGATCGAAAAGAAGAAATCGATCAATAACGAATGTGATTACCTCTGGGGAAAGCAATTCCTTTGTGCGATTGCAAATTCCTGGAGATCAGGTTTCTCCTCAACGAATTTCGACCAGAATCGCTGGGCCGATTCTTCAAGCTTTGCAAGGTTCCAAGTTTCTTCTTCCATAGCTGATGCGAGCTCTGCGAAAGCTTAGAGAGATAGAGAGAGAGAAGAGACAGAGTGAAATTAGATTTTAAACGATATTATGATTTAAACAAGCGGGAGAAGCAAAACCGACCTTAAAGCTCACGTTGGGCCTTTAGCTTGCGTTTGGGCCTAAACACGTGCCTCCGTTTTGGGCCAATAATATGCTACGAAACACTCTCTTTCAGTATCAGTCTCTTATTCAGGAAAAAATCATGAAGGAGCAAGCCGAAGCACAATTTCGAAAAATCACCTGAACTTGCTGTACAACTTCTTGCTCATCTGAATCGGGCCAAAGTGTGAATTTGAGCATTCCTTTACTTTTGAGCATTCCTTCAATAGATTGGAGAAAACTGAAACATTCATTAGAGGAAAAATCAAAAATTCAAAAACATATACATTGTCAATGAATAATTATAGATTCGAAAATTCGTAATAGATGAAAGAGCGTATGTACATAGATGGTACTCTCCAAATCTAGGTTTCTGGGTATTCTCCGAACTTGGGCGGATGAAATAAACAGCCTTGAGATGCGACATCGATTCCCTTGATACGGCGATTGAATCGATCATCTCCACAAGGAAGAAGCTCTGACTGCGAATACACAATGCTCACATTGCTAACCTGCAATTCAACAAGAAATCGAGAAACATGTAATGAGCTAATTTCGTCCGGCTCCAAATGGAAATGAAGAAGAGTGAGAGAAGACTATAGTAGTCGAAGACGAGATCGGATTTACCGTTTCGGAGTCGAGTATGAGAACCTTCATGCCGGAAGTGTCCTGAAGCATCCGGTTGATGTAATCACGCACAGACGTAACCAGCACCATCGTTTCACCGGAAAAAATTTCCGCTACGATTACTTCGTCCGATCAGATCTACGGCGACTGAGGCAGTCGCAGAGCCGTCTCTATATTATCAGGGCCCACTGGGCCATCTTTTGGAGCGTTCGTCGCCCACTTTACGATTTTGGAGTCATCATGTTTCGCTTGAAGACATCAAATAAAAACAAAAAAATCTTAAACTTAATTCCTACTAAATTAAATCATACAGTTTCAATTTTCACTTGAAAAAACCTAAGCTAAGACGACGCTGATGAAGCGGAGCCCTATGAATGTCATTCAACTTCTTCTCCATTATCATATGTTGCTCTTCAAGATTGGGTCTCAGCGAGATTTTCACGGTCTTTAAACACTTAGAGCTGGCTAAGATGTACTTCAAGAATTGTTCCTCTTCTACTCTTCCTCCATATTCTCTCCACTCAAAGATTTCAAGCTGTGACGACAAGCATCCGGGAACAGAACTCGGTTTGTTCCACAAAAGTGGGAGATGCTCGGGTTCAACTGTATTTTCCTGAGATGCAACGAGGGATATATATAGTTAGTAAGCACACTTTTACTTGGTTTTTTAAGTACATGAAAGACTAGACTTGCTTGCATATGAACAATGGCAATCCTGTCTCGAGCTCATTTGACGAATGATTTCCCTTCTAGTCTAAAAGCTCTTGCTACCATTCCATATTCATTCTCGATCTGTTTTCCCCATAACTTTGAGATCAGTAAAAATTACATCTTCGAAGGAAATATACATGAATAAAAAAAAATGTAAATTGTGAGAGTATGATAGATATAGAAGCCTATTATACAGAAAATTACACACAGATAGAGCAAGGAGGGCATGGCGTTGGTTGGAGTCCTATTATCCCTTACGCCTTCTCTGTTCCTCAAGATTGGAATGAGGTTTTGTTAACTCTCTTGTTTCTTTGTGTTTATTTGTAATGGTTTAGTCATGTTTCTGAGATTCTCTCTTTTTTTTGGTTGTTAATAAGTATCGATTGCTGATCTTGGTGGCACCAAGATTGACTTGAGATTTACTAGTCCTAAAAAAGGCCTCTTGTCTGTTAGTGTCTCTCCCGTTCTAAGATTTGTAGATAGTAAGTGGTCTCTGCCATTGAAGATTCATCAAATTTAACTGTCAGTTTATGGATGATCAGTCGTGTCATATTTGTATTTTGTATAGAGTTGAGAATCCTAAAGAACAAAACCATGAAAACAGAGTTTAACCAAAATAACTTAGTAAAATATCAGTAGTTGTTGTTTTGTTTAGCCAACGATTGGATCAAATCAAGCCCAAGAATGAATATTGCGCATAACATCTTTGGTGTTTTCGGCCAGCTTTGTTTCTCTCCTAAAACCTCTTACCTTTCTAACTCTCTCTCTCTCCTTGCTAAACCCTTGTAAGATTTTTCGTTACTCTGTTTCGTGTTGTCGCTTTCTTGTTTTGCAAGAAATGCAACTGCTCTGTTCTTGCTCTTATGTTGCTACGTTCTTCAACTTTTTGTTCCATTGTGAAATTTACCCCAAGTAAAAAATGGCATCATCTTTAATCCGAATGTATTTTAGCTGAACAAATTTGATGCGAAAGTATGGTAATACTTATTTGACAATTATTTTGTTAATTTTCCAATTATAATATTAATTTTTTATTTAATTTTATGTATTAACTATTATTAACTGACTGATATTAGAAATATCAAGAATTCAAGATCTCCTGAGTTATAAAAAATCATACCTGCCACAAATACACATCAAACTTTATATAATAAGACATTACAAATAATATTCTCAAATAACTGACCTATTTTTAATTACAAATAGATATTCCCTAACTACATGTCTACAACATGACTACAACATATAAAAATTAAAAAGTATACAACATGTTTCACGTAAACCAATGATAATTTATTAATCAACTATTAAAACATTAAACCCTTTGATTATTTTGCTAATACGCATCGTTTCATACCGAGCATCAGGCGCCAATAGGGGAGTGTCTTAAACGTGTAGAAATTAATAATTCTCCATTTCGACGTTCCAGCTTGATTCAGAATCTCTCTCTCTCTCTCTCTCAGTAGTCAAACTGTAAACTTCTTGCAGCAGCAATCAGCTACTACTCTAAACGAATAGATGAGGATCTCTTCCTCAAGTCCCATGGAGTCCAAACACCGACTATCCATTTCCACGTAAGTCTTTTCTCTTCTTCTTCATTGGTTTCTTGAGTTTTACTACTTAGTTTCAGACACAAGGTTGACTTTGTGGAATCAGATTCTCGATTCTGTTTATGTTTTGAGATCTGTTGGATCGACTTATATAATAAATTGTTACTGCGTTTTTCTTCCATATATACAGTGAGAAGACAAGCAAGAGGAGAATCCACAGTGAAAAGGTTGTTCATGGCTACAAATATTGGAACCGAATGTTCACTATTCTCAAACTTGTGTTGATTCTTACAATGTTGGTCGCTCTGTTCACACTCTACCGCTCTCCACCGCTGCTAATTTCTGAAACTCGATCCACCGTTACTACAGATCCTCGCTATACATCTACAGCTGAGATAAACTGGAACAATATCTCACACATTGTAGACAACTACTTATCCGGTGGAAACAAGAATCAAACAACTGCCTTTCTAAATCTAAACGACAACGAAGTCATTCGATGGAAAGAGGTAACCAAATCCGATTCTCAACATGTACCTTTGCATCTAGACCACGCAGCAAGTAACATAACTTGGGAATCTCTATACCCTGAATGGATCGACGAGGAAGAAGAATCCAAAGTCCCCACTTGTCCTTCTCTTCCATGGATTCAAGTTCTCGGCAAGCCTCGGATCGATCTCGTCGTAGCCAAGCTTCCTTGTAACAAATCAGGAAAATGGTCAAGAGACGTCGCTCGTTTGCATCTACAACTCGCAGCTGCTCGAGTCGCTTCTTCTTCCAAAGGCCTCCATGATGTTCATGTGATCTTGATATCTGATTGCCTTCCGATACCAAATCTTTTCACCGGTCAAGAACTCCTTGCACGTCAAGGAAACACATGGCTATACAAACCTAACCCTAACTTGTTAAGACAAAAGCTAAACCTTCCTATTGGTTCTTGTGAACTCTCTGTTCCTCTTCAAGCTAAAGGTCAGTACTCAGTAGCAACTTTCTTCATCCTCTGTTTTAGCATCTGATGAATGATCATTTTCCACAAATTGCAGATAACTTCTACTCATCAAACGAGAAGAAAGAAGCGTACGCCACAATCCTACACTCTGCTGAAGATTACGTCTGTGGAGCCATCGCAGCAGCGCAGAGCATTCGAATGTCAGGATCAACTCGCGACCTGGTCATACTCGTCGACGATTCGATAACCGAGCAATACAGAACCGGCTTGGAATCTGCTGGATGGAAGATTCAGACTTTCGAAAGAATCAGAAACCCTAAAGCTAAACCAAACGCGTACAACGAATGGAACTACAGCAAGTTTCGTCTCTGGCAACTGACTCAATACGAGAAGATCATCTTCATTGACGCAGACATGCTTATACTACGAAACATCGATTTCCTCTTTGAAATGCCTGAGATAACCGCGACCGGAAACGACGGTACGCTGTTCAATTCCGGTTTAATGGTGGTCGAGCCGTCTAATTCGACGTTCCGGTTATTAATGGATCGTATCGACGAGATCGTGTCTTACAACGGAGGAGATCAGGGTTACTTGAACGAGATCTTCACATGGTGGCATCGGATTCCGAAGCACATGAATTTCTTAAAGCATTTCTGGGAAGGAGACGAACCTGAGGTTAAGGAATTGAAGACGAGACTTTTCGGATCCGATCCTCTGATTCTCTACGTTCTTCATTACCTGGGTTATAACAAGCCGTGGTTGTGCTTTCGAGACTACGATTGCAATTGGAATGTGAATAGTTACCAGCAATTCGCGAGCGACGAAGCTCATGCGACGTGGTGGAGAGTGCACGACGCGATGCCGGAGAGATTGCAGAGGTTTTGTTTGTTGAGAACGAAACAGAAGGCGCAGCTTGAGTGGGATCGGAGACAAGCGGAGAAAGGAGATTTCAGAGATGGGCATTGGAAGATTAAGATCAGAGATGAGAGACTTCAGAATTGCTTCGAAAGTTTCTGTAACTGGGAGAGTATGCTTGAGCATTGGGGTGAGAGTTAGAACCACCGCTTCATCTCCGCCGTCGCCACCGCTTAAAACCGCCCTCTGATTTTTGTTTGGTCTTTGTGGTTAAAAAGTTCAACCGGTTTTTGGTACGAAATTATTTAATTCAATGTCCTTCAAACCAACCAAATTCAGGTTGGTTATGTTATATTATTTGACAAACAAAACGTAAAACCAAGTTTATTTCTGCTAAAGAACCGGAGCTGAATAACCGAACCGGTGAAATTGATTTTAGCCGATAAAAATGGTCTTTACGGTAATCGAGAGCTCTTCATCCTCTTCTTCTCTGTGTCGAGTGTTTCCGGGAGAATCAATTGTTGGGAGAAGATGGATTTGATTTATGGTTTCCGACCCATTCAATCTTCTCGCGGAATTTCATTTCTGCCTCATTTAAGAATAAGCAATCATTTCCTTTCGTCGTCGACGAGTCTCCGTTTTGGATTCCCGGCGCCGCCGTTTATTCAGTCTCCGAAATTTTGCATCGAGACTCACGCGAGAAAGAGTAAGAAGAGAACGAGTATCGCTGAACCGAAACCGAACAAAGTCGAAAAATCACTCTTTGAAGAAGAAGAATTAAGTAACACAAATGATGAAGAAGAAGCAGAGGAAGATGTTCTAAACGGTGCGTATTAACCATCCTCTCTGTTTTTCATCCCCTGTTTTGCTCTGAAGATTCTCTGTTGTTTGAGTCCGAATTTCAGTCATTTCTATCTGGTTTCTACAGAGCTACTAACGGATGATGAAGACGATGACTTCTATCTCGACGATGAGGAGTTCGAAGAGAGCGAGGAAGAGCTCTATGTAAGTCTTTTATCTCTGCCTATTAGAAGAGATTAAGAAAAGGTACAAACTTTTTTTGCATCTCTCATCTGTTCTGAAATGAAATCTCTGAAAAGGCCGGAGATGGAGGTGGTGGAGGAGGCATAAAGCTCGCCGGAACATTATGGGATAAAGAAGCATTGACATTAGCTGAGAAAGTCTGCGACTCCTTCAATGGCGAATTAGGAATTTACGCCTTCAAGACTCTGCCAAACTCCACCATACAAGTCCGAATCGAGCGGCTCACTAACAAATTCGGTTCACCAACAATGGAAGACATCGAAGCATACTCTAAAATCTACAGAGCAAAACTGGCTGAAGCAGAGCTTGCCAAGTCTATACCGGACAGTATTTCTCTAGAGGTTAGTTAGTTAGTTAAATTAGTTAGTTGATTTTGGTTCCATTTGACTCAAACAAAAGCTTGAACCTTTGTGCACAGGTTTCATCTCCCGGCGTCGAGAGGGTTGTTCGGATTCCGCAGGATCTTGACCGGTATAAGGACAGACCAATGTACGTGAGGTACGGTGACAAAGAGGCTGAGTCCGATGGTGATGGGATTTTCCGGCTGGTTTCTTACGACGTGGAAGCCAAAAGCTGCGTTTGGGGAATCGCTGATATTAGAGTAAACAGAGAAAAAGCAGGCAAAGGCAGACCTTTAAGCAAGAAGCAAAGAGAATGGCGACTCGAAACTTCTTTTGAGTCATTACGGTTAGTTCGTTTGCATTCTGAATGTTAAAGGAAAGATCTTTTGTAGTTTATATTAAACTCTCAATAGAATGAAGAATCTGTTACAACGATAGAAGAAAAAAAAAAACAGAGAAGAAAACCAAAAGCAAAAGGAGATGTCTTTCTTTTTATTGCTGTGACTGTGTGTGCGTAAACGCAACTAGTAGACATCATTTGGTACTACGAGAAATGTGATTGATTCAAGCACCCATGGTGATGATGCAACGGATGCCCTCTCCTTTCAACATGTAGTCAAAGGCCTTGTTGATCTCCGAGAATGGCACTGTGTGAGTGATAAACTTCTCAATCTCCAGCTCCTGTTTGATAGACAAAAATCATCACAACATTTATAAAAATCATAACTTTATTCAAGAAAGTTTGTAAAGGAATGATTTTTTTTTTCAATCTCATTACCCCGTTCATGTACTTTTCAACAACACCGGGAATGTCAGTTTTGGGCTTGTAGTTACCAAAGAAAGTACCCTTGAGAGTCCTCTCATTCAGAAAGTTCATGGGATGAGTCTTGAAAGCATCGTCTTTGCTTGGCACACCCACCAACACCGCAACACCCCAACCCTGAAAAACACAATCAAATAGCCTCAGAATATGATGCACAATCTTTAAGTTATGAAATGGTGAAGAAGAGAAAGAGCATTATACATCATGAACACATTCAAAAGCTTGAATCATGGCTTGGATGTTCCCGGTACACTCCACACTCCGGTCAACACCACCGTCTGTCATCTCAGCTATCACCTGTTGAACCGGTTTGTCATGCTCTCTAGGGTTCACAAACTCGGTCACACCAAATTTCTTAGCTGCCAAAGTGAGAATGAGATTAGTGAAGAACACATTCAAAGAGACAAAGACTAATCATTTTTGTGACTAACCTTCTTCAAATCTCTTGGGGTTAAGATCAACACCAATGATCCTACCAGCACCAGAGATTCTAGCACCTTCAGCAGCGGCTAAACCAACAGCACCAAGACCGAAAATGGCAACACTTTGACCCTTTTTCGGTTTAGCCACATTCAGAGTCGCTCCTAAACCGGTGGATAAACCGCAGCTGACAATGCAGACTTTGTCAAGAGGAGCTTCAGGGTTGATCTTAGCGACCTGGCCGGAGTGGACAACAGTGTACTCGCTGAACGTTGAGGTGCCAAGGAAATGGTGGATCGGTTTGCCGTTGATTGAGAATCTGGACTCGCCGTCGTGGATCATGCCGCCTCGCTCGGTGTTGATACGGAGGAGATCGCACATGTTTGATTCCTCAGAGTGGCAGTGACGGCAGTCTCCACATTCTCCGGTGAAGATCGGTAACACGTGGTCTCCTGGCTGAAGATCAGTCACTCCTTCTCCAACACTCTCCACAATCCTACACAAATCCAAATCTCAATCTCTGAAAAATCATAAAACACAAAATTGAAATAAAGTTTGGATTTTTTTTTGTTTACCCTCCAGCTTCATGGCCGAAGATGCGAGGAAACAACGGTGTTTGTCCCTGCGGATTCGAAAAAAAATGCAAAGTTTTGAAATTTGAGATTAAAAGTTTGAAACTTTGAATTTTGGGTATGATTGATTTCAAAAAAAATGTAAAATTTTGAAATTGGAGACTAAAAGTTTGAAACTTTGAATATTGGGTGTGATTGATTTTTTTACCTTTGCTTCCCAGAAGTAAACATCGGTGTGGCAGAGAGAAGTGAAGAGAATCTTGATACGAACTTCGTGTTTCTGCGGCGGAGCAACCTCCACTTCTTCCATCTCAAGTGGCTTTCCGGCTTCCCATGCCACAGCCGCTGAAAACGACACCGTATAGAGGATTTTAACATGGAACAAAAAAAAAAACTCAAAACAGTCGTCGATTTTGGTTTTGGATCATAGTTTTGTGATCAAATGGTGAAATCTTGGAAAGACTAATTAACAGAAAGTAAAACGATGGATCAAAGTTTGGAAAAAAAAAGGAAGGAAGCAAGAATGAAGAACCTTTGCATCGGATAACTTGTCCGGTCGTAGACATAACCAACAGTGAGTGAGTGATACGAGAAAGTAAGCAAACTCGATGGTGACTTGTTCTGTGAATTGTGAGAGAGGAGAGAAAGTGAGAAGAGGAATTTATAGTGGTGATGAGAGAGGAGGTAAATTACAGATATGCCACTGGCGTCGGTTAGTCTTAATCCATATTATAATTTCGGTTTTCACGTTACTATGGGCGCACTTTGTGTTTGGTTTTGGTTTTGGTTTTGGTTTTGCATCTTCTTTACACTTGGCGTTACTGGCTTGATCCACGTGGAATTGACTTTTAGAAAAATATTACGAAGTAATTAGTGAAAATCTGCTAATTAATTCCTATTCTTGATGCTCACGCCGCGGTTTTACTCTCTTTAATTATTCTTGGCCATCAAGTTGGATTATACTTGTATGAAAGATAAATCGACCTTAATTGGCTATAAATTATACGAGACGAAGCGGAGGCGCGTGAGCCGGTGGGTTTGAGTCCAGAGAAGGTTGGTAAGGAGACACGCTGGTCAGAGCCATGGTGAGAGATGGCACGACCAAGGAGAGCTTGAGAGAGAGCGAGGGAGGAAGTTGAAGCCATGGGATCTAGTTTTCGCTCTCTTGTTGTAGAGAGAAGGGAGCTAAAGGGTGTGAAGAAAATGAATCTGAGACTCTATACTAGCAACTTGTTTTATCAATGACAGAGGATATTTTTAATCGTTGGATCTCACTAGAGGTTATCATCGTGACCGCTGATTGAGGCTAAGAGTTTAGTGGATCCTCTATGCCTTTCGCAATTTTATTTACATGGAGTATAGTCTTTGGATTTTTCCGCCATGATAATAAATGTCTTCTTTCTCTTTTTGGTAATGAAATTCCTATGGAAAATTTTACGTTTTTGCCTTTTACATGAAAGAGTGGAAACACGTAGCAAACATACGGTCTTATATTCTGAAATGTGGAATTGTGAAGTCTTTCCACTTGGCGTTACTGGTTTGATCCACGTGGAATTGATTATTTTAAAAAGATTAAGAATTGGAGAAATTTCAAAATTACACCTCTTGAAATGCCAGTTTAAACAAAATTAATTAAGGAAAATCTGCTATATAATTCATACTCTTGTTGCTCACGAGCTATTAATTTAAACGAATGCTTCTGTTGCAGGCGGTTTTACCTTAATTGTATTCTTGGCCATATCAGTCAAGTTGGAATTTTAAAATTTTACTTGCATGAAAGATAAATCGATGGTGCCGACCTGAATTGGCTCTTAGTTATATTCTTGGACGTCTCACGTCTCTCTCAAGTCTCAACGATACAATAATTATGACAGATTGACAGTAATTAGTGGCAAACTATATTCACCCGACAAAAGGAGATAGGACAGAAAACAGTCAACTACATGAATGGCCAATATGTATTGTCACGTAGTATAATTTAATAGGGATAACATGGAGTTTTTAATGAGTTTATATGGTAAAGAGTTTTTTTTTTATGCGACCATGCATGCGTAGTATTTAATCAGCTCGTAATTAATATTTTGGTTGAGTATGTTCCTTGTGACAAGAATTTTCATGACAACTCATATATGAATCACGGTTTCACTATACATCATAAAATCAATTAACTCGCAGGAATCATCGTGGAATTAAATAATACTCCCTCCGTTTTTTAAAGATAAATTTTCTAGTTTTTTTCATACAGATTAAGAAAAAGTTGATTTTCAATCATTAGTGCATAGATTTCTGCAATAAAACAACTTTTTATAATTTTAAACCAATAAAAATCTAACAAATATAATCATTGTATCTTGAAAACTGAAAAAGTGCATCAAAAAGGTAAAAATTTTATCTTTGTGAAACAACACATAATGGCTAAAAAATTCATTAAAAAAAACGGAGTACTAGGTTTGAAGCCCCGCGCAAGCGCGGGGTTGTTTGCGATAGTTTTCTATTTAATTTTATTTATACTTGTTGATTTGAATTATGATGGTTTTGTATTAACTTTCATGTTTTTGTTATGTTTTGAGTTAACTCAACCACTAACACTAAAAATAATTTATTTTTTATTTTAATTTATTAGGATATTAACACCCGCTTTATCTCGAGTTTTCTATTTCTAAAATTTATCATGTTATAAATATTATGTTTGTTTGTTTTTTTTTTTACTTCTATTAGACTGTAAACATGTATATGTATTTGATTAAAGGTTAAAATTTATAAATATGTATATGCATTTGACTGAAGGTTAAAATTTGTAAACATATTCTTGTTTTTCACTACAATTAAATTTACATATAAAACTTCATTTCTATTTGTTTAGAAAAACAAACTCTAACTCTATATTTTCATTAGCTTTCTATTATCTTAATTAATTTATATTCAACTTTTTAACTTGTAAACATTATAACATTTTTAAATATGATAAATCCTTTGAATAAAAAGGTAAATATATACTATTTGAAGTTAAATATTTTTTACTCCATCTCTATTTTATATTCCAACTTTTTGATAACTTTTAACATCAAATTATCACATACTTTCTATTAATTATAAATTTATTTGTATATTTTATTAAATATGAATAAATGTAAAGAAATATGAATAGTCATATATTTAATAAATAATTTAATGTTTTGTGTGATGTGGACACTTTAGATGGAGAGAGCAACTCTCCTATTATATATAAGATTCACGAGCATTATGTTCTTAACTTAAACATCTACATCAGTACGTACCCGGCCATGACCATGATCAATGTTTTGATTGTTGAATATTAAGTACATCGTTAAAATTATTTCCCTAACTTACCAGTAAATTAATCCGGTTCACCAATGTAACCGTTAATCAAACAATCTTACTCACAAACTCTTCAGGAACGATTCTTAAGAGCTAACGAGTGCCCTCTTTATTCATCTTCCATGTGTGAATTATTTTCTTCCATTTGTAATGAATCATAGGCCCAAGAGCACGTAGTAGAGAATAGTTACTGGTAAAGATACTATCATACCAAAGATAACCCTGAAAACAAAAACACCAATAAACACACCAAATTTCACATTAATCAAATCCACACTTTTTAACATCCAAAGTTTAAAACCGTTAATCTAAAGTTACTATAAAAACAAAATAAAAGAGAGCAAGGAACTCACAATGTACTGAGTAAATCCGGATGCAAACCATATTCCCTCGCAAACACAAACGGTACTATCCCTTGCGGTAGAGCCGCCTACGAGAAAAAAAAAAAAAAAAAAAAACATATCGGCCTCATCAAATTACGTGCATATATAAGTATACTATAAAATAATTAGTCTATGGTACCAAATCAAGTCAAACTCTAAATACTAGATATGAACCAATGTCTACCTGCACGATGGCAGCATGTAACCTTGAACCTCTCAATCCGACAAGAAGAGAAGCAGCAGCCATGAAAAGGGGACCTGAGATAAACCTAATCAACATTCCCATTGTCGCCTTCTTCGTCCCACAAGCGATCATCCTTGGCTGCAACGCCATGAACAGACCTACAATTTTAGAATTGTTGAATACGTTGTACACTTCAAACAAAAAAAGATATCATCTATATATATGTTTAGGTTTCATTACCTAAACTAAACATGGCCATCCCAAGACCTGCATCTGATATGATCTTTATCGAAAATGCCACTATGTTCGGCAGCGGTATATTCCATCTGGTTATTAATTATAACAAAATAAAAACAATAAAGTTAAAAATCAGATCGATGACTACAGGAAGATGTAAGTGATTGTTTACTTACCTGAAGGATATAAGTGACCAGACAAGACCTAAGACGCTGGAGTAGGTATTAGGGTTTCGAGAAAGCTTGCGTCCCACGACTGTTAGTATAAGCCGCACCATCACAGCGGCACTTGGCATTTCTTGCTTGCCAATAGGTGCCACCGGAGCTGTCTCTTTTCCGGCGGCTCCTTCCTCCATAGAAGCAGCACCACCGGCCGTAGGCTGTTGTGCAACTTTAAGTGCGTCTCTGAAGCTGATCTCCTTCTCCGGTACTGATCCATAATTATTTATACACGTCAGCAAATTCAAACAATAACAGTTTAGGACAGTCTTGGAATTTTTTTTTTCTTCAAGCAACTAATTATAGTAATGGTGGTTGTGGAACTTACTGATGGAAACAAATAATTAAAAGAAAGAAAAAATATAAAACCATGCGTCGGTTTCGCTGATGATTACACACGTGCTGAAGGAAAATGATAGCATCTCTCAACTCAAATGAAAAGGATTGACTTTGTGAGACCAAGAACATCATGGAAACAAAAAGTCAACATAATGTTGACCATTTATGTGATTTTATTGAGTTTTAGTAACTTTGCGGGTGGTATGAGGGGTCCGCTTTATTTACATGCTTCATCATCTTGTTTCATTTGAATCTTAAACTAAAAAAAAAAACACGAAATAAATAATCAAGGTAACAAAAAGAGACAGAAGCTAAGTTTTTGTGGAATTAGATTGAATTTTTAAATAGCCTATTCTTAGGGATTTCGAGAATCAAAGAGACAGAAGCTAAGTTTTTATCTGATAAAGCTGCATTTTTGTAGTTTATCAATGTTCTTCTATTCATCAAATTAAAAAAGAAGACAAACCAATGAATATAGTTTGAGAATAAATCAAATTAATACACAAAACAGAAGGAAAACGACCAAACGGCGTCGTGTCAGTGCTTACCAGAATGACACATCTCTCAAAGAAAAAACGTACCGTTGATATCTTTCGCTACATGATGTCTCTGACCAGACTCCCACATCATCTTCGGCGACGACGTATGCCGGAATATTCTCCCGGCGACAGGAGATTTCATCCAAACCGGCGTACCGGTTCCGTTAACGTCAAGCTCGTTGAAGTTCGAGGCACGTGGCGTCGGCTGCAACGAGTAAGCATCGGATGATGCATAACCGGAGAGCCTCCTCGGACTCACACCACATCCGGGTCGGGTAAACCCGAACCCACCTAAATCTCCGTTATTACAAAACACGATCTCGTTACCGTTATAAAACTGAAGCGTCCCGCTTCCTCCTCCGTTAAAGAAACCGTTAGGAGTGTTGACGGAGAAAATCTCCGCGTTGGAAAGGTTTGAGGCTCTTGGGGTTAAGCACAAGGAGGAGGAGAGAACAGAATCCGGTACGGACGATATGGACCGTCGGATCCTCAGCCTGATCCTACCGTTCATATCGGTTTCGGTTTCTGTACGGAGCGGGTCCATGCCGTCTAAGGAGATGACGTCATCGTCGACTTGGATCTTGGCTATTGACCCGGCTGCTTGACCCGGAAACTCGGTTCTGATAAGCAACCTCGCTGCCCGGAGCTCAAAGAGGAAGAGTAGTAGAGTATACCTACACACATTTAATATCATAGGTTAGAAAAATAAAAACCATTGGTTATAAATATTTAAATTCAACTAAATAATCAGAATATTAACATTAAATGAACTACCGCAGAAAACAAAATTCATTTGCTTTGATGTGATTGAGCATAAATTTTACCAACCAAGAACATTTTCATTACCAAACAGTCAAAATGTAAAAAAAAGAAAGTATAGAGGAAATTGAAAAACGTACCAAATGATGCATTGAAGAACAACGAGTTGGACCATGAGGCTTTGAGTGTAATCTCCATACATGGCTTGAAGCAAAGGGATGCCCATAACGAGAGTGTTAGGGAGAGTGGCGATGGAGAAGAGAGTGATGAGCCAATCGAGGCCACCGGATTTGAAGAGAACGGCCCATAGAGAGATCAAGATGAAGACGATGATCTTGGACAAAGTGTCGGCGAGGATGAACATGGTGTCCATTTTGTAAGGGTTGTTTTGTGAGATGAAGTGGAAAGAGAGGATTGGGACGGCGAAAACAGAGACGAAACGGTTGATACCGGAGCATTGCTCAGCCGTGAAGATCTTCCACCACTTGACCGATCCATAGGCTACGAACATGGCGAAGTAGAGTGGTGCCATCGCACACATCACTTTGTAGAATTCGCTTCCCGTTATCATTTTATTTGCTCTGCTTCTCCTCTCTTGTTCTTTGTGGTTAGTTAAGGTGTGCAGGCTGATTTATGTGCAAATGTGTGTGTATATTTTGACGAGACTACCCCTTGTTTATTTCGTTATTTGCGGTATACATGTAATATCTTTCAACATGAATACTGTAACGTAAGTCGAAAGTGTATCTATTCTTAGAATCGACAACAACGAAAACTAGAGTATCTAATCTTAACATTAATTTGTACCAAACTCGGAAAAAAATAACTAATTAAAAGCATAAGGTTATCCAAAACTCTCACACTTTGTGCTCTGTCGAAATAGGCTTTCACCCAAATTATCTCCCTAACTCTTTTGGATTCTTCTATTGCTTACAAATTTACAACTAAACTTGTTGTTTCTGGTTTATACGATCATGGAAAACTAAATTCTCAATTTAAGCTAAAATCTACCAAAAATATACAAATTTCAAGTTTTGAATCAGAGCCACCTAACTTGATGAATCATAGTTTTCAGTATATATCTCATGCAACTTGTTTGATGTAGTTTATCCAAAAATAAAATCTTGTTTCTATTTAGTCTAGCCACTAAAAAACGTTTGGAACTTCTGACCATAGTGAATGTATTGGACTAATTGTTGTACTAACACTAGACATGTCAATTAGGTTGTGAATATATTCACATTTATATACATAGATGTATATATATGTATTAATGTATGTGTATGTATAGAGAAAGGGAAGGAGATCCTCATAGAATCTAAGATCAATGATATTAGCGCAATGGGTGGAGTGGAGACTTACAGTGTTAGCCTTTTGCTGTTGAGCTTAAAAAGACTTTAGCCTTTAGCCTTTAGCCTTTTGGCAATTGCAAAAACTAAGTCATACGTAACCTTTTTCGTCTTAAAAAAATAAATTGTGTTGTCAACGAAAGGCTACACAAAAGTTTGGGATTATTGATTCCGCCCTATATCTATATATATTTAATCTTAGATCTCTATATACTAACTAGTTGTACACTCCTACTATTCGAATGAACATGTAGAGAGAGTTTGTAGGATATTTATACTTGTCCAATGGAAATGGCACTAAAGCCTCGTGTATCCATCTATTGTCTGTAAATATACGTACACACATAAATCTGTAGTTGTCCATCTCATTATTTTTAGTAATGAAATATCTCCTCGTCTCTTTAGTCTTTACTACACCAAGAAACAGAAATTAGTGTGCTCTTCAATTCATTGATATATATTTAAAAAAAAAAATATATATATATAGTAAAAAGAAGGTAGATGATGATGGGAAAGAAGACTAAGAGGAAGCGCATGGGATCGAGGAAAGGGGAAAAAAGAATAGAAGTGGGATTCTTGGGTAGGTTTAAAATCAAATCAAATTCAAGTGCTAAAAATGATGGGTTCATTTCAAGATTCTTAAATCACATACTATATTGTTTTTAGTAATAGAAATATATATATATATATATATATATATATAAAATTGAGGAAATTTTGGAAAGCGAATGAAAAAATGGTCTGATAAAAGGGGGCAAGAACTAAAATGTGTCTGGTCTAGTCATTGGAGAGAGAGAGAGAGAGAGGTTGTGAGTGTTAATCAAAGGAAAGTGACGGAACATAAGTTTTGCATCTTTCTAACTCTCTTCTCTTCGCGTGCCATCAATTCATCATTTTTGTTCATTGGCTCATTTTCCACCAACTTCTGTATTTCTCGCTACAAACACGGTTACATTATTCCGTCTTGTCAATGTATATGACTACTGTAGTACTGTACATGTACATCAACATACACACATGTACATATGGTAGATCATTAGATACGTACAAGTATCAGGTCTTTCGTTGTTGCAATACATTTCAATCGGCTTGATCGAGTTAAGCATGAACTTCAAATTTGTATGGGAAATCATACCTATTGTACCAAACGATCTTGATTACTATAAATTAACGGCTTTACGTGTGAGTTTTTTATATTAAAAACTCTAGTTTTAAATTACAAAATTATAAATTATAATAACCTAAATGCCAAACGCAAATCGCTTGTATTTCCATTCAAATATTTTAATGGGTCCATTTTTTTCAATATACAGTATGTCTGTCTCTTATCTTGAGCCAAGTCAAATATTTTAATGGTAAGATATCTCATTGTTTCTCACAATCCTGACCTTTAATTTTTACATAGGAACTTATGTTACCGAAATTATAAGAGAAACCGTGACCATAAGCCAAAGCTCATTCTCTCTCGACAATGTAAAATCTTTAGCTTTCTCTCTCTTTTTTACAATCTCTCAATCATGCATGCTTCTCCCGCGCATTCCTCAGTTTCGTAAACTCAAAGAAAGAAGACAAATATAGAGAACTCAAAGAAAGAAGACAAATATAGAGATAGCAAACAAACGAACTTACACGTGCTCATCATGTGACAAAGAGATTACTTGGTTTAGCTGGAACCTTCCGTCTCAGCGTGGGTCGTCTATGTTCTTAGAATACTCATCGATAACTTGCACACATATTTTCTTTCTTTAATAACTTGCACACTTCCTCAAATTTATTTGTTTGTTTCTTCTTTTTATTTACAGCTCAAATTTGTTGCCATGTGCAGTCGTTTGGTTGAGCTTCTGTGATATTCACATTGACAATTTGAAGAGAAAACAAAAGACGTTACGATGGATTTCAATATATATCTCTTTCATTTGCTGCCACATGCAGATTATTCAACTTTAATACTCGCCACGTTATTATAACGAAGCCTTATTGAGTTTTTTTTTCCTAGAAAGTATTTCTGAAATAGCTTACTCTATCTTTTTATTTAAAAGAAAAAAGACTGCCAAAGTTCGAATAAAATAAAACAAAATGATTTATGATTTTTTTTGTTATGGCTTCTGGTGGAACAAAAATTAAATTATTAAAAACAAAAAAACTGGATTTCTTCCAAAATTTTAATGAAAAGGTTTGTCACCTTTCGGAAGCATTTTTTACGCGGTAACAGCTATACACATGCAATGAATGGGCAAAAAGTCAAAAAACTTTGAAAGATATCTAATCTCCTCTCTATGCATATAAATATCGACCAACCAAATGTAAAACCTTGCAAGTTACCTTAAATGATCATCATAACTAAATGAGCCACAGAGTACGAGAGAACATATACCATTTCTTTAGTCCTAAAATGTTCACTGTTGCAACGTTTCTAGTTTTGTTTTTTGTGCATGACCAATTGGGGTTTTCAGAGGCACAACTCCAGTTTGGTTTCTACTCAGAAACTTGTCCACCAGCAGAATCAATCGTCCGTGACGTTGTTCACCAAGCCGTGACCCGTGACCCTGGAATTGCTGCTGTCTTACTCCGTCTCCATTTCCACGACTGCTTTGTCGAGGTCCATTGAATTTTTCTTACGTTATAAATCATACTCCTCATGATGATGTTTTGTTCTTGAGTTCAAAGTGATATAAACTAAACTGGTTTGTTTGTATGTATGTTGGAGGGGTGTGATGGGTCAATTCTAATCAAACACGACGTAAATGATGACGAGAGGTTTGCTTCAGGAAACGCTGGTTTGGGCGGTTTCGATGTTGTAGACGAGGCCAAGTCAGAGCTTGAGCGTCTTTGTCCTGGTGTTGTGTCTTGTGCCGACATCCTTGCTCTTGCTGCTAGAGACGCTGTTGCTGAGGTAACACTTTTATAGTTCAACCCAAAAAAATAAAAATGAAAACACTTAATTTCTCTCAGAGTTTGCCAAAGAGCGAGTATTGAATTGAAAAGACAAATTTGATGACGACTTGTAACCTTCTTTGGCTTTGCATCCAAGGAACTAATTGTTAGTATTTTTTTCAACTTTTTTTTTAACTTTCGGCATTCGCTGTGAAACTGAACCAATAAAAGGTTATTCTCTTTTTGTTCTTTATAACTTTTTTAGGTTAACGTATAAAAAACTCTAATAATGAAATATTATTTTATAGGCAAAAGGACCTTTTTACAAGCTTCCAACGGGTAGAAGAGATGGTAAGATTGCAGCTATGAGTAACGCTGCTCACTTGCCAGATGTTGAAGATTCCATAAACTCTTTAAAATCAAAATTCAGAGAAAAGGGGCTTTCAGATAAAGATCTTGTACTTCTTAGTGCTGGTAAATTATCATAATCTCGACAACTTTATCATAAATATACATCGTCCATTGTTAATCCATTTATTTATTTATTTTTTCTTGTTGAAAGGTGCACATACTATCGGTACAACAGCTTGTTTCTTTGTCATGCCACGTTTAGATGCTCAAGATCCCACGATAAATCCAGAATTCTTCCAAGTTCTGAGATCAAAGTGTCCCCACGGAGGCGATGTTAACGTTAGGATTCCTTTGGATTGGGAAAGTCAGTTTGTGTTTGACAACCAAATCTTTCGGAACATACAAAATGGCAAAGGAGTAATTCTATCGGACTCTGTTTTGTACCAAGACAATAATATGAAGAGAATCATTGATTCGTACGTTAGAACTAACCAGAGTTCGAAAGCTAATTTTGCTGCGGATTTTGCTAGATCTATGGTAAAGATGGGTGCCATTGGGGTGAAGATCGGTGTTCAAGGAGAGATCAGACGCATCTGCAATGCTACAAATTAGTTTCAATTAGTAATAAATATCTCATAGTTAAATACTGTATGTTGGATTTAAAATTAATAAATAAAATGATGCATGATTCTTACCACCATGATAAAAACATGTAAAGAACGTAAAATGATAAAGCATTGTATTGAAAACAGATTGTGTTCCATTCTTTTGAATCTTATGATATCAGCGGGAAAAAAAAGAGGTTAGAGAATTTGAAGCTTGAGGTTAGAAGAAACCTAAGACAAACAAAAAGTAGGTCGAAATGTGTGGCACAAATCCACAAACTACTTTTGTGCTTATTTTTTTCTCATTATATACTACTTTTTTGCTTATGTTTTGCTCAATTTTTGCTAATAAATGATATATTATGCTAACAAAACGAAATTGCATCTGAACTACGTATTAATATGTTTCTTGTCAATAATAATTGAATTTGCATTTAACCATTTAATTATTATTTTAGTCGTTCACATCAATACTCAGCTTATTTCAGGGTATAAATGTATGATTACCTTTGTATTACTAGGTTTGGTATGTTATGGTGTGATACAGTAGCAGTGTAACACTCATATAAGAATTTGGTCACATTCTTCATGTAGTAGCAAACATAACTAAATGCGTTGACCGCCTGTCTAGATCCTAAGAGCCACCTGTCTAGATGTTGGAAAGAAGATCCCGTTGGAATGAGATATGGAGTTTGAATTTGACACACAGGTCTTCAGCAACATCAAATCCGGCCGAGCGGTTCTCGCCTCCGACTCGGTCTTATACGACGCAATGAAGACCATCATCGACGGCTATTTAGGGAACTCCTCCGCTTTCGCCGCGGATTTCACGCAATGGTGAAGATGAGTCGTCTCGATGTGAAACAGGGTGATGAAGGCGAAATTAGAGTACTTTGTAACGTCAATAATAGTTGAATTGCTTGCTTGTGTAATGAAAAATCTTCAATGTCACCGAATTAAATATAAATAATAAAAAATCCCTCAGATTTTTATCCCGGATTTGGTGTGTTCATGCTTTCTCTCATGAATTTCCTATTCCGATTGAATTTGGATTTTGTTTTTGTAATCTTTCCGATTTTATCTCACATCCCGTTTGGATTTTGTCTCGTCATTTTCTCTTCCTTTCCTTTGATTATGTTCCATTCTTTTGAATCTTATGATATCAGCGGGAAAAAAAAGGTTAAAAAATTTAAAACTTGAGGTTAGAAGAACACACAAATAAAAAGTAGGTCAAAATGTGTGGCACAAAGCCACAAACTACTTTTGTGCTCATAAGATTCCATTTAGTATAATATTATCATTTATTAGCAAAAATTGAGCATAACATAAGCACAAAAGTAGTATATATTGAGAAAAATATGCAACAAAAGTAGTTTCTGAATTTGTGCCACACATTTCGGCCTACTTTTTGTTCATCTGATAATAGATTTTGATCGTCGTCTTACATACCAGGTGCACAGAGAGTCTTGAAGCTTTAAAGAGAGATGTTTCAACAATGGGTGAAGTGGACGATGAGGTCAAGAGGAGCATTAAGAGGGCCAAACAAGGTGCAATCAAAATTCTCGAAGGAGGACATATAGGTCTCACCGCGATTTCGCCAGAGGAATGATAAAGCTAGGAATTACCGGTGTGAAAACGGATAAAGGAGGCAGAAGTTAGTCGCATTTGTAATGCGCCCAACTGATTTCGGTAATGTTGAGTTAATCAAACTTGCATCTTATTGTAAGAAAAGTATGAAATAAAAAAGAGTTCATTCTGTCTTCCTCACTTTTTCTGTTTCATCTTGAAATTTACACTAGTAAAAATCTAAAAATGGTTAGGCTCTTTCTCATGAATCTAAATCAAAAAGATCGCTGACCGCATGCCAAAATTTGTTTTACTGCTCGTATTTGTTTTAACCTTATACAACATTATGTACTATTGATCATCCATATATGCTTCAGTCACACTTGTAGAAAAAACCGATTCATATTTTTTTTTGGCAAATGCCTTAAACGACACGGAACGAAGTAGCGATCCTCTTCAGATCCTTGTAGTATCTCTTCCATTGAAGCCCTGTAGCATCATCAAAACATATATGCAAACCAATTTAGCTACGTGTAATTGTAAAACAATCCAAAATGTTACACCGTGGACTAGAAGAAAGATATTCTGACTAACCGTTTCCAGTGACACTGAACAAGTAAAGACGGTTTCCGGCAGCTGTTGCAGTGATCAGCACATGAGGCGGCTCTAACTCAAACTGGTAATAGAGTCTTCCCTCATGTTCAGCTACATTTGAACTCAACACCTTCCCTTCAACGTTCTCTCCAATCACTTCTGGTCCAAATGCGTTGATCACCTTCGCTGGTGGTCCAATGTTCTCAATCTTCACATCTTCCCCAAGATCTGTCAAACAATAGTTATAAGCAGAACACACAAACCTAATCCATTTATGAACATAAACAATACCACTTACTATCTGCGAATCTTAGAACGGGAGCGACAATAACAGACAAACGGCCTTCTTTAGGACTAGCAAATCTCAAGTCAATCTCGGTGCCACCAAGATCAGCGATCGATACAGGTACCTATAAGAGTCTCAAAAACATGACTAAACCAATTATACAAACAAACACCAAAAGAAACAAACAAGAAGAGAGTCAAACAAAACCTCATTCCAATCTTGAGGAACAGAGAAGGCGTAAGGGATGATAGGACTCCAACCAACGCCATGCCCTCCTGATTTCTCGTCTGGTCTACGGTATGTTCTCCAACCTGTCTGAGAGACATTTACAATTACATTTCACCAACAAATGTATAATTATACAAACTCTCTGACTCAAAGTCTCAAACTTTAACATCCTCAACAAGAAAGAAACAGAGTTTGGATAAGATTTAGCCCTAGAAGAAACAAAGTTTCGATTTTTCAGTCTCTATCCGACTCATTGTTCATGAATTAAGGTTTTTGAATCAGATTTTGGAGACGATGACGAGAGAAAAGAGTGAAAAGAACGAACCTTTATCATCAGGTTCGGAGAGACCAGGAACTCTCCCGGCGAGAAGCCCCTGTTTCACGACGGCCAATCCATCCCCCGGAAACAGTAACGCCGTCGACGAGGCCAGCGAAAGTCCAGAAGTCGCCAGTACCGATCTTCTACTCAAAACCTTAGCACACCACTCCTCTTCGCATCTCCCCGGACTCGGTTTCGGCCTCGGAATCTCACCGTCGGTTCTGTGAGCAGCAGCGACGTTCTTGCTGTTGTAGGAGTGGCCGGAGAAACTGACGCAGCACCGGAGCAGAGCTGATTCCATCGAAATGGCGTTTGATCACTATACGCCTCTGTTCGATTTCGGTTTGTGATAGATACTCAAATCGTTTTCTAGCCTCACACGTGTCATCTGGAAGATCATCAAATTATTCCATTTTCAGTATCAACCAAAATGTATCAAAATTCTATGAATACATCAAATTCAATTTTGTCATATGATCAAAGTATTTGATGCTTCATTAAACCAATCAACATTATTGACGATAAGATCATAAGACCGAGGTTAAATCTGTCTTTACGTAACCAAACCTCACTTCAGTTCCATTTCATCGGCCTCGGTTTTCTCGTCTTCCAATTAATAGAGAAGAAGGAAAAGACTTATCGAAGCTTTCCTCCAAAGAATGTCGATGCTAATGGCGGCCAAAACCACTTCCCTCTGCAGCAGCTTAAACCTCACGACGGCGGCTTCACCAAGAACCCGAACCAACCCTCGCGCGGCGGCGAGATCGGTGAATCCGACGGCGAGAATCCAAACACGTATCCATCGTCTCATCGAAGAACAAGGCATTGTACTTATGCCTGGTTGCTACGACGCCTTATCCGCCGCCATCGTCCAGCAGACCGGATTCTCCGCCGGTTTCGTTTCCGGTTACGCTCTCTCCGCTTCTCTTTTGGGAAAACCGGATTTCGGTTTGCTAACGTACGCCGTGACTCTTTGGTTTCTCTCCATTACTGTTTTTGTTTCTATGCTGTCTTCACCTTTGTCGTTTTTTCAGACCGCCGGAGATGGCTGCGACGGCAAGGTCTGTGTGTGCCTCTGCTCCGAATATTCCCATCATTGCAGATGCCGGTAAAGTTTCAAACTTGGTAGTAAACTCGATCAAACAAATTACTAACAAACAAAAGTTTGAATCTTTTTTCTTCTTTTTGTTTAAAAATTTCAAAAGTTTGAATTCTTGTTTGTTGATTCTTTGATTAGAGCATGAATGACATGGAAATTATCAATCTTCATTGGTTTAGAGGCATTCCAGTTTACACTTGTTAGCTTGTAGTTTAGCTCATTGCTTGGTTATTATGTTATAATCATAAAACTTATCTAAAAACATTCATTTATCTTTCTCTGTTTTAGACACTGGTGGAGGAAATGCTTTAAACGTTCAAAGAACTGTAAAGGATTTAATCGCAGCAGGCGCTGCTGGTTGCTTCCTTGAGGTAAATTTCCTCTGTTTCTAGGTTTAATTTCTCAGATAAAGCATAGTCTTTGTGTATTGCATTTAACATTTTTGTTAATTATTCTTCGTAGGACCAAGCATGGCCAAAGAAATGCGGTAAGCGTGACAACAATCATTGCTTTTAAATGGACACATTTTATGATCTCAGTGTTTTTTCCATCGTTGTAGGTCATATGCGAGGCAAACAGGTGATACCAGCAGAAGAACACGCAGCCAAAATAGCATCAGCGAGAGACGCTATCGGAGATGCAGACTTCTTCCTAGTCGCGAGAACAGACGCACGTGCCACGTCTGCAAAATCCGGTCTTGAAGACGCCATCGCACGTGTCAACCTCTACATGGAGGCCGGAGCTGATGCTTCCTTCGTAGAGGCGCCGAGAGACGACGACGAGCTAAAGGAGATTGGGAAACGCACAAAGGGTTATAGAGTTTGCAACATGATCGAAGGAGGAGTCACGCCGTTGCATACCCCTGAGGAGCTTAAGGAAATGGGGTTTCATTTGATTGTTCATCCGTTGACCGCGCTCTATGCGTCCACTAGAGCTTTGGTTGATGTTCTCAAGACTCTTAAAGAACACGGAAGCACGAGAGATCATTTGCAGAAGATGGCTACTTTTGAGGAGTTTAATAGTTTGGTGGATTTAGAGTCGTGGTTTGAGCTTGAAGCTCGTTACTCAAACCTTAGAAACGCTCTTGGGACTACTAAATCATGAAGATACCGTGAGACGCAAGTTTTGTTTTTACTCTCCTCTTTGTTTGTTTTTTTTTTTTTCCTTTTTCAAGACGATTATTTGAGCAATGGTCTCATCAATAATGAAATTCATGTTTCTAATTTCGCAAAAAAAAAAAAAAAAACTATAACACAATCTAATTCCTAAAATTTCAATGTTTCCAAAATGGTTTCACTAATTTTCCCAAAATTGATTGCTTTTCATTTCGTTAATTAATGGCAGTGTAATATTGGGCTTTAAGTATAGGCCCAAAGTAAGTCAAGCCCACGAGAGGGTTTTTGCGTCTCGTCTCTTTTCGTTAAACCCTAAACCGAATCATCATCATCACCGTTAAGTCATCTTCTTCGCTTTGAAACCCTAATTTTTGGGGGATTCGCTGCAGTCGCAACAGTCTGCAAAAACCTCGAGAATCTGCCCAGATTCCACCATGGTTGCTGGAAATGAGTTCCTGGTGAGCTCGGTTACTGAGCTTCACCGGAAAGAGAAACAGAAGAAGAAAGGCAAATCCGGAGGATTCGAGTCGCTAAACCTCGGCCCCAATGTCTTCAACGCAATCAAGAAGAAAGGTTACAAAGTCCCAACACCGATCCAGCGGAAGACGATGCCGCTCATCCTCTCCGGCGTCGACGTCGTCGCAATGGCTCGAACCGGTTCCGGAAAAACCGCAGCTTTCTTAATCCCAATGCTCGAGAAGCTCAAACAACACGTTCCTCAGGGTGGCGTTAGAGCTCTCATCTTATCGCCGACTCGCGATTTGGCTGAGCAGACTCTAAAGTTCGCTAAGGAGCTCGGAAAATTTACAGGTTTGCTTCAATTTGATATCAATTTAGAAACTTTATCTAATTCCAATCATAAAAACGTTTGCTTTAATTGAGTTTGAAACGTCTTTTGATGGCTTTAATTGTTTGTAGATCTTCGTGTGACCTTACTGGTTGGTGGAGATAGCATGGAAGGCCAATTCGAGGAGCTAACAAAGAGCCCTGATGTGCTAATTGCAACTCCTGGTAGGCTTATGCATCTATTAGATGAGGTTGATGACATGTCACTTAGGACTGTTGAGTATGTGGTTTTCGACGAGGCAGATAGTCTCTTCGGTATGGGATTCGCCGAGCAGCTGCATCAGATTCTAGCTCAGTTAGGTGAGAACAGGCAGACTCTGCTCTTCAGTGCCACTTTACCAAGTGCTCTCGCTGAGTTTGCTAAAGCTGGTTTGCGTGAGCCTCAGCTTGTTAGGTTAGATGTTGAGAACAAGATTAGTCCTGACTTAAAGCTCTCGTTTTTAACTCTACGTCCTGAGGAGAAGTACGCTGCGTTGATATACTTGGTTAGAGAGCATATAAGCTCAGATCAACAGACGTTGATATTCGTTTCGACTAAGCATCATGTGGAGTTTGTGAACTCGCTGTTTAAGCTGGAGAACATCGAGCCGTCTGTGTGTTACGGTGATATGGATCAAGACGCGAGGAAGATCCATGTGTCGAGGTTCAGAGCGAGGAAGACTATGCTGTTGATTGTGACGGATATCGCTGCGAGAGGTATTGACATACCGTTGCTTGACAATGTTATAAACTGGGACTTCCCTCCGAGGCCGAAGATCTTCGTGCATCGTGTTGGTAGAGCTGCTAGGGCGGGACGTACAGGCTCTGCGTACTCGTTTGTCACGCCTGAGGACATGCCGTACCTGTTGGATCTTCATCTGTTTCTCTCGAAACCGATCAGGCCTGCACCGACTGAGGATGAGGTGTTGAAGAACATGGAGGAAGTGATGACGAGAACCAGTCAAGCAATTGAGAGTGGAGTCACTGTTTATGGTCGTTTCCCTCAGCAGACTATCGATCTTTTGTTTAACAGAATCCAGGAAGTGATTGATGCATCTGCAGAGTTGGATTCTCTTGAAAGAACATCCAAGAAAGCGTTTCGGTTGTATACGAAAACAAAGCCAGCACCGTCTAAAGAGTCCATTAGGAGAGCTAAGGAGTTACCACGAGAAGGGTTGCATCCAATCTTCAGAAGCATTATTGAAGGTGGGGAATTAGAGGCAATGGCATTTTTTCAGAAAATTAAAAATTTCAGGTGAGTAGTAATAAGTATCCATTATTCATCCATCTCCTTGTAGATTGTAACTTAACACCAAAATGATTGATTTTAATGATGGTTGATCTGTGCTAGACCCAAGCAGACTATACTTGAAGCAGAAGGGGAAGCTCTCAAATTCAAAAATGTGAAGGTGATGATCCCTTGCTTTCAAAAATCTATATTTTGGCTTGTAGATTACTTCTATGATTCTGGTATTTTGTTCATGAGTAGCTGAAGCCAAAATGTTTTTGGTTCTTGTGCAGGGTCCTCCTGGGGAATGGATGGATGTGATGAAGAAGAAGAGGGCCATTCATGAGGAGATCATTAATACGAGACATCAGCAGAAGCAGAAGACTTCCAATAATCATTTGGAGATGGTAATCTTGTACAATTTCTAATTAGAGGTGTTTGACGTTTGTCTGCCATTAGCTTTACTCACACAAGTGTTTTGATATCCTAGGAAGCTGAACCTGATACCACTATTATGGAGGAGGACAAGATAACAGGAAGCAAAGGTATGCGTGCTGCTTGTTCTTTTGTTGTCGATATATCTGTGTAGCATGGTTGGTTTTGTCACTTCTTTGGCTAACTAGCTTCAAATAAACTCTCCGTTGATTTCAGTAGGCGGTGTAAAAAGAAAGGCACAACAAATCTTCAAGGACGAAGAGTCCTATATCAGCTCCATACCAGCAAATCATGTATGTTTTTTTCATTGTAAAACATTTTATGTATCATACCCAGTAGCTGTCAAAGCTACAATGTTTATTCTACCGATATTGAGATTTGACTCTTTGTCACTCTTATGCATGCAGCATTCGGAGGCAGGGCTATCTTTGAGGGGTAACGAAGGGTTTAGTTCAAATAGGTTGGACGATGCGGTTCTAGATCTTGTTGCAGATGATGGCCAAGGCATGAAGCAGCAAAAAGGATCGTATCACTGGGACAAGGTAAATAGTCGATTAAGGTGCATAAATCACAAATGCCCCCAACTGTAACCTTATTAACAAAAATAAACTGGATTTGTCTTTGGTGACAGAAAAGTAAGAAGTACATCAAGTTGAACAATGGAGACCGAGTAACTGCCAGTGGAAAGGTAGTAGTCTTAATAACCCCTACTTACAAAACAAGAGATTGTTTTTTTGATGATTCTGAGAAATGATTTGAGCTAACTCAAGTGTCAATTAACTAAATAGATAAAGACGGAGAGTGGAGATAAAGTGAGAGCAAGTAAGAAAGGGTTCTACAAGAAATGGCAAGAGAAAACTCACCAGAAAGTATCTAGCCGAGAGGACGGTGATGGAGACGATACAAGAAGCATGTCAGGTAAATATACTGTACAATTTTTGTTTTTCCACACAAGTTGATGGAACATTAGTGGTCTAAAAGAGAGAAACTTGGCAGGTAGAGGTGGCCGAGAAGGAAGAGGCAGCCGAGATGGGAGAGGCAAGCAAGGATCAGTGCCTAATGCGCATGTACGTTCAGAAATCAAAGATCTGGAGCAGGTGCGTAAGGAGAGGCAGCAAAAGGCGAACAAAGTGTCTTATCTGCAAAGCAAGAGAGGTGGAAGAGGTGGTGGGGCCAGAGGAGGGGCCAGAGGAGGTCGTGGTGGAAGGGGTGGCAGCAGCAGGGAATTTGGTAGTGGAGGCGGGAGAGATTTTGACAGTAGAAGCTCTAGAGGTGGAAGAGGAGGCGGTGGAAGCGGGAGAGATTCTGGCGGTCGCCGTGGTGGTAGTAGTAGTAGAGGTGGCTCTGGCAAGAGAGGAGGAAGAGGAGGAGGAGGGAGAGGAAGAGGAAGATAAGCATCAAGACACTAATGACTTGTCAAAACTTTTTGATCATAGGCAACTATTTATTTTCACAATGTTCTACGCTGAAATTTTGTGCAACACTTTATATTATATTAATGTTTGTTTTCTTCAAATTTTTGGTTTTCGTAAGCAAATGTTAATTGACATTGAAAAGGAACCGATTGATCCTTGTTCGTTAGTGAGACTGGGAGTGAAAATTGTGTTTTGTAATTCATAGCTCTGTTCTGTATAGATAAATTAGTTAACAACGAAGTAGGACAACAAGGTTCTATGGTGTAGTGGTTAGCACTCTGGACTTTGAATCCAGCGACCTGGGTTCGACTCCCGGTAGGACCTCATTTTTTGTTTTGCCATTTTACTTACCTTTTGGTGATGATAAAAATGTAAAAATGTATACAGTCGAGGTGTTATCGCATGAATCATCATCCTTTTTTTCTTCAATGTTCAAGAATTTAGAAAGAAATGGTTGGTTGGTTGATTGGTTGATTAATGTCAAGAAAAAGAGGGCATGAGATGAGTGAATGATAGAAAGCACTGAGTGGACAGTTAAAAAGAGTGTTGTTGTCCCGCTAAAAAGCGGCGCAAAAATTAGTTTATTTTTTGAAAAAGTGAATATAATAACTGTAAAGACATCTCTTTTTTCTGCTTCTTACAAAGCAGATCACACTCACACCTCTCTTCTTGTGTTGTGTCAACTTCTTCTTCCCCACATTTCCTAAAAGTAAAGCTTCACACACAGATCCCAAACCAAACTCTTCTTTTCTTATTTACTTAGTTTTTTGTAACTCTGCTTCAACTCTACTCTGATCCAATCATGGTGAAGGAAACAGTGTACTATGATGTTCTTGGTGTCACTTCCTCTGCTTCCGAGGAAGAGATTCGCAAGGCTTATTACATCAAGGTTTGTTATTCTTATAGAGCTTTCTTAGATCTGTGACTCTGCGTTTTCTCTGTTTTTTTGATGGACTAACTCTTAAATCTTTAGGCAAGACAAGTTCATCCTGATAAGAATCCTGGTGATCCTCTCGCTGCTGAAAAGTTTCAGGCAAGTCTCATCCATTTTCTTGTTTTTTTTATAGTCTTTATCAAATCATGAGATTTTTTTGTTCTTGGCATTGTGACAGGTTCTAGGTGAAGCTTACCAAGTTCTTAGTGATCCTGTTCATCGTGAAGCCTATGATCTGACTGGAAAATTCTCAGCTCCCAAGTAATATGTTTTGAGTAAAGATTATGAGTTTATATCTTCTCTTCTTTCTCTCACAATGTTTTAATGGTTTTGATCAATCAGAGAAACGATGGTTGATCCAACGGCTGTTTTTGCTCTACTCTTTGGAAGTGAACTGTTTGAAGATTATATTGGTCACTTAGCTGTTGCATCAATGGCTTCCACTCAAATGGCTTCTGAAATCGAAAACCCTGATCAGATTCATGACAAATTAAAGGCAACAAATCAATCTCATAGATTCATAACTTTATCTTTCTCATATGATTCTGATCTTCAAGATATTTTCTTGGACAGGCTGTTCAGAGAGAAAGAGAAGAAAACCTAGCTAGGTTTCTCAAAGATTTTCTAAACCAATACGTCCATGGAGACAAACAAGGTTTCATAAACCGAGCAGAAGCTGAAGCTAAGAGACTCTCAGATGCAGGCATTGTCTTCTTTCCTTTTGTGTGATTCACTTATACGCAAAAAACATTCTTCAAATTCTGAATAAACTTCTATTTTTGTTAAAAAGCTTTTGGAGCGGATATGTTGAATACAATTGGATATGTCTACACAAGACAAGCAGCACAAGAGCTTGGCAAGAGAGTTCTCTACTTGGGAGTTCCTTTTGTAGCTGAATGGGTTAGGAACAAAGGGCATTCTTGGAAATCACAGATTAGTGCAGCGAAAGGTGCTTTTCAGTTACTTCAGCTGCAAGAAGAGAGCAACCGAAGACTCAAGAAAGATGGGACTAGTAGTCAAACGAATGACTTGGAGTCTCATATTCAGACAAACAAAGAAACACTGATGGGATCTCTTTGGAAACTCAATGTGGTTGACATTGAAGTGACTTTGTTACATGTGTGTCAGATGGTTAGTTCTTTTGGATCCTTCTCTCTTGCTTGTATATAAAGTTAGATCTCAAGACATAAAGTTATGATGATTCTTGTTTAGGTATTGAGGGAAAACAACTTGAGAAAAGAGGAGCTTAAATCTAGAGCAATAGCTCTCAAGATTCTTGGCAAGATTTTCCAGGTTTTTTGTTCAATAACATAATACCATAATCACATTTATCTGATCTAGCTTTTTGGTTTCTTGTGCTGATTCAAGATTGTTGTGGTTTTGTGTGTGCAGCAAGAAAAGCAATCGAGGAACGGTGCAACGTCAAGAAAAGTAGATGAAGACAGCAGCGACGACGACGATGACAGTAGCAGCGATGATGATTCTTCACAACCACTTTCATACAGAACTCCTCTGCTCACTCAGGTATAAAATTCTCACTTTTTTTTCCCAACTCATTCTTGTTCATAGATCAAACTGAGAATTTAGATTCTTGATGGGACATTTTTTACAGGGGATTGGTAGACTCTTCAGATGTCTCTGCAATCCAGCATTTGATGTAGACGACGATGAAATTGTATACAAAGGCAAATGAATCCAACAACCAAATTCACATTGCAATTGATGATGGTCTCACTCAATCCCACTAAGTGATTTATTCTTTATATATAAGTTTTTGTAATGATGATGAATGATGGATCAAACTTAACAAGTTGTTGCTATAAAAAAAGGTACAAAAAAGAAAAGAAAAGAGTGTTTGTAATCATTACAAGATTGCTTTAATTCTTTCTTGTAAATCTTCCTACCATTGGTGATGATAAACTGATAATCAAATCGGCTGAAATGAATATTTCCATGGATGGTATGGTGGTGACTTTTTAATGAATCTACAACTCTTTAGCATGATATAAGAGCTTTATTAAGATTGATTAAGATTGAAGATAACCAAAAAAGCCTCATGATGAGCTTTATTACAAAAGAGTAGAGTTTGGTATAACGATAACTAAACCGGAAAATAACTAAACCAAGCAATGAATTAAACCAATAGAATTGCTATAAACCGGATTGTATTTCCTGTCACGCTTTTGGAGTTTTCCGGTCATACCTCTGAATTAGTGTTCTTCGTGCTTCTTCTCTTCTATCGAACTCGAATCTGAGATCTCTCTCTCTCTCTCTCTCTATCGTTCCTCCATGGATCTCTCTTCTCGCTTCCCATCGATCCTCATCTTCTTTCTCTCAATCTCCGTCGTCTTCGCCGAGATCCGAAAATCAGAGATCCGATCCGATGACAGACCAATCATCCCCTTGGACGTATTCGGATTCACTCACTCCGGCCGGCTCGAGCTCGACGCCTCGAAGATCTCGCTCTCCAACAACAACCCCGATCTCGACCTCTCCAAGGTCGGCTTCTTCCTCTGCACCAGAGACGCCTGGGTCCACGTGATCCAGCAGCTCGAGGAAGAAGAGATCACCTGCGCTCTCCAATCGGATCTGGTCAAGCACGTCTTCACCTTCAACAAACTCGGCAAAAACACCGAAAAATTCTCCACCGTCTTCACCGAGAACGACGCCGATCAGTACTCGCTAGTCTTCGCCAACTGTCTCCAGCAGGTGAAAGTCTCCATGGACGTCAGATCCGCCATGTACAACCTCGAAGGCAAAAAAGGCGGCCGGGATTACCTCTCCGCCGGCAGAACCGTCCTCCCCAAAGTCTACTTCCTCTTCTCCGTCATCTACTTCTCCCTCGCCGCCACGTGGATCTACGTCCTCTACAGAAAACGCCTCACCGTCTTCGCGATTCACTTCTTCATGCTCGGCGTCGTCATCCTCAAAGCTCTCAACCTCCTCTGCGAGGCAGAGGACAAATCCTACATTAAGAAAACCGGAAACGCTCACGGCTGGGACGTCTTGTTCTACATCTTCAATTTCCTAAAGGGTATCACTCTCTTCACCTTGATCGTCTTGATCGGAACCGGTTGGTCCTTCTTGAAGCCTTACTTGCAGGACAAGGAGAAGAAAGTGTTGATGATTGTGATTCCTCTCCAGGTTGTAGCTAACTTTGCTCAGGTTGTGATTGATGAGACTGGGCCTTATGGCCAAGACTGGTTCACATGGAAACAGATATTTCTCCTTGTTGATGTGGTTTGTTGCTGCGCCGTTCTGTTTCCGATCGTTTGGTCGATCAAGAACTTGCGGGAAGCGGCTAAGACCGACGGGAAAGCTGCTGTGAACTTGGTGAAGTTGACTCTCTTTAGGCACTACTACATTGTGGTTATCTGTTACATCTATTTCACGAGAGTCGTCGTCTATGCGCTTGAGACCATTACTTCGTATAAGTATATGTGGACGAGTGTTGTTGCCAGCGAGCTGGCTACGCTTGCGTTTTATCTGTTTACTGGGTATAAGTTTAGGCCTGAGGTGCATAACCCTTACTTTGTTGTTGATGATGAGGAAGAAGAAGCTGCAGCTGAGGCGCTCAAGCTTGAAGACGAGTTTGAATTGTAAGCCGTCGTCACACGTGTGGCAGAAAGGAACATACTTTGTTTGACAGGATCAAACCTGATCATTGTTCAGGTTCTTTTTTCTTCTTTTTGTTTATCGTTCTTAGTTTTTCTATCTTTGAGTTGTTATGACACTTATGTAGACTCGATGAATGTCTTTATCCATCGCATACTTATGTATTTACTGGTAACATAAAAACGTTTGAATGCTTTTATACTTATGCAAAGTCTCTGCTTTTTATACATTTGAAAATCTTCAAGTATGGATGTAAATGGAAGAGCTACATTGATCCAACACCCTAACTATGCTTTTTAAAAATATTCAATCTTTGTGTTGCTAATAATACCACATTGTTTGATGATGATGATCGATGGATCCAACTTAAGAAACTTGTTTAGAAAGGAAGTATCTTTGCAGTCATTACAAGATTACTATAACGTAGACATGATCAAAGAACGGTGAGAAAGACTCAAACAAGCTCTAAGAACAGTAGGCTTATATGCACACAGAGAGACCAAGTGGATCAATGAGCCGGGTGAGGGAAAGAGGTGTGGGTGCGGTGAGCCTGGAGGATGCAGGCGCAGTGAACAGAGGTTAGATTCAGGCAACCGCTCATGACGAGGGAATGCCTGCCGGAGCAAGTGTGGAGCGCAGGGAATGTATCGCAGACGGCTTGAACAGCTGAAGGTGTTAGGTAAGTGCACTGGCTAATGTTGAGGCTTCTTAGTCCTTCTTCGTCGAACTTGCCTTTCTTAACCGAGCGCCACAGCTCGTGCTTGTTCTTCACTCCGCTCTGAGCCAGCGAGTACATTGCTCTGTCGGTTATGTTTCTGCAGTAGTATAAACCCAGTGACCTCAAATGCACACACCGGTTCGCCAAAGCCACCACACTCTCATCTACCAACAACAACAAGAACAAGATGTTTAGAGGGTAAAGAAAACTCTTGAGTAAAGTCTTATACTTTATGAGGTCCTTACCTGTAATAAGAACACAGCCACAGAGGTCAAGGGTTCTTAAATCAGGACATCCATAAGCTAAACTCATGACTCCATCATCACTTATATTCTCACACCATCCCAAGTTTAGCGACTGCATTTGACTACAGTTTTCTCCAATAGCCTGCATGATTTTTGAGACTGTTGTTTCGGTTTGTTGATACAAAGAGAATACAAGACAGAGAGAGAGATGAATGTTAAAAGCTCACCTGCAAAGCATTGTCAGATACAGCTTCGACACAACCACAAAGATTCAGAATCTTGAGCTTCCGGCAAAACCTTGTCAAATGCGCGAGAGCGGTGTCGCTGAATGAAGAGCATCCGCTGAGGTTGAGTTTAGTGAGGTTTGTGCAACCTCGAGCCAGAGAGTAGAGGGAACGGTCAGTGAGTTTCGAGCTTTTGCTTAGGTCAAGATCTTGTAGCTCGTGACAGTGATTCGCTATGGCTTCCACTGCGTTGTCCTCAAGCTGTGGTTTGTCCTGTCTCAGTACTAAAGTCTGAAGCTTGACAAATTTCGGAACCAGAGACAGAACCAAACTGTTCATATTGTTCTTGCACCTGAAGAACACAAACAAGTAACACACACAAAATCAAATCCTTCTAGTTTCTTGGTACTTAGACAAATTGAAATCTTGAAACCGAAACAAGAATTTTGATCATTTTCAAGATTTTGATCATTTCATCAATAAAGTTTGATACTTTCAATCACATGATCCTTAAGTCTAGTCCTCAATTGATGAACATAGCCAAAAAGGCTTGACCTTTATTGAAAATCCAGACAATAACCAACCAAACCGCAAAACACTCTTCAGAACAATCACAAAGACACAATCACATAAACGATGAAACAAAGACAAAAGAAGAAGAAGAAGAAGAAGCTATGCATACCAAGAGAGAGAGAGACGAGTGAGGCCAAAGGAGATAGCATCTCTCCAGCCACTGGAGACGCAAGAAGCAATGATCACGGTCCGATCATCAACAAGGTTAAGGATCCTCATCAGAAGCTCCAAAGGAATATCTTTCCACTCGGTGATCACGATTCCTCCCATTTTCATTTCCTTCATCTTCTCGAAGCATCGGCTAAGTTCCTTTGTTGCTGCTCCTCCTCCTTCAGACACCATCTTTTGATTTGACTCTTAAGCGGTTCCTTGATTCTAGCACCACAGAGAGAGGTATTGAGATTAAAGAAACAGAGAGAGAGAAAGAGGATAAATATCTCTGAGTCCAAAGACGACAAATGTAGGGAAAAAAAAAATTAAAAGAAAAAGCAGTAAACATTTGCGTAACTCTTTTTGACATTAAAAGCAAAAGCATAATCTGTCTGTGAATTAATTTTAAACGTAGAAGAAATACAAAGTTTCAGTTTTTAAGAGGAATTAAAAAGTTTCTTTCTTTAGATGTCTAGATTTTTCCAGAAAGCGTTAGGATTTTCAATTATTACAATCAATAAAGATGACCAAAAAAAAATTAATGCTTACTTTCGTTTTCTGTGCAAGCAAAACAAAAATCGTCTTACTTTGATAAGAAAAAAAGTTTGACACTTTGGAGTTTTCCGATCATACCTCTGAATTAGTGTTCTTCGTGCCTCTATTGTTTTCTTTGATCTGTGTAGCTCTTTGGAGTAAATCAAATTAAAATAAAGCGTGGACACTCGTGAGGATGATAACGACTATTAACGAGATGAGGAAGAAAATTCAGAAATGGAGTTTGTATATAAAATGAGAAGAGGCAAGAGTAAACGTACGGGTAATGACTATCTGACACGTGATCTGCCACGTGTCTAAAATCGACCGGTCTTAAACAACAATTCCCTGATTATATTTCCAATTTTTGTTTTCTCATAATAATCATATTCATTTTTAGAAAACGATTTGTAAGATAATCATATCATTGACAGAAGATTTGAATTATATCTTGACAAAAGAATAATCATAGTTGCAGTATTTAATTACACGAAAGTTTCGGAAAACACACAAGAGAACTATTTGAAATGTATGTACTCGACGGATTTTGGAAAGTGAAGAAACTTAATATATAAACTCCACATTTCTCAGGGGACAGTTGACCAGTCAAGGGAAAACTTCCAAGTGAGAAACTGCTTAATTAAAGGGTAATCAAGAAATTAGGGAAAAGTAAGAAGATGATAAATATATTTTCTCATATGGGGAGTCCTAAAGCGAAGCATATAGTATAATATAGAGATTGAATATATACTTGTATGACTTTATGGAATTTGGTCGGAGTACAATATTTATAGAGTTTCATGGAGTATTAAATAACAACATTACATAAACAAAATGATAATAGTTTGATGTCTGTTTTTCCTCATTTTCTAAGCTTTTAGAAGTCCCACACGCACTTGCAAATTTATATTCTTTTGTTATTTCTTGATTTTACCACCACAGATAATTTTTGTTTTGAACAAAATAAACAGATAAAATTGCAACTCGGAAAACTACAAAAAATAATGCACCATCGGGATCACGAGGCCTTTGATTTGGTGGGCACGTCTTTTTGCTAGAATGGGACAGCTTCCCACCAATACTTCATCGTTCGTTCTATCAATACATCAGTACATGGATTTTGTTAATTGATGTATCATGTATCTGATTGGACGCTCTATCATCAGTGTCAGTGTTGTTATTAACAAAAAGTCACCACTGTAATCCAATTTGTATTTCATCATCATTCGAATTATAATATGTATAATGACAACACAGCACAAATCCCTATTTTACATGTTTTGGTTGATTAGTCAAGAACTCAAGATTAGAAATCGATATTTTTTTTTATGACCGCTTTGGTTAACCATGCATACAACACATATCGACATGTCAAGTTGAAGTTGTCAACAGAAAGATAATACCATCAATTCAGACGTTTTTTTTGTTTGTTTATATGTAACATATAAATCTTAAAGAACACGTACATACATATTTAAATTGGACTAAAACTATTATGCTAACATATAAAAAGAAAGAAAATACCCAATCTGAGTCTGAAAATTCAAGTGAATTGTTTGATTGTTTCTGCAAGAACGAGTTTATACTTCTTTTTTCTTTTTTAGGGGATCACGCAACGATCGAGTGTATAATATTTCAAATATTGTGACATTGTGGAAGAAAGTAATACTATAAGAAAGGATAATGGAAACAGCAAACCGTTTACTTTTTTTTCCATGGTTTCGTGCATATGTTGAGAGCTAGCTGTGTTAGCCTTACCCGAGGCCGCACTCCATGCCGTTTTCTTCAATTGCTTTTCGACTTTCCCACACATCTATGCATTAGCCTTCCCCAAATTCAAGGGCCTACTTTAGCCTAATTCAACCTTATTTTCGTTTCACAGAATGCAATAATTACGCTTAATACTAATTTCAATCTTATATCTATGATATGGTAGATTTCTTGAATTACATTTGCCATCTTTTTAGGCTTATATATAATGGATTATGTATTTTTCACCTGTCTAATATCATTGGATCATGCAGCTTAGTATATGTCTTATTATACTGCTTTATGCTAAGTCAATCAAACTCATTTTCATAGCCAAGTCAATGCACTAATTTGATAATAGATTCACTACATAGGTTCTCCATAAATAACTATTATTATCCACGACAAATTTAAACAAAAACCAAAATTCGTTAACGACAAGGACATAAATATTTTACATTTGCTGCCCAAAGATGATAGAAAACAAGAAGGATTGAGTTTCATACACAAAAGCAAACCTTCCAATAGGAAAAGTTCCATAATATTATTCTATTATAAACATGTTCAAACGAAGAAGCATTTCACGGTCATACTATGACTACAGAACCCGAAAACCCGGTTTTGATTCGGTTCGATTTCGGGTAAACCACCAAAATCCCTGACCAAGTCAAAACACCCCACTACTAGACCCTCTAGATCACATAATACACATTTTACAGCACATTTCATCAACGCAATAGATTTATAGAGTTACCTTTTCTCTCAAGGCAACAACTTCTCTAGCAAATTCCCAAAGAAGAAACTGGTTTTGGCCCATCCTCCTCCGCTGCTACCTTGACCGTCTTCTTTCCATCTTCTGCTCGGAACCTTGTTCTTCACGTTAATCATCATACTGTGTCCGATCTCTCCACGCAACGCCTCGATCGTCTTCACGTCCACTGGATTCCCTGAAGCATCTCTCACGTAGAAAACGTTAACCGCTTGTTCTCCTACTGTTGTCACACCAGCTCTCGTCACTGAAAGCCCGTGCTCTCTCAGAATCCTAGTCACTTCCGACAGTAATCCAACTCTGTCCTTCGCACAGAGCTCCAAACTCCAACCCTAGAATTGAAATTTCAGACAAAACCTAAACCATTCGTTGCCTTGTAAAGCAAGAAACACCAAAAAAGTATGAGTATTTTACTTTTTAGTAACCTACCTCGCTGACTCTTCTATGGATTGCGGCTTCTAGACATTTGACAACTCTCTCTTTCTCTCCTACCGAGTCAAGAGTGCAACCATCTTTGTGTCTGATGAAATACTCCTGAGAAGCATGAGGACCGTTCGACGAAATCGTGGCGTGAAACACAATGTACTGCATATCAGTAAGCGTGCACACAATGTCGAACATGAGCTTGGCTCGATCCTCGCAGCTCACGCTTATCACTGAGTAACCTTTCTCTTCGCAATGCTCAACGGTGATCTTAGCCTCGAGTCCAGGAGACGCTGAATCATCAAGCTTGGTCACTGCCTCGTAGTCTTTATCAGCGAAAAGCATCTGATGAAGCCTACGGTCAACGTGAGTTGACCCGATGGAGAGACTCGTCCGAGCAACTTTCTCATCTTCTTGTTCACACCCACGAAGCACGTTGTTGAGCTGTTCTTCCATAGCAGACAACCTCTCTGGGTCATCAACTGCTCTAGATGTTTCGTTATCGTTCACGTAGAGAACACACGCGATCCTACGTTTGTGAGTCCATGCTTCAGCTGCCACCACGTTGAAGTGAAGGTCTGCTAGTACGGCTGAGATCTCCGACAAGAGACCAGGGCGGTCACGTGCAATAATCTCGATCGATGTGTGGTCGCCTAATGAATGGACACCCACTCTTTTACCTGGCCAAGTGTTTTGTGAAGCCAAAGCATAACCCTTTGGTCCTAACACCTTTTGAAAAAGAAACAAGAATCACATTGTAACAACCATTCCAAAATATTTATATACATAATACAAACCATGCATAGAAATATATAATAATGTTTTTATGTGTATTACCTTTTCGATGTAATCAACGGTCTTGCTATCAGTAACCTTGTTTCCTTGCTGATCAGTGACATGGAACACTATAAAGATTTTGAAAATAGACTCAGTAAGATGCTTTTCGTTGGAATGAAATTTTGTTGTTGTGAATGTATAGTAAATGTGGAAAATTGTTACCGTCCATGAACCATCCACCATCAGAAGAGATATATGCTTTGCTGATTGTGAGATCAAGATCGGTTAAGACTTGCACAACTTCCAGTAGTATTCCTGGTTTGTTCATACTATCAACCTATTAAGCGCACATGACATGTCATTAATATTCAGTTAAATCCTCAAACCGAATTAATCCGAGAAAGAAAGAGCTTATTACCTTGACAAGAGTGCATTCTTTGCATGTAGTGTTATCTATAGAAACACTGCAACAACAACATAGAAAGAAGAAAATGAGCTTTAAAAACAGCATTAAGTAAGTTCTTGAATGAAATAATCCAAATGGACTTTGTTTACCTTGGAGGATTGATTCTGGAGCTCAAGTTCTCATATTCAGGATCAAAGTACGGCCAATAAACTCTAGCCATTTGAAGATCTTCTGGATTTTTAAAAGCTCTTCACACGTCCTGAAGTTTAACCAAAAAAGAAGTTATTGATATATCACCAAGATAACAGAACAAGACAAAGGATAAGAAGAAACAAGATTGCTGTTAAGTCTGTCGACCAACTTGCAAGAAGATAAGATATATTCGGAGATTTTTGCATGTGTAGTCAAATAAGTGAATCTTGGCCACGAAGCAACTCGGAATCAAAAAGGAGATAGAGATAAAAAGATTTACATAAAGAGAGAGACCACAAACTGAGATTCTCTGCAAAAAACAAGAATCTCTCTGCTTCTTTTATAGTCATTCTCAACCAAAGAAAAACAGAAGAATTGATTCCTAAAAGATCTCTTACTAAGAAAATCAAAACTAAAAACATATTTTTCTGAGCAAATGTTTTACTTTTTTTGTTTAAGATATGACATGAGATTCTCTCTATTTGCATAAACGAATCGATGCTTCAAACAAAATTTAAAAAAAACTAAGAAGTAGCTGTCAAAAGTGAAAAACATGAAGGAAAGAAAAAGTTATAATAATACTACTGTAGTAGTAACAAATTAAAACGTTTTTATTGGTCAAAGATGGAATCTAAAAATGTTAATCATCGAAACACTGTTTAGTATAATATTAAAAAGAAAAATACTGATCACACAATATGCCAACTTGCAACACTACGCAGCCACCACCAACACGATGAAGATGAGACAAAGTTTGTTAGTCGATTCTTTGAAATGCTCAAAATCTATTCTCAATTTGTAATATTTATACATAAATCTTATCGTGTGTCGACATCAAATTAAGCTATACACCGTTCTCAAACTCTCTCGAATCCATGCGCAAAATTTTAACAAAGCTTGTGTGTGTGTGTGTGTGTGTTTGTGTGTGTATGTCTCATAGACTTCCTCAATTCAGCTAAAATCTTACAAGTTTCTGAGTTTCTCCAGAAAAATTAAGATAATAAGAAAAACCAAGAATTACGAGAAGCCAAAACGAAATTGAACAAAATCAAAAAAGAAATGATCATAGATTTGAAATTAGAGAGGAGAGTGGGAATAGTTAGTTACCTTAGTATGAGAACTTAAAAAAAACCTCAAATCTGGGGAGTCGTCGAGAGAGAGAAGAGAAACAGAGAATCTATGGAGATTTCAAAGGGGACGATTATTTTAAGGAAATTATAAAATTTACATCTTCGAAAAAACCGAGAAATAGAGAGAGAGACAGAGACAGAAGCAAGTGTCTCAAAAGAAAAAGAAAATGTAATCTTCTTCTTCTTCTTCTGACTCTTCTCTGTCTCTAAACGTTTTTTTCTTTAAATGAGATTGGAACCCTTCTTTCTCCGCCAGAGGCTTTAATAGGAATCTAGCGAAACAGTACGACACCAGCTTTTTTTAATATTAAACAGAAAAAAAATTAAGTATTAAATAAAAAACTTTTAATTAAATGAGTATTAGTCAGATATGACTAAGCGAACATTATAATTAGTGGTGGTGTTAATACAAACTATTCCTCACTCCCATACAGGCACACGCGCTAAAGAGCGTGTGTCCTACACTCTCCATTACTGTGTTTTTAGCCCGCACTGGTATGAGATTTGTGTGTCGGAGTTTACCTGATTTTACTGTTAAAGATTTCACTAATCTGAGCAATTAATTAATTTAGTGAGGAATGTAAAGAGCGCGTGAATGAGTTTATAGCAAAATCGCGTGAAGATGGAAGCGTTTGGATCTCACGGGAAAGTACGGTCGGTTGTTTTTGTCGCTTAGTTGCTTGATTTAGGACATGGAAAGCTTACAATTTGCAGAGTGAGCTCAACACGAGGCGCTTTTTTTTTTAAGTTCGATTTTTTCTTGTGATATTGATTTTGGATATTCGTTGATTAGTAACTAAAACTACAGAGTTAAATCGTAGTTATCGTAATTCACCACAAAATACATATTATGAATGATAAATATCTAAAATAGTTTGCGAAAAAGAAAAATCACTACTAAGTTAAGTATTGCCTGAAATTATTTTCCCATAATAATGATTTTTCGTTGGTGTGATAAATAAATAAAAAAAGCAAAGAGAAGATTCGGTATCTTTTACCTTTTAAATCACTCCCCTCCTTACATTCTATGACCATCTCCAACCCCTCATGTCATATGTTACCCCTCATGCCATATGTTATTGCAAATGGCAAAAATATAGCAATAGCATTGGGTTTCTCTCCAACCCCTCATGCCATATATCATGCTATAATTTTTTTCCAACTTATTATTAATTGTTAAAACTACTTGATTTCTTCAAATTTTACAAAGTGAATCATTTGTTTTTCTTTTTTTGCAAAAACAACCAGAATTATATATTTTTTTTATTATTATAATATTAAAACAAAATACATCATATTACATAAAAATTATAGAAAACAAAGATTTTAACCTATTGTTTTATGTTTTTTGAATTTCAGTATTTTTAAAAATAAAATTTGAAGTTTATTATGGTTATGTTTTTATATTTCTATGAAATAAATATTATTTATATTTTGAAAAAGTTATGAGTATTGTTTATTTATTTAAATAAATCATAATCAATATAATTAAACTGTTAAATTAAAAGTAATTACAAATTGAAGGACTATTTTATAAATAAAAAAGTTCAATGGCAAAATAGCATATTGCATAATCTCATGCCAAATATAGAAGCAAAAATAGCATGATGCTATAATATGCAATTGGGTTGGAGCAAAAATTATGGCAAAATAGCATATATGTCATATTTAGCATGGGGTTGGAGATGCTCTAACGATGTCACTCTCTTTCTCTCTGTATTTTCATTTTCTACCAAAATTATCCCAGACAATGGTCCATTAAATTTCTTTTATTTTGCTAAACTACACCATCATTTTGTCTTTTATATCGATGTATACATCACAAACAGTTCACTTATTTTTGTTGTCAACCACAAACAGTACACATATATCCAGCCAAATTCGCAATAATTCGTCTTCCCTACAAAGATTCTTTAGTTTAAGAAACTTAGAAAAGTGGATTTTTGAATGATGTTTCTTTAATTATGAGTATAAAGAAGTCCAACAAGCCTCGTGTGTTGGTGAGTTTAAAAGTATCGATTACTAAATGTAACTTATCTTCTGAGATATTCAAAGATTTAAAAATCAGTTATTTTTGTTGTATACTCTGATAACATATTACAGACAGTTTATGCTTAATGGTCCAACTCTCACACAAAGAACCATTATAAGAAGAAAAATCAAATTGTTGTACTAGAGATGTGAAAGATTGCTTCTCCTCGGAATTGGGTGGTTGATAATCTCCATATTGCACAAAAGGATACCTAAATTTGAATCGTCTCATAAAGATTATTGAAAATAAAGTTTTGATGACGTTTTTAGAGATAGAACTTTGATGTGAATGGAGATATACAAGAGGCTCAATAATGTATCCCACATTTTGTGTTCGTTGTTAATTCCATTATCCTCAAATTTTCGTACAACAGAAAACAACAAAGATAAAGTTAATACCAAAGTGCTTTTCCTACAAAGAACATTTTGCTTAGTGGAACATGAGATGGCCTCTCAACCTCTCCCACCTTAAATGTTGAACAACAAAAGATATTTTCTATCACTGTTCTTGAAACAACTCTTATGCCTCAATTCTTAATGCTTACCACTTTGATCATCACCCACTCACAAAGGTTGGTGGTTTCTGTTGAGAGCATATTGTCACATGATGCGTTTGCGTTCTCAAAGTCAACAGCTACTATTTTCACTCAAGCAAGAACAACAAAAGAATAGTGTCTCGGACTAAAGTTCCTTCACACAGCATGCACTATAGATGAACATGAGAGCAAACACTTCCAATTCAATGTGTAGATCATATAGTGCACGGTGCAATAAGTTAGCTACAGAAACAGAGCCTATGTTCAAGATCAACAATTACAAGCCTATATTCATCATACTTGTTGCAATTGTTTCCACTCCATTTGCAGCATTTTCTATGCCTCGAACTTGGCTTCTATTGGTGTTATTCACACACAAATTGAGAGTATTCAAAAATCAGCCCAACTGGAACCTGGACTCTTTTTCACATGCTTCTCTCTCATCAGTTTCCTCACAAGCGCCGAGCTTTCCCAATCTCCAGAGGTTGCAAATATGGCGGACAACTGAACATAAGCAACTGAGTTCTCAGGTTCGAGCTCAATAATCTTCTCAGCAACTTTCTTCCCCATGGCTTTATATCCATTCGCCACACATTCTCTTAGAACAGATGACCACATGCTTGCATCCGCATCGAAAGGCATCTCCTCCACAAGACCTATCGCTTCTTCCAAACGACCAGCGCGAGCCAAAAGGTCGACCATACACGAAAAGTGCTCTTTGTCTGGCACAACACCAAAATCCAACCTCATCGCCTCAAAAAACTTCCTTCCCTCTTCCACTAAGCCACAGTAATTGCACGCAGTTAGTACACCCATGAAGGTGATCCGAGTGGGTTTTAGACCAGCAACATTCATTTGCTCGAACAAATCAATCGCTTCAACTCCACGGCCATTATTAGCATAACCTAATATCATTGAGTTCCACGGCACTTCATCTGATTTCACCATTGTGTCAAACACTCTCCTGGCACAGTCAACGGATCCACACTTGCAATATAAATCAACGAGAGACGACGACACTACTTGATCAGAGTCAAGACCAACAACAGTTGCCCTAGCGAAAACCTGCTCACCGAGCTCGAGAGAAGAAATGCTCGCACACGCACTCACCACGCTAGAGAGACTAAACGTATCCGTCCGCAAATCCATCCTGTGCATTTGGCGGAAACACTCCAAAGTCTCAACCGGACAACCGTTCTGACTAAACCCTACAGTCATCGAGTTCCAAGAAATCAAGCTCTTGCTCTCAATCCTCTCAAACACACGTTTCGCATCTTCCACTCTCCCGCAGCTGAAATACACCTTGATCATATTGTTCAGCAAGATTGTGTCACACGTTTTGACCTCACTGAAAAGCTTACAAGCCTCCACCGAACTTCCACACATGGAGTACATGTCAACCAACGTGCTAGCCACAACAATGTCTTCAACCAACCCAAGTACACAAGCACGCCCGTGCATTTGTTTACCACTCTCTACCAAACCTAAACCGCTACAAGCTTTAACAACAGAAGCCAACGTACGAGAATCTTCTCTTGCTTCGTTTCTCATCTCCTTGTAAAGAACCAATGCCTGCATCTCCATGTTGTTGGCAACATAACCAGAGATCATCGAGTTCCATAGAGACACGCATCTGTTACTGTGACTTCTCATATCGAAAAGCCTTCTCGACTCATTCACTCTCCCACAGTTTGCATAACCTGAAATCAACGCAGAGAGAGAGAACTCGTCAGGTACCCCAATCTGATCCACCATACTGCTTACCATTCTCGAATCACCGCACTTTCCATACAAATTAACCAGAGAGCTGTTCATTACCGAGTCACACTCAACACCTCCGGCCACAATCCGAGCATGTATCTGCTTCCCGCATCTCAAAGCTTCCAACTTTGCACAAGCCTTGATGAGTGTCGTCATTGTCTTCGCATCAGGGGTAAAGTTCAATTCTTTAAACAACCTCAGAGCTTCCTCTGCATAACCGTTTCCGATGTATCCGTGAAGCAGAGAATTCAATGTCAAGAGATCTTTTTCCGGCATGGCGTCGAATACCCTCCTGGCGACACTTAGCTCACCGGCTTTAGCAAAACCGGAAACGACGACGTTCCAAGAGTAATCATCTCTCTCTGGCATCGTGTCAAATAGCTTCAAAGATTTCATCTTTTCGCCAGATCTCATGTACCCTTCAAGCATTGTGTTCCACGAGTAACAGTTTCTCTCAGGCATTTCGTCGAACACGTTCCGGGCAATCTCCATTCTGCCGCATCGCGTGTATATCTGGAGGAGATCGTTGCCGACGGTGACGATGGAGCTGCGAAAGCCGTTTTTGAAGAATAATCCGTCGATTTGTGGCCATAGAGCTTTGCGATTACTGTTGCTGCAGGATTGAAGAAGACGGACGTAATGACGCCGGAAATCTCCTTTCATGGATGGCTGGAGAATTTAACTACAAAAAAAAATCAAATATTTAACGGCTCTCTTTATATAACTACCAAAACGATGTCGTATGGTGGGGATGATTTAAACAGAACGCGCGTTTGGATTTATTTATTTTCTGCTGTGGATTTGTGTTTGGAGGTAATGTTTTAGAAAATACAAAATAAACTAGTAGAGGACCCGCGCAAACGCGCGGTGTGAAGGTGCAGTTTTGTGAAGAAAATATAAACCATAAACCCGAGCCCGACCCAAAAACTCTAATCAAAAATTTTAAAACCCAAACCTTTTTAATATGTCTAAACCCGAAAACCCTGAACCGAATAAAAACAAACTTGAAACTTTTTCACCCGAAACTCGACCCGACCTATAAAACCCTAATAAAAAAACTAAAATACCCAAACTTTTTTAATATGTCTAAAGTTGAAATCCAAAAAAATCGAAAAACCCTGAACTAAACCCAGAAAAACTCGAACCCAAACCGAACACAAATTTAAAAAAAAAACTCGAACAGAAATCCACAATTTGATTTAAATTAGACGTACACTATTTCTATTTTACTATTGGATATTTTGCAAATATTATTCGATCATATTCTATTGATTTGGTATTATCGATAGATTATGTTAATTTTTATTTTTTGCAGATTTTTTAAAAGCTTGAAAACGGAAGTTTTCTAAACCATCGGTTTGTTTTAAGTTATTATTCTTGTATCCAAACAATTTTTTCCATTTATTCTTCTATCCAAATAGATTTTTCTCTTATTCTTGTATCCAAACATTTTTTCTTTCCATTTATTCTTCTATTCAAATAGATTTTTCTCTTATTCTTGTATCCAAACATTAGAATGTACTTCTCAAATAATAATATAAAGATGATTTTTAAAATTTGTATTTAAAATCACTTTAAATTATAATGAAACTTATTTTATATATCATCCCACCCACCTACATAATTGCACTTTTTAAATAAATGAAACCATTGGTTGACATGCAAAAAAAGAATAATCCGTAGTTGAGTTTCAAAGAGTACAAGATTATAAAGAGTTTCCCTTACGTAAATTCTAGAAGGAAAACATTTTTTTTACGAAAATTAAGCGTAATGATTGAGAAAGAGTAGTATTTATATTTATAGAATGATATACTCTTGAAAAAGGGCACCGAGACCCCTGAAAGCTGCAAAATGTTTGGTGACTTTGTAGAGACAGTACTCATTAGCAATCACCCAATGACATTAGGGTCCTTTAGTTTCAAGTCTTCGCACATCGGATTCACATTCTTTACGGTATCGGTAGTAATACGATATCACCATGAGATGACACCAACAAAAATAGAAACTAATGGTTTTATGGTTGCATGATCTCTTAATCATTTTGTGACATGTATGATTTAGGTGAGAATGAGTAAGACTAATATGTTTATAAACTGTTTTAGTTCCTAATATGTTTATAAACTGTTTTAGGTCCTGAGCAGAATTGAGTATTTTATATTGTTAATCAATATTTGTGGAACCGACGTATACGTAAGTGGATACGTACGTAATGTGTTAGTTTTTGTCTTATTCAGAGAACAAAATATTTTGACATAGTCAACGCCTAGCAACAAGGCACATATATACACGTTGAGACATTTTGAAGAGAAAAACAAAATTGTTATGAATGTCATATAGTCTCATTAAGTTGTTTTCTACTTTAGATGTTTCTTGTTACACGTGGTTGTCCAAATCGCCATACCGATTTGAAATAGTGATCCATATTAGCTGTTTCTTAGAAATTCAATCCGTTTATTGTGAAATTGTGAAACTGTTGTTTTGTGTTTTCTTTTTTGGCATAATCGCATGAATAACACATTGCCGTGAATCCGTTTGTATAAATGGACAACACTTGCAGTAATTTTCTCATAGGTTAACGAGTAACAACCAAAAAACTTTCTATAGCTATAAAAGACACAAAATTCTATGTCTCTGAGTGAAAATCAGGTAATCAATTCGCAAGTAAGTGCCGATCCTTTTTAACAGAACACAACTTTACTATATAGAAACGAGAGCAACTAATGAAATAAGTAAATGCTAGGCTCTTCGTCGTCGTCTTCTTGATGGATACGTTGAAGAATTAGGAAGGACAAACGTTGTATACACGCTTACAATCCTCTAGAACATTAAAATTAAAAGACTTTTTTGACTAAAAATGACACGTTAAAAGACTTTACAACGACCAAAATTACCATATACTTAACGACTTCTATCTTAAAATACTAGCAATGGTTCTTATTTTGTAAAAAACACAACGACCCATCCTTACTAAATGTACCAACTAGCAATGGTTCATATTTCCCGTTTTAAAAAATTATAAACCAAAAGACGATTAAACAAACAAAAAGAAAATATTTTCATGTTATTTTTCTTTCCACCACTACGTTCGTGTTAGTGGTAAACAAGTAGGGACGAGTAATTAAGCCCAAAAATAGATGTGATATTAAACGACAATGATGCTTGTTGAAAAATCAAAACTATCATGTTAATTAGTTCAGTTTAATAGTCACGTAGAGTATCTTTCTTCATTTTTATTTAAACAAAAATAATTGATGAGCTTACTGCTTAGATTATCTCCGTCGCACGCTTTCTTTGGTATTATTAATCTGCCTATCAATCATCATATTAAACCCAAATGACAACAATACACTAAACCCCCAATACTAATAAACTTATTTTATAATTTTTTGTCGTACCTTATAAAAATTAATTTGTAGAAATATAATGCAATGTGGAAGCGAAGGGCGTGTATACGGGACTTCTCTGTGAAGTTGTGAACAAGACTCACTTTCTCTAAAAATCCTAAAAATCGGATTTTTTTATTTTTGTTCCTTCAAAACCAAAATCACGAAGATCATCGCAATGTTTGATCCTTCGTCGAAATCCTTCAACACCCATTTGAATTTCCCGAGGACTTTCGATGATCACCCAGATTCCGGCGTCTGTTCGCCTCCTCTGTGGAGAACCAGTCCACCGAAGAGTCCTCCTCACCCCCGTCACAACACCAATTACCACAACCTCTCCCCTGTTTCCAAAGCTCAAATCATCGCTCGTGGTCAGCGAGAGCTTATGGAAATGGTTAGCAAGATGCCCGAGTCGTGCTACGAGCTTTCGCTGAAGGATCTCGTTGAAGTGAACACAGACGAAGAGAAAGATGGCAAAGTGTTCGACGAATTGCCTCAGAGGAATAAAAAACAGAGCAAAGTCGCGAGGAAGACGAAGAGCGATAAATGGGTCGATCCGATGATTCGAAATGGCGGTGTGAATGTGAACAACAGTGGGCTTTTACTGAAACTGGTGTTTCCTGTTAGCTTGAGGGCTAAGAAGAAGACGAAGAAGAGAGACGAGGATGATTCTTCTGTGACGAGTAAAAGCTCTTGGCTTTCTCCGAGACCTTCGATCTCTGACTCGTCGGTGAAACCGGATGATAAAGATTGGTGGAAGGATGGGTTGTCAGAGTCACGTAGGAGGAGTCAGAGAGGTGTCTCGAGGATCAACAGCAGAAGCAATAGCGATCGAAGCAGAGTCACTCTAAGGTATGCATAATTTCAAGAAATCAACAGTCTTTTTTATAATTTCTGATCATATATGCTTTAACCGGTTTAGTGATTTGAGAGTTATGACTTCAAAGTTTTGGACTTTTTGTAATCCCAAGAGAAACTAGATTCATGCCTAACTCTCTCTCTCTCTGTTTGCTAATTCCATAACACAATCTCTTGTACACAGGGATGAAAACAGAGGATGCTTATCATTCCTCTGGAATGTACATGTACGAGATTGAGACGGAGAGTTTCTTGATTTGGTTACAAACTTGTTTTGTTAAGAAGCCTAACCGGTTCTTGTAACTCGATCCGGATTTTAGTGAAGATGAAAGCAGGGGACGTAGTCATCTTCTTCAGTGTACCACAACCAGCACAACAAGGATTCAATCTCTTTTTCTTCTTCTTCTATATTTTTGAGTTTGTTCTTTGCAAGCCATTATGTAATGTATCGATAGAGTCCATGATCATCTTTTATGTATTGTAGTTTGTAGATAGATACTTTAGCTTTTGCTAACATAAACCGATAAAAGTGTACTATTGTTCATCGATATATATAAAGAAAAGTTTATGTTTTTTTTTGCCTGTGGCTAAAACTAAGAAATCATTGTCATTTATCTTTGCCTTCACTTCAAGTTGAAACAAAATTATCTTCTTGTTCTGCTAATGTTGATGATATAAAGTTTTGTACTTTGAGAAAACTGGTTTTGGTCTTTTGGAGGCAAGTGACACCTTTTCCGTATTTGGTTTCTTAAATTGCGGTTAACAAATATCTTTTGGAACACGGTGCCGTTTTGGTCATTGTGAGTTATGGTGATTTTGCCGTTTTGGTCATTGCGAGTTATGGTGTGATTTTGCCATGAAGGTGACTTTGCCTTAAAAATCACCGACTGTGACATAAGCAAAAAAGTGAGAGAAACCCAAAACACAAGTTTGCAACTTTACATCTAGAATCTGTTGATAGTTATAGAAAGAAGAAAAGTCGAAGTTGATTCTAGACGGCGAAAAGCTGACTTGACCCGACCTTAACACAATCAGAATAATCCTTACCGTGTTTGGAGGAAAAAGTTGAATATTTTTCTCCAAAATCCTCTTCAAATTGTTTCAGTTCTCTCAAATGCTGTGCCTTACAAAATCGTCGCTTGCTCTTGTTTTTGGGTTCTCTGTATTGAAAAACTGGTAAAAGGTCTTTGCTTTTTCTTTTATTGTTGTTTAGTTTGAATCCAAAGTTTGTTCATTTCTCTTACTCTATGATACTTTTATGTACACAATCCAGTGATCGACTCTGTTATTTTTGATCTCTGCCTATAGGATAATTTTGGAGCTTTGGGGATTTGATTAATAAGATGGCAAATGATGCGGCTGCATGTGCAGAAAGAGCTACAAATGATATGTTGATTGGTCCAGACTGGTCTATCAACATTGAGTTGTGTGACATTATCAACATTGATCCTAGGTTAAAAAAATCCCTGAGTGTTCTTCTTGCAGCTCTCTTTCAACTTTGAAATGTAAATAGTTATTTTGTTGACATTGTTTTAATTCCCCTAGTCAAGCGAAAGAAGCAGTGAAGGTGCTCAAGAAACGGTTTGCAAGTAAAAACCCTAAAGTTCAGATTCTTGCACTTTACGTGAGTAGTATACTTGTTAATTTTAACTTACTTTTCTTTTTGTTTCATGTAACTATTGACCTCATCTTTCGGATTTTGGTGCAGGCAATGGAAACTTTAAGTAAGAACTGTGGCGAGAATGTGTACAAGCTAATCATTGACCGTGACATCTTGTTAGATATGGTCAGAACATTGAAGAAAAAGGTCTTTTTTTTCTCTCTCTTTCTTTTATATCCAAAATTCTCCATTTTATCTTCTAGAAACTCTGTTTACTAACTGTAAAGTTTCTGAACATAATTACGTATAGCCGGACGTGAACGTGAGGGAAAAGATACTAACTTTGCTAGAAACATGGCAAGAAGCTTTTGGTGGACGTTACCCACAATACTACAATGCTTATAATGAACTCAAGGTATGTTAAATGAGAGATGTGTCTTTATATATATATATATATATATTTTGTAATTAAATTGTTTTTTTTTATAACTTTTAGTCTGCTGGAATCGAGTTTCCACCTCGAACGGAACGTAGTCCATCGTTCTTTACTCAACACATTGTAGAGGAAGATGATGCTTCTAGCCTCATGTACTCTCTCTCTCTCTCTCTCTCTACTAGATGATCATGTTCTTTCTCTATATTGTTTGATTATAAAGCTTGGAAGGGATTCAAAGCGCTGAGGGATCAGTTGACGTTTTGATGGACATGCTTAGAGCGCTTGATCCCAAGAACCCGGAGGTATGTAACATGATTTGCTCTTGTTTTATGTATAATGGAAACTTTTTGTGTTTCCTTTGATGGATTGTTGTTGTTGTTGTTGTTGCAGGGTTTGGAAGAAGAACTAATAGTTGACCTAGTCGAGCAGTGTCGTGCTTATCAAAGACGTGTAATGACTCTTGTGAACACTACAACGTAAAGTTTCTTTCCCTGACATTTTTGATGATCGGTGGAAAGTGTAGTTACTTTTATGTCTTGTATTCTTCCAGAGAGGAGGAGCTTCTGTGTCAGGGATTGGCACTGAACGATAATCTGCAGCGTGTTCTTCAGCGTCACGATGATATTGCAAAGCTCGGCTCTGTTTCTTCAAATGGAATGAATACAAATACTATAGCTCGAGGAGGTAGTGATTCAGGTATGGTGGATTTCCTTAGTGGTGAACCTCAAGGAGTAATAAAGCCTCCTCCTGCTGCTTCGTCTTCGGATCCAATTCCGAAAAGAAAATCACCTGAGCAATTACCTCCTCCGGTGGTGATGAGGAATCTTCCACCGCCGCCTTCAAGGCACAGCCAGAGGCAACAGTTCTTTGAGCATCATCACTCCAGTAGCGGCTCTGATTCCTCATACGAGGAGGGTTTTGTTGGACAGAACAGAAACCTCTCTCTGACTACCTCTGCAGCTAGAGAGCCAAAGAAAGAAGAGAAGCCAGAGGATGTACTTTTCAAAGACTTGGTTGAGTTTGCCAAAACCAGGTCCTCCAAGCCCAACAAATAGGTCGCTTTGAGTCTTTTGCTTGTGTCACAAGTATGTATGCTTCATTTAGAGTGTACATGTGCTTTTATTGTCAAAAATACATTTGTTTGTTTGTGTGTGTGTGTGTGTGTGTGTGTGTGTGTGTGAGAGAGAGAGAGAGAGAGAGAGAGAGAGAGAGAGAGAGAGAGAGAGAGAGAGAGAGACAGCCAATCACATTCACAGCATAAATATTTCATTATGCAACAAATATAATACAAAAGCAAGAAGAACTAAGAATAGGATGAAAGCTATTTAGAAAAAAAAAAAGTCAATTGTAAACAAAAATAGAATTAGCATCGCTTCCCCTTCTTTGTAGGAATCGATTCTCAATTTTCATTTTTTTTTTATGTTTGTAAGCAAATTTTAACCATTGATTCCAGTTTCTTATTTAAAGGACCTAAAGCAAAACCAAGAAAGCATGTACGATTTTCTCCAAATTAAATAAATTCATTTTGTTTTGTTGGAATCTCTTGACCACCTTCTATAATGAAGATCAATCCATTGATGCTCACTGCCTTCATCATGATCTTGACATCAGTTATTGCTCCGATTAAAGTCTCCGGTGCTCCCCCGAAGGTGCCAGTGCCACCAGAATGCAGAGGGGAGATTGAACGTTGCATCTCTCCCTTATTAGAAGAGAAATTTTTACTTTCAGCTTGTTGTGTAGAATATAGAAAACCAAATTCGAAACCATGCTTGCGTAAAGTCTTTACGTCGGCCCAGGATCCTAAGTTAAGGAGGGTTGCTTATCGGATATTTAGTTTCTGTGTTAACTTACATTGTCAAGCTCGTTAACCTCGTTCTCCTCGTCCAAAGAACTAGAGAATATTATACATAAAAAAAAAATATAGCCAATTTATTTTGAAATAATGTACTAACTAAGTAACTAGATCTTGATCTGTGCGAATATATTTTTTTCCGAAGTGTTTGTACTTTTATCAGTTAATAATTAACTTTATCATTGTTGCATATAATTATATATTGTATTTAAAATAGTCTATGTGTTTTTCTTAGGGTTTTGTGCAAAACAACCCTCAAACTAAATTCATTTTGCAAATCAAACCCTCAATTTAAAGTTGTGCAAATCAAACCTCTGAAGTCAAAATAACCCCGCAATATAAGACATCTCTATATTTATGACAAAATTTAAAATGATTTTATGCAAAAAACCGCGAACTATTTTTTGTGTGCAAATCTAACCCTCAACTTAAAAAATATGCAAGTCAAACCTGCAAAGTCGAAAGTCACTGCTAAAATGACTTATATGTATTTGTCCATTAACTACAAACGTTGACTCAAAACATCATGACATTTATAATATTTTAACATTTTTATTAAAAATACTTAAAACAATAATTCAATATTTCTTCTCTTTTTTCTCCATCAATAAGGAGAGGGTTAGGATTTTTAACCAAATCCAAAAAAACTAAACCGTAACCAATCCAGAAAATCAAAACCGAACCAACTTACTCACAATATAATTACTTGGAAGATCTGAAGTCCTATGTCTTTATGAGCCTCTCTCGAATAATTCTATTGCGAGTAAATTAGTTCTTATCTTTGTCTCTTCGTCGTCATTAGTTAATGAGATCATGAAGAAAAGAATCAACTTATTCGCGATAAGATTACTCGAGATAAATTCATTAATAAGAGGAGAAAGAGAAAGGAAATTAAAGATTAAAGTTTTTTGTTTTTGTTTTTTTTTAATTTACTTTTAATAAAAATGGTTAAAATATTATAAATGTCATGACGTTTTGAGTCAACGTTTGTAGTTAAGGACAAATACATATAAGTCCATTTTAGCAGTGACTTTCGATTTTGCAGGTTTGACTTGCATATTTTTTAAGTTGAGGGTTAGATTTGCACACAAAAAATAGTTCGCGGGTTTTTTTGCATAAAATCATTTTAAATTTTGTCACAAATATAGAGATGTCTTATATTGCGGGGTTATTTTGACTTCAGAGGTTTGATTTGCACAACTTTAAATTGAGGGTTTGATTTGCAAAAATGAATTTAGTTTGAGGGTTGTTTTGCACAAAACCCTTTTTCCTACTTTTTACATATGAATACACTATCACATAATCCAGTCCAAAATTCAGTCATTACGATAAACGAACTGGAAAAGCCACAAAAACTAAATAGGAGTATATGATTATAAATTTTTGTTATCAATTTCGAGGTTGAAGTTTTGGAATTCCCATCCACGTTACTTAACGAATCAAGATCATACATTTTACATCATGCAACAAATGCCAAAGCAAGAAGCTTTTAGAGCATCTCCATCCATATTGACTTTTACATATGGATTATGACTCAGAAAAACCAAAATTTATTTTGTGGTTATCTCAATTATTCTGTCTGTTTCAAATTACTTGTTGTTTTGGAAAAATGTATGTGAAATATTTGAATGTATTAAACTCAAAATATATCCAAATACATTTTTCCAAAAGAACTAACTAATTTGAAACTGACGGAGTAAATAGTAATATGTTTTATTCAACTTGAGAAATTCATGAATGTGAGCGACTTCCAGTGAACTAGTTCGAGCAGTTGATAGCACGTGACAACCTCAATCCCGACATAAAGAGTTACTAGCAATAGAACGAAGCTATTGAACGACTCAAATGTTTTGGTTTGTAAATAAGTAAATAAAATAGAGGGGATTTTTAGCATCATCCCTTATTTATAGGAATCGATACCCACTTTCCATATTTCCAAATTTTATATGAACCATTGATGGCAATTTCCTATTTAAAGACCTAATACAAAATCAATAAAGCAGAGACCATTCCTACAAATTAAAGTAAATTCATCTTGACCAGCAACTACAACATTAGACATGAAGATCATTCCATTGATGCTCATTGCCAGCATCATACCCTTGACATCATTTCCGTCTTCGATCAAAGCCGCCCGTAGCGGCTCTAGTGGTAGCTCTGGTGGTGGGGTTCGCGTTGGTGGTTTTGGCAGTGTTGGCGGTATTGGTGGTGGTGCTGGTGGTGGTGGTGGCGGCGGTTCTGCTGGTGGGGGTGGCGGTAAGAATGGTGGGGCTGGCGGTAAGAGTAAGTCTAAGAGTAAGAATCCCGGCCGCTATAGAGTGGGAATTGGGGAAAGCCTTGCGGATCGTGAAGCTAGGGAACGTGAAGAAGAAAGAGCTACATGGGGCCTTAGATTTGGCTTCCCCAAGCCTCAACCTGGTGGAGGCGATACGGGTCCGTCCATTGTGGTGATTCCCAAGCCCCCTGCGGTGGAAATGCCAAAAGAATGCCAAGAGCCGGCTCGTGCTTGCGTCCAAGAGCATATTATCGATAACGCTGGGCCGCCTAAATTTGGAGGGTCTTGTTGTGAGAAACTTAAAAGCGCAATACCATGTGTGTGTACATTCCTTATGTCCAAGGATCCCAAGGCTAAAAATGCTGCTTATGGTGTACTTCGAGGTTGTCATTTTAGTCAACCCATTTGTATAAATATGCCAATGCCACAAACATGCAGTCCGGAGGTTAGACATTGCGTCCAAGTGCATATGTACGGACGTGCCGGACAGCCTCCATACCGAGGTGCATGTTGTAAGAAATTCCAACACTCGAAATCATGTGTCGAACCATTCCTTAAATCCCCGGATCCTAAGCTAAGCGGATCTGCTAATGGTGTACTTCGAGGTTGTCATTTTCGCCGATAATTGTCCAAGGACCTAGATATTTTTATATGTAATTATATTAGAAAAAAGGGTAAATTTAATCAATATACATGGATAATATCATAATTAAAAATTTGGAAAAAAAACTTGATAATTAGTTTTTGATGAGAGAGGATTTTACTTATTTACATGAAATGCCATTGACCCAAAAACTGTTTTCTGATGCTATTTGTCGGAGACACTGTTGATCAACCACACCATAACACTGTTCATCAATAACCGATTACACTATTCATCACCTGAAACAATATATGATTTTAATTGATAATTATTTTATTATCATGCTAACTACTATGATATCGAGATAACATTGTGATTATCATGATAACACTATGATTACCATGCTAACTAATATTCATTTAGTTATCATAATTGTAAACTTATAGTGTTAACTGTGCTATTATGATAACAATCGTTAACTTGTTAACATTTCATTTAAATTATGAGTTATTCATTAATAAATTTCGTTAATTTTGTTAACATACAATAATATTAATGATAACATTATGATTATAATGATAACACTATGATTACTATGCTAACTAATATCCAGTTAGTTATCATATTGTAAATTTATAGTGTTAACTATGTTATTGTGATAACAATCATGCTAACTTGTCAACATATCATTTAAAATATAAGTTATTCATTAGTAAATTTTGTTAATTTGTTAACATACAAGTTACCGTATAATATATTACCAAAATTATCGTTAACATCATGATTACCTATTTATTGGTGTTACTATCATCATTTTCACCATTATGATGAAGGTGAAGGAGAAGAAGTAAACGCCAAATCTATAAGAGGAGAGAGATCTGTCACCGGTAAAGATGTAGTCACCACCACGGTCATCCCACCACCATTAGTCGCCACCACCACCGCCATCGTTATCAATCACCACCGTCACCGCCATCGTTATCAACTCGCCACCACCACACACTCATTTCACGGTGAAACAGAAAAGAAAAAGAAAAAGATAAATGAAGGACTAAATTGTAATTATATTTTGAACAGTGTGTGTCAGAAAATACACTTTACTGTCATTTAATTTAACCATTATTCAAGGCTATCTATTGCAATTACTCTAGAAAAAAAGGAAATACAAAATAACAATATAGTAAACCCTAAAAAGAAAAAAAATAGTAAACCCCAGCTATTTCGAAATAATGTACAAATTATTGATTTATACATATGGTATTTGGTATACTATCTGACTATCTCTGTACCAGAATTGTCAAATTCATTAACGAAGTTTAAGTATATGGAATTGGAATTTATAAATAATCCGAGAGAGGATAAAAATAAAGAAACGAAGCAATGAATTCGTCGTTGAGAAGAAGGGACGAGCGAATTATCCATACGAAGGTATTTGTTTGCCAAATAAATTATTGGTGGCTTCGATCAAAGCAATGCGCCAATGCCCGTAGTATCCACTTATGAAAATTTGACGTTTTTACAACAAATGATATTATTTTTTGTTTTAATGCTTTTCTCTGTTTTTAGGCTTAAAACTTATAATAAGATTATATAATAAATAATTATTTTAAACTTTCGTGTTTTGTTTTGCCCGGTCTTGTGGTGCCAAGAAGAGTTTGAGAAGACGAAGACTTTCATTATATAAGACGACGATTAAGATGTATTCCCTACCGCTATTATTCCTGTAGTGTCACGCCGTAACCCATGGGATTGACATTTCAAATATATATAACTATCATTAAACTTCAAATCATCATAGAAAACAAAACACAAAGAGACTTCAAAGTCTAAGATGTTTTCTCTACCGCTACTATTCTACACATATGGGATGGACATTTCAAATATAACTATAATTAATTAACTAAAAATTGGTATTGGAAAACAAAAGAAAAATGTGTAAATTTTATGCCCCTTCATATATTTTACATGGTATAGCTAGAAAGATTACGCAGTGTTATGTGGCTTATGGCCCATGTTGGAGTGATCAGTTATGTAAATATATTACAAGTTATACAAAAATGGCACTGAAACAACCAAAGACTAATTCAAAGGCAAAGAAAATATTTTCCAAAAGACAATTATATTTGGAAGGCTTACCACTATCATTTTCCTCTCTAAGTCATGCACATGTTAAAAGATATCAATATATCATAAAAATCCGATCTCGACCCATATTACAAGTGGAAACAAAGGTCTATAAATACTAATTACCAATGTTCACATGAGTCATCACATTTCAAGTCTTGTAAAACTAAAGGAAGAGAGAAATGACTTCACCGAAGCTACTTGTGATTATGCTTTTCTCATTCATGGCGCTATTCATAACATCCCATGCTGAATCCTTTTCTTCAGGTACGTTGATTTACATAAACATAACTTGATTCACATAATGAAAATATCTCAATGCTTATATTATAATTATATATCATTATTCCGTATATCAATTAATATTAAAATAATATTTACGACGTACAAGATTTATAATGGTGGTGAAAAGATTAGGCTCCACATTACAATGCCTTGTATTATACACACTTGCAGGTCGGAAGCTATTTCAGCTTCAGTTTCCCCCGGAGCTCCCGCCGTCGTACCCTCCTACTCCGGAGCTCTCACCGTCGTACAGTCCTACTCCGGCGTACTCTCCTACTCCGAAGCTCCCGCCGTCGTACACTCTTCCTTCGAAGCTCCCACCGCAGTACAATCCTGCTTCAGAGCTCAAGTCATCGTACACCCCAACTCCGGAACTCCCACCATCGTACGCTCCTTCTACGGAGCTGCCTCCGTCGTACACTCCAACTCCGGAGCTCCCGCCGTCTTACAGTGCTTCTCCGAAGCTTCCACCGAAGCACGTTTCCGCTCCTTCGCCGGCGCCTTATTAAACCAAATTATTGCGGTCCATGAGAGTTCTATTTTTGCCACATTTTACCACACATGAAATAAACAAGGATATTGCTTATCAAATAGAATAAGGTTTGCATATCTATATATTGATCTTTATTTGCTAGAGAATAAAAAGATTGCTCGATGATGAACAATGCAGTGCTTTCTGATTTGTATAAGGTTGTCTATCTAATGTATAAGGATATCTCTGTTTAATGAATGAATCAAAACAACGAGTTTGTTAAACTTTGTGTTTTATGATGTTCGTGCGAAAGTGTAACGACCTTTTTTAGTTAAGATAAATTGTATAGTTCTCTGGATCTTAGTTAACAATAATTAGGTCTATGTAATCAGATAATTATAAGTAGTCTAGAATTTGATTAGGTTTAGGTGTTTATTATTAAATTCGATAATATATCACATATATATATATTATGATTTCATTTAAAGAAATTCCCTAAATTAAAAATTTATATGTTTTTTTTTTTTTTTTTGAATATATTTTATTAATAGAGAAGTTTCTCCAACAAGGCAACCATTACAATCAACAACATAAGACATCGCAAATACAAAAGCAGATGAAACACACAACAGCAGGAGCAAAAAAGATTAAACTTGAAATAATCTGAACCAATTGATCAAAAAAGAGTCCTCTCGACTAGCAGGGCGAGAAGATGTGTGAATGATCACAGAGGAAATGGACCGATCCAGACTAAACAGCTTTGCTCTCAAGAGGAGTTGAATGTCCTTAACCAAAACATGGACCGGTCTAGCAACAGAAGTATGCAATCTTGCATTTCTTTCTCTCCAAAGGCTATAGACAATTGCCTGAACCAGGAGCTTACAAATTATGTTTACCTTTGACTGTGACGAAGACGAGATGGTCCATTGGAGAACCTCCTCTATAGAATTTGGAATAACAAACCCACTATTCTGGAAAAAAGCCATCCAAACCTCTTTGGAGAAAATGCATTCCATAATCAAATGAGCTTTCGTTTCCGGGAATGAATTATAGAGGAGACAAACTGAAGGAACCTCTAGTCCCCATGACCTTAGTTTATCTCGCGTAAGAAGTCGATCCCTCATGACAATCCACATAATAAATGCATATTTAGGGATCCTTTCCTTGAACCAAAGCTGTTTGGTCCAATTAAGATTGGGGCCTGCCGGATGAAGGAAGTCCCACGTTTTTGAAGAAGAAAATTCGCCCGGAGGATCAGCTGGTGAATTTTTCCATAAAAACACATCCCTAATATCATTTAGAGAAGAGGGAACATCTGATGGAAGGCAATCCTTCAGCAGTCTAAGGATGGGATGTCTTCCACCAGTCAGAGCCCAAGAATCGTTGTGACAAGCCTGCCTTACCGTTGCCAAACGTTGTATTCCTGTGACCCGAGGTCCATTAGCTCCCGTCAGATCGACCAAGGGACCTAAACCCGACCAATTGTCGTACCAAAAGAGGGCCAAGTTCCCTGAGTTGACTTTGCAGAAGAGATGAGGCCTTGCAACCTCACGAAGCTTCAGCAGACTTCTCCAAATCCAGCTTCCATTTACTCGGAGAGAGGGAGACCAAAACAACTTTCCCCTCAAGACATATTTATGGGCCCAAGCCACCCAAAGAGAACCATTTGATGCAAAAAGCATCCAAATTAGCTTTAAACCAAAAACTTGGTTCATATCCTCCAAACGACGCAAACCAAGACCTCCTGCACTCTTCGGAGAACAAACTGAAGCCCAGGAAACTCGCGCACCTCTGGCTGAATCTGGAACTCCGTTCCAAAGGAAGGCGTTACACATCTGTTCTAGCTTGTGTAAGCACTTCTTTGGGAGGGGGAATGCAGCTGACCAGAAGCTAATAATACCATAGATCACTGATTGAATTAATTGCAACCTGCCTGCAAACGACAAACGTCTCGCTGTCCAAGAACAAATCCTTGACCGCACCCTGTCAATGAGACGCTGATAATCCACCGGTCTCAATTTGTGAGGCATTAGGGGAAGTCCCAAATACCGGACTGGTAAGGCTCCATGAACTAACCCCAAACTAGATGCCAAATTCAGAGTAAGTTCTTGGTTATTTCCATCCAGGAAAAGGCATGATTTCTGAAGACTCAAGGCTAACCCTGAAGTTCCTTCAAAAACCTTAAGCACCTGAAGAATGCCCCTGAGAGAATCCTCCGAGCCATCAAAAAAGATTAACACGTCGTCAGCAAAGCTGAGATGTGTGATAAGCGGATCTTCACAAAGCGGATGTGGACGGATTGATCCATTCGAAACTGCCTTGTCCAGTAATTTGGAGAGAATGTCCATGGATAGAACAAAGAGAGAGGATGAGATAGGGTCCCCTTGTCTTAAGCCTTTCTTCCCTTGGAAAAACCCTGCCAACTCACCATTCACGGAAATTGAGTAGTAAGGTGTCGAAATACAGAGTGTTATCCACTTGATAAAAACTGGAGGGAGGTGGAGAGCTTCCAAAATAGCCAACACAAAACGCCAATCAACATTATCATACGCCTTGGATATATCTATCTGCAAGCAGCCTCGGGATGTAATTCCTTCGCTATTAAAATCTCTGACTAACTCTGAAGCTAGAAGCACATTCTCACAAAGAAGTCTTCCATTAACGAAACCCACTTGATTCCTTTGAACAACCTCCGGAGTCAAGATCTTCAGTCTCGACGAAAGGATGCGAGATATCACTTTGTAGACCGTATTACACAGAGATATAGGTCTGAAGCTACTCAGAGTATCAGCCCCCGGAACTTTCGGTATCAGGGAAATGACTGTAGAATTAACTTGCCTAAGCATAACGGAGTCCGTAAAGAAGGTTTTGACAGCCGCGACCAGATCATTACCCACCAGCTCCCAAGAGGAGGTAAAGAACTCCATCGTAAAACCATCAGGTCCCGGGGCCTTATTTTTTGGGAGGCTAAACAAAGCCTTTATAATCTCCTCAGAAGTAGGAATGGCGGATAACAGCTGAGTCATTTCTTCTCCGCATTGAAACGGATGAAGCTCCTGAATCTGTTCTATCGAGAAGGGCTGAACCGCTGTATTTGGGGATCCCAAAAGATTCCGAAAATAATCCACAGCCATTGATTTTAACTGGTCCGTATTTGAAACCTTCACTCCATTACTATCCCTCAAGTGATGAATAATGTTCCTGGATAGATTTGCCTTGACAGATCTGTGAAAGTACCCCGTATTGGAGTCTCCTTCTTTAAGCCATCTTACTCTTGACTTTTGCTTGAAAAAAGATTCCTCGGCAGCGGAAAATAAAACCCAAGTCTTTCTAGCTTCTGCTTCCTGCTGAAATAAACCCTGAGAAGGCTCCGTAAGAAGTTCTCTTTGAATAGCTTCCAACTTATCGAAAGCTTCTTGTGATCTTGCTTGAATATTGCTAAACTCAGAACGGTTTAAACCTTTGCAACAGAGCTTAGTTTCTCGAAGCCTCTTGTAAAGCATAAACATGGAACCTCCAGAAATGTCTACTGAACTCCAAGCTTCATCCATTAACCTTCGATATTCTGGATGAAGAGTAAAGAACACAAAAAAGTTGAATCTAGACTTTCTTCTCAATACTTCAGAAGAAAGAGATACCAGGCAGGGAGAGTGATCGGAACTTCCTGGGGCATCGAAGAGGGCATTAGAGTTGGGGAACTCATCCTGCCAGGCCTCATTGATTAAGGCCCTATCCAATTTCCTAGCCTTAGGGTTGGTTAGAGATTTGTTATCCCAAGTGTAGAAACACCCCCTGGAAGACAGATCAAAAAGATGGCATGATTCAAGACAATCCTGAAATTCCATCATTCCTTCCAAGGATAAATTAACAGGGACCAACGAATAAGCTTCAGAGATAGAGAGAATTTGATTAAAATCCCCCATCGCCAACCAAGGAGAAGACGAAACTAGAGAGGAAGCTGACAACTCCCTTAGCAGATCCCATAATATAACTCTTTCCTCTCTTGTATTTTTTGCATATATGAAAGCAATGGTGAAGGATTGATTCGAAACAGGGTTAAAAACTCCAATCAGAATAATCTTAGGGGTCTTCAGATACGTGACAACTGAGAGAATAGGATCCCAAACCACTACAATCAGCCCGTTTTCCGCTTCCGGGGAGTGATTACTATCGTACCTCCAACCGGGAAAGAGATGACTGATTGAGAAGGCCAAATTTTCCTGCTGCAAATGTGTTTCCAAAAGTCCTCCAATAAGAGGTCGATTCGCCAAAAACCATCTTTTAACCGTTAATTTCCTGGTATCGCCATTCAGGCCTCGTACATTCCAGGCAAAGCACTTCATAAGAAGTCAAAAAAAAGTGCTGCTAGACACCTAGGAATCCGAAACAGGAACACCAGCTATAGGCAGATGTTCCGAACTTCCAACAAAACAGGTAGCCAAATCTGAGACTGCAACTTTCTCTGGATTCAAACTTGAAGAAAACTCGATGAGAAGCGGGGGAGTACGATGAGACGCTTGCTGTCTCTGTGCCCTTCTCTGCACTTTGGGTTAAAGAATTGGAATAGGAGTAGTCCCCAAAGCTTGAAGGGCCTTGAAACGATTCCTAATTACCAATTGCGCATTCTCAATAATCTCCTCCTCTTCACCAAACTGAGCCGACGTAACCGGGGAAGCCAAGCGCTTACTCTCAGATGCAGTTTGTGACACCGGAGGAGGGGAGGATCTTCTGGAAACCATAGTAAAACCATCATTTGGTTCAGACGAAGATGACGATTCTCGGATCCCAATCTCGTGGGGAACAACTGGTAGTGGACTGTCAGATACTAAAGAGCCAGTAGAATCTATGGTAACTGCCTCCTGAGCCTTCTCTATTGGAGGATCGATTCCTGATTCTTGTTGAGGAGGTATAGAATTTGAATCAGAGTGTGCTTCCTCCAAACAGACACTTGGAGCAGGCTCCTGAGGTTTGGGTAATTGAAGACCCGGTTTGAGGATTGAAGCAGGACAACGAAGATTAAGATGGCCGAATTCCTTACAGTTACCACATTTAGGAGGCATCTTGAGAACTTCCATTAGAACCAGAGCAGAATTCCCAAACTTATCCTTAATCCTAATAGAATTAGCCCTTTTCTTTGCTAGTTCGATTACCACTCTGAGTTTGACAACTCCATTGGTATAGGGCTTGATATTGGGGAATTCTGTGTGCACAGGGATCCCTACCGCGGAAGCAATAGTACTGAAGCCTACCTCCGACCATAGCTCAGGTGGAACTCGTCGGAAAAGGATCCACACCGGAGCATGAACGAGCTTCATTTTCCTGATGTCTGTTGAGACTTCCCAAGAAGTAACAATAATAGAGCAGTTCCCTGAGTGCCAGAAACCCACATCTAAGACCCAATTCCTTGTCTCGACATCTGGTAATAAAATAAGAAAAACACCTGAGGAGTGATGTTTGATGGAGATTCGACCCTTTAAACCCCAAATTGGGTTCAAATCTGAGAAGATTTTTGCCGGAGACGGTGGATTTCCATGGAAGTAGGCTACGATGTGGTTTTTCCACATCCGAGAAGAGCTCAAAACTATTGAATTCGGAGCCTGAATTTGAGGGATGCCATCAGAAGATATAGTTGGAGAACCAATCTTCGATAAATTTTTGAATTGCGGCTTGAAGTTAGAAACCCAAGAAGCCGGCTTTCCCGAATGAGTGAGAGCACCTGAGAGAACAGCTGGACTCGCCACTGCACCAGAAGACGGAATAGAAGAAACAGCAGCAACGTGAGGAGCTGGAGTCACCGAGGAGACCAGATCTGACCCCAGAGGAGGAGAAGAAGAAAGAAAAAGAAGATCCGGAGGAAGGGACGACGGAGGGGATGAGGCCCCCGCGACCATGATGAAGAAAGAAGGGGGGGGGGGGAATTCTCGACTACGGGCGTGAGGCTCCATCGCCGGCGGCAGCAGTAGGAAGAGAAACCCTAGTCACCTTATCGCGAAGAATCGCTTTGAAATCGCCAGGAGAGAGAAAGTCTTTTTTAATTCCTATATGTTTTTTTTTTGTTTCTTAAAGCTACCAAAAAAGTATTAGATTCAAAAACTTGTGGTTTAGAAAAAAAAAAAAAAACATATTTTGTTTATATGTTCATGACTAAAGGCATGACTAGTCAAGAATATTCATAAACTTTCGTGTGTTTTGGTTCAGTGTAACGTATTCGGATCCCTGATTGTTTGATGTAAAATTTATGAATACGTTTTCTTGACTTAGTCTTCTTAGGACAACGACACGCGCTCAAGAGTTAAGGACAAAGAAAGTCACGCGAAAACAAACCAAACACACAATATAAGTCGGAGGAGAGATGAAAAGTCTAAGCCCGGTGTTTACTCTACAAGGAGAGTGACAAATGTTTTGGTTGACAGCTATATATAACTAAACTAAAAGTGTTGAAACAATAATTAGAATATATTCAGGTTTGGTAAATCATATATTTGGACTTGATATATACCAAAAATTGTTTAGTTTGTCAAGTTCAAATGGTATCATATCTTAAATTTATTAGAAAATTCAGCAAATAAACAAGTTATTAGATGTAAAAAAAAAAGATTATGCGATGTAATTATGTGATTGTAAATAGACATATTACCAAAAGTTTCAAATGTAGTTCTCCAAATGCTACCCATTTAGAGGAAAGAATGTGAATAAAGGATACTTTAAGAACAGCTACCATAAGTCTACACAGTCTTGTGGTCCGGATATGGACAACCAGGCGTAACAATTAAATATGAACCTGGCCTAACATCTTTTCATTTTTTCTAGAATTAGGTTTAGGGTTTAATCAGGCTTTGTCGGTTTCTCTTGACTAACACAATTGCCTGAGCCTCCGAGGCTCCGAGGAGGAACTTTCTAAGTCTTGTAAATGTGTGTGAGAGAGAGTGAGTAATCACTGCGTAATACATGATGCTTTCTTTTCTCTTTATGTAGTGTAGAATACGTTGTTACAAAAACGCTGCAATTTTTTATTATTATTAAATTAACTTTTAACGGAGTATATTAAATTTGGTCAACTCTTTCTAGTTGAGCAGGAGAAAAGGACATGTATATAGCTAAAAAACAAAAAATATACCAAGCTTTTAAAATGCTCTCTTGATTTTTGCCTTCTCTTCATCAATGGTGAGGGTTAGATGCATTTTCAATATATAAATAAAAAAATTTCTTTCTCTACTTTTGCGATCATATAAGCTTGCATAGTTGCATGCTTTACATAAAGACAAGTTTAATTAACCAAAAAAAAAACCCCCCAAGATGAGACCATTTATCATATTCTACATTTCTATGTACGTGTAGTCTTTTGAGATCCAAAATACATAAAAAAAAAACATATATTAACAAAACAAAGTTTTCGGTTGGTATCACAAGAGAAATTAAAATCAAACTTTCCAAAATGCAATAACGTAGAGATGCCCATCTAGTTAAGATATACGTGTGCATGTTATGTTTACGTTGAATTATATTACCGTTGAAAAAGTTTCACAAAGCTAATTGGTTTTCTCTCTCTCCTCCGGAGGCGATTTTCTCAAACACCGTGTCATCCTTCGCAGCTCACCTCCGACGTCTCTCACGGCGTCGGAACCCGCCTCCGGCCCCTTTTCCTGGTCCGCTCCTCCCCATGGGGAAGAGATCTAAGTCCAAGAAGAAGGCTTCCGGTGCCTCGCCTAGCGCTTCTCAAAAGTCCTCTAGTTCCCGGTTACCTGGTGAAGATGCTCCTTCGTCGCCTCTTGTGACGCCGGAATCCTCCGCCCCTCCCGCAATTGTCCCAGCCGATGCTCCAGTAACAGGCTTGACAACTGATTTGGAACCTGGTGAGATCCAACCTGAGATCTCCCCTGAAATTCCCACACATGACGCAGAAGAGTGCGCCCTTCGGGTGGCTGCTTCGGATCCGTCCCGAATTTCAACCGATCTGAAGAATACCTCAGTTGAGAATGCTTCTCACAACAACACTGCAAAATTCACGGAAGTGACGGACCCAGCAAAATCGACAAACCCTAATTCCCCAAAAGGAGAGAATTGGGCGAATCTGTTCAAAGGTAACTCCAAGACCTTAGCTCAGAAAGGAGAATCCTACATCTTGCCATCAGGAGAAGTATGCGTGAAAATCCCCAATTCGATTATCGAAAAGCATCAGAAATCTTGGGATTCTTTCATCATCGGTCAGTTTTACTCGGATTCGCCTCCTCAAGGTTTGATTCACACTATTGTCAATGGTATTTGGAGCAAACAATTTCGTGATATCACAGTCTCTAAAATGAAGGGTAATGCTTTTCTCTTCCGCATTCCAAATGCTCAAACACGGAGGCGTGTGATTAGTCAGAGACTGTGGCAGATCGAGGGACAAACAATGTTCGTAGCTGATTGGGTCTCTGGAGTTATTCCCTCGAAGCCGGAACTGTCTTCAGCTCCGATTTGGTTGGAACTAAGAAAGGTCCCGTTACAATTCTTCAATGACGATGGCCTTGGAAGGATTGCAGGGGCAGTTGGGGAACCAAAAGCTCTTCATCCTTCAACAGCAAATAAAACCAACCTGGAAGTCGCAAAGGTGTTAACACTAATCGATCCGAGAAAGCCTTTGCCGGAAGCGGTAAATGTTCAGTTCGATTCTGGTGACATCATGAGGATCCTTGTCTCCAGCCCATGGATGTCTCCAGTTTGCTCCTTTTGCAAGGAGATTGGCCATAGCGTTAGAAGATGTGCCTCTGCTCCGATCTTTTGCTCTACTTGTAAATCAGCAGCTCATTCCACTTCAAATTGTACAAGAGTGAAGCCAAAGCCAGGAGCTAAGAAAACGAAACGTGGCTCACGGTCGAGATCAGTGTCTAGAAGCAAGAGGAAGCAGCTGCCTGAAGGAACGATCCTGAAGGCTGCTGGCTCAGTTGGTCAAGTGAACCTTAACACACCACTGCAGAAATGGGTAAAGAAGAAGCCAATCCCAGATACTTTGGGAACCAAGTCTAGTGGAACTGCAACAGGGAACTCGAGTGGTGTCTCAGCTGCAGAACCAGACTCTTCTGACGTTGAATCTTCAGGTTCAGATTCAGAGGAGGTAGAAGAAGATAATGATCCGGAATTAGATTATGAGTTCGCAACGGTGTTGTCTCAGAGGCAGCGCAAGAGTGAGTGAGGCAGTGGCCTCAAACTCCACTAAATATTTTATCTATGTATATAGACATTTTTTGTTGGAACGTCCGTGGATTTAACAAACTTTCGCACCGGAGCGGTTTCAAGAAGTGGCTTAGTAGTAGCAAGCCAATTTTCGGAGGTCTCATCGAGACGCATGTACAACAACCTAAGAACGTGAAGTTTATTAACAATCTTTTCCCAGGATGGCTTTTTGATGACAACTATGAATTTTCGACGTTAGGCAAGATTTGGATCGTTTGGCACCCGAGTGTGAAAGTTCAGATTATCACCAAGTCTCTGCAAATGATTTCGTGTGAAGTGACACTTCCAGGTTCAGATTCCTCGATGATCTTTTCTTTCATTTATGCAGCAAATCTGGAGGTTCTGAGAAATGAGCTATGGGAAGAGTTGATATCTCTCTCGACAGACACAAGAGTTGTTGGTAAGGCTTGGGCCGTCTTAGGTGATTTCAACCAAGTGCTCCACCCAAACGAGCACTCCTCTTTGGATGGGTTTACTGTGGACAGAGCAACAAGAGACTTCAGACAGGCTCTCTTGAACTCAGAATTGGCGGATCTAAATTTCAGAGGATCGACTTACACTTGGTGGAATAAAAGAAGTGTCAATCCAGTGGCTAAGAAACTGGATAGAGTCCTAGTCAATGACCTCTGGCTCGAGATTTTTCCAACGGCGATGGCTTTCTTTGGAGCTCCAGATTTCTCCGACCATTCATCCACTAGCATTGCTCTCTCTCCTTCAACTCAACGGCAGAAGAAGGCTTTCAAGTTCTACAACTACCTCCTTGAAAATCCTGATTTTATTGCGGTGATATGCAGCGAATGGTTCTCCCTGAACTTTGTTGGCTCCGACATGTTTAGGGTTTCAAAAAAGCTCAAGGCTCTAAAAAAAACCATAAGAGATTTAGTAGAGAGAACTACTCCGGGTTGGAAAAAAGAGTCCATGAAGCTCATCAGTTACTGCTGGATAGACAGGTAGCAATGCTGAACTCCCCCTCTCTCTCAAATGGTCAATTGGAGCTTTTAGCTCAGAAAAATTGGGAAGTCTTGGCGGAGGCTGAAGAACGTTTCTTTAGACAGAGATCCAGAGTCACTTGGCTCAAAGATGGTGACATGAATACAGCTTATTTTCACCGTATTATGAGATCGAGGAATTCAATGAATGCTATTCACTTTCTGGAGGATGAGGTGGGGAATCGTTTTGAGTTACCACAAGACATTCATGCGCATTGTGTACACTACTTTGAGGGTCTACTGAGTGGTGATCAGAGCCAGTCTTCGTTTGTTCAGGATGATATTACCTCTCTTCTAGATTTCAGCTGCTCAACGTCTCAACGTTCACAGCTAGACTCTTGCTTCTCAACCGAAGAAATCAAGGAGGCTTTCTTATCACTACCGAAAAATAAGACATGTGGTCCAGACGGCTTTACTCCTGAATTCTTCAACTCTTGCTGGACAGTAGTAGGTGGCGAGGTGACGGCGGCTATAAAGGAATTTTTCTCCTCAGGAAAGCTTCTAAAGCAATGGAACGCTACAAATCTAGTGCTTATACCCAAAATCACAAACGCTTCCAGGACAACTGATTTCAGGCCAATCTCATGTCTCAACACGATGTATAAGGTTATCTCAAAGCTTCTAGCCAAGAAATTAAAGTCTGTTCTGCCATCAGTCATCTCTCACTCTCAATCAGCGTTTCTGTCTGGTCGTATGCTCTCGGAAAATGTGTTGTTGGCCACTGAAATTGTGCAGGGTTATAACAGCGCAAACGTCTCTCCTAGAGGCATGTTGAAAGTGGATCTGCGTAAAGCTTTTGACTCGGTGAGATGGGATTTCGTGCTCGCGGTTTTAAAAGGCCTAAATATGCCAGACAAGTTCATAGGGTGGATCTCAGAATGTCTCACAACACCATGCTTCTCTGTGTCTGTGAATGGAGTTGAGGGTGGGTTCTTCAAGAGTTCCAGGGGTCTCAAGCAGGGCGACCCAATTTCGACATACCTCTTTGTTTTGGTCATGGAGGTTTTCTCGAAACTTCTTCATTCCAGGTTTGCTTCGGGCTATATCTCATATCATCCTAGAACTCATGAGTTAAATATTTCTCATTTGATGTTTGCCGATGACGTTATGATCTTCTTTGACGGAATGAGCTCCTCTTTACATGGAATTTATGAGACTCTGGATGATTTTGCGGGTTGGTCTGGCTTGCATATGAATAGGGAGAAGACAGAGTTGTTCACAGCAGGGACGAGCCACATTGAATCCACAGCCATTGCTAACTATGGATTCCCAGTTGGCTCTTTTCCTATAAGATACTTGGGTCTGCCTCTTACTTGCAGGAAACTGAGAATTTCCGAGTATGCTCCTATAGTCGAAAAGATCTCAAAGCAGTTTACTACCTGGTCAGTAAGGACTTTATCTTTTGCTGGTAGGCTTCAATTGATCTCGTCGGTAATAATGGGCTCTGTGAATTTCTGGTGTTCAACCTTCATCTTACCTAAAGGTTGTATCAAGCAAATTGAATCTCTCTGCTCGAGATTCCTTTGGTCAGGAAGCATTCAACTATCTAGAAAGGCAAAGGTGGCATGGCACACAGTTTGTTTACCAAAGTCAGAGGGAGGCTTGGGTTTGAGGCGCTTGTCTGAATGGAATCAGACCCTAAATCTGCGTCTCATTAGGCTTTTATTTTCAACAAGCGGCTCTCTGTGGGTAGCTTGGCACAGGTATCACAATACATCTTTAGCCAACTTCTGGACTCAAAATGAGAATGCTGGCCAGTCATGGACTTGGCGTGCACTGCTAAAACTCAGACCACTTGCAGAGAAGTTTTTACGCTGCACCATTGGAAATGGTAAAACAGCAAGCTTCTGGGGTGACATTTGGACACCGTTTGGTCCTCTGCTCAATTATTTGGGGATAAATGGTCCAAGAGACTTAAGAATTAATATTTTGGCAAAGGTGAGTGATGTGTGCGACGGCGTCTCGTGGTCTGTCGCCAACCCGAGATCGGATCGATCTATGGCCCTTTGTGCTTATCTCACTACAATTTATCTCCCTCTAAGTCAGGCTGTGGAAGACCATTATGACTGGGTTATTGACGGAAAAAGTTTTGAGGGTTTCCCGACTGCAACAACATGGGACACTCTAAGGCCTAGAGCAACAGAGAAAAGTTGGGCGTCGCAAGTTTGGTTTAAAGGGGCTACTCCCAGAAACGCCTTCACAATGTGGATTGCTACTTTGAATAGGCTTCCGGTTAGAACAAGGCTAGTGTCATGGGGGATGCAGATCTCTCCAATGTGTGTTCTATGCTCTTCTCATCCAGAATCGAGGGATCACTTGCTGCTAACTTGTGATTTCAGCTCAATGATTTGGGAAGAAGTGTTTCGTAGACTAAGCCCAAATCGCTCCCTCTTTCTTCATTGGACGGAGCTCTTATCTTGGACAGGGGATAGCTCTGTTCCCTCTCCACCAATCCTTCGGAAACTTGTGGCCCACGCTGCCATCAACCTTATTTGGAAGCAACGAAATAATCTTCTCCATAATGCCATCTCGATCTCACCTTCTGCCATCTTCAAGGAATTGGATAGGCACATCATTAATACAATAAATGCCAGAAGACGTCAAAGGAATTTCGAGAGTTTAATGAGCCATTGGCTCAGATAAGTTGTCATCATCAAGCTATCTTTATGCTTTCTTGTTTTTTCACCTTTTTTTGCCAAGAAACCATTGCAAGGGTTTGCTCTATGTAAAACCATCATCTTCATTTATATGATATTTACAGTTTAGCAAAAAAAATTATATTACCGTGAAAGAAAAGCAAGAAAAAATAAAACTGTCGGGCTTTTCGTAATTAAATGTTTTTCCTGTGGATTAGGAAAATTTCCAAGGATCTGCTAGAAACCATATGACATTAAATGCATGACCCAATAAATAAAAAGCAGGACTACCTGAATCTATCCAACAACATTTAATATTGCATTTCTTTTCCTATTGCATATGTCATCACCTCTGTCGGCAAACTGAGGTCCACTTTGATCTTTATTTTTCTTTTTGCCTTTCTCCTTTTGTTTAGTGAGAGCTCCATTACATTTCTTTTTTTGTTTGAAAAAGAGCTCCATTATGGTATTGTTTTCAACTTTATTTCCATTTGTTGTATATATGACCATTTACGTTTAAATAAATATTCTATTTCGATAATGCAAGGCAAGTAGATATGTCGTGCAAGGGTTTTTGTCGGTGATATTGAACGTAAATCTTGGTCGTTTATTTATTAGCCGGGTTTTGCGTTAGCCGAAAAGATTGAACGAGCTATAAACTATGTGTAATACTTGCACCCAAAAAAACTATGTGTAATACTACATACTCCTACATAGTTTTATTTTCCGACCTTAATTTAATCTAAATCGTATTTTGGGTAAAAGTGTGAGCGAGTTATTACGGACATGCCTAAATAGTAAGATGAAGAGATGTCATATCGTTGAATAAATATCAGTTTTATATGACGGAGTATTATACTATAACTTTTCTTTTTCACGTAAAAGAGTAATCTACCAAAATCGATCTAAGTTGAGTTAATAGAGTACTTGATAACTTTTTTTACAAGCTATAATGTATCCAATAGAAAAATACTATAACATAATTCGATGTTCCCAAAACAAAATTAGGGTGATCAATATACAGTATAAAAGACATAACCGAAGCAGTGGGCCTTGCGTAGGATTTTCATTTTATAAGTTAAAATTTTCAAACTTGGTGTGGTCTTCACCACATCTATCTTTCCTATTATAGTATTTAATGCTTCAATTCATTTCACCCTTCTTTGTATGTTTTACTCCTTTTTTCTTTACTTCTTTTACTTTATTTATTTGTTCTTCACTACTCAATTTAGAAATACAATAAAAGAAATTCTAACACTACCATTCACATTTACTCCTATGAAACTTTGGTCGTTTATCAGATGGTGGGAAGAAAGCAAAAACATTAAAAAAATGCAAAGGCGTATACACATTGTGTTCGTTTTGCAGTTGTTAGCTATCATCGACCAAATAACTAAAATTGTATTCGCTTTAAGCTCATTCATTCAACAATAAATATCGACGACTGGCTGCTAATCTAAAATTTAATGCTAACATTTTCAGAACTTGGCAAGAGATGTTTCATTCAACAACAAAAAGAAAGAAAATAATTATCGTTGAGTGCTCAACGACCACGAAGCCAACAAAATTTGGTCGTTGTAGTTGGTTATTAGTAAACAATATAGCATATTGTTGGATATAATTGGTCAATTGTTACTGATCACTGTTACCAAATTGCAAAACGAAGAGGCCCTAATATTTCGCATATTAACATATACTATATTAATTCCCTAGAGACCCGTTCAAAAGTATAAAACATCCTACCCACTCCCACCGCTAGACAACACAATCTTTCATGCCTTTAATCAAGAAATTAGTCTTTCTAATAAAGTACACCGATCTTTATTAGATGCAATTAATTAGATAGTAATAACTTATACTATGCTTTATCTTAATACGAATCCTAATAAGTCTTCATTCACATAACCATTTGAAAGTTAATCGGCGTTCGTGTTTTATTCTCCTGCAACAAGGATAGCTATTTGGGTTTATAATAGAAACCCAATCTTTTATAGTTTTCAATAAACAATAATATGAAAAGTAGACTCTTGGAACCATATATTATATCTCTTATGTTTCACAAGTGTCGATCTAAAGTTAATTTTGTTTCGTCTTAAAACATAATGTATCCTTGTCAAAAGACACAAAGAGTTATTACAATTTATGAATTTCAACACTTCCAAAATGTATAATAACTTGGAGGCATGTCATGAGTACACTTGAATAATTTCCACGGAAAAATGTCAAAACATTACTTTTCATATATGAAATAGAGGTAGTATACGATGAGACGTTCCTTCGGTAAATAAGATCATAATCAAAGCCCCACCTATACCAAGTTTGTATCAGTATATAGTATTAATATTATACTTATAATAGTTCATACAAAAATATTCTTATAATATCAACCAGCCTCCCCCTTTATATCCTACTCACTTGAAAAGAGAAAACACTTAGTTTCTCTATTTCTTCTTCATCTTCCCTCTCACCTGTTTTCTGAAAGAAAAAAAGCTTTATAGCATACTTAACAAAAATGAGCAATAAACGCATAGAAGCAATGGTGATTCTAGTGGTAATTATCATGGCCTTCTCATGGAGGATTTGTGAAGCGAAGAGCTTAAGAAGATACACATCATCAGGACCACAAAGATTTTTCAAAGTGAGAAGACCAAATCCACATCATAATCATGGGTTCGTTGATGATGATTATCCTCCAGAAAGTTTCTCAGGGTTTTTGCCCAAGAGAATGCCAATTCCATCTTCTGCTCCGTCCAAGAAACACAACGTCTATGGTTTACAGAGTACTCATTTCCAAAGATATCCATGATATCTTTTCACCAAGATTACATATATTACATATATATATATACATACATATCTATGCATGATGCATATTTATATAACATAGAGATCTAGTCTTGTCTACCTTTGCTCTCCCCTTGGTGTACGTTGTTCTTTTTTTAAAAGAAAGTTTTTCTAGGAAGGAATTATTGTACTCGCTAATTCCATCGAGATTAACCAAATTAAGGCCGAGCTATTTTTGGATGCACGCCTACTTCTGTTAACCCTACTTGTATTATAGTTTGGAGAATTATATACATGTATCCTATATGTGTACTCATGATTGAATCATTGTAAACTTGTAATGCATCATGCTATAGCTATTATATAATGTACCTTTTTCGTTCTATAACGCTTGATCATCGGCATGTTTTTTTCGTATTATACTAATCACACCCAAATTGTTAATTTATCGGAATATATTAACAAACAAAAGATGTACCAGTCTTTGAACAAAAAACGAAAAAAAAAAAATCATATCATGTTCCGGTACCGTGTAAATGTTTTTACCTTTTTTATATAGATTTGAATAAACAATGCATGTCATAATTAATGGCCAACTCCTACCCTCTCTGTCTTAAATCTGAGTTTTATTCTACATTTTTTCACATATATTCAACAAATTACTAAATAGATTACTCTACCCTTATAAATTATAATACATTACTAATTAAGGTTAAAAGTGGATTTTGTTCCAGATTATACATGGAAAATACAAAACGACACATTTGGTAAAACAACAACAACAACAAAAAATTGTACAATTTTCCTTTGGAATACCACAGATCATATTACATGGGACCTGCAGACGCTAAATTTAATGAAAATAAAATTAAATGAAGTCAACATAAATGCTGCTACGGAGTATATTATTCGCATATACAAATGGAACTTGTTATTTTTATCAAAAGGAGAAATAGTTGCATATGTACCATCATAATCATAAATCTTCTTTTTTTTTTTTTTTGTAAAAGATAATCATAAATTTTCGGGATGACGTAAGTTTGTTTTGTAGTTCCGATTTGATTATCCAACAAGGACTTTGAAATTTTGTAGTGAGACCAAGTAACACATTTATTACAAGAAACCAACCAACCACAAATCCGTGTTCTTATTTCAACTCAATCATTCGATTTCGAGTTCTAGATACCACTGTAGACTTTGCACTTAACATTTTGCCGTCTCCATCGTTTTTTTCGCTTATGTCTTAAGCCTAATGAACCTGAAATTCTTAAAATGTCAAAGTTTAACTAACTAAACATCATATAGTCATGCTCTTAAGTTACATATGACTATCTAACTAAATGAGACTTACATATGAAAATCCATGATTCACTTTAATCACACACACTCACTTATCATAAATTGCATTAGTAATATGCGAAAATCTAATATAATTCAGAGACGACAATATATATTCTCGGACAACTTTGGATTAAAACCGGGTCCTGCCTAAATACAAACTGAAATCAGGTCATATGGGCCCACTATATGGGCCTATGTATTGAAAATTTAGCGGCCCGTTAAACTAGCGCGGAAAAGAGAGTCGGGTCGGGTCGTCGAGATTCGGATCTTTAACTCAAAGCTGCCGAGAGAGCGAAGAACAAATCGGAAATTTCCAGATTTGGACACGAGAAATCCAGTAAAAGCGATTTGAGAATTTTTGATTCGGGAGCGATTCGTCGAGCTAGGTCTTTTGCTGTAGTTGAAACCAGATTGAATCGAAGCTAATCATTAGAAAATTTAGGGTTTCTCCTTCTTAATTAAGCTTGTGATTCCTCAATTTACTGCTTCCGTCGGCTTCCATGGCGGATGGGTACTGGAACCAGCAGCGACATCAACAGCAACATCCTCCTCCTACTGGTGGTCCTCTGAAACGCCACCGTTCCGATTTCGGTAAGCTCCGGTCGATTCCTCGTTAGCTAGAAGAAGCACTTTCTCAACAACTTGTTATGCTCTGAGTCGAAGAAGAAGATAATTGCTTACACTTGCAGATTCTCTAATTCTGGATTTGTAGTTTTACCAAAATCCATAGTGAATTTCACTTGATATTGTTTTTTTCGCCGTCTTTGCAGAAGCTCCACCGTCTACAATGCCTTCAGGCCACGAGATTCACGGCGGCGGCTATTATCCGCGTGACGACGATCTCGATGTTCCCGATACCAGAACTATTGGCTCAGCTTACGATCGTTACCTCCAGAGCGTGGTACAACACAAACCCTTGATTGATCCATTCTTCTCTCTTTATTTGATCTGAAAAGTGAAAACCTTTTTTTGTCTATTTTGAAGCAAACGTCTTCAGGAGAAGCAGGTCTGCGTAACGGTGTTGGAAGACCTGGAGGAGGTAGTAATGGTCAAGCCGCCATGGATGAGTTTATGATGATGAGACGCGGTGGAGTTGTTCTGCCTCCAGAGAGGGAAAGGGGATTTGATCCACCGGAGTCTGTTGAGAGGCGTAACCGTGAACCGCTTCCTCTACCTCCAGATGCGTCCAACACTTTATACGTTGAAGGACTTCCTTCGAATTGCTCGAGGAGGGAAGTAGCTCGTATCCTATTTCTTTGATGACAAGTTCGTTGAATTCCAATATTTTTTCGTTATGAGAATCGTTTGTTGCTTGCCACTGTCGTCGTCCTTAACAACGAGTTGTGTAGATATATTTCGACCTTTTGTAGGGTATAGAGAAGTCAGACTTGTGAACAAAGACTCCAAACACGTAAGCTTTTCTTTGGCTTCAAAGTTTGTTTGTCCCACTTTTATAAACCTACTAAAGGAGGTCAAATTTATGGTTAATGCAGAGGAATGGAGATCCTATTGTTCTTTGCTTTGTTGATTTCACAAACCCTGCCTGTGCAGCTACTGCTCTGAGCACATTACAAGGTAAATAATACGCTTATCAAATCTCTTTCCTCCTTAATTTTCATTTTCCTGGCTTGTTCTTCACATTCATTGTTAGTCTGAATTCATTGTTTGATCGATTGTCTTTCGATTAATAGTCATTGTGATACATCAAGTACGGTTCCAAAAGTGTAATCCTTTAGCCTGACCCTTGCATCACAATGCCCTCTTTCCTTAAACCATCAACTCTATGTCTAATGCAGCTATGCACTAAATCTCATGCTCTTTGAAAACGACTCTGTTACGCAGGCTATAGAATGGATGAAAACGAGCCTGATTCCAAGTTCTTACGGCTCCAGTTTTCAAGAAACCCAGGTTCAAGACCAGGACAACGAGGAAGAAGGTGATGAGTGACTCGGAGAACATTGCAATACATCAACCAAATGGTAATTTATTGTTTCTCGTCTCTACTGGTTTTAGCGGAAAGAGCTATCTTCTCAATGAAACAACCTGAGTCAAGAGAAACACAAGGTGATAGTAACTTAAAACTTAAAAGGCTATGTATACTTTTTTTGTTCCCTTCTGAGATTTGAAGCTCATGTATGCTGTTATAGAGTTGTGTTGTTGATATCAAATGTTCATTACAAAAAAAGCTTGGTTTTATGGAATTTTATATGAAAGAGGAATTTATATGGCTATATGTCAATAAAACATTATTTGCTGTGGTATCTCCAAAAGTTTAAATTGTTTTAATTAACTTCTTTCTCAAGTCATTTTTGACTTGTATACCTATCTCTTCTTTTCCAGTTGTGAAAATGTTTGACTTCATTTGTTTTTCTGTCTTTCAATAATTCTTGTTTATGTTTTTTTATGAAGACGTGTTTGGGGGTGCTATTGGCGGGGAAGACTTATGCTATATTTGAGATATGTCGTGATAGATTATTATTTTAAACCATTTTTGTGGTCCAATCATGTAATGTTATCTTGTTACGATTATTGTCTGAATGTGTAAACTTTCTGTACATTCGGACAAAGAAAAAGAGACGTGGTTGCTTTCACGGTCATGTTTTGATGGCAGTATGATTTGATTCGAAATCATTTTCTTCCTCTTAGTAAAACATTTTTAGCCAAAACAAACAATTGTAGTAGACACGATCGAGCCAATGTACATTACGAATTACATAAACGAAAAACTCTAAATATGAGTGATTTGTGTCGGGCCTGATTTTACCATTCGAGTTTCCTGTCTTAAACCGGCCAACAAGTTGTTACATCTCTTATGTCTATAAACTACCATCAAACTACTTACATCTCTTACATGTCGAAGTAAGTTTGGTCTCTAACAATAAATGTTTCCTATGAAATGCTGCAACGTGCTCCATAGTCTTCATGAATGTTATCCACATTTACTGCTCAATTTAATTAACAAATACGACTAATCACACCATAGATCCTAAATATCTTTGACAGTATTTTCTAAAGTAATTTAAAAGTATTGTTGAGCCACTGGTTTAGAACAAATATTGTAACTCGTAGCATTCAACCAAAAAATAATAATTCAGTTCGTTGAGTCGTCCCTTCAATCATAGAATGCTAATTGACATTTGAAATCGAAACTGGAAAGTTGAATATCATATATACAAATAGCTTACAATTATTCCGATTCTAACCACTTTATCCAATACTCGAGATTTGAGTGTTAACCCTAGAGAAGCTGATTTTATTTTATTTTCTAACTGTAAATACGAAATTATTTTTGATAAATATTATATCGCTGTTATTTTAATAAATACACCGGAAACAAATTTAGACGCCATGCGTTTGTGTGTATCTAGTATCTACAAACGAGGTAAAGTATCTACAAAAATGAGATAGTGTGTATCTCTCTTTTTTTGGTAAAATGTTCAAATGAGGTATATCTTGTAGGTATTAGCAGTATGTGCTTTGCTTAGTCGGTGATTAGCATATTCTTTTTATATGATTATTCGTGAAGGCTTTCTTTTTTCGTGTGGCTGGACGAAAGACTAGCGTTAGGGGATTGATCAAATATTTATTTGCATGAAAGGAAAAAAAGAGATGCATTTTAACGAAGAAAAACTTGTATCTGTGAACTGTATCGAATATTGATTCAAGTGGATCTAGATCTATGTATGTACTGCACTGCTGCTACCTAATCAGCATTATTATAGTCATAATAGTTACTGTATCATAGCTAATATTATAGTTCCAAGATGCACAATATCATAGCTATTATCATTTGTTTTTAATGTTTTTATAACTATTTTCATTTTGTCCCCAATAAAAAGCTGAAAAAGGTCCTTACAATCTCAAGTTTTCTTGTTATGAAGTATTGCACGGAGAGAGTAATATTTAGTAAGTAAATTAAATTTTTCCTTCCGTTAGCAATCTTAATTCAGAAATTATGCATCTTTGTAAATTTGGAGCGAATACGATTAAAAGAGGAAGCAACGTAATATAATTTATTATGTACTATATATTAACACAAAGCTTTGATTTCCTTAGACCAAAATATACTTTCGTTGGTCTTAGTCTTAAATTCTTAATAGTCAGTACCTACCAAATGTGTACATGTAGTGCATTTCACTATCGTTGAGTCTGTTCTGAACTCACTTGTAAATTTAAGACTTATATAATAATAATTTGTTTAACTTAATAAACATTGCTATCGCTCATGTATCTACATTTGTGTTTTCTTACCGAATTTTCGAGAAATTTAAGCAATAGTTCCTCTCATGAGTCATGAGTGTGAAAAACACTTGCCTTAACACTACCACAAGTCGTTCAAAACAAAAAAAAAACAAAAAAAAGTACGGTGCAGAACTACTAGTAAACTAAGAAATTCTAATTTAAAAATGATTCATATCACTAGCAAATATGCATTTTGGAAGCTAAATAAGAAAGTAATTAAGAGGAACGAATTTTTCTTTAGAGAAGACAAAATCAATAAAAGGATGGATAACAAAATTGTTCAGAAAGACGTATAGAAGCAAGCCGCCTGGCCCCCACGAAGCAATGAAGTCCACGAATTCTTTCCATTGCTTCCATTGCTTTCACACGGAAATTTTGTTTTGGTAATATTAATATAGATTTTATTTTGGTAATTTTCTATATTTTTTCTTTTGTTAAAACGCTTGTAATTTTATATCATTTGGTTAAATAGCTTCTTAATGAATGTAGCATAGTAGAATATAATATGTGATAGGTGTAGAAGAAAACTACTTAATATCAAAGATTATAGCCATCAGCTGTATAAGAAAATAAACCATTTTTAAACTTTGTTGATCAGGTGAATATTCCGGTAATGGAGGGGAACTTTTTAGCTTTAACGATTCTTTTCTTTTGTTTTTTGTACATGTAAATGGAAAAAAACTTCAATCATCCACGGTAGAGGGAAGAAAAGACTTTTACACTGATTTTTGCATGAGATACTGCTTTAAACTTTAAAGTCATTGATTGGTTTGGTAAGTCATTATAAAAATCCAAGCTCGTCATTTTTTAATATTACTATCGACGATCGTAAAGGAGAACGCGAACAAAGCAGTTTTTTAAACATTTTCTCTGTGCTAAAAAATGACGGATATCTAATTTACGCTTTCTGAACAAAGCCGACGTGCTTTCAATATGCGAGAGTGAAAGAGAGTGTAGAATTAAGACTACTTTTGTAGCTGAGTTAATAGATTTACGCGAGTAATTTTTAAACTGTATTTTTCAGTAGCTAAACTAGAAATCAAAAGATAGACAACTATTATTGAACTATGGACCAATGTACATCAATATAGTTTTCAATGTTCTTTTTGTAATCTCTTTGGTCCATAGTTTCATGGTTCAATTTAGCGAGAAGCACCATATAAATAGTTCATTTGCAAATTTAAATCACCATCCAGTAACTAGTATCGAATAAGATAAATCCAATTGTGAACGACTTTTTATTTTATTTTTAATTGAGTTAAAGGGTTGTTTGTAGACGATTTATTGGGATACATATCTTTTTTTTTTCCATTTATTGGAATATAGTAAAGGTCGGACGAAGTGTGCATTACGACAAAACCAAACTACGCATACATTGGTGTTTACCAGAGAATAGTGTGCTCTTTTTTTTTTTTTTTTTTTTTTTAGTGTGCTCTTTCTTTTTCATACATTTCGATTTCAATGTATACATGCTGATTGATAATACTATTATTTAAACATAACAAACTTAGTGACACGTAGTTAGTAAGTAGTTGATATGAATATAGTATCCTGTAAAGAGGAGATAAAAATCAATCAGTAACGACTAATACTTTCGATCTCGTTCATGGATATTGTCTTCATTTGTTTTGTGAGAATTGTTGTTACTGTATAAATAAAAATAAAACTGATTAATATCTTTGATATCAATTTTTCCATATTATTTTTCGAAAGAATGGATATTTTTTTAACTTAAACACCAGTATAGTAGGATTTAAATACTAACAAGCATGCATAACTAAGGTTACCTAAACCAATCAATATACGACGGTGATTATATTAATTTCGTCTAACGTCAATTTCTTTGGCATCAAAATTGTCAAGATTAGTTATATAACTTTTGACGCCTAACCAAAATTGTCAACTTTCAGGAAGAAAAAAAAACTATATAGAATGTTAAGTTGTTGATTTGTCTAAATCGTAATCCAGCTGGTTACTTACCCATTTTATACAAATAAAATCTTTAAATTCTACTATCCATTCAATTGTTGTATTGTCTGGTGTTGACCAAGCTTCGGTAATAGTTTATTAACTTACTTTTCAAGATGAAAGTTGGCCTTAAATTGAATTATCCTCATCCTTGTATATCTATAAACACCGGTGCATGATAATGTTACAATGTATATATACGTTATGACCTGCCTCGTTAAGTTGTTTACACCATTCACACTTCGCAATAACTCTTTCTTCTTCTTGCTAACGCGATAAGATATTTGACTACAAAACTATACATCTTGTCTTAAACTTAAAACGTATATAGATTCGATCTAATGTTTGACTAAATAATGGTAATTAGAAAAGAGATTAAAAATTAACATGAGTAATGACAAGAAACGTGTTATGAAACGAAGAACGTGTGATGCAAAACCTAAACAATAAAATATGAAATTAATCAAAGATTGTCACCGGCACGAGAGAGAATCCAGTACATGGCGGACCACTTTCTCCTTCAAACGTTCCTTTTACATTCAACACGGCGGCCTATCTTTAGAATTTAACGCGTTTCTTTTTCTATTTTTCTTTCTTTCCAAAGATATATAAACTTATATATTTTTGTTTTTTGTTATATTTTCCCTCTTTTTGTCATTTGCTAGAATAATGTTGGTAAAGAAAGACAAGAAATTAATTTCACAACTATGCGTTGGTAAATTCTGTTAGCTTTAGATTCAATGTTCTCTATATTATATACATATTTGAAAGTTGATATGTTCGGAACATGCATGTTGATCAACGACGACCAAAAATAATAGAAGGGAAAACAAGAAAATCAACAATGAATCACGAGAGAGACCAACCACATTTTATTCCTTTGTTTCATATATTCAATTATTGTTTTTTTTCTTACATAATAAAAATACCATTTACCATGAGAAAGAAAAGTAAAATAACAAAGAATGTGAAAATTTGAAAAGCTATATAAAGAGTGAGTAGGGGGAGAGAGTAAGAGCATCAAACACAAAGAAATACATAACAAAATGGGGTCACCAATGGCCTCCTTGGCAGCAACTTTGCTCGTCTTAGCATTCTCTCTTTGTTTTGTATCTGAAACCACCGCAAATTATTACTACTCTTCCCCTCCTCCACCCATCAAACACTACTCTCCTCCAGTTTACAAGTCTCCACCACCACCGGTTAAGCACTACTCCCCTCCTCCCATTTACCACTCTCCTCCTCCACCGGTTTACAAGTCTCCTCCTCCTCCCGTTTACCACTCTCCTCCACCACCTGTTTACAAGTCTCCTCCTCCTCCAGTTTACCACTCTCCTCCACCACCGGTCTACAAGTCTCCTCCTCCTCCGGTTTACCATTCTCCACCACCTCCATATTATAAGTCTCCTCCTCCTCCTGTTTACCACTCTCCTCCACCTCCGGTTTACAAGTCTCCTCCTCCTCCTGTTTACCTTTACAAATCTCCTCCTCCACCGGTTTACCACTCTCCTCCACCACCGGTTTACAAGTCTCCTCCTCCTCGGGTTTACCATTCTCCTCCACCTCCAGTTTACAAGTCTCCTCCTCCTCCTGTTTACCACTCTCCTCCACCTCCAGTTTACAAGTCTCCTCCTCCTCCGGTTTACCTTTACAAATCTCCTCCTCCACCGGTTTACAAGTCTCCTCCTCCTCCCGTTTACCACTCTCCTCCACCACCGGTTTACAAGTCTCCTCCTCCTCCGGTTTACCACTCTCCTCCACCCCCGGTTTACAAGTCTCCTCCTCCTCCAGTTTACCTTTACAAATCTCCTCCTCCACCGGTTTACCACTCTCCTCCTCCACCGGTTTATAAGTCTCCTCCTCCTCCCGTTTACCACTCTCCTCCACCACCGGTTTACAAGTCTCCTCCTCCTCCAGTTTACCACTCTCCTCCACCTCCAGTTTACAAGTCTCCTCCTCCTCCAGTCTACCATTCTCCTCCACCTCCAGTGTACAAGTCTCCTCCTCCTCCTGTTTACCTTTACAAGTCTCCTCCTCCTCCGGTTTACAAGTCTCCTCCTCCTCCAGTCTACCATTCTCCTCCACCTCCAGTGTACAAGTCTCCTCCTCCTCCAGTTTACCACTCTCCTCCTCCTCCTGTTTACCTTTACAAGTCTCCTCCTCCTCCGGTTTACAAGTCTCCTCCTCCTCCCGTTTATCACTCTCCTCCTCCACCAGTTTACAAGTCTCCTCCTCCTCCCGTATACCACTCTCCTCCACCACCGGTTTACAAATCTCCTCCTCCTCCTGTTTACCACTCTCCTCCCCCACCTAAATACGTGTACAAATCTCCTCCTCCTCCGGTTCACTCACCTCCTCCACACCAACCTTACCTTTACAAGTCTCCACCTCCTCCTCCATACTACTACTAGATTAACCTATCGTCCGCTCATGGTAAATATCATTTCTCATAGTAATACAATTTGGTACGTACACCTCGATAAAGTTTCAATTGCTTATTCCATACGTTTACATATATTCGTGCAGGAGTTGACGACGGTACACAAGAAAACAAAGAATCGTTTGGTGATATTAATAAGACACAAGGATCTTTAAGAGAGAATTGAAAGGGGATATATGTCTAAAGAGAAAGTTTCCTTTTTAATGTGTTTTTTTTTTTTCAAAAATAAGTTGTAACTTCAAACATGTTGATGAGTGGTCCCTTCATGCATGCAAATTAGTCATATGTTTGTAAGTTCAAGTCCTGCTTTTTCCTCAAATTATTTAATGTCAAAGTTCGAATGTTCAATTCAATAAAAGGTATTAAGTTTCTTTTCATTTCTTTTGCTCCAAGTATCATTGCTAATTTTGTTTTGGCTGTTGTGAAATTCTCAAATGAACCATTATATAAACCTATCCTTCAAATGAATATTTAATTTGTCAATTTCCCTGGCTAGAGGCATATATGGCCTATAACGCAAACTGTGTTATTATATCTACATTGTTCATGTAAGGTTTAGTTATTGACTTGTTATATAAACATTATAAGATTCCATATTACTTTCCTCAAATTAAAACTTTAATAAAAAATGGAGAAACTGAAAACGTGTTCAGTTAAAACTCAGACGATGATGTGAACAGGTCAACATGAGTCGTCGTACTTTTTGAGCAAATAAGTGTTGTACAAGTACAGCCTCTTTAAGTCTCAATTTGAACCAGAGAAAAAACTAAACCAAGTTCTGTTTCGATAAAAGACCATAATGCCCTCATCTCAACGGCTATAAACAAACATTAACCGTCAGTGAAGAAATTGGATACAAGACTGCCATTGACTTGTGGCGTACCGTATACACGTCACGTGCCTTTCCTCTTGCTTCTCAGGACTAAAGGAAGTTTCTTGTTCCACCAACACTTCAGTCTTCAAAATAACTAAACACAAACATATATTGATTTTATAAAATTAGCCAAGGAAATCTATACATTGATCGATCAAGTACACATTATGTACTTATCATTTTATCTCAGGATTAGTAATTCGGCTTAGATAATCTTTTTTTTTTTTCCTGTCTGGATGCCTTTTATTGACCTAGCTACTTTGGAAAGTAGAGGCAGGTGTTCATGGATGCTTTTTTGCCTTGTTTTTTTTTTTGTCAAAGGATATAAGTTGTTTAAGTTAGAGAAAATTTACGTATATGGTCCATTTGGCTATTTAAAAATTAATAATCATGGAAGGAGACATAACTAATACACGATTGACATGCTTGTGCGCTTGTAATGTTGTAAGTGTAAGTTTGTAACCTTTGTTTCCTGAATTGTTTTCGGTTCTCGAGATATATACACTCACTTGCATTCCGTAGAAGAACGCTTTCGGATTCCTTCACGCAAATCCAATTTTTTTTTTTTTTTTTTTTTTTTTTTTTGGTAATCATGTTAAATGCAAATCCAAATTTCTTCCTCCATACGATCTCTCTACCGGTCACACGATGGAGCTGCATGCTAGTATTTGAAGTAGAGTAGAGACTAATGAAACGCGAGAAAGTTTTAGAGAAACAAGAAGTTTAAGAAGGATCTTTAAGTTTAATCCCGTTGCTTAGAATCTCTGATGACAAATTTATTAAGTGATGCGAGTGTTACTTAATACGAGAAGATTAAAAGAGTGTCGGAGGATCATACATTCATTCCTGTTTAAATACGACATTTATAATCCCCGATTTGTATGATGGTTGTTATGAAATTCAAACCAATCTTGAACAAAACTAATTACTGAAGACAAGCTCAAAACCAAAACCTGTTCCTAATGTAGACCCCCCATTAGTAACAAATTATATAATCTTATTTATATTCAATACGATCGACGGATTGTGATGATTTAGTTCGATAATCTATAGACCGAACATAATGGTTCATGACATATGCATCTCATATTTGCCCATTTTTAACTTTCCCTGTGCAATGTGGCATAAGATATTATTAAGTTACGACTTATGAGCAAATCTGCATCATCAACCATATATATTCCTTCAGTTGCAAGCAAATGCTAATGCCCTCATTATCAAATGCATAACTCATCATTGAAGTATCCTTTGAAATCAAACATACACACGATTAGTGTTAAGAGTTGTCTCAGAAGAAGACGATCAAGTTTCAATGGAGAAGAAATTGCTTAATACTATAAGCACATTCCATTTTTTAACAGTCTTAAACAAAGTCTTGATTTCAAGAACACAAAAGCACAATGACAACAGAGATAAAGTAACACCAACAATAAAACAGAAACCACAAAACAATCATAAAAATAATTTTGGAAATAACACAAACAGACCTTTCTTCTTCATTCATGGCATCATCATAGTAAGCTTAGCATCAAACACAAACCCACGACACAACCCATCACCATAACCAGGAACACCATCAATCCATCTCCACCCTTCCCAAAAATCCCACATCGCAAGCTTCCCCATCCTCTTAGCAGAGAAGTAAACCCTATCCCCACCTCCAAAAACCTTAAACTTGCTCGACTCCTGAAACCCCCTGTACATGTCAAGCGGCATCCTCCCAGCTTCCTCCCACTCCAAGCTCTCCAAATCAAGCCTCAGTATCAGAATCGTCGAACACGCCGGGTTCAACGAGAACGTCGACTTCAACCCCCCGATCATCAGAAGCTTCGAATCGCAGCCTCCACGCAGCAAACGCGGTCGTTTTATAATGTCGAAGATATCTCCCCACTCGTGCCTCTCCAGGCATTTCCAATTCGTGTGAGTGATCGTCAAATTCGTCAATTTGCAGGAGAAGAGCTTCCACTGGGATCTCCACGGAGATCCGACGTCGCAGAGCGCGAAAACAGAGCTCGACATTAAAACAGGGCTTCTAGGTTTCGACGGGAGATTCGACGAGAATTTCAGCCACTGGTTAGCGATCACAACGCCGGAGTAATACAGCGCCGCGAGCTCCGTGAGGACCATGACTCGATTCGCCGAATCGACGAGGACGGTGCCGTGGCGCGACCAGGCGGAGCCGAGCTGAGGTAAGACCTTGAACTGGCGGGTGAGTGGGTTACAGGCGACGAGCGATTTGCTCGACTCGGACGAGTCGATTGAGTCTCCCCAGAGGTAGATCAATCCGCTTGACGACGCTACGGGCTGCGGCGATCGGAAAGGGAGGAAATCGAGATTGAATCTGAACCATTGATTCTCTTCCGGATCGTATACGTGGATGTACGGTCGGATGTTGTTGTTGTTGGCGGTTTGGTTGCCTCCGTGGCGATGGCTGTGGTGGTGAGGAGGACGGAGAGCGAGGAGATTCAACGGCGGGCGAGTGGAAATGATCTCCGTGAAGCACTGAGAGGTCAACAACTGGTTGAAGAACTTGCAGACGGATCTGCAGATCATGATCTGGCGGAGAGGGAGAGAGGAGAAGATCTGGTGGAGAGAGTCCGGCGGAAGGAGATTGATCGGCGACGACTCCATTGGTTGGTTGTTCTCCTCCGGCGGCTGGTGGACGGGAATCGTGATTTCGAGAAAGGGGAAAGGGTAAAATGGGAATTGTCAGCAAAGTCGAGTCCTCTGCGTTGTCATTGGTTGCGAGTTTCGGTATCGGAATGGGGAGTTGAAGAAGAAAAAGGGAATAACTTTTTGTAGTTCCCATTTTGTCCCTGCCTTTTTGTGCTGACTCACCTACTTGTCTGGTTATTATCATAGACTATTGTATTTTAATTATTCATTTTATGAAAAGTGTATAGAATTTTGTATCAGAAATACTCGACAAACGAATTTTTCAAATATTATTTCGGAAATTAAATTAATTTTATCATTCAATAATTTTCAGAGTAATACATAGTTTTGAAGTGATAATACATAAGAAACAAATTTTGGTTGCTATTGTCGACTTCGGTGGTTGATCGGGTCGGTCCAAAACAATTGTCGGCTTCTACACCACAATTTAGGTCGACCAACCCCGGTATTGTCCAAATTTGAGTTTTGTAATAATCAAAAAAGTCAAACTATACAAGGTTCGGAAATCGGAAATCGGAAATCGGAATTCGTTTACAGTAAGTAACTGAATATTAAAATTTTGATCAAATAGGATTTGTGCTTCTATACTTCAAAAAGTTAACAAATTGAGAGTCTAGTGTCTAGAACTCTAGAAGTCCCATATCGATTCAACCTAACCAACGGTATATCTTTCTCGTTCTCCAAGCCCAGTAACGTGTTCTGGGCTGGGCTTGGGCCATTTCCAATTATTAGTGAGTGACTGTGAGAGCATGCAGTTCGAGTGATAAGCACGATGTTAAGTTGTTAACATCAAATGCGAATACCATGGTTGTGGGGAGAAAAATTATTCTGGTGGGACCTAACTCTTGGTGATCATCTATCCAAAGTAAAGTATCTCTACATTTTTGTTGACCAAAACAAAACAAAACAAAACATCTAGCATTTTTATGGGTCATTGTTAATATATCAGCCTATTTCTAGAGTTAAAAGGTTGGAAGAAAATACTTCCCAATGTGTCTAAATCGGGTAATAGCTCTTTCTTTTTTTCTGAGTTGGGAAAAGTGTGAATAAATCATGAGAACCGATCATAAAATATAGTCTATTGGTTTGTTATGATACATATATTATTGACAAAAAAAAAATGTCATGGACACCAATTGGTAATTGCCAAGATACTTATCTTTTGTCAACTTTCAACATTTCAGATGTAACTTATGTAACTTGTGTAACTTAGTAAATATATGTGAAGAAAGAGGTTTATGCATAATGCGTATATGTATCGCATGGTTGAGAGAGGCCGAGAGGGTATTTGATTGGAGGAAACACATCAAATATTATTGGCTATCGAGTACCAAGTGGGTGAGAATATTGTTGTTTCTTTCTATTTAGAGTGGTGGATTTGGAATACAACGAAAAAAAAAAGGAAAGAAGATATCACAATTAGTGATGTACGTACGTCGAACGAGTTTTAGATTCTTGTATATGATTAGACACGAGAAAGAAAGTGGTAAGGGTTTCATTTAGGATTATAAATATATAAATAGAAACTTAGGGTTTAATATACTAAAAAGAAAACAAACATTTGTTGAGACCGAGATCGAAGATATGGCTCTAAGTCCGAGAGATCCTCTTGTGGTAGGAAGAGTTGTAGGAGATGTTGTTGATCCTTTCACGAGATTGATCTCTCTTAAGGTTACTTATGGCCAAAGACAGGTTAGTAATGGCATGGATCTAAGGTCTTCTCATATTTTGAACAAACCAACGGTCGAAATCGGAGGAGACGACCTCAGGAATTTTTACACTTTGGTTCGTCTTCTATCTTCTAATTTCCTTTTGCCTTGCATGCGTAATTGTTTTTGAATCAATTTGTTGTTCACATTCGTTTCAATTGTTTTCAAAATTTCGAAGTTAATTTCAATTGATCTTATTTGAAAGTTTTAACGATTGTTTGAACATGGATGATAAATAGACTAGTCATACCAGTCTCTAGATACCTTCTACTTATGGACATGTATCTACGACATTTTTCTAATTTAAGCCTTAATTCTCTTTTAAATGAAGGTTATGGTGGATCCGGATGTGCCAAGTCCAAGCAACCCTCACCTCCGAGAATATCTCCATTGGTTTATATAATCTCTCTCATCATTTTACTTAACTTTACTGGAGAGACATGCAGCCTCAACCATAGCTTAATTAATCTAAATGGAATATATATTTTCATCACAGGTTGGTGACTGATATACCCGCTACAACCGGAACGGCCTTTGGTGAGTTATTAACTCTAAGATTCACCAAGTACATATATAGATGAAACTACAAGCTTTTAATCGAATGTATATATGTTTAATGATTGTTTTGTTTAGGCAATGAGTTGGTGTGCTATGAGAATCCACGTCCGCCCTCAGGAATTCACCGCATCGTGATGATATTGTTCAGACAACTCGGAAGACAAACTGTTTATGCACCCGAGTGGCGCCAACGGTTCAACACTCGTGAGTTCGCTGCGAACTACAATCTTGGTCTCCCTGTGGCTGCCGTTTTCTTCAACTGTCAGAAGGAGAATGGCTGCGGAGGAAGAAGAACGTAGATGCCTAGTTAGATATCTAAGCATCTACGTTGTAGACGTAGTAATAAGAACTTAATGATATGACTAAACAGAAGGTGATGCGTTGTGATATTTAAAGTAGTATATTCTTTATATGTAATAATTGAGTGGGAGGAAAGAAAACGATCGAGAGTGTTCTTGCTTCTTACTCGTATGTTGTGTGATGCGACATTTTATTTCACTCTAAATGAATATATAAAAACTAAGAAGCATTATATAGCAAACGTGACGTATGTTTTCAACTTTTCATTGGCTTTAATTTCGATGGACCAATTCTTAAGACTATTCAGAAAAGTGGGAATAGAGAAGCTAATAGCTTTGGAATCCTCTTTTTAGATTTCTAATGATGATCTCATATAATTCTACGAAAGGGATAAGAACAACACTTTTTCTAAATTAGATTATTGATTTCAAGCTAATATATATATACAAACTACTTTACTATAGCTTTTCATTTGTAAAAAACAACAGTCTTTACAGGACTATTATAAGTTTATATTGTGTAAACAACTTTCCAAAGGTAAAATGAAACCGAACATAAAAGAGAAAAGCACAAACAAGCCCAAACAAAGAGAAGGACTCGGTCTCCACAGGGACTGCAACGTCAACAGCACAGCAGCCACAACTTCAAATTAAGTGCGTAAAATTGTAGACATCAAAAATAAACGAATGTGTGACATGAGCAGAATAAAAATATGTATTCGCCTTTTGCTACCTCCCACATGCTTAAGCCGATGGAATTGACTAACACCAATCAGAAAATCAAACCAATCAAAGTAACCAGAAATGTATTAATCGAAATTACTCGAAGATCAAACACAATTTGGTACTGTATAATTTAGTTGCGTTAAATTGGTTTTCGAAGCCTTAAACTTCTAGTACCAAATTCAGTCAGATTTGGTACAATTTTTATCAGCTGAATCAGAGAAAATCTCGGAAGTGATGGAGAAATGAAAGATTGATTGCAAGTTTAACACAATACTTTGTTTTGATTCTGTTCTAGTTTCTGTCGTTTACAACTGTGATCATGTGTTATTACATAGCAAAGAGAACCAAAACAAACTTTATATAATGAAGTAGTTCTACAACATAATCATGAAACAATACAACAACCTAGACTGAAGGACCAAAATTCGCTCAAATATTCTAGCTGCTTCCCAACTTCCAAAAGGCTCAATTCTTCAAGAAGCTGCAATTCACAGAAGCTAATAAACAACAACAATGTCAACATTAGGAATAAAAAACATGAGAACCAAAAGCCCTCGCTTAAAAGAGTTGTCAACGAAAGGTGAAGCAACAGAGATAATGAGTCTCAGCTAGAAACAACAAAGCGGCACTAATAAGGACAACATCACAGAGCTTAAACCTCACTCAAAACACAATCAAGTTCAAAAATTTAACAAAACAGTCGGGTTAAATAAGTGAAACAAAATATCAAAAGCAAACAAGTAAGCCCTCAGTAATTAAATCTGTCATACGTGACGCATCAAACCGGTTTTTCAAAGTTGACCTCTAGTTACCATTGCATTAATAACTCAGTAGTAGCAGCAGCAGCAACAACAAAAACAGAGGAGAAGAAGAAGAAGAAGAAGAGGAGATAACAATGATGAGGAAGATGATGATGTTGGGTCGCGCAATGATAACTATATGAGATCAAAACATTGAAAAACCAGGGCATCACTCAGAAGTATCTTTTTTACATCAGCGGGCAAAATTTGAATCCAATAAAATCACTAAAAATTGAAACTTTATTTCAAAAACAGAACCAATAAACACTCTGATTAGTGGGCAAACTTAGAATTCGCTAAAAAAACCATAAAAACAGAAACTTTATTTCAAAAACATGATTGATAAAAGCCCTCAGATCTCATAGCTATATATCTGATCATACACGGCTTGCAAGTAAATGGGTAAAATCCAAGCAAAACCTAAAAGCCCCAAACACCGCTAATTCGCATCCGACGCACGTGTGTGAATGAATGGATGTTAAAGTGAGATGTGCGCGTGTGAATGTCGCCGGCGGCGAAAAAGCGGTGTCAAAGGCTTAAAGGTAATAATCAACAACACGCCGGAGAATTACCCAAATACAACCGCTCTATAAAATAATTTATGCATCACTGGGCAAATTAAAAACAACACAAATTTGCAGAAAACGTTGGAAGATCGAAATTAAAGTTGAAAAAACAATCAAAACAGAAAAAAAAAAAAAAACTCAAATCGGCGAAAAGCAAGTGTGTAAACAAATCTGGGGAAATGAGTTTGAAGGTTATATATATGAAGCCGATAGAATTAGGGCTTCGGATATTAAAATGACGATTATAGCCTTACATCTTAAGCCCATAGCTTTGGCTTATGGACTCTACGCTTCATACTTCAAGCCCACAACTGTCAATAAGCCCATTAAGTATATATGTGAAAGTGAAATGGTGATTGTGCTATAACTGAAATGGTGATTGTGTAATCACAAGCTTTTGGTGGTGTGATTTGGTGCTCCACCACTCTTGCAAGGTTGTATATTATAACACTCATACCGTAAGTACATATATCGAAGGTGATTTGTAAAAGTATATGATTTGGTTAATCTATACAGAAAAATGAAATTAAAATCCTAACGAATCTTTACTAAGCAAAAGCGGCAAATAGAAATGAGCCACAATGACCCTTTTAAAGACGACTATAATCCGGGATGGCCCTTCAAGGACACTTTTGGATCACCAACATGAGATGAAATTATATTAAAACTGTTGATTAGATCTCATGACCTTTTTTTAAAATACTATACAACTATCGTCGTTAGGTCAATTCTTATTTTAATTATTTTGCCTCGCAAAAATCCACATTTAGTGGTTGATTTGTTGTTATGTTGGTCCACACACCAAAAAAAGAAGACTACCAATAACAAGTTTGGCGAAACTTTTTGTTATTTGGTTTGTAAGTTTGACGAATAAATGAAGAATAGCAAAAAAAAACACAAAAACAAAATTTACATGTAGTTACACTTGAGATCAAAACCACTTGTTAGTAAAATGTAGAACTAATTAAGGAACGTAATCTAAGTTGTTGCCTTAATGTGGCCGTCCATACAATATTGATGGACTCTTGACACCATATTCACACACGATTGGTCCTTTAGAGTTAACAATCAAAGAAGAGTATACAAAACAAAGGGACTAAAATATTGAACTTCGACTAATGAGTATAACTCAGGAGGTACAAAAAAAAAACTATAAATCTCGATGACTATGAGAGATCTCTGTCTTTCACACAATAGAGCGAGAGAGAGAGAGAGAGAGAGAGAGAGAGTCTTTAAGATCATTCCATGTTTCTTCAAACGAGAAGTCACGTCGGTCCGTACAGACCACCGTGGGATCGCAAGAGCAGATGTGTTGCCATGTAGCTTTTCCTAACAAGGAATGGTTGCCGTTTTCTAGTCTGCATCTGATGTCAAGTCGGCAAGCAGTGTGCTCACTTCTCAGTGTCTGTCATTTGCTCTCCATCCTTTTCTTCCCTTCAACACAATTTGATGTTTTACATGAAAATAGTTAGTTCCTTCTTCTTATTATACTCTGTCACACACATCAAACTTATAACATGTAAAATCGGAGACAAATCTCAATAACCAAATCATATGATTTGTAATTCTTCTTTTTCTCTTAGCTTTTACCTTTGTCATAAACCAAATTGTATATTGTGAAAACCAAACTTTTTCTTGATGCATTAATAAACAAATGATCTGATGGAAACAAACATTCGAAACAAATCTAAATAACGAGATTCTCGGTGAAAATAAAAACACCACGAGACAAGAATCTCTTGAAACATACAAACCATTACATACAAAGCAGTTTTCTCCAATCATTCGCATGCAAGTTTCGTATCGAAACTGCTCAAACATATCGCGAACGCCTGAAACGCCGAAAGCGGATACCTAAAATCCATCGTGAACATGTCTTTCCCAACTTTCCCAAACTGCAATATGATCTTGTCCGGTCCATCCACCTGACCCGACGGCTGAGACTGAGCCTGAGCCTGAGCTTGAGGTTGCGGCTGAGGCTGAGGTTGGTTAGCTGCAATCAGCTGAAAGTTCTTAACAGACGCGACGGTTACACGTCCCCTGAAGTTCAAACACCAGCACTGAAGCTGTTCGTGCCACCTCGGAGGCTTGTTCTTAAGCACGAGCGGCGGCGGCGAAACCAGCTCTTTCCCATCTTCGAAAACCGCCTCTCCGTCCTCCCCCAACGGTCCCAGAACGTCGGAGAACCGCGCGCTGCTGAACTCGGCAGAGTAATCCCCAACGAACCTCCTCGACAACGACGAGGACGAAGTGACGCTACGGAACGACTCGTCGAGAATCGACCGTGGAACCATAATCTCCGGTTGTTCCGGCACCGTACCGCCTTCACCGAGCGAAGAAGCGGGAATCGAATGCATCGCGCAGTGCATTCTCCTCGGTCCACGTGTCCCAAGAACGTTTAGCTCGTAAGACACCTGAGAGATCTTGTAGCTTCCGCTCGGGACTTTCGGAGACACTCTCTTCGAGTAAAACCTCCGGCTTAGACCTACCGGTTGGACTTGGACCGCCTGAGAGACTTTGCTATTGTACGCTGGTTGTGTGTCGTATATTATAAACTTCGTCCCCAGAAAATTAGACCTAAACAAAAACAGAGGAAAACGCTTAAAAACAGAGGAGATAAGGCTTTAAAACAGAGGAAAACGCTTAAAAACAGAGAAGATAAGGTTTAAAAACAGAGGAGACGATCAAAAACAGAGGATACGATCAAATGATTTATAACAAACCTAATCTTGCCAATGTAGGTGTTGCTTGATCTGGAAATGGTGTCGGCGTGCATGGAGATGACATACTCAGTGTACGTTGTTCTTCGTATGCGTTTAGCGGAGAGAAGAAACTTTCCATTCTCAACCAACAAAGCTGTGAAAACAGAGTAATGTGAGTGCTAAATAAAAAGAGAAACTTTGAACAAAAAAAACAGAGCGAATGGTGAAGCTTTTACCAGGACTGAGACAAAGGTATAAATGGTAAGTCAGATTTGATTTGTCTCTTTTGATAAAGCATTGCATTGTTGCATCTCTAGGTCCAGGCTACAACATTCATCACCAAAAGGAAGAAACTTTTCTTGAATATCATCAAAGATCAGTGACATTTAGAGAGAGTCAAAGATCAAGCTAACCTGTTTTAGAGAGACAGGGAATGTGATTTTCCCGGAAAGCTCAGGACTTTGAACGATCTCTTTGCACATGTCTCTCCACGATCTGCAAACAGAGGCGCAAGCGACGACGTGTTTACGAGAAGGCCACGTGCTCTCGCTCTCTTCGAGCCGTTTGATCACGTCGCGCAATAGCTCCGGAGGCAGATTCGCCCAGGGGGTTTCTTGGATCGGTATTATTGGTTGTTGTTCTACGTGACAGTCTTGAACCGAACCGCGAGATTTACCGACTTCTTTGTGCTGGCTGCTTAGCTTGAAGTCGAAGCTACGACGCGAGAGACTTCCTATGCTGTCTCTCACATCACGAACTATGCTGCGGAATGACATTTCTCTCACTCTCTGAAAACACAAAAGCAAGAGACTTTGATTCAAATTCGGAGTGAGACTTAATAACAAAGCAATGACGAGGGAAGAGAAACTTAAAAAGAGAACAATTTGAGAGAAGAAAAGAAGATTCTTCTTATCAGTGGACCAAAAGCAATTTGATTCACATTTTTTTATAATAAAGAGGACACAACAGCTTCAAATTGAAAGAAAGAAACTGCTAATTTCAAAATTTAAGCTTGGACAAAAAGATGCTTGAAGAATCTTACAAACAAGTAAAAAAGCAAAAGGAAAGAACAGTCTCTGCTCCCAAGAACAAAGTCTAATTAAAATGGTCCCAAGTAGTAACAGAGATCTAATGTGTTAAGTATTCTTTGGATTCAATTGAAGAAAGGAGAAATCTTTACTAAAAAAAAGGAAACTTTGGTGATCATTTTACATAAAATCAAATGGACAGAAAGACCCTTGAATTCAGAATTCCAGATCATATGTTAGATTCACACAATTGAAGTTTTTTTTCTTCTTACCTAACGAATTTATTGTTGGGACATGTCTAAAGCTAAAACCGTATAGTGAATTAAATTGGTCTACAAGAAGATAGATCTAGAAATTTTCAGAATTTGACAAAAAAAAATTACAGAACATAGATCATAGATCTGTAAACATTCACCAAGTTTACCAGACGAATTCAAGAACCAAAAACCAAAAGAGAAATGAGAAAAGAGAGAGAGAAGAAGACTCCACACCTCAAAAGCTTTCCAGATTCAATCATTTAAAAATAAATTTTAAAAAACAAAGCTCCAGAGAAAAAATTGGGTCAGAAAGAAACAGAGAGACTTACAGATTTTTCTGTGTTTGTTGTAGTGTTTTCCTCGTCTTCTCCGTTCAAATCCTTTAGGGTTTCTCTCTCTGTCTCTCTCTCTCTCTCTGTAGAAGTTATCTGTCTTCGTGCAGCACGCGGAGCGGAAACCAACTACGTTACATCCGCTACACGAACACGAACACATCTCATTTTGTTTTTAATCATTTTTATATATAATAAAATATTTATGGAAACTGTTTATTACTACTCTGACTAGAATACTGCTTGTGCAATACAATTTGACTAATTTAATAAGCAGCTGTTTTAAACGAAAACATAATACAGTATTAAACTATATATTAATGTCAACAAATTGGTAAAACTAATACATCCACTCACCAGAATTAAAAAAAAATATATACAGTAGTATTAAGCAAGTTGTTTTTACTTTTTAGCCGTTGACCTCATCCTGTCTCCTACTTATCAATTTCTTGAAAATATCCTGAAAACTGTATTTAACAGATTCTCACTTGGTAAAAGATCAATGGAGTACTATCTTAACTTGGAAGTCACTGTTGTTGACAAAAACTAAAATATCTAATTTGTGTTCTCATAATTGCTTTAGGTGTAGTATGGCCGTAGAATTTAGAAGGTAGTTCAATTCTCTCAAATTATAATTGAAACAGAAAAAGAAAAAAGAATGGTAAAATTTGGTATGGCTTACCTACTATTCTTTTATGACATTATTCAACTTTGATTTTCTCTAAGCTGATAAAAGTATAATCATATATGGTTTTATTTATTTGCCTAAAGAAATGAGTGGAATCCAGAAATGAGTTTATTTGTAACGTTTTATTGCACCAACTATTCAAAACTCAAGAGTTTGGCTGGGAGCAATAAACTCATTAGTGCAAATCTATGCTGAAACGACAAGTCTCAAAACTCAAAAAGCATTTTTATCCTTTTGTAGCAAAAATAATATCCCTTTGATTGGACTTTGCTTTATGCTATTAAAATTCCACTATCATTGGTTTATGGTCGATTTCTTCAACCTTCTAATTATTTGCTACATTATTCAACTTCCATTACCAAAAGAAATGTGCTAATTAATTTCCAAATAAAATCCTCTTTTTTATAATTTATTTTTTAAAAAGAAAGATTGGTTACGTGAGAATGCGATAGATATAAATATAAATGGATAAGGTAAAAAGGCTATTTATTTTTTAAAATCTGAACGGCTGAGATTGATCAATCCGTGATGAGATTAGTTGAGCGACACACACTCGTCATAAAGACAGGCTTATGAATGAAATGAAATGACCATTTCTCCATCCAACTATATGACACATAAAATACCTATAATATTAATACCTCTGATGTATTCACTTAGTACAGTACTTACCATTATTTTTGTTGTGTAGTCTTTTTTTGTGACAGCCATTTAGAATTATAACAAACATACGCAATACATCATCCGAATTTGTTTTTGTCAACTATATGCTTTTTAGAAAAGGAAAAAAATCAACCAAGAAACAAATACGAGAGAAAAGATCGTGGCGATACGCATAGGTGGAGAAAGAGATGTGCTCATTTTGTTATGTTGTTTATTAAATACTACACTATTATTTATTTATTTAGAATCAATGCTGTAAACGATTTGCAAGCTAGAAACAACTAATTCGGATTCGAGATATAGGAGAAGACGACAAAAAGAATAAATTTTGTAGATACTACTAGTATATGTTTATATTGGAAAGCGATACGTCGTGGAAGGTAAGGCACATCAAAGATGTTGGACTAAAATACGAAGATAGAGCCTAGAGGCTTCATTTCATTAGAAAGTCTACGGCAGATCATGGTTTGATCTACTAAAATACTATGATGAAAATCCGAGGAAATTGCAAATATTAAAGCAGTTTTGCAAACAAAACCATGAAAAAGTTGAGTAGTTCAGTTTTTTTCTTTATCGAGGTCAAATAGCTATTTTCAAATTTGATAATGCCAAAATACATATTGAGAAAATGTTCTAAAACCACACAAAGAAACAAACACAAATTAAATGAAAAACAATATATGTTTATTAGAGAGTAAAAACCAATAATATATATCAGTGGGTAGTGTAAGGAATTGCAAGAAAACGAAGCAAACTAGTCGGGAAAAGCAGCTCAAAATATCACACTGCGTTTAAATATCAGAGTTACCAAGAAATAAATAATGTATGAAAAGTTGGAAACCAACCCAAAATAAAAAGTATTCACCGAGCCAATAGTATACAGAACAGGTCGAATGATACGTGTTAACTATTTCACCAAAAACATACATTTTTTTTTTTAAATAGTCAAAATGTAGTACGAGTGAGACCTAGTCCAAATTGTTGCTATCTGTTCGTAGGACTTTGTTGTGGTTTGACTTGCTAAACTAGTCGGAACCGATCACCAAACAATTATTTTAAAACACAATAAGAGGCTTTCTAAATCTTTGTTTTAGAGGCTTTCTAACACAAATAGCTTTGTTTTACGTGCGAGAGGATTTGTACACATGTTCTCCAATTAGCTACTCTTTCCCGTGCCTGTGAACACTCAACATACAATCTTGATACCTACACTCTCATACGTCTAAGAGCAAAGTACAGCTACCTAAATTAGCACATCAAGTTTATCAAAAGCCCACAAGAGCTGGAGCTAGGGTTTACAGCTTTTAGGCCAGGCCTGTATTGTTTTGAATGTGAAAGTATGAATTTAAAGACTCAAAGATTGTATAAAGAATAACTCTCATTATTAACTTAAGAAAACTTTCTCAAAAACTTATGCTCTCAATCTCTCAACTCTAAATTCATAACTTGTGTCACAACTCGACACCTCCTTATATCTCCTTCTATAAGAGAACACTTTTCCTAATCCTAATAGGAAACACTTATATTTAAGCAACTTCCTAAACATACTTTTCCTTTTAACCATAACTCGGTTTAGCATGAGGAAACTTTCTATCGTATGCTTTCTTCAAGCTTACTCCAACAGCCTGACCCTCCTTATATCACACTAATATATATAACTTTTATTTTACAAGTCCTCAATTTATCGCATTGGCTGAGGTACACTTTCGTCGGAGACCCTCTTATTCCTTCGTCCCTGGTACTTGCCCTTTTTTTGTAACTTGTCACAGATTATGGAGGAAGAAGCTGCGAACAAGATGAAATTCTTTGGGGGACTAATGAGCGCCTTTAAAGAAGAAAGGCAAGTCGATATATGGCTCAAAGCAGGGGACAAATCTCATGCAATCGCCGCCCACAAACTTATTTTGGTAATTTTTCTCTTTTCTTCTTTTTTTTTTTTTTTAGAATTGAGGCGTTACCTTTATTAGGGATAAATGTCCCACATCGGAAGTTGGAAGGGATCTCAAGTAGTATATAAGGGATGTGGGCCTCTCTACTCATTGCCAATTGGTTTTGAGTTGGAAGCCCATGTAACTTAACATGGTATCAGAGCCCCGATCCATACATTCCAACCCGATCCGACCCATAGTTTGTCCAACCATCGACCATGCCCAAAATTTGTGCTGGCGATATCGATGGCCAAAGAGCCATCGTCTCGAGGGGGCATATTAGGGATAAATGTCCCACATTGGAAGTTGGAAGGGATCTCAAGTAGTATATAAGGGATGTGGGCCTCTCCACTCATTGCCAATTGGTTATGAGTTGGAAGCCCATGTAACTTAACAACCTTGAGATTTTATTGAATATATATATATATGATATTATATTATTGAAGGTGGCTAGATCTAAGGTGTTTAGGAAGATATTGGAATTAGATGGTTGCAAAGGTTTGTCCAAAAAAAACAAAAAGAAAAGAGGTTTGTCCATGTCCAAGGAGACGGTTACTCTTTCAGAGATGACACGTGAAGAGCTAGAGACGTTTCTTGAGTTCTTGTACAAGGGTTCGCTTCCGGATGCAAAGCTGGTGCAGCACCACCGTAGTCTCTACCTATCTGCCCATAAATACGAGATTCCATACCTCCAAGATCTCTGCAGAAAGGAGCTCATCAGCACCATTGACGTATCAAATGTATTTCACAAGCTCGATCTTGCAAAGAAATACTCGGACAAGATCCTAGAGGCTGCTGTATCTTGGTTTATCGAATCACACGTGGTAGAGGTTGCCTTCTCGAGTAAGTTCGAGTCGTTTGTGGAGAGTTATCCGGCGCTTGCTGTTGAAACGTTTAGGGTTCATATGATGGTCAGACGATTATCTAAGATTCTTGATGACAACGGTTTACGTAAGGAATCAATCTCAAGCAGCATATCAAACGCAGTTCTCAAACATTCAGAATCAGATAAACGATGCATTGGAGGAAATGGCAATATTAACATGTGATTAGCACATGTAAACTCTGATGTTTCAACATCAGTCACTTTGTTCCTGTATACAAACACTATCTAAGGTTTTTGACCGCCATTTCCCTAAGGAATTAATCTCAAGCAGCCTCTGAGAGCGTTGAGAAGAATTACACTTTGCATTTTATTGATTGGGTCCAAAACATCTTTTAAAAGTTAAAATATAATTATCAAAATCTAGTTATACATTTAAGCCAATCATCGGATTTTTCAGGAGGATTACTGTTAAGAATGTATGAGTTTGGGCTCAGGAGCTAATATAATTGGTGGTCGCAGAAAAATATTAACATGGAGAGAGAGAGAATTAAAACCGAAAGCGAATTTTGATAGATAGGCAAAAACGTGCAACAAAGAATTTGTGAATACTCAAATACAATCTTGATACATACATACTTATATTTTTATCAACGATAAGTGAACATGTGAACATCACACTGCCTAATAATTTCAACGATTAAGACATTATTTGCATGTGGATGAGAGATGTAAAATAAACATACCATAGCTTAAGAAACAAAGCTTCTCAAAGCATGAGAGGCTTTCTAAAGTATCCAAACGCAATTGATAATAATAATAATTAAAAAAAAAGATGGCATAAACGCAATTGATAATAATAACAAAATCGTTTTGTATGATTTCAGAATTAAACATTCATGCAGAAGTTAACAAAAAAAAAAACTGAACTACTAATGTATAGGGAAGGGTTGTATTCATTTATAATGTCTTGTAAAAGAATCGTAGTCTTGGTTCATTAGAAGTACTTGTATTCTTTTATTATAGTTTTGTTAGAGAATTTTATGTGTGATTTTCGTTTTGAAGTTCTTATGGATTAATAGACAAATTGTCCCAAGCTTCTTTGTATCGAATTCTTATTAGTTGAGTTTCATTTGTCCTGTCGTTTACAATGGCTTGTAAAAGAATTAAAAAAAAACAAATACGAGGTTGCGTAGACATATAAGTGTTTATAAATATCACCCCATACCTGTCATTTTTGTAAGTTTTTGTTAGAGATTTTGTAAAAAACCTTACAAAGATCCAGCGAGAAGCTCTTTGGATAACCAAGGATTAGGTATCAATGTGAACTTTTTGTGCAACTGGACTGCAATTTTTCTGAATGAACTTACATGGAATGGAGGATTCCATAAAATTATTACCACTGAACATGAAAGAAAATGAAAAATTATTCCTGGTGCAACTGGTTTTTAAAAAATGGAATATAAGGAATTAATGGAATTAATTTAAATGGAATAGAAAAAAATGGAATGGAATAAAATGGGTATCCCATTCATTCATGAACAATTTTGGTGTGGAATAATTTTTCAAATTGATTTGTTTTTTCTTATGTGAAATGAATGGGATAAATGGAATGATTTTACTTTTTCTTTCCTTGTAACTGGTAACAATTTTATGGAATTCTTTGGAATCCTCCATTCCATGTGATTCCATTCATAAAAATTGCAATCCAGTTGCACCCTACCCTCCATTTATCCCATTCATTCCACGTAAGAAAAAAACAAATCATTTTGAAAAATCATCCCACATTGAATGAATGGAATACCAATTTTATTCCATTGCATTTTTCATCCCATTTAAATGGAATCAGTTATTTCCTTATAGATGGCATAAACAATCAATAATATTTAGGGATAATAATAATTAAAAAAAATAGATGGCATAAACAAATTTGTATTCCTAGAAAACTCAATCCATTGTTGTTAACAAGAAAAAAACCCAAAACAAAAAAAAAAAACGAAAGCTGAAAACGTTAAAAATTAAAAAGCTAGTAAAAAAACCAAAACCAAGGAGTGAAGTGTTTATTCTGCGAAGAGAGCGAACTTCATCTTGTGGTTGCAGCCGGTGCGGTCTCCACTGACAAAGTAGTAAATCTGACGCCTACGGAGAAGAAACGTGAAGCCTCCGGTATTTATGCTCCACGCCTCCCTATTTTTTGGGACTAGCTTCCTCCCTCCGCTCACATCACATAACTTGTAGCTCCTCATGTCTGGGAGCAAGTAGACATCGGTCTTGTTCTTGTTGGTCTTTTGACCGTTGTTGAACTTGAAAGCAACAACATCGTTGACGTAAAACGGTGCATGCTTTATGGCCCACTCTTTGTAATCGAATCCGCTTTGCCACACATTGAGCTCAATCCTTTTATTATTAGGCGGTATCGGAGTTGTGTCGTTGTATGGAGAGCCGACACTGCCGCTTGAGTGGTTTGATGGGGCCGTGTGGTTGTTTGGGGAACCAACACTACCGCTTGAGTGGTTCGATGGGGACGTGTGGTTGTTTGGAGAGCCGACGGTACCGCTTGAGTGGTTCGATGGGATCGTGTGGTTGTGTGGAGATCCAACGCCACCGCTTGAATGGTTTGATGGGGCGGTGTGGTTGTGGTGGCTTTTATGTGTAGAGCCAGTGCCTCTCCAGTGGTTTGAGCCGGAGCTGCTTCCCCAACCCCAGCCTGTACCTCTTCCGTGAGAGCTCCATCCCCAACCCCAACTTGAACCCGAACTACCAGAAGAACCCCAACCCCAGCCCCAGTGGGAACCAGACCGGCCAGAGCTCCAACTCCAGCTCCATGCATCAGCGGTGCCGGAGAAGACACATGCAGTGAACACTAGGACCAAGAGTAGCTTGCGTGCCACAGAGAGATCCATCGCTTACTTCTTTCTTCTTTCTTCTTGGATTAATTGATTGCTAAACTATTCTTTTTCTCTCTCGTTCTCGCTGTTTGTTTTTGTGAGCTCTTTGGAGTTTAGAACTTCTCTTTTTATAGCCAGAGAGTAGGTGAGGGTCGGTTTCCAATTTGGATAGGAATTATGAAGTTTCATTATGTCGTCTCTCCAAAAATTAACCAAAATTATCTCGTCTCAAAATTCGATCATGAAAATTAAAGGATTTCCTTCTTGTTCTCACACTACTACTTACCACATTTATCTTTCCTTTAGATTTAAACAAGTGGATATATGATATATCAGTTTAGTTATTCTTATTTATGAATTGTATTTTTAAAATTCATTTAGGATTATTGCTTAATTTTCCAGTTTCTTTTTTATTTTTATATTGTTCATGCTAAACAAAAATAAGAGTGACATTATTATACCACGAGTTCCACTTCAATAATTAGCTTTCTTTCCATCTCTATGGAGGATAAATAAATATGAAATGGAAGTTAATAAGAAAAAAAAAAGCAAATAATATGAAGAACCGATGCATAAAATAGTTGTTCAAAGTTATATACACATTTTCAAATAACTCTTAGTTGTGGTTTGAGTTGCTAAAGTGATTCGAGAACCGATGATCTTTTTATATATACAACATACATGACAAGAACTCTCCCACAGATTAAATCGAGATGGAGAGAGAAAGAGAGGGGAAAAAAAAAGGAAGAAGAGTTAAGTTGAACAATTAAGAGTTTAGGGGCAAAACGTAGAGAAACTGATAATTAAGGGGGCAAAATCATACAAATGTTTTTTTTTTACTACTACTGAGGAACCTCTTGTTCATCGTCTCTGTCTCTATGCGTTTGAGAAGCTGTTGATCTTTCCGAAACTCTCACATTATATTTCTCATACACTTTCTCCCGATTCTCCGACCACCATGTCTCTGCTTGATGTTCTCCAAATCTTCTTCGGCTGCACAAAGACAATACAAACATCATCTCTCTACACATATACAAGTAAAAACATGGAAATGTGAATCAAGAGTATGAGCAAATAAACCTGAAGCGGACTCTTCTTAGATCTCTAGTTCCATCGTGGAGAGCGACAAGTGTAATATACACGCCTGGCTCATACTGTTCGATCCACTCCGCTTCTACCTGACTAACAACTCCTCCTTCTCCACGGCTCGAACCATTCTCACTGTTGTTCTGGAACTGGAACGGCTCGTGTCTCTCACTGATCACTGAACCGCTGCTGCTAAGCCTTGGATCCGCTGCATACGCGTTGTTGCTCCTCTCGCTCGCTCTAGGCGTCTGCTTCGGCGACTGGAGATTAGACCAAGACGCGTTTGCAAAGGCAAAGTCGAAAGGAGCAGCTGAAGACACTGAGGAAGTCATCGACTCCGATCTTGAATTATGGAAACCGTTCTCTTCAGGGAAATGGAAACCGTTCTGGTCTAGTCCCGCCAGTTTTAGACTCTCACCAGGTGGCAACTTCTCTGCTACATCCTTGAGCTGTTTCATCATTAGCTTATGAGTCAAACACAGAGCCCTCAAGCTCTTTAAGTCAAGAACCTTCAAAGAAAACAGATCATACCTGCGCTACGAGTGACTTTATAGCCTCTTTGGCGGCTCTCGACTTGGCAGACTCCTCCTCTGCCAATGTCAATGCTTCCTGCGTCTTCTTAACCGATTTCTGAAGCTCCACTTCTTGTAGCTCACACTTCTGAGTCAGACTCTCAACCTAAAAAACAAATCCATGATTAGAAGATGAAGCATGAGTGAGTGAGAGCATTAAATGAGAGATGACATACCTGTGCTCGTAACTTAACGATCTCCTGATTCAAGATCTCGTTGGTTTTCTTCATGTTATCAGCTATACCAACAGGGAAATAGATCCCGGAAGTTGAAGGCATAGGAGTGGCAGAGCGGGGAGGGCTTGATCTCCTAGAGAAAGGCGACACAGAGCGTGAGCTAATCCCTGATGGAGCTGGAGCTAGCTTTGGAGTAGACCTTCGAATGTCGCCTATATTAGACTGCTTACTCTGCACAGCATCTTTCAGCTGCAACAAAGAAGGCAGCTGAGAGTTGCGGCCGAGTGTGTAACCGTCTGTTTTCTTTCCTTGTCTTGCAGCTTTGCTATCAAGTTGCTTGATCAAGTCCATATTGGACGCACCAAACTTAGCCAACCTTATCTCAGACTTATCTAATCTGTCTTTGTTCTCTCCTGAGAGACGAGGCACAACGCTGTTCCTTCTGTTGGTATCGCTTATCTCTGACACTTTGCTTAGCTTGACGTAGCAAGAATCGCAGACACGGTAGAGCCTCCCTGCGCTCGGTGCTAAAGCAGCTCGGAATGCTTTCTTGGAGCTGCATGAATGGCAGTGAACAAGTCCACAGTTGTAGCAGTTATGCCTTTTCCTTGTGAAACCAAAAGCAAGCCTACAGGTTGAGCACTGAGACTGCTCAGCACCAGAGACCCATTTGTGAAGACAGATCGCTGCAGTGTAGTTCGATCCGCAAGCTATGTACTTGACGTGTCTGTCTTTCAAAGCTTCCACAAGAGTTGGTACTTTTCTATCTTCCAAATCACCATGGCCTAGTCTCCCATTAGCTCCTTTCCCCCATGTGTAGACTTCGTTTCTTGATGTCAAAGCCGCTACATGATATGCTCCGCAAGAGATCTCTTCGACGAACTCACTAGCGAGCTTGTCCTCTACCAAACAAGGTAACTTCCCATCAGTCTGTAGATTCCCAAGCTGCCCATACACTGTACTCCCCATCGTGAACACTTGTCCAGACGTGGTTAAACCGACTGTCAAGCTATGTCCACAAGCAATCTTGTGGAAGTTGTAATCGATTAACGCAGGGACACACGTTGGTTTAAGCCGAGGGTCTTTGTCACCGTGTCCAAGACGGTTCTTGTCACCATCACCCCACGTGAACAGCTTCCCAGACGACACAGAGCTTGAGTTTGACTGCGTGACAATGATCTCCACAACAGCAGAAGTGTGCCAAACGCCGCAAGAAACCGCAATCGTTCTCAACCCTGACAAAGACTCAACCTCTCTCGGATACTGAACTGTTTCCCTGTCACCGTGACCTAACACACCAAACGTTCCATCTCCAAATGTGAAAAGCCTCCCATGAGATGTTACCAAAGCCGTATGCCAAGGTCCACAAGTTACTGAACCCACATGAAGCCCTTCGAGAGGACCACCGATTCTCTTTGGTATCCAGTGACTAATACCAGAGCCATGACCTAAGAGACCAACATTATGTGTACCATCACCCCAAGTAAAGAGCTCTCCAGAGAGAGTAACAGCACAAGTGTGAAACTCTCCACAAGCAACAAAGTCAATAGCTGTGAGAGACTCAACGAGACGAGGATGGAAAACATCTTTCCCAATACCATGACCAAGCCTTCCTCCAGATTCTTCACCCCAAGTGAAAATCTCACCTTGACGTGTCACAAACGCAGCATGCCTAACACCACATGCGATCTGATGAACATCAAGGACAATATTCGACTCCAACGGCTTCGGCACAAGGACGTCCGTTCTCGTGGTTAGATAACTCGCACTCTTATCAATCCCGACTTTGACCACATTGTCACATATCACCTCACCCCAAATGTAAACGTCGCCTAGAGCATCAGAGTCATCTGCTCCAGAGCCATGACTAGAACTACTCTGTGCACTAGAGACACTGACACGAAAACCATCTGAGCCAGGTACCTTTGTTTGCATGTTTTTGGTGTCCAATGCAACAACAACAACATGTGGCTTCTCTGAATCAGTTAATGGAACCACCTCAGGCTCAACACTCTTAGTAGGAGAAGCAACTGGATCGATATTAAAAGGAGTCCCTGGAGAGCTGTGACCCCGTGAAGCGCTCGCAGAACTGCTGCTTGGACTGCTTGATGTCAAGTCTCTGCTAGCCTGAGAACAAACAGATCCATTGAGTACCTAAATGCAATTACAACATGACCAACCACAGAGTCTTTGCCTGAATACTTACATCAACAGAGAGGTTTCCGCCACTCCAGCCATCGATTTTAGAGCGGCCGCCTTGGCCAGACGATATCAATGTTTTAAGTCCTCCAATCCAAATCTCTGCCTCAACCTTGTCCTTACAAATCTATCAAGAAAGAAAACTGTTACTTACTTAACAAGTGGCTGGCTCAAAATATCAGTTTTCAAGATGACTAACCAAGTCAAGAGACTTCTTTTTGCCGTTGTACAAGAGAGAAAAAGATAAGTAGTCTTTCTCTGGACGAAGATAACGCTGGAACACAGCCTATTTGCAGAAAGATTTCGTTTAACAGAGATATTCTTGAAAAGCTAATGAGAGAAGTTCTTGGAAGATAGTATATCTTACAGTTCTTTGCCCAGGTATGATTTTAGATACAGATGCTAGTTTCAGTCGCTTTTCACCACTACTCGATATCCAGATCAAAGATTTTTCATCCTACACAACCAAAACACCAACAAGCATAGATTTTTTCTCAGATGAAGCAATTGTAGAAGAGAGAGTGGTTTGAGCAGACAGAAGAACTCACACTAGACAGTCTAAAAGGATAAAACTTCGGCTTCCCTTTGCGACCATATTTCAAAAGTTGTGTGCCCTTCTTCAATGTAATCAATGCCTGCCAAATTGAACAACACACAAATTAAACCCCCCACCAAATTAAACTTGAAAAAGTTCGGATTTTTACAAAGAATAAATGGGTAAAGACTTGAGATTTGCAGGAAAGTTTCACAATTTGAACAAACAAGACTCCAAATTTGCAACTTTTGTTTCGTACTAGTTCATCACTAATCGCAAAAATTTGAACTTTCTACTGTTTATGACCAAAATTCTTCAGAGAGAGAGGGACCTGTTCAACGTTGTGGTCAGCATTACTGTAGGTCACAAGATCTGCCATTCCATGTGAAATGTTCACCAGAAGACCACCAACCTCTTCGATCCTCACCGTTCATCATCTAAAAGCAAAAGCCCCGGAGGTCCTAGCCGTCGCCGTGGAAACCATCAATCAAACCAAGCCGGTGAACCAGTTGCAACAGAGAGAGAGAGAGGGAAATGTAAACGAAAAGCTTTAAACTTCCAAAGATGGAACTGCCCTTTTCGCTTAATTGACCTCTCAGATCTAATGAGGCTTCTCGGAGATGAAAAAGACCGGAACTTTGTTTTCTTAAAGCTGCACGATTTTCAGAATTTTCCGGAACGAAATTTTGATTTGTAACTGCTGGGTTTTAGTAAGCTGTGATGGACGAATTGCCTGTCCGGCGGAGCAAAGTTAGACCTTCCGGAGAGAGAGGAAAATCCGGCGGAGAAAAACGACGGAAAAGCAAAAAGGAAGGAGGAGGAAGACAGGGAAGTCAGAGACAGCGATGACAGAAGAAGGAAGAGAGAGAGAGAAAAGGAAAAAGAAAGAAAGTGACGACGACGGTGTCTGAACAGACGGTAAAATACGAAAATTAAATTTAAAGGAAACTGTTTCTTTCTTGGTATTATTATTTTATTTACTGTAAGTAAAATCTTCTTACAACAATTTTTATGCTTTTCTGAAAAATATCCAAAAATATTATACTACGAAAGCTAGTGAAAGAAAAATAAAAGAAAAGTAAAGTGAAGAGCATTCCCCATGCAGTAGTAGAAATCAAATTAAGTTTTTGCTTTTTTTCAGTGATTTTCTAGATAAACTAAAGTAAGGCTGTTTTAATTTTTTATTACACAAAACTAGTTTTGGTTTTGAAACCGAGGTGAAGGAGAAACCTCAGTATCTCACATTGAAATATGTCCAGGAAACATGATACAAAAAAACAAATTGGTATATTGTTTTCTGTTGTATGGGGGATACATTGTATTCGTATCAATTTAAGAGTTAACGAGACAATCCACAAAGTCAACTAAACCAATTTCCAATTCGTTTTGTAGCATTTGTCAATGAGGTAATTTGCATTTGTTTAAACTTTAAATATGAGTAATGTTGAGTTTTTTGGTTTTAAGTCTCTAACTAGTAATTATCGTTGTGTAGATTCTTTACCATTTTAATTTAACCGATAATCATGTTTCAGATCATCCTATTAATTTTTACTTAAAATAGTTGTTTTTTGTTTACAGAGGGTAATTCCGGTTAGTTCATTATCGTGGGTCAAATTAGGCCGGTTCATGTGGGTTGTCCGGTCTAAAACAAACGCGAGGAGATTGAGGATATAATGGTAATTCACAAGGAGGGGAGGGTTTATTCTTCGCCGCAGACACGTTGAAGGTTTGGTCGCCGGTTGTAAGGAAAAGACAAAAGCACCCCTACGGCCGGTAGGTGGGCCCGTTTTGTCTGGTTCTTTCCCTCCAAATTCCGAGGAGAATGTATCACTTTTTCGTGAAAACTTATAATAGTGCATCTCCATTTTCTCTACTTTCTTTGATATTGTTAATTTGTATATATAACGATTTTCTTAGTTGTATAATCCTTTAGATTCACCGACAAGATAAATAGTTTATGGTTATAAACGAATATGAATGTGAGTTTGTTTGCATAGCAATACATAATTACATAGGATCTAGCTCGTCTCGGTATTGTAAAAGCAAATCGAAACCTTGGATTGGATGATGCGCGCCCAAGGATCAAGACACAAAGTTGTAGTTCAATTTTCCATACATATATACAGATTATCACATGGTAAAGATTAATAAAGAAAAACTATAATTTGTGTTCTCAAAATTTATTTAAGTTAACATCAGTACATAAAGATTAACATCAGTACTATGATACTATCTTAACTTGGAAGTCACTGATGTTACAACAAAGAAAAAAACAAATGACCACAAAACATAGTGCTTTCTTCGAGAGACGCACAAAAGACAGAGTTATAGAAATCGAAAGCATCCTCTAGACTCTAGTCCATGATAACTGGATTTGAATGTAACGAGTTGGGCCCATCCTCATGGCCTTTTTATGAGTGAAGGCCCAAATCTTAATCTAAATTTCGCTGAACCATAATATATGCCCAGCAGGATGTACAGAAAAATTGACATTAAAGAAAAAGAAACCATAAATGGGTCCCTCTATGTATTAATCATTTTTTTTTCTATTGTTGATAGTTTACGTTTTGATATGGGTCAAGCGAAGCAAGGTTACGGTAAGATCAAAATATGTCAATTATTCCAATTATTATAGTTGACAATGACCTGGCCTGATAACGATGGACGGTAACGAACTTGGCATGACAAATGAGGTTGACCATCAAAATATACAATATTATCTACAAATTTTCAAAATCTTGGATACTCCTAATCAGAACATGTAATTTCTCACCGATTTATAAGTGAAAGAACAAGAAAATTGACTAATTACAACTGTAGTTGATTTTCTGTACCACAGCTTTTTTACAGATATATTTTTTTTTATTTTCACATAATTACAAAAAAAAAATGTACAGGAGCCACAAAATTATTTTCTCGTCTTGATATTATTGTCAAATGGAATAAAGTGGTTTCGCTATTTTAAGGAATTTTGTTATTTTTCTTTTTTATTACTTTCACATGGTTTGTTGGTATAAAGCAATTTGTTTCGGACAAAAGAGAACTACTTGAAAAATCCACTAGGCGGAGAAATTAATATCCTACGTGGCAAAAAATCACTTTGAAAACCGCGATAAAAATGTACACGTGGTAGCCAAATCAACTTTAGTTACGAATTAGATAAATCGAACAGCCTTTAATTTGACACGTCACATTATTTAACGGCTCAGGATTTTACGTCTACGTTTTGTATCGCTGATTCGCTGCGCCTCAAATGTGTGTTGTGTTCTGTTGGTCTTTGTCTACATTGCATGGAAACGGAAACGGAAACGCGGATGCAAAACGTTTCGGAAACGGGAAACGTCTATTTTGAAAAATACAAGATTGGAAACGTTTTGGAAACGCATATATAATATTTATGATATACATATATATGGTTATTTTAAAGTTTGTTAATATATAATATATGTATGTAACGAATATATAGTAAATCAAGTTGGTGCAGTGGTTAGTGGAGGGACATTATTCCAAGCAGTCATGAGTTCGAATCACAGGATTATATGTTTTGTTAGTTTTTTAATTTTTAATAAATAGAGGGTATAATTGTAATTTCGATAACGTCTTCTTCCCGACTCTTTCTCCACTTTCTGTAACTCTAATTTGGCGGCCATGTTCATCAATTTTCGCATTATGCATCAATTTTCTTGCATTTTTTAGTAGTTTTCTTCGTAGATTTGTGAATCTAATAGATATAAATCTTTTACAAACCAAAATATCGAATAAAACTTAATTTCTTCAACATTCTCCGATTTGTTGTTGATATAAGGCTTGGCGGCTGCAGAGACCAGGTTTTCGAACAGAACGAAAACAAGTTTCCGTTGCGTTTCCGTTTTGGAATTGGACGCTTCCACTGCGTTTCTAAATGGAGAATTTCAAGAAACGCGTTTCCATGCGTTTCCGTTGCGTTTCCGACGCGTTTCCGACGCGTTTCCGTTTCCGATGTGTTTCGAAACGCGAAACGCATAGTGATTAGCGTTTCATACGTTCTTTGTTTATAAATTACATGTACTTACAGATTAATAAATAATAATATGATTATTCGAATATTGTGGCTGTAGTAAGAATTACTAAATCAAATAATTTTTATAGAAATGGAAGAAGATAATAACATTTAATTTTTTTGGGTCTAGTCGATTGTAATACGAGAGTTACATGTAACTTTTATGGAGTTGGAATCATTGGTAGTTTGGTACCATCCTCGAACAGTAGGAGTCGATCAATGGAGTACTATTTTACAGTGGATGACAAATTGCATTTAATGAAAAAAACTTTGTCCTATTCATCGGCCATTTTGGTGAATATATATGGATTTATTGGATGTTCTAGTTCTATCATAGAAAATTAACCATCTAATAACCTTTTACTGTTATAGGTATGGTATATTTATATATGCCTAAATAACGATCATATCAAGTGAGTTTCGGTTTAGTTATGCTTCTTACTACCCTTTCGATATTATGTTCGATTCCTACTTATATTAGTAGGGATGTTGATTTTGTTGGGGATGATTTATAAGCTGGTCCTGACCGAAAGAGATGATAGATTTAAAGAGTAGATAACAAAAAAAAATCACGATAATATTATTCACTACTCACGTCGGTTATTTACCTATTGTATTATTTAATACTTACCAGTTTATACTTTTGTGGATATATAAACATATACGGGTTATGTATACATACGTAGAAAGGGATCAAGTTGGGGTCACTTTACAGAGCCATACGTAGTGGAAATACATCTGAATCCAGCTCATTGTAACCACTGCTTTTATTTTCTCTCTTTTTTTTATTTATCCCCTTATGGATTAATAATTGGAATATAAAAATATAATTTCTGAAAGATATAGTAGCAAAATGACTAGAAGTTAACCAAATACGAAACGAAAAAAGAAAAGAGAAGTGCGAAAAAAGTGGGAGATGAGTTTGGTGTTTCAGACAAAAAACAAACTGCCAGTAAGATTGTCCATTCTCCTATTAATGTTTTGTTATACTTAAACAAAACATCCCCATAACTAAAATGTGATTGCTTTCCTAAATGTTTATACAGTTTTGTATAATTTTCCAATGGTTATAGATACCAAAACATCCATGAGTACACAAAATTCATAATAAAAATGGCAAGATGATGAGCTCGTTAGAATGTTATTAAATACGATTAGTTATACTTTCTAATGTTCAATTGAAGTAAATGGATTATGGAACCATAAGATAAAAGTAGAAGCTATCAAATAAAATAGATAGCTACTTTACAAGATTTCATTGTTTTGATAACCTTAAGAGCGTATAACTAAATCCGAGCAGTGAAAAGCAATTTAGTTTTAAACTAACGTGTGTAATTAAG